GGCCGAAGACCAAGGCCTTGCGTTATTACCACTGAGAAAACCAATTCGCCTGGAGACTTTCGATGGTCAAGAAGCCGAGAGTGGGCCAATCACCCACTATGTTCAGATGCATATGAGAATTAATGATCACCAAGAGAAAAGAGCTAGTTTTTTAGTCACACAGCTAGCGCACTATCCTGTTGTACTAGGACTTCCCTGGTTAAAGATCCATGATCCCCGGATTGGCTTCGCCGAGCATACCGTCCTGTTTGACAGCAAGTACTGCCAGGAACACTGCAATGTACCCACGAGACCTGCGAAAATACGAGCCTTGCATGACATCCCGCAGAAGACCCGCCCCAAGCACCTGCCCGGCCGACCTGAAGGCCTGAAACACCGAGACATTGCTGCTATATCCATGTCTGCCTGCTGCGCCTACGCCCGAAGGAGTTACCGCCTGTTTACTGTCACTATCGAGGACATTGAAGCCGCCCTGAACCCCACACCTGATGACGAAGACCTGACAACAAAACTACCACCCGAGTTCCGAGACTTTGCCGATGTGTTCTCCCCCAAGGAAGCTGAACGCCTGCCACCCCACCGTCCGTATGACCACGATATCAAGCTGCAAGATGGGAAAGTACCCCCATTTGGGCCCCTGTACCCGATGTCCCGAGAAGAACTGAAGGTCCTGAAGGAATGGATCGAGGAAAACCTGAAGAGGGGGTTCATTCGCCCCAGCTCATCACCAGCCGCGTCCCCCGTGCTATTTGTGAAGAAGCCTGGGGGAGGTCTCCGGTTCTGTGTTGACTATCGCGCCTTGAACGCCATCACTGTGAAGGATCGCTACCCACTACCACTGACCAAGGAGACCCTGAACAACCTGAAAGGGATGAAATACTTCACCAAGATTGATATCATTTCCGCCTTCAATAACCTGAGAATCAAGAAAGGACTCGAATACCTGACTGCTTTCCGTACACGACTAGGGCTATTCGAATCCCTTGTAATGCCCTTTGGTCTGACTGGTGCACCTGCTTCATTCCAGCGATTTATGAATGACACCCTGCGAGACTATCTGGATACCTTCTGCACTGCCTATCTGGATGACATCTTGATCTATAGTAAGACCCGTGAGGAGCATACCCGCCATGTCTGCTTGGTTCTTGAGAAACTGCGAGATGCAGGCCTCTTTGCCAAACTGTCCAAGTGCGAATTTGCTGTGCCTGAGACCAAGTTCCTGGGAATTATTGTCGGCCGAGATGGCCTACGCATGGATCCTGACAAAGTAAAGACTATTGTTGATTGGGAAACCCCAACTTGTGTGACAGATGTCCAAGCATTCATTGGCTTCGCAAACTTCTACCGGAGATTCATCAAGGATTTTTCCAAGATCATCACACCCCTGGCAAATCTGACAAAGAAAGGCACCCAGTTTGAATGGAACACCACCTGTGAGCTAAGCTTCAATACCCTGAAAAAGGCCTTCACCACCGCACCCGTCCTTAGACCGTTCGACTGGAATAAGGAGGTCATCCTGGAAACTGATGCTTCTGACTATGTTTCTGCCGGAGTCCTGTCTCAGTATGATGATGATGGTGTCTTACACCCTGTAGCTTTCTTTTCCAAGAAACACTCAGCGACCGAATGCAATTATGAGATCTATGATAAGGAATTATTGGCTATTATCCGCTGCTTCGAAGAATGGCGCCCTGAACTAGAAGGAACCCCATCTCCTGTCAAGGTTATAACTGATCACCGGAATCTGGAATACTTCATGACGACTAAGCTCTTGAACCGTCGACAGGCCCGTTGGTCCGAGTTCCTGTCCCGCTTTAACTTCAAGATCATTTACCGCCCAGGCAAGCAAGGTGCGAAACCTGATGCCCTGACCAGGAGGTCAGAGGATCTTCCTAAGGAGGGGGATGAGCGTCTTCTGCACCAAAGCCAGACAGTCTTAAAGAAAGAGAACCTCGAACTTCCATCTGAGAAAACACCTGTCACCTTGAATGTTACAACCAGATCCCAAGCTCATCCTCCTGAGAACCCTGTCAAGGATCCTGCTGAGAGTCTACCCAGAACACCCGCTCAAACCAGGAAAGTCAGGTTCATTGATGAGACTGCTCACATTATACCAGAACCACCACAAGATGTCAAGAATCTGCTGGACAACGCATATCCACTCGATGAGACAGTACAGTCAATCCTAAAAGCCCTGGATAAGAATGCCACACGACACCCTAAAATCACACTGGCTGACTGTCAGAAAAGAGGCAACTACCTCTTCTACCGAAATCGACTTTATGTTCCGGATCATGGGGAGCTAAAAGCCGAGTTGTTGAGACAATGTCATGATAAGCCAGCTGCAGGACATCCTGGTCGATCCAAAACCTATGAGCTCCTGTCCCGAGAATACTACTGGCCTGGAATGTATCAGTATGTTGAGCAATGGACCCAGAACTGCCACACATGCCGCCGCATCACACCATCCAGAGAAGCCCGTCAAGGCATCCTGCGCCCTCTGCCTGTCCCTGAAAGATCCTGGCAAGACATTAGCATGGACTTTATCACACACCTCCCACCAAGCCACGGGTATGATGCAATCCTTGTTGTAGTCGACCGACTGACGAAAATGAAACACTTCATTCCATGCAAGGGAACCTGTAATGCTGAAGAAGTGGCCCGCCTGTATGCCTGCAATGTCTGGAAACTCCATGGCCTACCACAAACTGTTGTATCTGATCGGGGACCGCAATTTATCGCCCAATTCTGGAAATACCTAACGCGCCGCCTACAAATCACAAACCTGTTATCAACTGCATACCATCCAGAGACAGACGGCCAAACTGAGAGGACTAATGCTGCCCTAGAACAATACCTCCGTGCCTATGTATCCTATCTGCAAGACAACTGGTCCGAATGGCTACCGCTAGCTGAGTTTGCTGCTAATTCTGCTCGCTCTGAAACCACCCGTGTTTCCCCGTTCTTCGCGAACTATGGATTCCATCCCCGCATGGGATTTGAGCCTGTCCTGCCTTCCAGCCGCCCTGCCACTCGAGATGCTGAGGAGTTTGCCCGTCGAATGGAGCTAATCATTGAATTTGTCCATGCCGAGATTGTGTCTGCCCAAGCCCGTTATGAAGAACAAGCCAACCGAAAGAGACAGCCTGCCCGCCGTTACCAAGTTGGCCAGTATGTATGGCTAGACTCTCGCAATATCCGGACCTTACGACCACAGAAGAAGCTAGATTGGAAGAACCTAGGACCATTCCGCATTATTGAGGTTGTTAGCCCGCATGCTTATAAGCTTGACCTACCCGCTAGCATGAGGATACATCCTGTGTTCAATGTCAGCCTGCTCCGTCCTGCTGCCGGAAACCCTGTCCCGGGCCAAAGACAAGAACCACCACCACCTGTTGAAGTTGATGGCCTGGAAGAATGGCAAGTTGAAGATATCCTGGACTCCCGCTGGGAAAGAAGGGGCCGTGGCGGACCTCGTCTGAAGTATACAGTCAAGTGGACTGGATATGATGATCCTACTGAAGAACCAGCCACGTACCTGGAACACGCCAAAGAGATTATCATGAACTATCACCGCCGCTATCCCCATAAGCCTGGACCTGGCCTCGACGGAGCTCGGCCTTGAGGAGGGGAGTACTGTCACGGTGCCAGCCGTGATGTATACACGTGACTAGGCACGTGACCCACACAAGATATCTATCTGTGCTCGACGCCGATCCTGTTGCAGCTCTTCGAGCTGCGTCTTGTCTATGTATCTGTAGATAGCCTGACCTGTAGCTTAACCTGTTCGTCAATTCCTAATATATCCGTACCTGACCCCGCACCCTGACAGTCCTGAATATTACCAATGCTCAGGTAAATTCATATTAATAAGTTCATAATAAATATTTCCTTCGATAGACTGATTTCTGAAGAAAGTTCATATTCATTACTGGAAAAATGCCATAAATAAAGCAGTACTATATCAATTCAAAGTCGTCGACTCTGTTTGGTCTCTTTTGAGACCTACGAGGCCTTGCAAGCACCTGTGGGAGAAGTGATTCATCTTCACTTGCAGAATCTTCAGATAGTGTCACGGCGCTCTACTAGGATAATGGAACATCCAACTCATGGGTTCTAGCTAGGTAGCTATCGACGAGAATAATCAACATGAGGAAGGAAGAAACGAAGTGACGCCGTATTTATCAACAAAGCAAACAACTGCATCTCACGTGATAGCCAGACAACGTGACCAGGCCGTCACATGCAGTCTCCTCTAGGTCATGAGCCTTGGCATATTTGTAGTGTTTGATATACTGTTGGATATCCAAAAGATATCCAACAGATCGAGTTGGACATCCAAGTCCGCAATCTGCGGATGTGATAGTTGGATATCATATGATCTGTTGGATGCCTAATTTCAACTATGCATACATGTTCTCAGTATAACCCGGATTAGTCAATTAATGAGCAAAATTCGTTTGATTTGGCAGCCGGTCCCCAATCATGTAGTTCATTTGTATTTTCTCAATTGTAACCAGTGCATGGATGGCCTGTTTTATGGTTTGGTCAGAAAACCAGTATGCCTGGGCAATGCTACGGACTCGGACTAGTGCATACTAACGAAATGACACTCCTATCTAAACTATTGCGGCCATCGACGAGAATATCAAATCCGGAGGGAAGAAGAAGAAGAAGAAGAAGAAGAAGAAGAAGAAGAAAAAATTTATCTAGATGATGAAGGGGTCTTACAGGTATTTTGCATCAGTGCTCATGCCTATGTTTGCCTTCATTGCTTGTACGGTTTCTTTGTGTGTTACTGCCATTTGTCTATATCGGCCATTGATGCAGCGTCGAGCCGTCACAGCTGCAGCAGAACTGGTCACATCACATGTAAATAAGGAATGGTATAAAACTTAAGGTGATTGGTTTGATTAGAGGAGCTCCGAGCTCGGCTAATAGTTATAGGTAATAATCTACGTGTACTGTTAAGACAAATGTGAACTGCAATCACGCACAAACTTTAATATAGACAAAGCGCGGCGTGGAATCGTGGACAGACGATATCCCAAGCAAATACTATTTTGCCAAGTTCTCTACTGCCATTGCCCATACTTAATCATTTTCTTAAGCTTCCTAGACTCGCGTAATAAACTCAACCCCAAAGTGAGAGAAAGCTTTAGAAGAGTTATTATAAGCAAGCAAGATAAAGTGAGAAGAAAAAGAAGAGATGATGGAATAATTTAAATGAGGATAATAGACTACTTCGAATCGATTTTGAGCCATCTGCTCGCTACGGAAGTCCACAAGGACAAAAAGACCAAGAGTTGGTTTTCGATAGTGTATATTCAGCTGCTCGGAAGCCATATAGACAACAGGAGCAATGAGGGTAGGATAAGACAGAAACAAACGAAGACAGACAGGTAAAAACAAAGCAGAACAGATCATCCCAACGCCTCGCCTCCATAGACTCGTAAACATTACTCGCTTGCAAAATATGCTCAGAAAAAAGAGAACAGAACAAAACCAAGAAAGCATAGTGCAAAAAATAATTGATTTTCAAACCAACGCCGTGACCGCCCGCTCTGTCCGTTTAATGGAGAGAATCAATGGTGAATATGCCAAGAAAATTGAGCCACTATTGACTGGCGGCATCCACGATAGTGGTAATGTCGGCGCCAATACCAATCACGTTTCCAGCGGCATCAAGTCCGTTCAAGGCCTTGTCGCCGGAAGAGGAGCCACCATGGCCAGAGCCATGGCCCTTGGGGGAGCGCTTGGAGTTGGCAGCATCCACGATAGTGGTAATATCGGCACCAATACCAATCGCGTTGCCGGCAGCATCGAGTCCGTTCAGAGCCTTGTCACCGGAAGAGGAGCCACCGTGACCCTTGGGGGAGCGCTTCTGGTTGTTGACAGCATCCGCGATAGTGGCGGCATCAGCTCCAATACCAATCACGTTGCTGGCAGCATCGAGTCCGTTCAGAGCCTTGCCACCGGAAGAGGAGCCACCGTGACCCTTGGGGGAGCGCTTCTGGTTGTTGGCAGCTTCGGCGATGGTAGCGGCATCAGCTCCGATGCCAGTAATGTCCCCCAAAGCACCGGTCCAAGTCGAAACCCGTTCGCCGGTGGAAGAGCTAGAGTGGTGGTGGCCGCGAGGAGAACGCTTCTGGTTCAAGTACTCCTGGAGGGTCATGGCATCGGCGATCGCACCAATACCGTCGGAGAGGGCGCCGGTAACCTCAGAGACCTTGTGGGAGGTCGAGCCGTGGGAGCCACGGGGGTCACGGGTCAGCAAGCTGGAAGAGCGACCAGCGATTGGCGCACCAAGGACTGAGTTGGCGGAGAGGATGGTGGCAAGAGCCACGGTAGCAAGCTTGAAAGTGTCGACATACATTTTGAATGAGGATTGGTTGGAAGTCGGAAGATGCGGTAAAGCGAAGAGTTGTAGAAAGCAGAAGGCTTTGAGATCGGAAGGTTTGTAGTGAAGATGATTGTGATTGTTGATGGAGAATTCGATTCTGGGACCGATTCGAGCAGACTTTTATAGACCAACCCTCTCATACATTGCTGTGAAATTGTATACAAAAATGGCCCCAGGCTGACCAGCGGACACCATCGCGACGCCGTACAGCACAAGGTCGACATTTGGGGTCTAAGGATCGCGACAGTACCTGCGCATGCTCTGAAACTGCACCAAGGAAGAACACCAAGATTGGCCAAGATCTTAGATATTGGACGAGCTTATTTTACTCTAATGCTTTAATGGAGAAACAGTCAGTACGGGCACGTTATTGGAGAATTGCAGGGTAGTGGGAACAGACTTGGGGGCCATTTTGATCCTCCGGGATGCATTCACAGTTGGAATAGCCACTGTCAAAATCTGCCTTAAGGACAATCCGGCGTGGCATCCAAATAGCCTCCTGAACCGTGCTTAGAGCGCCATTTGGGGGTGGCACCCTGAGGCTATGCCGCAGGAATGACAATTGAAACAGTCTGCGCCCATTTTGGTCCGGATTTAGGCAATTTTCCTCATGTTTCATATCCTCTCAGGGTATATTCTCGACGCATGTGGGGAATTTGCGTGCGCTGAGGACTATGCATCGTTTAGCGCCGTCGTAGACTGTATGGACTATGGACTGGAGAGATGTCGCGATGAAATTCAGCGTGGTGATGATGGTGATGGCGGTGATGGTGGAAACCGTGTCTACCGCTTTATTCTGCCGTGTCTATTTTAGTGCTGCCAGCAATACAGACTGCTCCAGCGTCATCCACCATTATTCTTCTGCTTTCTATTCTGTACTCCGCCGGCCAGTTCTCAATTCTCAGCACAAATAAATGCCCCTGTCTGTATTCCATATACTCAAAACCTACACTTGCCCATTCTCAGTATGTCCTGATTCAGGAACCAGGTGGCATCGGATCCTTCGGGCTACCAAGCCACGCCGCAAGATACGGCTTCGTGAATGGTGATTAATCCGCGAAGGCCGCATTTTCATGGCCGCAGATGGCAGATCCTCCTGTGCATGTACGTACAATAGGCGGGAATTCATTTTACCTTTCTGTTTAAAATAGATATCTCAACGCAAGACCTCGTCTAGCCGCGGATTATTGATTCCCCCGCTTCCTAGAGAATCCCACTTCGACTAACATCCAAGGACCTGCATGTCACATTATTTTGATGCTGGGTATGAAGCAAGTAGCTTAGAGGAATCAGGCAGCTAATTATCATGATTATCCTTGTCTGAGGCTGTACAGATAAGATTTTTAAATTGCTCGTCCGCTCAGCCGTACTTAAGCCACATAGTTAAGTGTGGCAAACCGTCATTTTTGCCCTTCGCTCACTATTGCTCTAAGGGTGATGCTTGGGTGAGCATTAGTTGAGTGCAGGTGATTGGGGTGATCAGTGGGTGAGCATGGCCTTGCGAAACCTGTCACGGGCTCGGAATAGTAGATAATAACGAACTGAATTCCTATCTAGACTATTGTAGCCATCGACGAGAATATCGAATCTGGAGAAGAAAAGAGAAGAGGAAATCTATCTAGGTAATGAAGGGGTTTTATAGAGGTTGTTGCCGACATGGTTGAGTAGCAGCATTTGTGATGTATCATTCATTGCTGCAGTGTTGAGCCGTCATATATGAGCCGTCATATATGAACCGTCATATATGAGTCGTCACAGTAACACCATTGTGCTAGAAGCGGCCATATGCTGCAAGCGGCCACGAATCCATAGAATGGATAAAAGCCCCTCATTCCATAGATAGATTCCCCTTCTTACTTCCTTCCTCTCCAGATTCGATATTCTCGTAAAACACTAGTTTAAATAGGAATATCAATTCATTATTCTCCACTAGCCCAAGTTCATGACGCAAGCGACTTAGGGAGCTGGAGATTTTGAGTGGATAAATCATAATATGACCCACATAGTATCCTGTATCCCACGTAGTATTCCATATCTCATGTAGTATCTCCTAATCTCTCTTAATCCTAAGGGTGGGGAGGGTCATCCACATGGGTGACCCTAAGGACCCTCACATGCTGAAGAGCCGCAGGAGGCCAATACTTAGCAGTCAAAATCACTTAATTTGGCCATCCAATAACTAGTATATTTGGTATTATTCAAAGGGTAAAAGTAAGGATTTAGTGGCAAGAGAGGTGAATGGGCCATAAATCACTGAAGCTGACCTGTAACTTCAAAGATATCCTTCCAAAAAATATTCCAATAGCCGCTCGTGAATACATCTGTTAAATATATATATTTTCATCGGCGCTATGTGCATGGTTTTCAACAGCTTTCATAGTTCACCCTTTTCGGCAGAATCACTCAGGAAGCTATTTGTTTACTTTGCATTATTTATACCTTCACGTGGCTCTTCAAGATAAATACCTTTGAATGAAGTAATGTCCTCTTCTCTTTTTCCTAGTTTAGATGTTCATCGAGTACATTCCTTCTACAGGAACTAGCTATCATAATACTATATCCAAGGACTAATGTATATTGACTATGTAATGGTAACTTACATATTATCACTTATAATTAATATAATCTTAAAAATTTTGATCAGAAGTAATATAAATCAGAGAGATTTTGTAGGAAGCTATTATGTGAATTGATTCTAGGGCTCATACAATACCTATCATCCGAAGTAGCAGAACAGGAGTAACGTGTTACGGTGTAAATAACAGGTCTGTATTAAGATTAATCATCATTTTTATGCATCCAAATCGGGTAAAGCGTGGGAATTTTTATGAAAATGAGGGTCGACGAGGGTCCTTGAGGGTCACCCACACGAGGTCTGGCGAGGGTCGAGGGTCGGGTGAGGGTCGCGAGTTTTATACCCGCCCCTCGCGAGGGTCGGGTGGAGGGTCCAAAGGTTGGACCCTCATGAGGGTCTGGGCGAGGTCTAATAGCGGTGGACATCGTGCGATCCGGAGATGAAACACAAATACTTTATTTAGAAGCTAGAATCTGCGATAATCAAATGGACATTGTTGACAGGTAGAATGAGAGAGAGCATGTGCGAATTGCTTATATACAAGTTCGACGAGCCCTGTCTCAATGATCCAAAGACCGCGGGTTCTCTCGTACGCAGTGAAGTCGGCGAGGTGAGTTAGAGTTCATCATGGGACATGTCATTAGAAGGCGCAAACATTTCATGTGATGTGGAGTATGTCAACGGAAACGCCTTTCAGAGAGAAATCCGACCCTAAACTGCGTTTGTCGGGATTTATTGATAACTAACAGAATCTATAGCATGCGACGTAAGGCCGCGACTTCCCGGCCACTTCACTACGAGATAAGTTATACGCAGTGGTCTCTTCCCGAACCACTACATCACCCAGTGTCGGAATCAAACTTATTGGTCAACAAAGCCGAAGTGACCACAGAAGTGATTTTACGCATAATCTACACACCCCTAGAGTGATAGACCAACAGAGGACGAGATCAGTTACCCTCGGCATTTGAAATGGCCTTGGCAACCTCACCAACTCACTCATATGTGCATATTGTCCGACACTGCATCATTGGAGAAATGATGGGAACTGCAGAGGATCTAAATAACATGCTCACCGCCAGTGTATCCCATATTCCCCTTCACCGAGCGCGAATTGCCCGCAAGTCGTGCAACGCGAGACCAGACCTGGCCCGGCCTGGGCATGCTTTGTTCAGACCCAGTGGCCCATACAGGACATTTTGGTAGGTGGAGAATGGTTGATTGGTTGGTGGCTTATCGGCTAAGCTAACTATATACAGCGGATGCAATAAGTGTCCGCACCCCCCTCTTCTGCCAATATTGACCGCTTATATATTGCCGCTAATATACATCTAATATACATACTACTCTATACATACTACTAGTCTACTACAGAGTACGAGGCTCACCATTGGTCGTGCGACAACAAATCAACCGCTAACAATCATATTGCAATAAAAGTTAGTACATACGACCACAGGGTGTGGAAAACAGGGCTTCCCGTCCGCTCAGCCGTACTTAAGCCACACGCCGGCCGGTTAGTAGTTGGGTGGGTGACCACCAGCGAATCCCGGCTGTTGTATGTTTTTTTGGTATATTTTTTATGCTCATGTGAGCAAGCACTTCCAAGCAATTGTTTTTGCCATTTTCTCGTTGCCGCTAAGAGTGATTGATTGCCAGGTGGCATTCTATCACTTGACAGTCACCCTTTTAAGTTTTTTTTGCCTCGTGTCTCGAAAAACAGATCGAATGTTTAAATTAATTTAGGGAATATATATATATATATATATATATATATAGCCGCAAACTTGCCGAGTCTCGAGGATTTACCGCAGGCTATCAACGTGAGACAGTAGAGCAAGACAATGAAACAGGAACCCTTTCCGATCATGGGATGACCGCTTCGAGAGCAGTGTGTAGCAGCTGAGGCGAAATAGTGGTATGTCACCATTTGACCCAGAGGAGAGAAATGCTGTTTCTTCAATTTACAGTCGATGCTCTCTTTCAGACCCGAGAATTGACCTACAGTCAAGCAAGTTCTCGGGTCTGAATGGATGTTAAAATGGGCTCTACCTCATTATTAGTCCAATCGATATACAGGTAGACAATGAAATTCTGCTCAGTTAGATGGGTGCGCCATGTACTTTACCCTGTCCAGGATCGCTTCGATGCGAAGACCGGATGTGTAAATCTAGAGTATAGATGATAGTGGGCAATGGAACTATCGGCTCTCCGCTTAATACATTAGCACAAAGGCTGGCTGGGGTTAACTTGACGTCCTCGTTGAGTAGAATACTGCTTTTTTTTTTTTTTTTTTCAAAACACCAGTTGATGGTGGTTCGGCTGCCTCACTAACCTTGCTAAAATAGAATGTTAATATACTGTCCACAGATACTGGTACTTCATCCTGAACAAATCTTTTTAACCCTTTGCCCCAGTCTTGCTGTCATAGATTAGGTCAGGATAGGCAAGCGCTAATGATAGCGAGGATTCTATGAAACAATATGAAGTCTATCAAGATTATTCCTCAGATTCCTCAGCATGATAAGAATTCTAGAGTGCTACTGAGAGAAGACGATGATGGAAAGCAATGGGTATCATTGTGTAAAACTTTCTTGTAAGATGAATGGTGGGATCATCAAAAGGACGTTGAATCAGGAGAGAGAGATGAGACGAGTGGAGATCACCAATCACTGGAGTGCCTGGAGTATATTATCTACAAAAAGCATGAATAGGGCTTTGTCAAAAAACATTATAATGCAGGCCATGGCTTTTCATCGAGTCCTTCGATTTTCCGGCAACTCATTGACAGGAATATTTTCCAGCTCCGCCAGATAACCTTGACCGTCCAACTCTCTCGGTTTGCCTGAAGACAGAACAGGGCCCGATTGTATCGCTGGTGCTTCTTTGATGGGCAATTCCTCTTGAGAGAGTTGCTTCTGTGATGAACGACGCATGAAATACCAAAGCAAGGCAAGAATGACTGCTAACCCAGCAACACCACCAACTACGCCACCTGCGATAGCGCCCGAATTTGAAGTAGAAGGGCAAGTTGGCTTATCGGCATCTAGTTATATCAGAAGTGGCCTCATACCAAGTAAACAGGATATGAATCTTACCAGTAATAACTCTCGGCTGCCACAACAAATTAGAATTGTCAGGAACATAGGAATCCTCACACCCAACTCCATTCCCATCGCCAGCAAGATACCCATCTGTCCCCGGCAAACAACAGAAATACCCACTGTCCTTGGTGTTTCGGAAAAGAGCCCAGCTTTCGTTGGCACAGTGTGGTGAGTTTTTGATTTCCTGTGTACAGCTATCGGTCCCCGGACAACATGCGCCTGAACTTTCAACACTGGGCTTGGGACAGCATCGGCGGAACCCGTCCACTGTTGTATTATTGCCTGATTCATTTTCAAGGCAGAAGCCTTTTCTGCGTAGTGCGAACCCGTAGGGTGGACCAAGGCCAGCCATGACGCTGAAGGAAAATAATCAAAAGTGAATTAAGTGGAGTAGAAGACATGCACCATGTATATTAACTAGCAGGGGGGAACATAGGACAGAAAGAGTAATGATGAAAGTTTGGAAACTTCCGGATTTTAAAGGCCAGTAGAAGCGAGAAAAGCAAAGAAGGGATCCTGGTGAAGTTGAGGAGAGTCATTTACTAATAATGGACTTTGTGTTCGGGCTTACATCGGCAAATATCACTCACTTCCATGTCGATCTGTTGCACTTGATATAGAACACGAGAAAAGTCAACAGCTTAGTGCACAACTTGAGCTAGTTGGGGGGCTGGTCTGCGCACCTGGTTGGCAAGCCGCCTTTGCATTGTATACGAGGTCGACCTCAGTATTTTTGCTTTGCGGGCCCACAGCAAGCTTTGAATGCCAAAGAAGGCTACCATACGAGTAAGCAAGATATCCTAACGTTATTTCTGCCTACAGTCTGGTCACGCTGGTTTGTATGTCGCGAAGACTGTGACGGCTCAGCGCCTCAACGTCGCCTCAGTGGCTGATATCGACAAACGCCACCATGCAAGCAAACAAAGAAAGCACTTGGCGCGGTCACAGATTATAGATAAAAACCCCTTTTCTTCCTGTAGATGGAGTCCTTTTCTTCTTTTCTCTCCAGATTCGATATTATTGTCGATGGTTACACTGCGGTTTCCGAGCAGCAAGTGTGTGGGTGTTCTGATTGGGTATCAGCTTGCTGGGCGGCTCCTTCGCTCAGATAGGCAGGTTCTTGGGGTTAAGCTTGTGGTTGGTCCCTCCAGTCAACCGGGTGGGGTGCCGAGAATTGGATAATTAGTAGGGTTTACATGGGTATAACTACTGTCGCTAGGCGAGGGCGGTCTGACACACGGCCCGCCGGGTACTAATAAGCGGGCCGGCGCCGTGAAGCAGTTATCCACCGTGCAAATTTGGTCTCAATTAGCATCGGAAATTTTTATTATCATCTGTGTCATGGCCTCAAAATAGTAGATATTAGCGATACTTCTATTACTGCTGTGCAGGCCGAAAGGCAGCAGCTTACCCATGGGGCCACCGGTCAGCGTCAGAGATCCTCAGCACTAAGGCAGGGGAGCTGCCACCTTCTCAGCTTGGCTAGAAAAGTCCCAGTTCTATACAGGCATCTGCCAGGGTCATTAGTATATCAAATTGATCATGCAGGGACCTCCAGGCTTACCACTAGTTCCCGCCACGGCTCTCTATTCTCCCCTTTTCCTTCTTTTAATTCTCTTTCAGCCCCAAACTCAATTTGCTGTCTGACAGCCTTGGAAACCCAAGCAGCTCTCGCGCAGGGGCTACCTATTGTCAAGAGCCGTAGCCCAGCTACTTATAACTAGATGTAGCGTACAAAAGAATTCGTTGAAGAAGAAATGTGTACGGAGCGGCGGCCATCTGAGAAGATTGATAGAGATTGATCGAATAAATGGTTGGCCCGAGTAGCGAGGCGAGGAGATTCTTATAGTCGACGTGTGCACATTTATTGTAGATTAAGCACTCAATCAGCTGTGTATGCGCATGTACGTTCGTTAGGCAATATGCATCTTTCGTCAAGTTAGTCCTCTCCATATAGACCTCGTTAGTCCGGAATAATCGACTCCCGATTTCCCTTTTGGGCTACGATCCAAGAGACCCTGCTTCAATATCTATCTGTGCCTGGCACTGGTCTTATTGCAGCTCTTCGAGCTCTATCCAAAACGGCATCTTTAATTGAGGGAAACAAAACATTAACCAGACAGCATCAGAGCGAGAGGTTTCAGCAGAAATGTCATCTTCTCATACACCGAAAAGACAATCCCGCCACTCAGTAATAGCCTACCCAGTCGCATCGAACTGCCCTTCCACAATCCCCGAACTCCATAGTCATGCACCACGCCCTGGACGGCCTTGGCAAGCCCTGCTCCCTGGACCCCTTGCGCCCGCGTCTTGATCGTGTCAAAAGGCTGTGTCGCATACACGGTGACAAATCCTGCCAGGGCTCCCATGCCAAAGGTAGTGAAAACAGTCGGTGGAATGTCTTGTGCTCTGGCCACTTCTTTGAGGATATTGTACGTTCCCATTCTGACGGCAGATGTGGCTGACTGCTTCAGTGTGGTGGACACCAGGCCCCGGTACAGCTCGCGCAAACCGTGAGTTCGAACTAACACCTGTGTCGCGTGCAGACTCGACCGGAACTGCTTTGCATTTTTGGCATCGTCGATTCTTCATACCGTCCGGTCAGCGGACGGCTTCCATAGCCTGTAGGAAATATAGGGATCACAAACAATGCTGTCTTTATTCTTTCAGTCGGCGTTACAGCTAGCACGCTTTCTGTGGCCCCTGCGACAACACCGGCCAGAATGCCCCGTGCTGGCGAGAGAGATCCACGCTCATCAGATAAGAGGTTTCTGATGGTGTCATAAGAGGCGAATCGTACTGCCGCCTTGGCAGTTGTGCCCTGGAGAGTAATCAGACCTTCCCAATAAGTCAAGCAACATCGTCAGCTACGCACAATAATCAGCGTGGAGCATCCTGTATATAAAGCACCGACACCTTCCTGTTGCGCAACCGTGAAGATGAGTCGTAGTGGGTTGGAAGTGGTAGCCGTGCCAGTCGTCAAGAGCTGCACGCGGGTCTTGGCATATTCAAATGGATACTATGGCCATGGTCATGATTAGTTCTGAATCAGCCATGCTGCGATGATCGACTGGACATGCCGTGACAGCAGCTTCCACGCCCCCGGCCACTCCCCCGGCAATCAGAGAGACCCACTGCGGAGTGTATTGCTGAACAAGGGTTAACTTCCTAGTCGCTGGGAGGGGAGGGGTGACTGACTTTCTGTGGCTTTTTTGCGACAAGGGTAGTCATCGTAGCAAAACTGGTAGTGATTGAGTGGTCCAATCCATGGCCCGTCTTTGTTCGCAACCCCGACTTATAGCGGGCCATGTGGGGTTGGCCGACGGAGGGTACTTGCCGCGGATCGAATCCTTCCGTGTGAACGGGGTAAAGTTGACATATTTTCCTCTCCACGCCCTTTCCCCGGAGCATCATACCCCATCTTTAAGCCATGGAAGACAGATTCCCGTCCCGTGCTCGGAGAGCTGCCAAAGCTTGTAGCTTTTGTCGGCGAAGAAAGGTGAGTGAGGTCCGCTCCCCGCTGTACTGCCATACCACTCATCCTCTCGAATAGTTGCGCTGCGACGAAAAGCCAAAATGCTCCAACTGTGAGGGATATGGCAAGGAATGTGTATACATGGCCGACCCTCCACGACCCCGGTATTCCCTATTTCATACATCGTTTCAAAAAGCAAATGAATTGACCCTCCTAGGCCATCCAAAGCCCGGATTGCTCACTTGGTCGCAGAAAATGAGCAACTTCGGGAGAGACTCAGACAGGGAAGTGCTAAACCTGTGCAAGAAGGCACGGGGCAAGAACTGCAGGGGAACCCCGATGGAGATCTCCATCAGCTGTCCGAACCCGGAAAGACGGGTCATTCTCAGTCCGTAGTTTCCGGCATTTTTATCTCCGCCAACGGAGACTCCAGCTACCATGGACTCACCAGTACCCTGTTTGACGATGCCCGTATGGGCCGCCATGACTCAGCCGAACTTGCTGATCCTGCTATTCCTGTGGAGCCCATTCGGAAACAGCTGATGGGAGAGGCTGCTTTTCAACGTAAGTAAAGATTCCCCCTTCCCAAACTTGCATGCACCTATCTATGGAAGACAATCTCATGATAAGATAGGACAGCTAGAAACGTTGAACTTTCAGCAAGGGAAGTTGGACTTTGACGGCGTAGACCCTGAGCTGGGAATGCACCTGTTGTCCCTGCATTGGAACCGTCAACACCACTCCTTCTTGATAACCTATCGCCCTGCTTTCATGCGTGATATGGCAACCAACGGGCCTTACTTTTCAAAGCTCCTTCTGAACGCGATATACTTTGGGGCATCCAAGTTCAGCAATCGGTCCGAAGTGCGTAGAGACCCTGACGACGCCCGCACCGCTGGGTGGACCTTTCGCATGAGGGTCAAGGAGCTGCTGGGGAGTGCCTTGGATCGTAGTGAGGTCACCACCATCCAGGCGCTTCTGGTCATGACGAGCTCTCTGTTCGCTCTGGGGGATGAACGTAGCGCGGCCTGGCTATATGCCGGCACGGCCTTTCGAATGATCATTGACCTGGGCATGCATGTGGATGCTACGATGCTCCCTAGTATGCGCCGTCTCTCGCGAGAGGATCTTGAGATCCGACGGCGTGTATTTTGGGGGGCTTTTGTGGTGGACAAGATCCAGTCCTTATATCAAGGACGACCAGCTAGTCTCCAGCACTTCGATACCAAAGTTTTGTTGTCTTTCCTGGACCATTATGAAGAGCTGGAGCCCTGGCAGCCTTTTGCATATTCAGACGTGCTGTCATACCCGGGATCACCCGCCTACAGTGTGTCGACATTTATGCAGCTCAGTAAACTGTCGCTGGTTTTAAATGAGATCTTAAACAAGGTTTACTCGGAACGAAGCTCAAACCGGTCGCCTCACAATCTCACCGCCACACTCAATAGACTCGATGTGCAGTTGAAAACCTGGTATGAAGCCCTTCCAGACCACTTGCGATACACCAACAGTACCACGGGGGTAGTTCCGCCACCACACGTTCTCTCGCTACTAGCTTTGTACAATGTTTTGGTTATTCTGCTTCACCGGCCGTTTGTGTCCGAAGGACATCTTCACACTGCCGACCCATCGGTGGCCCTAAGCTCCTTCACCACCTGCACGGCGGCCGCTTCCAGCATCATTCAATTGCTCCAAGCCTACGACCACACCTTCTCCATTCGACGAGCGCCGTACCTGATCTCATACGCCACATATGTAGCGGCGACAATATTCGTGCGAGTTGCGGCCCAACGGGAGGGCGTCAGTCGGGCCCACACCAACCTCCAGAGCTGCCTCGACATATTTAAGAAGAACCAAGAGACCAACTGGGCCGTGCGACGAGCCCAAAACGTAATTCTACATTTAATGGACCGGATGGGTGTTCACTTAAATGGCCGCACCGCTATCGTCGATGACCGTCCTGGCAGTATGGAAGATCGATCAAATAACCTGACGATCTCAGCTGGAAGACCATTAGTATCGGCGCCTGCGGTCAGCCACGAGTCCCCACCAGAGATAGAACCGTCCGAGCTGGATATTGACATGATCATTCAAAGCTTCATGCGAACGCAGCCTAGACCCGCAGAAGGGCCTCTGTGCGAACATCTGGAGTTCTCATTTGGATCTACTGTGACTGATTCAACCAATCAGAGTTCTTTGGCTCCAGCAGTCATGCCGTATGAGGAGACGTACTCTTATCCACAATTAGATGATATGTTGTTTGGTTTCAACGGATCTCCACAGGATAATGCATTCAGTGATGATTAACCTGCATTCCGCTTTTGTATGAGTGATCTTGACCTGTACACTACATTATACCATCGTTATCCTTTTCTCTGTTCCAAGCGATGAACGTCAATCGGAACTCCCCGTATCAAACGAACTCCAGCCTATATTAACAGCTGCATGCATCCTACATAAGTTGTTCCAGTGTATCATGCTTTGGCCCACACAAACCCAGGAATCCCCCCACGTCTAAGCTCTATAAAACACACTACCCTCGAACAGCCGCCGAGCCGTCCGAAACACCGCCACTCGATCAACATCAATATCGCCCTTCCAGTCCATCCCCAGGATTGTCTCCGCATGGATGACCCCAGCCGGATGGCGAATACCGACCGGCACAGCGCCAGCAATCTGGTAACCTCCGATCGACATTCCGTGCTTTGACAGGTTATCCCCACCTTCCTTCGCATGGGCCAAGTCCCACGCAATGGTGCCATGAATGACCGTTGCCGCACCAAGACATACTGCCCCCGTCAACTGTAGACTTGCATGGGGTTTGCCCATAGTAAATGCCCTCACCTCGATATCGACACCGTCCGCATCTCCCCTTGCCCGAGACAAAAGGGCAACTTTTGGGGTACTGCGCACCAGGCCCGCAGCCTGCACATCTGCAGCAAGACCAAACCGCACAGCCCCATGCCTCCGAATATCCTCAATCAGTGCCAGAAGCTCCGGATCTGCAGAATCCGCCAGTCTAGAGTCTACAGGCAAAGACGCTACATCAATTAAAACAAACGGATTCGCAGCATCGACAAGACTAACTCGCACGGCGAATGGGCCAAACCCCCGGGATTGCACCGTCAATGTCTCCTGACGCAATCCGCTCGGAAACATGCGTCCTGTCATACTACCGCCTGGGTTGAGGAACGCAATTCTGACAGGACTAGCCGTGCCCTCGACCCCTGGAATCGCATACTTGCCGCCCTCTTGGAACGAGCCGTCAGCCGCGACCTGGACCGTTTCCACAAGAGCTTGACCGGTGTTGGTATTGTAAATCCTGATATCAATCTGGAAAAATCAGCTTCTTCCCGATCCCGAAGGTCAATAAGTCTGAACAAACCTCCTTCTTCCCATCAGGGGCACAGACAAGACCCTCATCGAGCGCAAATGGCCCAACCCCCGAGGCAATGTTGCCACAATTCCCCGTCAAATCGACCCGTGGCTGATCGGGCGCCACCTGCACAAAGGTATACTCGACATCGACGCCGGGACGACTCGACCGTTCCACAACGGCCACCTTGGACGTTGTCGAAGACGCACCGCCTACTCCGTCAATCTGCCGAGAGCTTTCCTTAGTGGACCCCATCGCGGACAGCAGGATTGGTTCCCAGTGTGCCGCTGATGCGGGGAGATGGTGACGATGGAAAAAGAGCCCTTTAGATGTTCCGGCGCGCATCCATACTGCTGGGAGGGATTTCCGTACTGGTACCTCGGGCGTGTATTTGAGTATCTGTAAGATGGGTATAGATTCAGCCCGGGAAATGGAGTATGTCTGTGTCATGATTGCCTGGAGGAGATAAGGAGTCTCGCATGGATATTCAAACACTGGTGGCCAGCAGCTAGGTGAATCAGGGATTGGCCATTGGCTTGTTTACGTGCCGAGTCGTGCTGTCATCCTGTCATCCTTTTTATATATAATTTATCATTTGGCCTAGTAGCTACTGTAGAATTATGGGTAGTTTAGTGCCATGCGATGGAAGACATTGTAGCCACTCACCGATTCCTTCCCTTAGGTCCTGTTCCGCGGCATGTTGCGTTCCGTCCGTCCATCCGAACACCAATCCACCCACTCTACTCACTTCACTGCCCACTGGAATGGCTATGGGGTTAATCAACTTCCGTGGAACGTATCGTTCCACCGATGTCCGGGATTGGCAAGGGGACGAAGAAGTCATGAAGTGGGCTGCATCATTCAACAGACCTGCTGTGGTTTTATTGGGTAGGCGCTTAGGGAATACATGATCTCATGGCCCTGCATAGCTAAGTATTTATTAGCTACGATGTTGAAGTATCCGCCGCGCGGGTGTCTCCTCGGATGAAATCGCAATTCTGGACCGAGTGACGATACTATACTGGACCTGACACTACGTCGAATTGGTGGTACTACAGGAGTGGTATTTCCCGTTTTGTGGACCTCTGGTCTATTCTTTTTCAAGTTATAGCAAGGGTTGTTTGTATAATAGTGGTCTTCAATTTATGCGTCCTAAAAGGTGGCATTCGACATATTTGTATTTCGGGCAGATTATGTTCGTGTAGGAACTTCATTTCTGAACCAAATATAATGGAAGTCTACCTGGTTATCCAATGTAAATAACATTATTTGCACGGATATGGCACTATAAACGCAATTTGGAAGACAATAAAAAGAAATTCAAGCACGTTCCTTCTGCTCGACAGTCACCTTCTCCTCCGCCCTTTGCACATCCACGTTTGTCACGTCCCCCTGCGGAAGCTTTCTCGCCATTGCCACAATATGCCGCGGAGAAGGGGCGTCGCGGAACACGTGGTTCAAGGCCTCGAGGTTGCGACCCATTGTCTCGGGGTAGAACAAATACACGGTTACAGGGATGCACGCCGAAACGACGGCATAGACAATGTAGTATCTCCATCCAATTGTGTCGAGCGCAACTGGCGTGATCATCACCACGATAAAATTCCAAAGCCACTTGTTTGCAGTCGATGCAGACGACATGGCGACACGCAAACGCATGGGTGCGACTTCGGTGCAGTAGAGAAAGTTTGCACCGGAGAAGCCAATGGGATAGAACATGTTGAAGAGCCAAATGAAGACGACGGAGACGATTGATAGTCTCTTGCTGGCGTCGCCGAAGCTGGTTGTGATGGCCAACACCACCATACAGAGACACATGCCGGCCCCGCTGAACATGAAGACCTTGCGCCGGCCGAGGCGGTCAATCGCGAAGAAAGGAATGAAGTTGCAGACGAATTTCCATGTCAATGCGCTGGCGCCTAAAATCCGGGACAGCTCTGCGTCCAGATTGAGGTTCTCCTCGAAGATGGTCGAAATGTAGGTGGAGATCAGGTTGCCCCCACACATCTGCTGGAAGAATTGAATGACGAGGCAGAGGGCAAACCGGTACAGGAGACGTTCCTCATCATCCCCCAGAAACAGCTCTCGCAATGTGAGGCTCTTGGACCGCGCCGTGAGCTCCAGCGATGACTCTATGCTGGCAATTTCCGTCTGCACCACTTCGTCGGCGACTGGGAGACCTCTGTACGCTGCCAGGCTCCGCATTGCTTCGTCCGTCCTGGATACAAAGACCAGCCACCGTGGTGATTCGGGAAGCAAAAACACCGATCCGAGAATGGTCAGGGGGAAAAAGAAAGATAATGCCAATGGGACACGCCACTGCATCTCACCGGTCGTCTTGCTGAAGCCGTAATCAATCCAATTGGTGAGCACGAAGCCCAGCACCATGCAGATTCCATCGACCACCACGTGTTGTCCACGATTCTTTGCGGAACTGCACTCGGCTTGCCACACCGGAACAGTCGCACTTAGTTGCCCGACTCCGATGCCAATGAGGACTCGACCTAGGGTAAACTGAATAATTCCGTAGGAAGATGTCTGCAACAGCTCTCCAATGATAGTAATGATAGTCGCCATGAAGATGGTCTTGCGCCGACCAAGAAGGTCACCAAAGTAGACACATGAGAGCGCTCCCACGAGGGCTCCCAGTTGAAGAGACGCAATGACTGCACCTTTCCTTGTCGAGTTTCTCTCCTTGATAGCACCCTCGGTGTTGACGGTGTCAATCTCCGGAAACGTGCTGACCCTGGTGAGTTGGTCAGCCTCATCCATATATCGAATGTTTATTTGTTGGGAGTGGCTAACCATGAATGCAAAGTGGCAAGCGGTGCTACACCAGCTTGATTGTATCCGTAGGTGATGAATGCGGGTGCTACTGTGAGAAGCACCTGCGCGAGACGAAGCGACTTTCCACGAAGCATGGTGATTCCAGGGAAGGTTACAGGCAAACTACGATGTCGATCTGATTGACCCCAGGGACTATTGCTGTTTATACCTTTGCCAACTCAGCCTAAAAATCTGGGGACCCCGCATTATGCCTTGACCATAATTCAAGGCTGGAGAATATGGACTTGGGCTAAGGAATTCTAGCGCAACAGTTGCGGACAATTCCAGTCCTCCTACCCCAGATTCTATCCATTTGCTGGGGATCAAGGAATCGTGTTTTGGACGTGTGGGGCTTTTGACCTTCCGTGGAATGGAAGATCCCGCGGCCCCAAATGCATAAAATCTCTCCCGGCTTGGATGATGATTTCCATCGTATCTTGGGAGATGATGATTCCAACTCCTTCGCGAGTGCCTTCCACCCTCCCGTCATCTTATCATATCTCCCTAAAATGAGACAATGCGATATTTTAATAGGTCTTTGCTTTGTATATCGAGTATACCTCGCCCTCACCCGCGGGTAATCTGCGGTGATTAAACAAGACACACAGTAGAATCCCATGGCCTACATAATCCATGCAGATTTAGTTGCAATTTTGAATAATTCATTTACAGTCACATCATAACAAATTCACTATAGATAGAATCTTTCTGTTTTTATAATTAACCAGATGAAAAAACTTTGTTTTTAGATCAAGACTAGCTACACAACTATTCTTATATAACCTCATATCCCTCAAGAAGTCTTGAACGTAACGGCTCAGCCCAGTGCCTTCATCAGCAAACATCATCAACACGGCAAACAATACCATGGAAGCAATCAAGACAAACAAGCTGCTTAACGAGACCACACACAACCATATTGGACTTCTTCATGTAAATAGACTTGCCTCTATTTCCCTTTTCTTCTCCAGATTCGATATTCTCGTCGATGGCTACTAGTTGGTTTAGATAGGAATATCGATTCTTTAATATCTTCTAGCTATTGAGCCCGTGACATTTCCGAACTCTCCCTGGCATGCGCTGTTGTGTGTCAGGAGTGGAAGAGTAGACTCGTCATCTTCATTTTCATGGCCCCTCTCGGACATAGGTGCAATACTCCTTTGCTGCTTCCCCTGGCTTTTCCCACTTGGGACTTGACCAATTTGCTATGTCTGGATAGAATCTCCCTTGTCGCCTTTCTCGTTATCATTAATCGGATCAAATTCTCTTGCCTGGATATCCTTTTCCTTCCGTCTTTTTCTCAATGCAGTTAGTTCACGGGCTCCATATTGTATATATAGCCCTTGTTGGTTGATGGTTTTCTCAATAAGAGAAAGTTTCCTATTGGAAGATCTCTGCAGCTATAAATACCTTAAATATAGCTGGATAATAGATTGCTTTTTGTTTGAGATCAGCACATACGACCATAGGGTGTGGAGAACAGGGCTTCCCGTCCGCTCAGCCGTACTTAAGCCACACGCCGGCCGGTTAGTAGTTGGGTGGGTGACCACCAGCGAATCCCGGCTGTTGTATGTTTTTTATGTTATTTTTTATGCCTTGCTTATTCGCACAGCGAGTGAGGCATACACAGCTAGGACCTAGCGTTCTTGTTCCATCGTACTAGATCTTCTCATGGAAATTCCTGGCGCGCAACGAACATAGACACGGAGATGATGTGATTTTACAAGATTTTTGCCTTTATTTCTAAGGTTCTAGTTCAGTGCGCAATCGAGGTGACATTCGTGATGTGTGAAACATTTTTTCCTGAATCTATCGTGAAATTGAAGATTTAAGGTGCGGAAGAATGCAGGACCTGGCTTATTTGGCTGCGGTAATCTCACCAGAACTTGAGTCGGCTGAATGACAACTTCAATACGGCTTTTTTTTTTTTTCTCATTCGGACGCCCCATGGAAAAAGGTGAGAGGTATCTTTGACCAAAATCCCACATTAATACCAAATCGGGCTGAAAACAGAGATCAAACACTTGCGATTATCGTTTAGAGAGTATTTACTACCTTCCGTTTACATCGATTTTCCGAATCCGCTTTGGTATATCAACTTACCGAAGATGGCCGAAGATTATTCGGATATCGAGACAAAGTAGGATCACGCTCTAGCCGGAGCGGTGCGTAACCCCAACCCCGGCGCTCAAGACTCTCTCATCTTACTACAACAAAGGGCTACCGTGCTAAGATAAACTATATTATAACAACCAGAGGGTTTCAAACAATATTCACCAATAGTGGTGGACCAGATGGCCTGGTTGAAACCATGGAATCACTGTTAAATAAGGTTATTGAAACAGTAATGCAACATTCAGGAATATAAGGATTCAGAGAACCAACCTTTCATGATGCAATCATTAGTTCATGGATTACATGCAATATTTTTCTATCTTTTCTTCAAACAGAAATGGGGCAAATGATCAGAAGTTTGCTACATGCAAGATCAGCTCTTGCTATCTATGAAGCACCATGATCCATAATAATAGTCAAGCACTACGATTCGCGGCTGATGGTACATTCAAAATCTCAGTCTTCTCGGATCTACACTATGGTGAATGTTAGCATAAACAGACCACATCCATATACACAATAAAAAGGCCTTCTAACAACGGAATTTATAGCTCAAGCTTCAGTCGGCCCAGAAAATGATGCTCGGACCGGCAATGTCATGAACACCATTCTCTCTATTGAAAAACCACAGCTTGTTGTGTTGAATGGAGACCTAGTAACCGGCGACGCGACCAGTCGGTCTAATTCAAGCGCATATGTCGACCGTGTTTTGACCCCACTCGTCGAGAATAATGTCTCATGGGCTTCCACATACGGGAATCACGATAGTGCTACGAACTTATGCGCAGATGATGTCTTTAGAAGGGAAAGATTTCACCAGAACTGTTTCACGCAGAGTATGGTTTCTGATCCTGCAGCTGGGCTCACAAACTACTTCCTCCCTGTTTTCCCTCACAACTCGACAGCAGCAGAAGTACCGGAAGTAATCTTGTGGTTCTTCGATACTAGGGGTGGAAGCGTGTGTTCCGAAAGTGAGGATGAATCTGACCGTATGCCAGATTGGGTCCATCAATCAGTAAGTCAGTCCTCTGCTACCTATGCAATTTGCAGAGTTGACTACTTCCGGGTCTTGGTCATGGCTTATTAACTATCGAAGGTGACTAAGTGGTTTATAAAATCTCACTCACAGTTGATGGCGGAATACGGGAAGGCAGTACCATCACTTGCCTTTTTCCACATTCCCACATATGCGCTACGAGCTTTCCAGGAGACTGGTATAAGCAACTACACCGAACCGGGGATTAACGACGAAATACCAGTCAAGCAGCAAGGATATTTCTGGGATGATGATGATTATATGGGGCAAGATGCTCCCTTCATGGATGCCTTACTGCGTACAGAAGAAATGGTTGCTACATTCAGCGGTCATGACCATGGGAATGATTGGTAAAAGAAAAAAACCTACCCTTTTTTCCCAGTTTTGCTTTATGAGCAGATCCTATCAATTGAAATCGTGAATAACCGTTAACAATCGTCGTTTTAGGTGTTTCAATTGGAATGGGAAACTACCCAATATGGACCTGGAAGGGAACGGACTGAAAATGTGTTACGGCCGACGAACAGGGTATGGGGGATATGGAGATTGGGCTCGCGGTGGACGTCAGATAGTATTACGGCAAAACGTCAGCGAAACACCCATTGAGACTTGGATACGATTAGAGGATAAAACAGCTGGTGCACGGGTAACTCTCAACTCGACCTATGGACAAGATCAATATGTACAGGAACGATATGCGCAGGAAAGCCAAGGAAGGAAGAGCTTTTCATCGATGAAATCCTTGATATATGTCCACCTATTTGTGTATTTCTTCATCGGCTTAACACAGACATGAATAGTATAAATGCCTACGAGTGGGGGCACAATATTTCTACAATGAAATTTATCTATGCTGACTGTGGTCATCTTTACGAGAAAAACTACTTTCGGTTATTGGCAGAAATATCTTGATTTGGCCTTTATTCCAAAATAGCAAGCCCAATATTTGAACTGATTATGAGACGAAAGAACTAGAAAAGTGTTCACCAGCTTCTGACTTCCACTAGCTCAAGACCAGCGAGTGACAATACTAAATCATATCTGTTTATATTGACTGCTGCTATTCAGAGCCTAATTTATTAGTAGCTAACTTGAACTAAAAGATCCCCATAATAAATGAAGACCGGATCCTTGCAGCGGAATGTGCCTAGACCAGGGACCACAAATTTCGCAGCATTGTTAAGGTTGCTCTTAAGTCTGTCCATAATCAGTTACAGGTGTGCTGTTTTCATTGACTCCTTGAGTTCATCCTGAAGCGTCGTCTGTCGTTACTTTACATCTTCTCTGGTGAAATAATGTCCATCCCTTTCAAAATAGATCTCATCACTGTTGACCTTGAACTTGCCAAGAATAGCCTCGCTAGCATGTTCGTTCACGGCTTGCATTTCCGACGGTCTAGAGACATTCCTGAACGGCGTCGCTCCCCGACAGGAGGTAATCTATAATGTTGTTGTACAGGTCAACATTGACATTTTGAAAACGAGCGTCTCTGTTGTCCAGGGTGGCAAGACTTTCCAATTTGCCAGTTTGCTGCGAGGATTCATGCTATATCACCAACAGAAGAACATGCTGAGCCGACTCCGTTAACTCAATGGATGATCAAATTGCGGAACCACAAAAAGCTGGATTTAACTAGATTGAGCGGGGTGGATCTGCGTTAGTCTAGAAATGCTCGGTTTGTTAATAAGATGGTATCCACAGGTTAGGATGGGGCATACGTTGTAATAGATCGCAATGATTATTTGGCTAAATTCAAAATTTTTTAAACCTTGATTGATTTCATAGTTGCTTCGAAGCATATAAAATGTAGGTAGACCCTCGGAGTAGAAGCAGTATCTCCCAAAATTATCAACTATCTGGATATTGGTTTCTATGACTTGTATAGGGTAAAGTCGGACTTGGGTCTGGACTTAGCCGAGAGGATTTAAGCTTCCTGACACTATCATTGTAGCCAAATGTAGTTGGTTTAACAAATCAATAACAAGGCAATTTATTCCAGAAACTTCATCAATCGCTTGCATCAACCCCCTTATCACCCTTATTCATACCATTCTCCATCGTCATCGACATTTAACCAGAACCTAATACACCAAATCCGTACCATATAGCGCGTTCACATCAAGGGGGTTATTAGTCTGGTCTTTAGCGATGCATGATGATGGGGCTGTGATGGGTTTGCGCTTCATCGCCATAAGTATATGTTATCTAGGGAGATAGGTGGATATAATAACAAACACTTTTTCGAAAATTGGCAGCTGGACAAAAAAAAAAAAAAAAAAAAAACAGGCAGGTTCTAGGACAGCTTTTGTTTGCTGTAGAGAAATGCTGCCGGGCATTGCCGATGATGAGGAAGTTGTAGGAGAATCAAAATTTTTGCTCCTCCTGGACGATCTGGGCCATCTTTTTGATGTCGTTATCTGTGAGCGTAATTTCTTCTTCTTCACCGCGACCTGTACCTCAAAGGAAAAGGTTTCTAACCGACAAAACAAGCGGGCCGTTGCTCACGACGGCTTCCGTCTGCCCCTCCTGCTTTGGAACAGTCAGGTGTTGTCGAAGAACTGCTTCGAATTGGCCCTGGTGCTAGTCTGCAAATTGCAAGCCGGCTCTCACATCTCTGTCCCAATTTCTGGTGTCTCCCGGTGGACAGAAATTGTCAGGGCCGCTCTGGCGTTGCCCTTTGATTCCTTTACTCACCAGTCCGCATCCGACGCAAGTTTCGACTCAAATCCTGAAAGACTTGCCTCTATAACCAGTATCAGTCACTAATTGAACCTACCAAGAGGACGGTTTCGGGGTGCAAATTCCTGGCCCGCTCTTTTGTCTGTGAGGGCGTTTCGATGTCCGCGGATGCGGTCCAATCCAAAGACAAGTTCGCTCCATTCATAGTGGATAACGTGCAAATTAACAGATTGGCAAAGGCCGTATTCGCCCGCTCATGCTCTTTAGACGTAACCATTTTGATAACAAGGAGTTGGGTGTGTGGGTAGTAATAACCGAAGAGGCGCCAACTTATATTTGGATATGGCAAAGTCTAGAGCGAATGCTTGATCGGTGACATTAGTGAATAAGACGTACTGGCTGCTTTGTCCGGTTTTGTCATTGCAGAAATTCTCATGTTCGAGGGAAATTTGAGACTAGAAATCCTACAATCTCTCATACAGATAACGGCTTGTGTTTGTATTTGCGTTCGGTGGGAATTGGAGGATATCGCTCTCCAGAACGATGCCACCCGACCTGTAACCTGCTTATTTGTCGATATCCCCACCCTTTTGCCCTGCAGGTTGACCTTGGGTATAAAGTATAGATGTCACGGGCTCAGTAGCTGGAAGATATTAACGAATCGATATTCCTATCTAAACCAACTAGTAGCCATCGACGAGAATATCGAATCTGGAGAAGAAAAGAAAATAAGAGGCAGTCTACTTACGTGAAGAAGTCGCATATGGTTGTGTGTGGTCTCGCTAAGCAGCTTGTTTGTCTTGATTGCTTCCATGGTATTGTTTGCCGTGTTGATGATGTTTGCTGATGAAGGCGCTGGGCTGAGCCGTTACAATAGATAGGAATGAAAGTGAACGCCATAGTATACATCAGCAACATAATGTCACCATAACCAAACTATGGTTGGATTTTGTGTACATAAAAAGGAATGAATAAAGATGCACAAATATGATATACGATGGATTGTCTTAACAGCATTAATTTATTGTGTAATTAAAATAAAATGACATGACAGTCATCTCTCATGCGAATGTAAACATATACCAATTTCAATGATAAGATTGGACAATCATCCTTCAACATATGATCGATCTTGCGTAGTGTGAAGAAATCGCACTTAACCCCTGATAATAGACTGCTTTTCCTTCTTAATCTGCTTGACAACCTCGATGTCTACCTTCAGGACATTGGCCACGGTGTCAGCAGGGGTAAGGGCGAGCCACTGCGCCAACGAGATATCGGCTACGCGGTCGCTCTTGTAGAGTTCGAGATAAACCACCTTCTCTGTGTCAGATGTGTTCTCGATATAGTGACCACTGTTATCGGGGAAGACTCCAGTGTCACCAGCGGTGAAGTCGAAGGTGCGGGCTTTGGAGTCACCAATGAAAACAGTGGCGCGGGCGTTTCCTTGGTGGAAGTACAGCCATTCCTCGGCCTATAGGTAAAGATAAATCAGCGGTTTGCTTTACTATTGAGGTTTGTCGAACGAGCTTACATTAGGATGCCAGTGAAGCTCGCGAAGACCCTTAGGCTCAAGCTCCACGAGAGCAGCAGCAATTGTAGTCGAGATAGGGAAGTTCGTAGAGTCGATCTTCCGGAGACTACCACCCTGTCCAGGGACAGGCTCAGAGGGGTGATCATATGTGTGGTAGACATATGAGCTGTTGCCCTTCAAAGTGCCCACTGGTTCCTTCTTGAGGTCCTCACTGACAGTGCCGTTGAGGATATAAGGGAACTTTGACGGAGTCTTGTCAAAGACGGAGGGGTCGACGCCGAAGTTCTTCGCGAGGATGTCTCTGGGGGTATGGGCAATCCAATCGTCGACCATGAAGGTGGTTCTATGCGGTCAATCAGTAAATGCTGAGATCGGGTGGGGTGTATGGACATACCCAATCTTCTCAAAGTCACCATCATCGAAAGCAAGAAGGTATTCGTTCTCATCTTCCAAGCCTTGGACGTTATGAGCAACGCCCTTGGGGAAGTACCAGATATCCCCGGTGTTGAGCTTCTCGGTGGTGAAAGCACCGTTCTCGTCAACGCCAGTGAGGAGAAGAGATCCGTTGTAGACAAACCCCCATTCTGCCTATAGCCACGTTATTATCACTCGTATTCAAATATCAGTTCAGGCATCTTACCACTCTATGCCAGTGCAGCTCCCGAATAGCACCCTTCTTCAGATGCTGCTGGGCCCCAGAAATGTCATGGCTTTGAGGGAGGTCCTGAATGACCTGTTCTCTAGACCAGCCACCTGGAAAAAGTCTTGTCTGGGAATCAGAAAAACTCCATTTGACGTTGGGAACAAAGCCATTGTCAGTGCTCGGGGTACGGAGGTGGTCAGGGTTCTGAAGATCCAGGGCTTTATTGGTTCCGCCTAATAAGGGCGCAATTAGCGAATGTTGATTCCAGCATGATGAACATACCTACCTAGGATAGGAGCTCCTTTGCCCTGACCGTTGATTGGCTGGTCATTCTTGGAGACAGCAGGAGAGGCAAGGACAGACGAGAGAAAGAGTCCGACCAGCGCAAAGCTTTGCGACTTCATTGTGAGACTTGGCGGAGAAGACTTGTATTCTTGACCAGAGCAGGCGTGGTTTGTTTCCCTAACGAACTTCCAACCCTCCATCTATATACTCCGGAGTATGTCTTTAATTTCCATGTCCTCTGCTAGAAAAGGATCGTCCAACATTGAACAAAAGGCTTATCACAACATCCCCGGCTCGTATTGCGACTTTTCATCTTGATAGTTCACCCCGAGGTCGCTTCAAGGTCGCCGATTGAAACTCAAATTCAAATGAGTATAACAACATCCTTGGCATAGTGTTGACATCTACCAAATCGGGTAACTCCACTGTCGATGCGGATGCCCGCTGGAGAGGAAGTGTTGACATCAGGCGGAAATCTCGCATCATCCGCTCTCAATTGACATGATTATTCTTGGCAAGGCCCTGATCTACACTGGTAAATCCCGAACACGATATTTGGCATAAGTCCGAGTCATAGGGAACCGAATTAAGCTTTGATTAGGGCCTCGAGTGCGAGCCTTGGGTATAGGGTAAGTCGTGTCTGGCGGTCTTGGCAAAGGTCGAGTAAATTTTTCCGGAATATTGTGATCGGCGATTACTGCCATGTCGGATAGCCGTAAATCATTGATGATATCAGACAGCTACAGTTGTCTGTGCCAATGAGGTGAATCTGCCCCGACGGCGCTGCGGACCAGGTACCGCGGACCGAGCAGATGAAGAACGGAAAAGACGAGCGACATGATTAATGCAAACCCGTGCACAATTGTTACCCGGGATGCATTAGCACCATCGTTTAGGTTCGTCCTAGGGCTCTGAAAGACCTCAAATCCCGGAAAGACCCTTTATCATCAATCACGCAACAATCGGATTCGACCCGGTCAAGGCATTTGTTGATTTTAGTTGGACTTGGCTCTGTACCTAGAGTGGAAATTAGGACTATCCTCATTCTCCTGCATTCCTGATACGGAAGTTGTTCGCTCTCTCCTCCTCTCTCTCCCTATCTCCCATGTTCCTGTCGCAATTCGTCCGGCCAAAGTCGTCTTGTGATATTGAAGTTTCTCTTGCAGTATGGATGATATGTGACTTTCTTGCGTGCTTGATGGGAATGGTCCCCGAGTGCTAGAGAGAAAGGGGAAAAGAAGACATTCGGGAAGCAGCCAGCTGGGGAATCGAACGACTATATAAGCCGAGGAAAACCCGCTCAAATTTGCTCAGCATCAAGCCTGTCATCATCAAGCAAAGACCAAGATGAAGTCCGCTCTCGTTCCTCTCGCGTCTCTGGCTATCCTGGGGGAATGCCTATCTCTTCCCCCTCTTATTCCCAGCATTCCAGGTGTCACTGAGGTCTTGACCGAGAATGCCCCTCCTTTGCCAATTTTGCAAGTTCCTACTCCTCCGCTTGAGAGTCCTCCGTTTACTCCGAGTGACATAAAGCCCAAGAAGATCGGCTATTTCTGGACTGGCTCGGGTGATAAGGAGCACAAGGGTGCGTTTCCTTTACTCTAATGCCGTATCTCTTAAGTGCATAGCTGACAGTATTGCATAGACTTCCTTGCGACATACAGCCTTGACGATGTAAGTGTGTACCCATATTCTTGAAGTCGAACAACAACCTAACGGATAACAGGACACCTTTGGCACGCTCCTCTGGATCACTGATGTCCCCTCCAGTGGCAACGACCCTCACCATCTTGGTTCTTCTCTTGATGGCAAGACACTGGTTGGTGGTGGACTGCTGTCCCTGCTTAAGACGCAGGTGAATATACACTTCTACACTTTCTTTCCAAGCACTCTCTCATGTCGCAATTAGGATACCGCGTTCTATTTCGACACGTCCAACCCCTACCGTCCCAAGTTCAAGAAGAGCAACCGTGCCCTTCTCGCCTCCATTGCAGATGAGATTCGTGCGAAGCCTGATGGAGGATTCTACATCACTTACATGGGCTCTGCACTGGGTACCTCTCCCGGTCGTTTGATCGAGACTGACGAGAACTTTGATATCATCCACGAGTGGCCCGAAGACTTGGAGAGTACCCTTAACATCCTTGGCGAGCAACACTCTCCTCACGGACTGAGCATTGATTGGGACAAGAAGCTCATTCTTACCTCGGATTTTGTCGAGCCAATCAGTATCTTGAAGCCCAGTCCTGCGGTTCGACATGCTGACACGCTTCGACTGTGGGATCTTGATACGAAGAAGATTCTTAACACTATTACCATTCCTGATGTAAGCTCACCCAAAAACCGCTCATCTTGGCTCTAAATTATGCTAATATGAAATTTAGGCAGGCGGTATCCAAGATGTCAAGTTCATCCCCGGGAACCCTGACTCTGCTGCTCTTGCTACTGCTGTCCACCTCGGGCAGGTGTGGATCATCTATCCCCTCCGCAAGGACGCCAACGGAAACCAGGGTACAGCAGAGCTGCTCTACGATCTCGGTCCAAAGGCTCGCGACACCGTCGCTATTTAGTAAGTCCCCTTTGTACTATCTCATAGATTCAAAACCAACCAAATCCTCCAGCACCGACATCACCCAAGACGGCCGCTTCATCTACCTCACCCTGACCACCGCAAACCACATTGCCGCTCTCGACATCAGCGATCTAAGCAACGTCAAGCGTCTCGATGACCCCGACGAGGACCAGCCCACAGTTGGTCCTCACTACGTCAAGGTCACACCGGACCAGAAGCACCTCGTCGTCACCGACTACTTCGTGCAGACCGGAGAGATTGGCATCATCAATACGCCTGCTGACTTCAATGCGCTTTACATTGACATCAACGATGATGGCAGCTTGAGTTTCAACCGGACGATTGATTTCAGCAAGGAGTTCCCGGAGCGTGGTGGTGCTAAGCCGCATTCGACTGTTGTTTTTGATTTGACTGATCCGGAGAATCCTCTCTATTACTAGAGACTGGTTGTCGTATGTGCTGATTAGGGGTGTGAGGGAATGTGGTAGTTTAATTTAATTCGACATTGGCGTGTCTTTTGAGGCCTTCGTCCAACTGCTATGTGACATGTCTTGTTATAACTAAAGTGTGCCTCGGCATAGCATAATATATTAATTACTCTTCAAACATCGGGAATGGACCGCAATTAAAAGAAGAGCTTGTTAATATCGAAATATTCATTGAACTTTCTATATACATATCCCGAGATCCGAAAGATTGTACATTCCCCTCTCACATCAAAACACAGAAAAAAAAAACCGCTCAATTTACCCCGAAGAAAAAGAAAGACTAACTTCGCTCACGGCAAAAAAAAAAAAATAAAAATAAAAAACAAATACATACAACAGCCGGGATTCGCTGGTGGTCACCCACCCAACTACTAACCGGCCGGCGTGTGGCTTAAGTACGGCTGAGCAGACGGGAAGCCCTGTTTTCCACACCCTATGGTCGTATGTACCAATATTTTACTTGATAAAAAATATATGGGGCAATCTTGAGTGCACAATGCAGAGGGTGAGCCATTCCAACTTCAAACACTAAATTACTTTGCATCTACCCGCCATAAACACGATGGCTGCGGGTATTACTGTTTATAATACAAGCTTATCTCCAGTTCGGGAACCTTCAATCCTGCTTGAAAAGACCGGGATATCAGATGGGTTGTATAAAGGCGGCGAGAGAATAGGTATATATACCTTGGAGATGACTATTTTAAGCTGGAGAGAGCATCGGATATCCAATTTCCTTTTGTCTGCACATTTATTTTTTTTATAATGTCAAGCCCTAAAGACCAAGCCATTTTCATCACTGGAGCCTCTTGCTTTGCCACGACTCATATTGCTGCTCTTCTTCCCTAAACCAGAAAGTCCGCCAGAGCTTCCCCCAATGTGCCTCACAACTGGAATTTGCTATTGTTGAAGATATGAGACGACAGGGTACTTTGATGCTGCAGTGAAAGATGTTCATAGTGTCATCCATACTGCAACCCCTTTCAAGGTTTCTGTTGAAGATAACGCGACCTGTCATCAACAGAATAGTGAGCATCCTGACTTTGATTCAGTTGTATGCTCCCAATGTGACGAGAGTTGTTATAACCTTCTCCTTTAGCGCCATGGTCGGTTATGTGTACTCCAAGGCAGACTGGAACAATATGCCTTACGAGGTCGCCGCTGCCAAAGACGCCCCTGGGGCGATGGCTGAACACTGGACATTGGCTGAACATGCAGCCTGAGATTTTGTTAAAAAGTAAAGACTCTCACTTTGATATTGCAACTATTATGCTCCCGATAATTTACGGACCAAACCAATACTACAGCGGATGTATCAAACCTGAACACCTCCGCTTTGGATATATATACTGCTTTATCTCGCCCCAGTCCAAGTCCAGTGATCCCATCCCACAGAATATGTTCTGGTCATGTATTAACAAGAGTGAAGTTGCTGAAGCCCACATCCATGCCTATACAGACTGTAGAGCAGGTGGCAAGAGGTTTTCTATCTGCAAATCTAACTTCACATATCAACAATTTATGGACGATTTACAATCAAAATTTCTGGAATCAGTGACTGCGTGCCCATTGGTAACACTGGCTCTGGGGCAGTCCCATCAGATATATACACTGCTGATACATCAAAGTCTCAGAAGACCCTGGGGATCAAATATCAGGAACTTGAACAGATGGTGGTCAATGCTGCACGCTCCCTTTTGGCTTTATTATTATTATTATTATTATTATTTCCAGTTTATTGTCTATGTTGAGCCTTAGAGCTATGACAAACCATCATTCCTGGATTCGAGGCCAGCAGCTACTCTACAGTCTATTGTCCTTATAAGTTCCTGAAGCACTAGCCGTCTGTCTGTTTCCAGGTCCTTGTAGAGCCTGCTTTGCTGGTGCCGCCATTGTCTGCACTCAAAGAGAAGATGGTGTGCTGTCTCTTTAAAAGAAACACATGCTTGGCAGGTTGCATCTTCTTGAGCCTGAATCTGGTGTAAGTATGTTCCAGTGGCTGCGTGTGCGGACTTCAGTTCAAAGTAACAGCTTGCCAGGTGTATCAGAGCCAATGCAACTAAGGGATCAAGCCTCCAATTTTGTCACGGAGTACAGGCATTCACCAACAATGCAAGATATTTGTATATTATGGCCTATTTGAATATAGGCAGGAACCCTCTTTGCACACTAGATAGCGCAGCACTGGCAGGCCCAGCTTTCTTTCTTTCCTTCTCCATGTTAGTATTTCGGTAAAAGGTCTACCAATAAATTTATATTGTCCGAGACCATCACAGAAGCATGGTTCAATGGGAGCTGTTTCTGGCGCCCCGCTAGCCATCACAACATTAGCTACTCAATATTCCAAAAAATTATGCGAAACAGTCTCTGGAAATATATGAGGCGAAAATTAAAAATAAAAAAAAAACTAAAACAAAAAACATACAACAGCCGGGATTCGCTGGTGGTCACCCACCCAACTACTAACCGGCCGGCGTGTGGCTTAAGTACGGCTGAGCGGACGGGAAGCCCTGTTCTCCACACCCTATGGTCGTATGTACTAGCTTCTTAATAAAGAGAGTAAATAAACGTTAATATAGAGATTATATTACCTGAGGTTAGAGTACCACACAAAGGTGAAATTTCATATTCCATAGGTAAACCTCGCTGAGACCCTCCACCCGACCCTCAACCCTCCTTGAACCTCCGTGTGGGTGTCCCTCGCAGGCCCTCATTGACCCTCATTTTCACAAAATTCCATAAGATCTCAAAAATCTCCACGCTTTACCTGGTTTGTATACATAAAAAATGATGATCCATCCAATATAGTACTGTTTGTCTTGTTTGACCCTCACTGCTGGTGAGGAAGAGGTCTATCCATAGGGTTGTCAACGGGCGAGCTAGGTGACTAGGGCTCCATGTAGCATGATCATTATAAGGCTCATATCCACAAGAGGCACATTAGAATGCTACGCAGGCATGATAAATTCCAGTTAAAAGCATCCAATAACTATAATTGAAATAAATTACGAAAATATGATCCATTTCGTTCCCTGCAACGTCGGTTTCATTGGCAAATGCTAACCAATCATCAGCTTAATCTGACTTACTACCTATAACCGTCGTCGCACTATCCGTATACTCTTCCTGGAAAGCAATTAACTCAGGTATAATTTCCAACGCGAGGGCCAAAATATTCATCCTTTGGCACCGTGAGCCGAGTGCATGCACTTGCCTCACAACCGCTTTCCGAATCGTTGCCCCACCAGTCGACTGTAAATCAATTGTAGCTAACGGCGAAGAAAATGACAACACCAGCGATGGCAATGGTCGTCGACAGGGCAGCAGACAAAACGTAGTTGTACTTGGCCCAGAAGGCGAGGTATCGGCTACGTAGATACTTCATGCTAATGTAAGCTGGCAGAACGGCGGGCCATATATAGGCAATATTATACTGGAAGAGTAAAGGGTTAGCAAAGGAATCTTTCTCCGAGTGGAGAGACACGGCAGAGGTCAAGCTCATGGCATGGCATAGGACCACTTACGGGAGACCAATGGACTCCGCCTGTGAGAAGCATGACGGGGTGGACTTTGTTGAACCAATGTATCCTAGGAACCCGTCGTTGGATGAAATAGAAGATGAAGGGTAGGGCGAATCCAATTAGAAAGGCTGATAATAGAGAAGTGTAATGTCCTCCAGAACCAAACACCCTCCTTGCACCAATGCTACCAAAGAGCACAGCAGCGGTGAAATATGTGTTCACGCCGGGGCAGATAAAGCGGTCCTCTTGGTATATTTTGGGATTTTAGCAAAGAACCTTTCCAGCTTGAGGATGGAGCACTTACGATTCGCAGAGGTCAGGTATGTTCATGATTTGGAAATTCATGACACCGGCGGTGACAAGGGCAGAAATAAAGACAGCTACAACTTGCGCCCAGAAAGTCTGGCGTGGAGGGACTTTGACATAGTGCGCTAACTTCAAATCATTGGCAAAGTCAAGGGCATGGGCTGTCGTGATGTATCTGGAGTGTTGGTTGTCAGTCAACTGCCTTATTCCTTATGGGTGATGAGTAAGTTCCGTACCCAAAACACTTGAAGAAATTCATGGCCAGCGCGTTTCCGGGCTGCCACACTCCTCCGATGAATTCAGCCAGCACACTGGTTTGATGATTAGCCTTAGCCTTTTGGAGATCAAGACTGTAGATAGCACCGCACTTGAACTCAACTTCCATTCCGGTTGTGGCTGCGATGACATTAGTGGGTATAGTGAAAACGAGGGCGAGTAAAATACCGAAAAAGATTACCCCGACAGTGGTCTGAATTGAATGTGAGAAGCTGTCTGGATATCCCAGGTTGTATTTAACTTACATATGTTGGCCAACCAAAAACCGCGGCAATGCTCAGAGCAATGGCAACAATATTCAAGATCATACACCACCATTCAGGAACTAAAGCATCGTCAGTGCGCCTCTATGGTATGCTTCATGTGACTGGTTCGTACCCTCGCGATACACCGACATGAGTCTGCTGTGGATATCTTTGAAATCTTCTGTTGGACCCCTTTTTCTTGAAGCTCTTGACTAAGCTCTTAAAGCCTAGGACAATATCATGTCGATGGTACAAGAACGTGTAAGACACGGTGGCAGCATACGCGGAGAAGAAGAAATACATCGTAAGACTGCTCGCAGCAAGGTAGACCGGTGAATATGCTTGGTATTTGGCCTCGTCAAGCCATCCACGTTCGTCCAGGATTATGGAAACATTGTAAGCATTGCCGAAGTGGTTGTGCATGGAGTTGGTGTTAATTGGAAGGTAGCCGGTGTGATAGGCATTCGTCCAATACATTCCAATAATGACAATGCCACCTAGCAGCACACCAAAAAAGGTGTTAATTGTGACATGAAACGGAACAATGAGTGGGTCCAGGACGTGGGTGACGATGTTCCAATCAAATGTAGGCATTGGGTTGAACCCGAGACCTTTTTTAATCCCCGTGATGGCGGTAAGGTTATAGTTATTCGGTGCGATCCAAGCAATCCAGTTGAACAGACTGAGAGCACTAAAGATGTAATCGGGAAACTAAAAGTAAACGAACATTGAGCAAAATGCTACTATAAAGAGTCTGAAACGGGAAATGTTGAATATCTGTTGAAAGGGACCAAGAACAGAATAGTTCTCCTCTGTCATGAATGTCAATAATCGCGTAGAAAGAGTATTAAGGCTTGGCAGAACAAACCATTATGCAGGGAGCTGTTCAATGCAATAGTGACTAGAGACCTTGGCCACAGGCAAAAGGATGGGTAGACAAGGAATCGCCGACAGAGGCCAGCCAGGCCAAAGCCCATTAGATTGGTTGAAAGAGCAAGTAAGATCTGGTATCCAAAGGATCTAGCATAAGGCTGGCCAAAGTATTTGTCCAGCCACTGCGTGAATACTTTAGGTTTGTTAGATATGTTATGATGCAGCACAAGAACCAACATACTGATGTATCTGGAACTGGGCAATGTCTTGCCGACGCTGGCCATGATGGAGATAAGCATGTGCTCTTTCTTGTTAAACGGTCCTGGATTCAAACTGTGGCGAACTCCAAAGAGAATGAAACCAACATCAGGGAGGAATTTCTCTGCTGCCTTCCCAACAGGATAGGCCAGAAACTGGACGACTGGAGCACCGATGAAGATGGATGGCTGGTGCACACTGAAGAGCTGGTTGACAAAGGCCACCGTAATTACAAAGCCCAGACCAATCACTCAGGCACGAATTGTACCACAGGGAAGCTCAGGATTATCATACGGATCAACAACAGCACGTACTTCTGAATAAGGACTATTGGAGGTCAGTAGAGAGACTTCAATCTTAGCTTCCTCGATGGCTCTTCTGTGTTTCTCGGGTGCCTCGAAAATCACGGCATTGTTAAGAAAATCAGTCATGCGATCTAAAGCACCAGACGGAAAGTTTGGATCATGCGAATGAGTATCGACAATTTCCTGAGCGAGCTATTCCAAGTATCAGCACATTTCTACCTATGAAGATGACAGGTCACTTACCTTACGAGCTTCCTCAAGACTCAACACATGTGAGTGTTCCCGTGCGGCCAGAACTTCATCAACTGTGGCAGAAAGCCGTCTTCACATCTATATTTAGTGACGGGACCATGGCTTGAATGTTCTTGTGGCTTACTTGGCAAACTCATCTCCTTCAAGCTTAAAGTCGAGATCATCTTCTTGGGTATTTGGTTCCACTGTCACCGGTTGGATGATCTCTTTGCCAATCTTCTCTGATGTTGCTGCCATGGCAATGATTGTCCGACTGGGTCAGATAATGTTCCGAGGCAGAAACCCTGTGTAAGAGTTAAGGATATACCAAAATTGAAGGCAGTTAGTTGAGAACTGGCATTACATACTGAGCGCATTATGGCTAATTTATACCAAAGTTTCCATTCGCCTACACGAATACCCGCGCTTTTGCAGGGAAGCCATATCATTTACTACAGTCATTGCGTAAAAAGAGCTCTTAATATACTGTAATACATCGGTCGAATTCCTATTTGGAACAATAAATGCGTCTTCCATGGTCCGATTCTCCAAAATCTAAGAGAGCAGCGAATATTGAGCTTCTCATACTACCAATAATAACAGCAGCAAACAAGCTTGCCGCATAATGATTGGAACCTATCTAAATCAGTCTCCACTTACAGGTGTCACTCTATCGTTCTGACTCTTCGCGACCAATGTATGTTTTTTCCTAATAGTAGGACAAAATGTGGTGCTGCCAGAACTTGACTGGTCCAGCTAGTGCCACACCGTGCCACACTAATTCTAGTTATTTATACCCCAACTATGGCGAAATCCGATGCCTTGGTTGGTCATACTTATGGAGTACGACGGACCAAACGAAAGCGATAGATAGACAAGCATGTTGCATAAATTTATGTAAGCAATGTAAGGATATTCTGACTTCATGCCTCACCCCAAACAATGGCTTTGAACTTCTCGAACGGAAACAGCAGACTGACGCACTTTTGATCCACAGTCGCGCAAGCAACTAGAGCTTTATAGGAAAAGAGAACTGGGGTCTATCCAAGGCTCGCAGACAAGATTTCGACTTTTAAGACGTGGGGGTCACACTCATCCTACTCCGTTCGACTTCATCCAAGCTTCATACTTCTGTCGCCAGAGTGTTGGCAATGGTAATCAACAGCGGCCTTTCAGGCCAAGATCTCCCTCCTTATGAACTTGTACAACGACCGAGTTCTCTTCTACTTCGGCGTCGGCGTCGAGTTCTCGGCACTCTTCTCCTCATAGCAATTCTTTTGGTACTGGTTCAGCTTGAGTCTATCACCACCACTCCGACATCGGTACCTCAGACGCAATCTTTTGTTGAGGGACTGAACAAATGTCATCAGGTTAGTAATCAGGGTCAGCATGACACGCAGGCATTGAAAGACCGGCCAAACCCAAGATGGAATCCAATTACCGGCCAACAAATTCCTATTGTCATCAAGGATGCATCGCTCTTCGACGGCGATTCCACTCGCAAAGGGACTTTCGATATCATCTTTGACTCTGGTGTGATTTGGTCTGTATCTCCCGCTAGCACACAAAACTCCATCCCAAAAGGCGCTCGTGTCATTTACGGGGGTTTTGTGACTCCTGGCTTCGTTGATATGCATTCTCACCACCTATTGCTGCCTTTTCCTCATCTTTCATCTACTAGCGATGTTAATGAGCGGCCACTCTTGGGACCTATTACTCCATTCGTGCGCTCTATAGATGGCTTCAAGCCCTACGATCCTGCTATAAAGATTATTGCATCGGGGGGCGTAACATCTTCCTTGGTGCTTCCAGGCTCCGCAAACATTGTTGGAGGCGAGGCATATATGGTAAAGAACTTACCACTGGCTGGTTCAGCCGGTGAGCCTGTGGTTGACGAGCTGCTTTTGGAATATGGCCTCCCCGAAAATAGTCGACAGAGATACCTTAAGATGGCTTGTGGAGAGAACCCCAAGGGTATATATGGCAATACCCGGCTTGGTCTCACTTGGCTCTTACGCGAAAAGCTCGAAAAGGCACGAGAACTGCTGCAACGCCAGGTTACCTGGTGTGAAGCAGCATTTGAGGTTGAGGCGAGCACCTTCGCCAAAGCTCGCCGCATTTCAAATTTCCTTAAGTCCGAAGGGAAACGACCTGACTCGTTTGAGCTTGAGACCCTTCTCGCACTTTTGAAAGGGGAGCTCAACGTCAATGTGCACTGTTATGAACCTGAAGATTTTGAGCGCATGCTGTCTGTGCTTCACGAATTTGGTGTTCATCCTCGAGCTTTCCATCATGCGTTGGAGGCATGGCAGGTACCTGAGCTTCTGAAACATCTTGAAGAGTAAGTCTCTCAATGTAGGATCTTCTTTACAATGGCTAACAATTCCAGAAATATTACTATTGCCACATTTGCGGAGAACTCCCTGTTCAAGGCTGAGGCGTACGGGGCAAATTTGCGAGGACCAAAGATTTTGGACGACCATGGGGTTCAGGTTGCATTGAAATCGGTATTACCAAAACCTAAAAACCTTATAAAATGGTATAATGGTTGATATATGTGTACAGGATCATACCGGCGAGGAAAACTTTGCAAAATACCTTATGTAAGTGGGCTGCAGCAGTACAAGACTTTGGTATAAAAGATGTTTAATTCCAGCAACCAGATACCAGGCGGCAATTGCGCATTCCTTTGGCCTGCCTGAGGACAAGGCCCTTCAGTCCGTGACATCAGTTCCTGCTCGCTCAGTGCAGCAAGACCACAGAATCGGTTATGTTCGCCCCGGATATGACGCTGACCTGGTCATCTGGGATGATCATCCACTTCAGGTCGGTGCAACCCCCTCTGAAGTATTCATCGACGGCAGATCTGCTCTTCATGAGAGTAAATCCTCTGATGAATTGACGCATGAAGCGATTCGCTCTTCTAAATTACATGAGGCACCGGTGATGCGAACGTCTATCGCCCCGGATCAGAAAGAAGACATCTGCGGTAGAGCTGAGGGGCCCCACTCAGAGGTACTATTTACCGGTATCCAAGAGGTTCTGATTGACCTTCCGACACATCTTACTCAGAATGCAAAGAACCTGACTTTGCTGGTCGAGGATGGCCAAATCACATGTTTCGATGAGAGATCAGCCTGTGTTTCTTCAAGTGGGAGCGAGGATGGCTTAACGCAGGTAGAATTGAACAACGGCTACATAACCCCTGGTCTCGTTGCTTTTGGAAACAACATCGGAATTCAATCCATTCCTTCTGAGAGTTCAACAGGGGATGGCTTGGCTGCGAAGAATGGGGATGCTCTTAACGAACAAAAAGCGGTTCATTTTGCCAAATATGGTGTGCATTTCTTCGGTAGAGGGTTTACAAGAGCACGAATTGGGGGTGTGACAAGAGCTATCTCCGCGCCCCATTCTGGGGGAGGCATCATCCAAGGAGTCAGCGTTGGAATACACACAAGCGTGAATGCCACTATCTTAAATGGTGGTATTTGGAAGGACGATGTTGCCCTTCACTTTACAATAGGACAAGCAGCAAAGGGTAATTTATCTCCGTGACCAATATCTTGACTTTTCAGAGCTGACATGTCGTATCTTAGGTGATGATACGCTGACTGTCTCTTCTGGCATTGAGCGCCTGCGTCAGGTACTAGAGAAGGGTAAGACAGCCGAATCAGGCATTTATTACCAGGCTGCGAGGGGCTTACTGCCCATGGTTGTACGCGCATTTAACAAGGTAACTTCGTAACATATTTATGCCGTTGCAACTTCACCAGATTATTCTGACATTACTGTATTAGGATGATATCAGTCAGTTGATCTTGGTCAAGCGTGAGTTTCCTTCAGTGAGGCTCGTCCTCTATGGTGGCCACGCCGCGCCTTTGGTAAGTGTCCATCACTATCTGCTCCTTTGATCCGAATTCCTTCCTTGTACTAATCACACAAAAACAACAACAGGTAGCAAAGCCCCTAGCAGAAGCAGGTATTCCGGTCATTCTAACAGGTAACCGCGGCGCGCCTGACAGCTGGGAGAAGCAAAACGTTCTTACGGGTCCCCCGCTTACTGAAAGCCCGGCTAAGATCTTGATAAATGCCGGTGTTCTTTTGGGTTTGGCAGTTAAGAGCGATTCAAAGATACATGGCCTGGCACAAGAAGCTCGATGGGCTGGTAAGTATGCTGGTCTTACTGACAAGCAAGCCATTGCCTTGGTGTCAACGAACCTGGATGATATTCTTGGCACTCGGTCAAATAAGAAAGGTCATTATGAGCCATTGACACAGTCATTTTCTGGGGATTTTGTTGTGTGGGAGGGAAATCCGTTGAGAGGCGAAGGTTCCGTTGTTGTTGCTGTTCAGGACGGTGGAAAAGTTGCTGACTGCTGGCCCGATACAACTGATGTTGTATTGTAAGTCGAATTTTGATCATGATATTTTTATAAAGAAAATGCCACTTTTTCATCTTGTGCAGAATTTATTGAAGACAAAATATTTAGCTACCAAGAATGTATATCTACCTAGTTTCCAGGCCTTACAACAACGATGTAATCTCAATCAAAGCGTAGAAGTTGAAAAAAAGGGCCTAGCATCATGGTTCCTGGAGGCCACTGGTGTTCCAACACATCCTGCTTCGAGTAGTCACCCGTTGCTGCAATCAGAGACCAAGCTCAATATCGCATGTACGTATTCTTTTCACACTTGAAAGATGGCGAGGGAGCTTTTAAGCCATACATGGACAGGCATAAAAGCCGAAAACAGTGGACACTTCCCATGGACGTAATCATTACGTTCAATGCTTGCACCACGATCCAGGAGGACTCTTGCAACCTTGTGGTGCCCATTCCACGATGCCCAAGCAAGCGGCGTAAAACTCAGACTCAACCATCTTGTCTCAAAATTTGCCTCCTGAGTGATAAGTATGTCTACCAACTCATGCTATTCTCTCGCAGCGGATATGAGAATAGGTGAAGAGTCCGGATCGTGGATATTTGATATGGATATTCGCTTGATTGTTTATCAAGTCCGTGACAGCGCGGGGGTGGCCTTGATAGCATGCCCAGAGAACTGCGGTCCAGTAGTGGGCACCTTTTACGTCGATGTAGTTCTTGCTTGCAATTAACAACTGGAGGATTGGGTGATGAGCATTTTTATATGCTAGAATGAGGGCTGTTTAGGATTGAAAGTTCGACTATTTAAGGTTGATGATTTGTGCTGATCAAGTGTGTGACGGTGAGCAAGTCGCCGTTCTTGGCCGCTTGGAGGTAATTCTCGTTGCCTTGTAGGATAAACATATTTGTACCGTGATAGGGTCAATCGAAAGCTAATGAAGGTCGAAATTCGGGTTCTGGATCGAGTTTGGAGAGAGCAGGGAAATGGATAAATATACTACACAAAGAATCAGACACCCTATGTGATACAATGGGATTTGCTGCCTGTCCATCGTGATAATGCTTTTAATATCTCATGCTTACAGGCGTTTTCCTCCATGCAAAATCTATAATTGGCTTTCAAGACTTTTGATGGCTTTACTGGCGTACTAGAAAGTCAGGATCAGGCAGCAAATGCAAAAGCTGTTTCTATTACTAGACAAACGTATAGGGGCCTACGACTACCATAAAAGGGGTCGAAATCTCCATCATAGAGCCGCAATATCTTAGGAACCAACGTGTAACACACAAGCTAAATCATGAACTACAGAATGACATAAAGCAGTATTACAGAGTAGCCTTCCGTAATACCGACTGGTTCACATTCTCTCTCGCAGTAGTGAAATTAGGGCCTCTGCATCTCCCCGTCAATTCCTCTTGACCATTTCCAGCTGGTTTTTAGTGAGATGAACCTCGGTCTGGTAGTCGAGGAAAAGCTGCACTGTACCATTGCAACATCTTTCCAGGATTATCTCGATGACTCTGTCGGTTGACGAGATAGATATCCCTTTATCAGCACAAAACCGGACTAACCCATCAAATGGTAATCGTCAAGATATTCAAACAAAAAACATTTATCATCTTGCCTTAAGATTCCGTTTGTACATTTGATGTCATTACCAACATCGGCATTGGAGTTGCTTATCATCTTTTCCAGCATGGACTCTGACAAGTGAAGATTTGCATATTCGCACAAAACATTCGGTGCATCTCGTTTTAGACAGCACTCAACTTGCCAGATTGCTTCCCAAATAGCCTGAAGGTGGAGAGGACGTCTTTGGCTAACAAGAAGTCTCAGAGCGTTCTTGTTTCCAAGCTTTGCTGCACTGACTAAAAGGCTTTCTGATATCGGTGCGTTAATCCCTAACCGATAAATCAGTAGCCGGAGAACGCGAATTGCATTAGAGCCCTCTATAGCAGCTGTCATTATGTCTTCACTGATGACTACAGTATTCTCCCATTTGTTTAGGAGTAGACGTAGTGGTGCTTCATCATTTCTCACAACTATTTGTAGTGCCTTCTGAGTAATAGAGATATTTGGGTTCCGCACAAAGAGAAGCTCTAGACAGTTTTCATCCAGTGCAACAGCTTCAAGGGTGCCCCCATCTCCTTTCACAACCTGCCGATCAAGAAGAAGTGCAAGTGTTTCTTCTCTTATTCTGTGCAGAACCTTCTCCGTGGGAAATTTGTTGTAAGGCCTGTCCAAAAGCAACAATCTTTTAGTGCTGAAACATGAACCTTCGAAGGCCCGTTCTGGAATTCAGGGACCGCGAGAACCATCGAGGAGTTTAGCAAATATATGTTCACTCATATACCCATTACCTGATGCTGATACCAGAATATCTTCTGTGACATTGAACTTTGGCTCGCAAATATCACTCAAATATTGGAACTTCGAGTCAGGACTATAGAGACTTGATGCTGCTGAACATAAGATTTGTTAGGCTATTTGAATAGTCGAGCCTCCATTATTGATAAGCAATTCGAGCATCTCCTTGCGATTAAACACCGCAGCATTATCCAATACTGCTCCCGTAACGACAAATCCAGCCTGTTGTTTTTGTAAAATAAGCTTCGGTATCCCTAGGCCCTGACCTATGTTTGAAGCCACTCCTTCGAGAGTTCCTTTGGCCATATATGTGTCTCGGCCACAGTGATCCAACAGCACTCTCATAATGCCTAAGCCTTTTGACTGATTTCCGGCCATATAGAGGCAGACTTTTCTGTCCAAAACAGAGGCAGGAACCGACTGTCTCAGAAGATATTGGAAGACACGGTGATCGTTCCTATTCCTGGTCGCTGCAATCAGCATGTCCTCTTGAGACTATTGCTTCTTCATCCGAAAGTTGCAACAGTAACTCCATTACTGCCCATCTCGCTTTTTCAGCAAAAGCGCCAATATTTCCTTGTTCAATGATAGTTTGTGCCCCCATAGCTTTAAGAACATGAAAATAAGATCCTGGGTCTGATTGCATAGCCAAGTATGTTCTTCGCCGAATCACGAAAATCCATTCCTTTTTCATTCTGGCTTCGAACCTCAAGACTGCCTCTTGTATATACCTCATATTTCCCTTTCGTGCTCTCCATCGCATTTCCAAGGATCTTCTCAGAAGAACCATCTACTCCAATCTTCAATCATTTTTTCTCTTCCTCATTTAATCTTCCTTGGGCGACTACCCAGAGATTTCGTCTTTGAGAGCCACATTCAGCATCCTTAATGGACCTGGGATCTGATTTTAGCTCGTCTGTCGCTCCTGATGACTCAGTCTCGTTGGTTTTCCCATAATCCAGTCCTTCGGGGCTTGTCAATTGGTGATCATCTTTGCTTTTTTCTCCCTCCACAATGCTGACAATTTGAGGTGGACAGTCGCTCTCATCAGCCTGAGCTTTATTCTTGTCAAAGCAATCAATACAGTTCAACTTTTGGCAGAGATTATGAAACATGATTTGGGCATAAGATAAATCCTGCTCAGATGCTTTGAACGATCCTTGAGTCGAGAATTTGTTTAAATTTTAGTTGGATTGTGTGAGATCTTTATTAATTGCGTATGATGAATGTGTTTTAGACGCATAGCCGCTTACGACCACGTCGCGCATCTTTATTTGTTGGCTTAATTGAATTCCTGTATTACTGGCGGCGACCGATCATATATAGGTAATGGATTGTAATGATACTTCTGAATGTGAAGCCGGAAAAGAGTATCCAGGCGTCTTTTTCCATCGTCCCCTCCAGCAGCTATTTGATTGGGAATATATGCCGGTTAGCATTGGGCGTCTAAGAGTACAACCGGTCTCCTAGCACGGGTACTTAGAAATAAATTTCTGTAGCTCACTAGTAAGCTAGCATATCTACATATATCCTACTACCTTTATTCGTGCAAGAGAGATAGCGTGTATGAACTTGAGGTATCAGAGATCAATCGTGTTTACACAAACACTTTTCTGATATAGTGGGCCCCAGCATTCATATACAGCGAATCTTATAGGAACAACCCTTGCCCTGTTTGAGCGAGCCATGTCTCATCCAACGGAGAAGTGGAGATATGGTCTGCAGCGCTCAGATTCCTGCCACATTGTGCAGGCCGACACAAAAGATTTCCCTCGTGATGGGCTTTGGCAAAATCGTCGAGTTGACGACCGTTGGGGCTCCTATGGCTCACTGTTGATGTCACGTACCAGCCCAAGTATGGTCCCATCCTCATCATCTTTTTCTCGTTTCCATGGTGTCATCTCGCGAATGGGTGATGTATCTTCGAGGCCCTCTCCCTCCTCTGCCCCAATCAGTCACTCCCGTTTCCCTTTCCCCCGACCAGATACTACAACTTTCCTTGGGGCTTATCCCCCGGTATTCAGAAAGATATATGGCTGGACTCTTCGCCGCATGTTTTCCCTCGACTGAACTGGTTTATTCTAACTTTTCTTCTGAAAGCCGAGAGCCTGTAATGGTCTCCTTCCACGTTTGATGATGTCCATATCCAACTGAAACCTATATCTGGAAGGCATTGCATTGTACGTGAATCATTCTCTAACTCCAAGAAATTGGAAAGCTGCTTTTGGGAAGGTATTATGCCATCACCTGCGTTGGTTTGGAAGGGTTCGGTTGAGAAACGGTGATTAAGCCAGCCACAGATGAGGTGCGGTCTGAGTAAAACCAGACATGAACAGCGTAGCGGAATCGGCGCAGTAGGGAGAAGGGACTAAGTGGAAGGACTAAAGATGGTAAAGTGAGTACGTCAAAAGTAGAAGCTAACTCGATATGCTAACCAAGAAGGATTCCCCTGTGGTGGTGGTTGTGTGGATGTGTTGTGAAGTGGTCCCCCAATGCACCCGCGCAACCGCATAGAATGGCTGACGACAGCAAGAAATAGCTAAGGTTTCTGCTCGCCTTATCTCGCTATGATTGTTAAATCTGAATGCAACGGCACGCTGGCATTATATAGCTACTTGATGGGGGATACAGTTTGTTGGTCGTATCCCAGACTAGGCGCGTCGCTGACGCGTCTACCACGGCTTGACGTACGCCTGCAAGAGGAAGATGATGAGAATTCCTCTGGCCTTATCTTGCTACCTGATGACCTCACCTGCGATATATTTGACAACTTAACTTGTGCTGATTCGCCTTCGAGATATATGCTGGCATCATACTGCCCTACTTGCCGACAAACAGCCGCGCCGCTATGCCTGCGATTGATATCGTTGCTTCGCTCGTCCGCTGCTTCTATCAGCACGATGCCCAAAGTCTTGATCCGCAATGGCACTTTCCGGTTGGCATACGCACTGGAACACAAGGAGGTCAGCGCTGCTGACCAAAGGCCTAGGCCTGGTGGGCTGTTAGGCGAGAGAAAAGAGAGGATATGATGATGCGGCTAGGATGATCTAGCCTAACACAAGGAGAGTATCGAAATTACAGGCCCCTGTAGTCACAGTTGTCGTAGCGCTGTAGGAATATTTCTGACTCCGTCCATTCTCTGTCCACTTGTTGGAGACTCCAATCTCGTCTTGCAGGGATACAATCACGTCTCGCGCTCGCATTTCTAATCACCCCACGCCAGTCGGCTTGAGAGGCTCCTGGAAGGGGGGTAATAAGCCATTTCCATTGCACCAAGACATAGGTAAGCCAGACAGATTGCTATGATGACACCATATCAACGCCGCATAGCGTTACCGCAGTACCCCAACAGGATCAATACCAGCATCAGTTGATAAAACGGGCGTCGTTCCAGGTTCTGCCTCTCACACTTGCAGAACATTACCACGCGTACCGAGACCGAACAATATGACGCACCTCCAGGTTCGCCGAGTCGCGGTTATTGGCGCTGGGATTAGTGGTGTCGTGTCAGCAGCGCATCTGCTGCAGGCAGGGTTGGAGGTGACTGTATTTGAGAGGAATCATGCACCCGGAGGTGTTTGGTACGTCATCCTTACCCAGGATAGATCTTCATCAGTATTGACCTTATAGGCTGTATGATGAGCGCGCCGCACCAGAGCCATCGTATACCTCGTTGAAACCGCTCGAGTCGGAAGTGCATTTCGATACGGACGAGAAGCGCAATGTGGCTCTTAATCATGCGCCGCCGGGGTATGGACTCCGTTGAGCTATATAAGAGCTTGAGCTGATATTGTTAGACCGTGCTACGCTGGGCTCAAGAATAATGTGTGTACCCCTTTAATGCGCGTCAAGCTCAATGCCTGGCCAGAGGGAACACCCGACTTCGTCAGCCACTCCGTAATGCAAGAGTATATACAGGATACATCGAGGAAGGCAAGAGTTCATGCTTTTACCATCTATGGCGCACGAGTAAAGAACATTGCGAAGAAGGGCAGGAAATGGGGAGTTACTTGGTCTAGATTGGAGCAGGAGAGTGAAGGCGTCAAGGAAATAGAGCAATTATGGGTGAATGTGTTTGCACATCGAGTTTGATAAAATTCTGACGAGCATTAGGTCTTCGACGCTGTGGTAGTTGCCTCTGGCCATTACCAAACACCTCGCGTCCCAGATATTCCGGGCCTCGCTGAAGCAAAGGCCCATTGGCCGGAGCGCATTTTCCATTCAAAAAGATACAGGAAACCAGAGGGATACCAAAAAAAAGTAAACATCCGCAGCAAACCACTGGACAAACCAAGTTAATAATTATCAGAATGTTCTCTTGATCGGCGGTGCCGTCTCTGCCATCGACATCGCGAAGGAAATCAGCACTCAAGTAGAAACGATCTACCAGAGTACGCGAAACGGCAAATTCGACATTTCAGCCAGCATGCTCCCCGAAAACGGCGTTCGGATTAGCGAAATAGCACGTTACGAAATTTTAGATAATAGTGATGTCCCCGACGACAAACCGCTTCCGTTGAAAGTGCACTTGAAATCCGGCCAGGAGCTCTGTGGGCTTGACCAGATTATCATCTGCACGGGTTACCAGTTCACCCTGCCCTTTCTACCGAACTACCATGATGACAAGCTCACGTCGGGAGAAGCGAACGAGACAATTCTAATAACGGACGGGACGCAGGCGCACAACCTGCACAAGGACATCTTCTACATCCCAGATCCAACCCTTGCGTTTATAGGCGTGCCTTTCTACACCGCCACATTCACGCTGTTTGAGTTCCAGGGTATAACCGCAGCAAATGTCCTCTCTGGAATTGCTAGTCTCCCCTCAGAGAGCGCCATGAGACAAGAATACAACGAGCGAGTAAACAAAAAAGGACATGGGAAGCAATTCCACTCGCTCAAGGACGTGGAGGAGGACTACGTCAACAGCCTCCTAAACTGGATAAATAGACCTAGAGCAGAAAAGGGTCTCGGCCCCATCGAGGGACATACTGAAACATGGCATGAAGCGAAGAAAGCACAGCGGGAACGCCTTGGGGCGTTTTTCGAGGACAGCCGGCGAGACAGCGGCGTCGGACTCTCTGAGCTACAGACGTGCAGCACATGATTCAAGAATAATCAGTATAGAGTATTAAATGATCAATTCACACGGTTCCTGAATAGGCGTTAGAAGTTTAGGTATTCGGGAATAGAGCGTTCTTGAGACCTGTAAAAAGGCGAGGGAGTTGCTTAGAAAGTTTTTATATGGACTCGGCGAGAAGAATTAATCGAGTTCTTGCAGATTTGATATCTGTATATGGTTGGATGTAAAACACAAAAAACGTTTCTTGTGGGTAGGAATCAAAGCAAAGTGCAGGAGCTTTTTCAGAATTCAGGCTTGACCATTGAAAGGTGTAATTCATGTGAAGAGTTATTTTTAGAAACATTCACTTTGTGCAAGAAACGTCCTTAGAGCCTTTCCATCTCTTTCAATCTCCTCAAATCTCAATTAGTTATCTTAATATGAACCGGAGCAAATGCCTCAGAACTACATTGCCATTTCCCGTCTGGTCAAGATTATTGCGAAAATTTTTGCCGGTTGATTTGGTATGATCCTGCAGTTCCTTCAACTTATGGAAGAGCTGTATCTCACTATCATTTCCCCTACTGCGAGCCCAATCAATCAGGCCAACAATATTCACGTATATCCCTCGCACGGCCTATAGATTCATGTCAATATGACATCGCATCACAAAGAAAACTGGGAATAGTACACTACCTTCTCGCATTCATGACAGCTTCTTGGTAAAGGTTCAATCCTCACAGCGCAATAAAGGGAATGCCAAGCAGAAATGTCATCCTCTGCCCCAAACCAGAGTTTGAACTATTGAGTAAGCGCTTCCTGGTACTGGTCCCAAGCTTCGGCTGAGTTCCTATCGCCTTTACGCCAACCGTAGAATCTTTGTAAGGACGAGCCCTCCGCCGGTGAGTTCGAGGAGATGCAGCGTCGGCGTTGGGACCAGGATACAGGGAGCGGATGACGATGTGTGGTTTGAATTCGAGCGGTGCCCCGAAGGCCTCCCCGGCATGAAGGGCGAGAAGGGCTCCAAGAGTGCAAGACGAGCGTGAAGGGCCATTACCTACAGGTACTTAAATATGTACGACTAGTAGTAGCAACTCATTCAATTGAGGGGCTTTATGTTGACATGATTGAATACAATGTGTTGATATCCTTGCAAATGGGCTTCGCTGTGGTTGTGCTGGCTGTACTGGCTGTATAAGTTTGTTACCGCTTATAAGTGACGGAGCATCTATACATAAATTTACGAATAAGCTCAACTGATCTCAAGATGGCGTTATAATATTCCCGGGGTTATTCGACAAAAATCTATGATACCGAATCAAATGATTCGCCAATATTGTATATACTAATGCATGATTCTAGAGACTAATATTAGGATTCTTTCCCCTCAACTTGGAACCCATGAATTTTCAGCACAGATCTGCTTTCAGCGTCAATAATCCCTGGCGTTCTTGCTTCCTTATCCGCTCAGAGAAAAGTAAGCAGTAGGCATCGTCTCCAAAGGCCACTGGGTCATAAATCCTTCCCAGCTAACTGGCTTGACTTCAGTATATCGCTCATTGTCCAGGTCCGTACCCAGGAGAGTCTGTCCGTTGACCCAGTAGTAATAGAAAAAGCTTATGCGGCGTCCAAAGTGTTAGCAATTTCCCTCGAAAGAAAGGCAAAGGGGAAGCGATGTAACATACAGCGACATATAACTGTACACATCCGCCGGGCTCTTCTCGCGCTTCTCATGCATACATTGATACAGGTCTTTGAGGGACCCTCTGCTCTCCAAGGCAGGCTTAATTCCGTAGACCTTTTCAAAAGAAGCAGCGATCTCTTTGATGGTAGCTCGGCTACCGAGGACTAAAAAAAATATTCAGTAAGGCTTCAAACCGTGACAATGTCATGTAAACTTACACTTCACAATGCCAGTTGCCTTGGGGTCCACAGCAACCGCGGCAGTAAATTCTGCAGCGTTATCGTAGGTCGTCCCTTCCATTACTTCATCGCCCGATCCCCAAAAGCGTAGAGTTTGAGATTGAGGGTCATAGATGTTGAAAAATGGGCTGAAGATGGGCTCCATGAACCCTCCGATGAGGATGTGGACACCCTGAACCTTCTTGGTCTCAACGTAGGCCTTAACATGGATCATCGGATCTTTAGGGAACAACTCGCCGAGCTTCAGCTTGGTGTAATCCAGCGCCCAGTCACTAGCAATGTAGCGTGGTACTTCACAGCCGTCGCAGGCCTCAATCAGAATCTTCTGTCCATCGACCATAAGCTTATCATCGCCGAGATAGCAGCACACGATAACGTCACAGCCTTTGGCAAAGGCGTTGATCGCATCTTTGCTAAAAGCATCTCCTTGGAAGAGAATGACTTGAGCCGAGGACGAGATTGCTTCCGGAACTTTGCTGGGATCACGGCAGTATCCGCGAATGTTCACCTCGGGTCGCTTAAGCAGATGAGACACAAGGCGTTTGGCAAACTTGCCAGTAATTCCAGCAATTCCAACAGTGATGGCCATTGTTTGAATGAAGTAAGACTCCAGATCTTGAAATGTATTCGGCAAGCAGTAGAGTGGCCTGTCTATATTCCCAAAAAAATGAAAATGTTTATTTCTCGCGATTGCACATGGCGTATTTATATTGCTGTAAATGGGTTCCCCGTCTGTTTTCTTTCGCCACGCTCTATAATCCGGGCTCCAAGGTTTAGGCCGGGATTGTAGTTAATAGACGAAGGCTTTAATCATCTCGGGCACTATATTAGTCCCGTATCCCCACATCTCGGCACTACATTAGTGTACTCATTACATCCAAGCTTCTGGGCGCTCTTGTCTCTGCCTTGGATCCTTTCGACAATATGAACTATTTAGTTGCGGAGGTCATTGAACATAGCTTAGAAATGATAGAAAATATAGGTTTCCCTGGGATATTGCTTATTGATGAAGTACCAAATCTTACCAAACGGAGTATCTTAATAGATGAATCAACCAGGATTAGGTAATCCAATATCAGCTTCTTTTCAAGCCCGGATGAATAATAAGTTGATATCTACACTCTGTTTTATTCATAGAACTGTTTAAGCCAACCGGTAACAGAATTTTCCCCGGTGATGTTAGGATCACTAATACAGATTCGAGCCATCCTTGATTCTTTTTTAATCGATAAAAAGATTGTATATCACAGGATCTTCGGTTGCCAGTTTCAGAACTTATTTGTGAGAAAGAAAATGCCCGGAAAAGCCTAAAAAATATGGGAAGCATGAAAGGACCAATGTTCGAGAATCTTGCCATTCAAAAAGGGTCCTGGATTCTAGTTACCGGAGTCAACGGCTATATTGCGTCTCATATCGCCAATCAGCTACTATTGCAATTTCGAATTGGTACCCGTTGAAGATGCGGTTTGCTCAGGTGCCTTCAACAATGTTATTCAAGGTAGGCCACTCCATGTATTGCACTCTGCATATCTAACTTCTGTTAACCCATTGGCATGATATAACAGGTGTCTCGGGTGTAGTTCACGTTGCAACTATTTTCGGTGGCGGGCAAGACATTATTGAAAGAGTGATCGGTATGAATTGGAATCCCCTAAACACCGCATCCCAGGAGCCGGCAGTCAAACGACTTGTATACACTTCCTCCTCTGAGGCCGCTGTTTTCTCGTCTTCCCTTGAGCGTGATGAAAAGCAGCCTGCGCGAATAATCCCAAAACTTGGAATGAGATTGCGATCGAGAGGATTCAAGGCAGAACATCTTCTGTCACACCAAAGGAAGGATTCGATGTCTATGCTGCGAGCAAGACGTTGGGGGAGCAGGCGATCTGGGACTGGGTGAAGAATTCCCAGCCGCGGTTTAAGGTCAACACAGGTAAATTCGAGTTTTCCCAGTCTCTGCAGAGATTTTGACACATCTCTCAAGTTCTACCGTCGGTCTGCTTCGGGGCTCGATTGAACCGGAGAAGCAAGGGCATGCGTCTTCGTCTGGTTGGCCAACGGCAATCTTTCGAAATGAGTTTCACAGCATCTGGCCTGTCCTGAAGCATATCATACCCACAGGTGAGACGGATTTGTGATATTCCCTTAATATTATGAAAACCTTCTAAATCCAATCAGGTGCCTACTTTGCCAACGTAGAGGATGTTGCCCTACTTCATGTGGCAGGCCTCGTCAGTACCGAGGTTGAGGGCGAGCGACTGTTTACATTTGGAAGGCCTTTTACTTGGAAAGAGATCACGCAAATATTACAGGCGAGCTTTCCCTGTCGCAATTTCTCGGACGAGCCAATGAAGCACAAGATGATAGCGACCAATTGTCCAGGCCTTTGTGTATTTGTCAAAGTGCTTAATTCATTCAAAGCCGAGCTCGTTAGTTGTCCAACTGTTTTCTGATGTAGTATCTATTGGTAGTTGGCTATCCTGATACCAAGAGAGAAGATTATATTGACCCTTGACAATGATGTATGGCAGGATTGCCCAGCCACGAGCATTAACACCCTGGGTCACTGTGACCCATTCATGAGCACCAGGCTGTTTTGTTTTTGTTTTGCCATGTTTTTTGGAGCTTGTGACAACCATTGTAGTCAAGGTCATTCCCAGACAAAGGCAACTTTGCCAGAAGCACAGGATACTACGAGACAAATTTCACTGTTTTGGTAATAATTGTGGAGGGCATTCAATCACTCAAGGGAGTATGATAGAGAAGGAATCTCTAATGGCCTGAATTTCCAACAATATGCAGATCCTGGCCGTTTCAAAGGTTCTTTGCCATTGAATCACCCATTCGAGTGGATAACTCATGTGGAAATTATTTGCATTGAAATCGGCCATGACCAGTAATTGGCGAGTTGTATTATTTACCGTCCTTTGCTTCATTTAACTAACTTAAGTTACTGCATGGGATCGACGGAACTATCGAGGGAGACTCACGCCATCCTCTTGTTCTTATGCATGCGCCAGAATCAGGTCCGCCCCCTTCTCAGCCACAGCATACAGTGTCGCCTGGATATTGCCCTGCGGCTCCAGCGGAAACACGCTGGCATCGACCACCCGCAGATTGCGCGTGCCATGCACCCGGAGCCGGTCATCGACCACGCCCCCTTGGTCGACCGGCATCATGGCGCAGCTCCCGGCGGGGTGGAAGCACGTAAAAAGCCGGTCTTGAACTGCCTGCTTCGCGCCCTCCAGGCTCGCCAGCGTCGTCTCTTCCACGCTGGGGATGCGCTGTTCCGGCTTCAGTAGGGACCGGAAGGGCTCGGTGTTGGCGATCTGCTCGATATACTGCGTGTGGCGCGCCAGGATCTCCAGATCCAGCGGGTGGCTCAGGTACGCCGGGTCGTAGGCCGGCTTGTCTTCAACGTGAGACGATCGGATATGCACGGAGCCCCGCGAAAACGGATGGCAAAGCACCGCCAGAATGCTGATGTAGTTTCCCTCGGCTTTCTTGTCGAATAGCTCCGCCATGGACGTCCCTCCGGCGTTCATGTGCAGCTGCAGGGGCAGGAACAGGTATTCGGCCGCCGCCTGGCGGTCATCCAGGAGAGTTTGGGCTAGCAGATCTTTCTGCTCCTGGGAGCACGCCCCGACATCGTTCCCCTGCAGAGCCTCCGTCACAATCCGGTGAGCCTCCTCTTTCGAAGCCTTCTCCTTGCCATCCACCAGTGGGATATAGGCCGCGCTCACGGGCATGCCCGCCAATGGACCAGTTCTAGTTTTCTGATACAGCTCCAGCAGCGACTGGACCACCTGGGGATCGCGCATGACATCGCCCGACACCTGGCCATCGGCAACTTTGTAACTGATGACGGATATGCAGTGGTCCTGCAGGTTCTCTCCGACGCCAGGAAGGTCTACAACAGCAGGGATGTTGTGTTTCCGCAACAAATCCGCGTTCCCGACCCCGGAAAGCTCTAACAGCTGCGGCGAATTCAGGCTACCGGCGCAGAGAATCACCTCCTTCCGCGCAGAAATCGTCTTTGTGCCCTGCGCATGGCAAACCTGAACCCCCGTCGCAGTCCTCTGTCCATCACCAGCCCCATCACCCGCTGCGAACAGGATTCTCTCGACACTCGTCTCAGTCAGCAGCGTCACATTCGGTCGATCAATGTCGTACGCCGTCGCCGCGCCGCGGGTCGCATTCTCCGCGCACACTGACAACGGAGGCATAAACGCTCCCAGTTTGTCACCCTGGATCGGGTCATTGGCATCATTCCAGCCGAGCTTCGCAAAGGTCTCGTCCCAAGCCTGGTTGAAGGGTTCATATGCCGCTGGGAACGAGACCGGCAGCGGGCCAGTCGACCCTTGCTCGCTGGGATCCATGTACCCATCCAATGCGAGAAAGCGAGACACCTCCTCGTCGGGCGTGGTGTACGTGTGGAACTTCCGCAGATACGGCGCCATGTCCTCTGCGCCCCAGTCCGCATTGCCTAGCGCTTTCCATGAGTTGAAGTCTCGCTGCGACGGGTACAGGACCATGGAGAAGTTGAGCGCCGACGATCCGCCCACCACGCGGCCCCGGGGTTGGGGTATCTGGCGCCCGTTGACGTGCGCCTGGGGCTCGCTCATAAAGTCCCAGTCGACTTCTTTGTCGCCGAAAAGGGTTGTCAGTAGACCTGGGGTTTCGATGCGTGGGTCGCCGCTGCGGTCAGGGCCAGCTTCGATGAGGAGCACGGTCGTGTTGGGGTCTTCGCTAAGACGCGAGGTTACCACGAGACCGCCGATGCCGGCCCCGATGACGATGTAGTCGTACTGTTGGTGAGTGTTGGATTGAGTCATTTCGTCGAAGAGAGCTGGAGAGGGATGAGATTGGATGGAGGAAGGGGAAGGAGGGCCTGGAGGTCGATGAGAGTGTCATCCATGAGCATCTGTCCTCGATCTGTCAAAGTATAGTAGACTGACGACGACCTGCAAATGACTTCGAGTCTGCACAAGCCACACATCGAGCTACACCAGGTGGATCCCATGACGAATAATAGTTTGCATCTAAGGTTACGGTACACCCACTGACAAGGCCACTGCGGTGTGGCCAGTACTGGCAATGGCACTGATACTCACCGTGTGACGGGAGACCCTGAAGGGATTGGACAATGTCTCCAACCAAAGCACTACAGAGCGCTAAGCCGCTCCATACCATACCATTCCATTCGTCTACCCCCTTGAATTTCACCCCCTGGATTTCCGAACTAGCTGTCATACGATTGCGACAGCCATCCATTGGTTATGTCGGCGGTACACCTCACCGACCTTCCCACGGCTTCGCAGTTGGGTAAAAAACACTTTGGAAAACAGACTCTGCATCAATGGCCTAGCGTGCCCCATTCCCCATCCACAAGCATAATCAGTGCCTTGCCACCGCGATCTGTGCAGTGCGTGAACTCTGCCACCGCCAATGACGGCAGCGGCCTAGTGTGAATAGAATAACTAACTAGAGGCCTAGTATTTATCTATGCACGAAAACGTCCGCAGTATTTGATGAGCAGCCTGCAGCGCCCTGCAGCAGAACCACTGTTCCTGCTAAGGTTGATAAGACTCATTGTGCGCATGTGGCTAATCTCGAGTCAACTCCAGGATACTCGAGCCATGAGAGGCCCTCCAAAGGTCAGTACTCAGCTGATAGTTGCGTGCTGATTTCATTGACATGGGTCTTGTTAGCTGTCGAAGAGGGAAACTGGGCAGAGTGCGTGGGCTGCATTGGCTGCATTGAGATGTGATCGGAACTAACTTTGCATGGCTGCTGCAGAGGCGGAGGAGTATAGAGCTGAAGACGATCCTGATATAGTGTGCGATTGGCTGAGCGTGGTGGGGATCCTGCAGAACCGGTCGATTTGGAGGGTCCACATCTTTCTACTCCGCTAGCCACTGTTGGTGCGAGTGTATCCCACCTTTCTTTCGTAGACCGGCATTCGGGTAATGTTACTGTTCTGCACGTTGATTCCGATCTGGTAATCCCAATGGCTCAGCTGTTATCGCCCAAAGTTTGGAGAATCCATGACAAAACCTGGCGAGGAGAGAGCATATGCAATGGAAGCATGGACACTAGGGGGGAATCCTGGGTGGGCTTTGATTGAGTCGTCCAAGGTATTTAAATAGCACTCCTCTTGACACAACAAAGTCAACTATCTCAGATCACGTCCAGTGTCCATAGTCACAGCAAACAACCCCTATACCCCAAACACACAAAAGACACACAATGAACATTCCTGTTCAAGGCGAAAGCACCTTTGGCTACCACGGCCTGGAGACCAGTGGCCCCTCCCACGAGGAGGTCGTCAAATTCCTCATCCGAGAGTTTTTGGAGAAGATCAATTTCGACCGCAGTCTGCCCTTCACCAAAGACCATGAGCTCGAAGCCGCGGTGTGGACCTACTTCAAGAGCCTGAACATGGGGGAGAAAACAGAGTCCGCGGTATACAAGGCCCTCAAACTCTCTGTCACTTTAACCCACCAAGCCTACACGCTGCTTCCCTTTGAGAACAAGGTTCTCTGTGCCATCCAGATTCTTTATATGTTTCTTGTCGATGACATTGCCGAGCATTTTATGGATGACCTACGTTGCTTTGCCCAGAAGTACGGATACCTCCCTCCCTACCCAACACTATCTCTCGATCCCAGCTGATAGAACATGATTGATACAGCTTCATCCTGAATAACCCCCACAACCACCCCCTCCTCCGCAACTTCGACTCCCACCTCCGCTACATGGCCCAGTATTACGGGCCCTACTGCCACTCCACGATTATCAAGTCCCTGTTTGACTACGTCAACGGCCGGATCCTAGAACACGAGATGGAACAGACCCAGTTCAAGTTTCCGACCAGCTCCCGGCTGATGCCCATGCTTCTGCGCACGAAGGTCGGGGCGGCCGAAATCTTGGTTTCCATGATGTGGCCGAAGGCCGTCTTTCCGGAGGAGACGTATCTCATGCGGTACTTCCCTGCGATCGGCGAGCTGGTGATTTTTATCGACTTCACCAACGACATTCTGTCGTACTACAAGGAGTTTGTGATCCGGGAGGAGAAGGGCAACTTTGTGGCGAATTTTGCCGAGACGCATTCCATGTCGCATTTAGAGGTGCTGCGCCATATGGCGAGTTATACGCCGCAGGTGGGTTATTCTTCTTCAGTGATGCATGTTTTCCAACGGAAAGTGCTAATATAGACCATCCCCCACAGGTGATTAACTCAGTGTACCGTATGCTCCAGGGCCAGGAGGAGCTGCTGAAGCAAGTGCAGACCTTTGTGAACGGCTGGATTATGCTGTGCACTGCGCACCGGCGGTATTATCTAGTGGAGCTGTTTGAGGATGAAGGGTACCTGCCGCCTTATGATGAAGATGCTTGAATGTCCCGAATATTGACTATTCGTGCACATGGATGTATGTACAGATAGACGTAGGGAAAATCGATCTGCAGATGCTGGCGTACTGGCGGATTGAGATCCATACAAGCCGTTTTGATTCTTCCTCTGTTAGGACATAGCTGCTGTATATCCGTAACTGTCTGTATAACTACGAAGTAGAAAGTGGGCTGACCTATCATGGCTCTAGTTCTCTGCAACTGACTCGAGATCCGGTCGGTGCTCCATCTGCCCTACCCCTAATTCACAACACGAACGCGAGATGATCCAATCAGTTCCTCAAAAGGTTAGATTGATGAAAAGGCATCGCCCCAACAGATCTACCAGTCAAACTTTGCACTCGGAAAGATCGGCAGTTCCGAGATCGAGCCTTCGCATGTCTACATAGTTCGGGCAATGGGCCATTCTGAAGATGTTGCGGTGTATGTTGGGGCCTAGCCCTGTTTGGCAGTGAAGGTCACATGGCCCGCACATCTAGATAGCTCCGGCAGATAGCTTCATTTGGTAGAATCGGAGACATTTTCGCCTCCATCGGATCCCTTCGCATAGCTACGTGTCTCGTCATAACATCAAGCACGGCACTAAGCCTAATGACACTACTATTCCCCTGATGCATTATCAAGAATCGATAATTTACATTATTTCGTCCTGTAGTACTGAGTCTTGGCAGAATGTAGAAAGTTATTTATCACGCTGTTGAATGCTGTCCAGGATCATGTTGAGGACTGCCTTTTTCACTCCACCACGGCTTTCGTCGAGGGCATCGATCTGAGCTTGTAGCTCCCCCAGCCTCCTTTTCTCAAAGTCCGTGTACAGCGCATCTATCCCCAGCTCACTGAATATGCCCTTGACTCTTCGTTCATGATCCATCCCCTTCTGCCCATATGACTCCCTCAGCGCCTGTTGCTGGTGCACATCACTCAACCCCCGCGCCTGCACGACAAGCCACGTACACTTACTATCCTGGATATCGGTGCCCACCTTACCAGTGACGGCTGGGTCCCCGAAGACATCGAGGAAGTCATCCTGGATCTGGAAATAGACCCCAATATCCAGCAACACGCTCTTCGCCTGTCCCAGCCCCTCCTCACTCGTCCGCCCACAATAGAGCATTGCCAGCGCAACCGGCAAATAAAAACTGTAGAACGCGGTCTTGTTTCTCGCGATAAACTCATACCGCTCCGCCGTCATATCCTGGATCTGTCCACTGGCCGCCGTCGTGGTATCACACAGCTGACCCAGCTCCGTCCGAAACGCCGCTTCATGGAAGAGCTCCACAAGGGCAGCGTACTCGGGATGGCCGCGGAAGTGTCGCCGCAATAGCATAAAGATACACGACTTCAGCATGCAAGCGTCGTTGATCGCCGTCAGTCCGACCCCTTCGCCTTTGTACCAGCACGGCCGGCCGCGGCGGTACTCCGAGCCGTCCATGATGTCGTCCCACACAAGGTAGGCCGCCTGGAAGAGCTCGACCAGCCAGCCTAGGATCCGGAGGTGTGCGTGCTCTTGCGGGGTGGGGGGGTTCGGGAGAAGAGCGTAGCCTGATTTGACAACAGTGATGCCACGGTTGAGCTTGCCGCCTTCGGTGGTCGCCGTGAGACACTGCGCTTGGATGTCAGCGTGTTGTGTACATAGATCAGCGGTTTTGGAGGAGAGGTAGGGGCGCCAGGAGAAGGGGATATACATCGAGAAAGCGAGATATGTTTACAGAGGGGTTCCCCCTTTGCTCGAGGTCCTCTTGCAGTTCGGCAAAAAGCTCTGAGCGAGTCGCGGCGAATGTCTCCAGGGCTGCCATGATGGGACGCTCTATCGAAGGGTAGACCAGTGTGTTTGTCCTCTCAAAAGGTAAACCGCTGAAAAATTATGAGATTCTTTAATAACGTGCAATCCAACCACGTATCCCAAGGGATTCACGGATCGTCACTGTTCTTGTCGAGGAAGCGCAGCCAACATACACTCGCTACCATGCCAAGGGTTAGCTACTGCATACACCATCTTGCAGCTGGGCCACCACGATGAGCTGGCACTGAGTGGGGTCGGAGACAGAACAGCCCCACTGGCATCCAGGTTTTGGGAAGAAGACTCAGGAGCAATGCGCGATCGTGGATTCTTGGTATGTGGACGGGCCTTTAGGTGGCCCACTTGGCCCGGTACCATGGAGAAGACACGACACAGTAGCAGGCCGTACTGTGTACTGCAGGCCGCATCGAGGGGTTCTTACCGAGATATCCCCGGCCTGCATACTGTTACTTCAAGTCTGCAGCTCTTCACGCCTGCACGGTCCATGTGATGAGCTCCACCCTCAGCCGCACTGGTTCGTTTGTTAGGGTCATGATTGACGTGAATCTGCAAGCCTCTGCTCATGGTTGGTACAGGGCTCCCCCCTCCATCACACCATCACCGTGACCGTGACCGTGACCGTCAATCAGCACAGGCATGATATTCAGCTCCGTACTGCGTATATTGCGTACTCCTCCATCCCCCACTACTCATGGTCAGCCCCTCCAAAAGGACTCTATCCAGGTTCCACAGCTCCTGGATGGAAATATCAGCCAGCCCCAGAGCGATGGCCACAGAAGCGATGTGATTCGAGAATCTCTTGCTGTCGAGGATGCCGAGACATGGTTGTGGGCAGGGTCTTCAACATTGATTCCTTCGGTTTTATCAAGTCAACCTCTCTAGTGCTCTGTGACCGGACTTCTATACTCTATGTTCGTGAAACATGGCTTCTTTGTGGATATATGCGTTGTCTATCTTGATCTTGTATGGCGCAAGCAAACTCCTCCGAATGGGGGCTCGTGAGCAAAGTCTACCTCCAGGCCCGCCAACAGTGCCTGTTCTCGGTAATCTTCATCAGATACCTTTAACAGGATTCTACAAAAAGTACGGTTTTCTCTTGGGTTTGAAAACTCCAATAACCAACTCGTATTCGTTCCTAGGTTACTCGAATGGGGAGAGAAATATGGGAGCATCTTCTCATTAAAAGTGGCCTCTGGAACAACCGTGATCCTCCTTGATCGAATGGCAATCCACCAACTACTCGAGAAAAAGGGTTCCATCTACTCAGATCGACCTAGAGACCATGTGGTGTCGATAATTGATTCGGGTGGATTAGCCCTGTGGGATAAAAATGCTCACTGGATGATGCAGAGAAAGGTGACATCCTCGAGCCTTTCCCCATCTCAGGTCGAAGGAAAGCTCCGCCAGATCCAAGAAGCGGAGTCCGCGATTTTGATTCGTGATCTTGGACTCACTCCCCAGAGATTCTTTGACCATGTCAAACGCACCATTTTCTCAGTTAACGGTATAGTTGCCTGGGGGTTCAGGGCACCGACTTATGAGAGCTGGTGGGCATCTGGAGCGTGTGACGTGTCGGATGAATTCTTCTCAGGCATCACACCCGGCGCATATCCGCCGGTGGATCAGTTCCCTTTTCTAAAATATTTGCCTGATCTGATGAGTCCGTGGAGAATACGTGCCCAGCAACTGAAGAAAAGAGTCGATTCTTTCTGGGGTGACGCACGACGACGCCTGGATAAAAGACGTCAAAAGGGCGACAAGCGAGATTGCATCGCAGATAAGCTGCTAGATGGGACTCAACCCATTGATATGCCTCTTACAGACCGACAATTTAACGATTTTTTGGGTTTCCTCGTTGCAGCAGGGTCAGACACCACCTCCGCAACTACTTTAACCTCGATTCGTTACCTTGCGGGCCATCCTCATGTACAGAAAAAAGCCCAGGCTGAACTCGATGCTGCGTGCGGAGCGGATAGGTCTGTTTAATGACCAAATACTTATATATGATACCATGACTAAATTTCTTCCAGACTACCTCTTTGGTCGGATTATGGCAAACTTCCTTATATAAACTGTATTATCAAGGAAGGCATGAGAATCCATCCTGTGTGAGTCGAAAATCCCTATCTATTGATTCAAGTAAACTAATTTTTTGCAGGGTTCCTGTAGTCTTTCCACATCGTGCTCGACAAGACAATTGGTACCAGGACATGTTCATCCCTCGAGATTCGCTGCTTCTCATACCCGCCTGGGCTCTCCATCACTCCGAAGCTTGTGGGTACAAAGATCCGGAACGTTATAACCCTGACCGTTTTATCCATCATCCGAAACTTGCTCCAAGTTATGCAGCAAGTGCCGAGTATATGAATAGAGGTGAGGATTTGATGACCCTGCTTAGTATGCAGATTTTGGTCTAGCTGACATCCCAATAGACCACTATGCTTATGGAGCGGGTCGTCGTCTTTGTCCTGGTATCCATCTCGCAGAGCATATGCAGTGGCATATCACAGCAACGTTACTGTGGGCTTTTGACATCGTTCCTGCGACTGATCCCGAGACCGGGGAAGAAGAGCATCTGGATTTAGATGCATTCCGAGATAGCCTTGTACAGCATCCAATGCCGTATAAGGTTCACTTCAAGATCCGGAGCCAGGCGCACATGGAAACAATCATGCGTGTCGCGAAAGAGGCAGAGTCATACCTGCAGCAGTTTGAGGAAAAGTGAAGTCTCGTGGGATTTGGGAATCCTTTGAATATGCGGAGGCGTGACCAGACTAGTTGTCCTTGTTCACTGGAATGGGCGAAGCAGTGCAGTATCACCATGACTCCTTGTTGTCAGCTTGTCTTTCACCATTGCTATTTTTATGTCTACATTTCAACAGAAGAGCACCATTTATAAAGAAAATTGATAACGTGAGCAGACAGTCAATCCATCGAGTAGGGAATTATTATTGCTATATAATAAAAAAACAAAATCATCAGGAGCAAGAAACTAGCCACAAAGTAGCACCGGTAGCCAACCCCACGAACGAAACAGACAAAGACACAGATGGCACTGCTCTTGCCATTGGAACTGCCGCTGCCGCTGCCACCACCGTTGCTACTTGCGCTGTTTGGGAAGACGATGAGAAAGAAGAGCTCCTGGAAGTGTTCTCACCCGGGGCATTCGAGACGCTGCTCGCAAGCACTTTCAATCGAATCCCGGGTAATTCCTTGCCGGTGTGGTCGTACACGGTCTGGGGGGTTGTAACCGAGAAGACGTCCACGAGTTGGCCGGTTCTGGCGCCCTCCAAGCCGTGGTCGATCATGTCTTGGACCTTGAGTGGACGGGACGGGAGGTCGAAGGCATCGAGGAAGGAGTTCGATTTCGAGTTCTCGATGAGACCAGACTTACAGGGAGGCGACCTCACGGAGGTCTGGGAGTCCTTCGCTGTCTGGACTTTCTTCATATCGAGCTTGGTGTACCGAATACTGAGGTTCTCGTAGTCGATGCGGAGGGTGGCGGTCCCGTTGGCGTTGAGCTGGACCAGCCCGTAGTTGTTGCTTTCCTGTGAGTACTCGTAGACGAGACCCCCCGAGAACGACTGCGACATGGCGTGAACAGTTACGAGTATTGTGCCGTCACGGCGACCGGAGACCATGCTTGAACCCATTGTCGAATAAAGTAGCACGATGAGAACAGAATAGAAGAGATGGAAAGACTATTACTTATAGACTCTTTCCGTTGTCAGTATCAAATGAAGTTCTAAACAAGATTGCCAAGTTGACCAGAGTTAAAAGATATCAAAAGCATTCTTTCTCGCAGAACTAAAACAAAAGAGAAAGACGCTACACTCCTTTTCTTTGAGGTTAAGTTGGCCAAGCAACATGAGCTACCAAGTCTGAATAGCACAGCGATGATGAGTAGCAACGAAGGTCGGTAAAAAGGGCCTCTCGCCATTTTCAAGGCAAGGTAAGAGAATCGACTAGTGAATGTCAGACTGGGTATTTGGAGAAAACAGCACCCGTGGGATACTGGCAAGGGCGGTTCACAGTTCATGAAAAGATAACCGTTTGAGGATTAAGGCTATAAGACTAGTTATTATGGCTAAGCAGAGTCATTAACTCCTCGTCTTACCGAAATTTCTTCTTTGCACTATCCTGGAAAACTAAATGCCCGTCTCATGGCAGTGGAATCACACCTACATATAAGTGTTTCTGGGCTTTCGCAGAGTTTCGCTCATGGCTTTTGTTATCTAGAATTCGTTCTTGTGCATATCTAGCACCGGAAACTGGACTTCCGCCGTCGCCGTAAGCCAATGCAGAAAGCTGTTGAATTGGACAAAAGATCAGATCATTAACACTCAGGATGTTGTAGTGGTGACGGAAACGTGGCAGGATAATGACGGTGATTGGTAGGCTGAGTCGACCATTCCCATCCCCCGACGGCAGCGGCTCGAAATTCATGAGTATGATGTACTGGGCGTTCTCCAAGCGCTTAATGCCAGAGGTAATTAACCACTAGAATCGATATGGATACCTATGATGAAGCAGGTAATCGAATACGTCTAGTCTCTGGATACATGACATAGTGAATTTGCCAAGTCGTCAGGGTAGCAGTTAGATCTAGGAAAGATTTTGGCGTGAACCTGAAAAGAACTAGATGCAATCTGTGGCGATTTATGATCAATAGGTCCTTAAATACTGGAACTGAGGTAATGTATATTGTTTCCGCGGACGCCAAATTCCCGGGCAATTGAGACAGCACCCTCTGGTCCAAGAATAGCCGGATGATCCAAGCAAGACTCCCATTATTTGCGTTCTTGTCAAAGGGAGCTGATCTTTAAAAGGGCTGTTGGTAGTGTCTGAGGAGCCTAGCTGGTATGTCCAGAGACAAGAATTCAATTGTCATGGCTGACTGCCCATGTTTGCCTCCCCGTCAGCAGAGACAATGACTTCGTCTTTCCCTGGTCTGACGAGCCACAGAGCGTACCGTCATCGCCAGGCCGTGGTACTCACATGGCCAAGACGCTCAACCACCACATTTGCTATCAACGCTCGATCCCTGCGATACAGGTGGTGGCATGGAACTCCCGTGGAAGGTTTTCTGCAAGGACGATGATTCCAGCGGTGTGGCTCTCCAGCTTCTCCAAGACAGCTGGCATCTATTCAAGCATCTGCGCCTGGGCGACTGGCTGCAACAGGCGATGGGAAAGCAGCCAGCCGTGATCACAGTGTTCAACATGTATCATAACCAGCTGAGTTAGTCTCTTTTCAATTTCTTACGCCAATACCCCAGGGAGGTCAAGAAATACGACACGATCGCCAAGGTAAGGATAAATACTGCTGTAACACCCCAGAGGCAGCAGGTCTGATCCTGAGCATAGACACTCCAGTGAAATGATCCTTTTTTGTCCACGACTGTGGCACACGCACTGCACTGCTGTGGGGCGCTTGGCCATTTTGAAAGTTTCATGTTGGATGCCCATTTCATCACCCTTCCTTTGAAAACGGTCCTCGCCTGTCCCAACAAATATGTGCGTCGGCGATTAACTGTACTTGAAGTGTGATATCACCGTTATCAGACAAGTCCGGCCCTGGCTTGAGACAAGTTCCCTGTTGACGCCGACTTTCTGCTATCGGTCAGCAAACGCCCTGTGAGACCTATTGCTCTACAGCTGAGTGAAGACGCACTGCGAGAGTTCCATCAATTAAATACCCATAGTGTTCTTGTGAACGGTGATTTCTTGCACTGGCTCAGCACTCGGTGGGATCGCTTATGTCAAGAGACGGAAGAGGCAGTCGCAGTACAAGAGTTGAGCGGCCAAATGGAGTCGCTGACTTCGGTAAGTTCTGCTCCAAGTTAGCGACTTATTGCTGATGAGGTACCCCAGGATCTCTTCCATCTGCAGAACTTCTTCTCCCTCTCCGCCGTTCTGAGTGGGATGTCTGTTGCGGGGAAGCGGCCAGAATCCATCAGCCACCTCTTCGACCTCGTCGATAGCGAGGCAAATTACAGGCTTTACAGGATTGCCCTGCGCGCGGAACCGTCACTTCCGTTCCTTTATCCTCGATTGTCGATTATAGGAGAGGCAACCAGAAGACACTCCTGTCAGTCTTCGGTTTTCTCCGCTACCACCACTACCTTGAGGAGGCCATCAGCCACGGAGCTTCGCAGATGACAGGTGGGATTGGCCGAGCTTTGTAGCGCACCAACCCATGACAATTTTTCTCTTGAATAATACCTCGTCAGCTGTGTGGAGATGCTGGTGGTAGTTTACCCACCAAGCAGTCGCGAAGATTCAGCATTCTTTTTCAGTTGTCAGTCGACTTGTAATTGAGATGCTTATTACATGCTGTATCAGTTCATGCGTGGCTATCGCATTGCACGGATACGATGCTCTAAGTGGGTAATCAGCATCCGCCCCATCTGGAAAGCTCTTCTGAAGCTTGCAGAGTTATCGATGGTCATGTACATGTGCAAAAATTGGTATGCAACCGAGCTGCGGCAAAGGAAGTCATTGCATCAGTAATATGGTTATGATGAAAACCAGAGTCGATGGGAGTTAATATGGAGCCAGACAATAGCATGATCCACGGCAATATATAATATCCTATTCCTATGGGTTTCGTGGTCTGGTGGGTTAAGAAGTCTGCAGGCCTATAAGTATTGTCATGAGTTTCTTCTATAACAATCCTGAAGAGATTGCAACCATGGGGGTTAGGTCAAGAGTGCAAATTGTGAGACCGGAGGATGTGTGCATTCATTTATGCCGACTGGAGCGATTTGCAGAACCACAACTATAAGTACCTGTTTATGACCATGTGGAGCGTACCATTGTGATCAAGACCAATCGGCTTACTGCAAAGACGACCGAATGCAGCATATAACCAATCATTATTCTGGTGTTTCGCCCTCTTCCCCCATGGTCGCACTTCGCATATGCGCAGTTCTGTACAAAGTCTACACTTGGAAGCAAGGGTTCTACAGATAACCCATATGTAGACTAGCGTGTTTCAAGTCAGGGTTCAAGAGATAGCTCGTGAGAAAGTATGGGGTATACTCATTTCGAATTTTGCTGTAGCTCTGTTCTTTTGCATCTTGTCCATTTCCTTTCCCTTTCCTGTCCTCATCCGCCCAGCTAGGGAGAGCTGGTGTTAGGCTTTAGGCATGCAAGTCCTGTACAATGTAGCCTATCTTCCTACGAGAAGTACAAAGGAAATTAAGTTTTCACGTAATTTAGAGCTGAGGTAGTCCCATGGTAGATTTTAAGAATTAGCTTGATGGTTGCGGCATCAGGAACTGGAGAACACCTTCCCAACACCAGTCATTCACCGATAGGCTATTGGCTGGCATGCACACATTTTACCCGTGTAACAGAAGACACATGCCTGGATGCTGTAAAACGGATTTTCCCCTAACTCCCAAATCATCCCATGGTCGCTTTCAGCCCGTCGCAGAGCATGGACGCAGTGGCCGCCGGTAGGGCACACTTTACAGTTGCAGTCCTAGTCACACAGTGCAACAGTTCGCCAGCCCCTGTTCACGTCACAGAAAGTTGCAGAATAATCAGTAGCGATAACCGCGCATCTGTAGATACTTGGTGAACATCCAGGCTCAGGTAGCGCCAGAAGTGGGAGCAATAGAGTGAAGGTGACAGCTGTTAATGAAAATTATTCTAAAATAGCCAGCAAGCTATCCCAGCCTCTACGCCATGTCAAACAACTGTCAAAAACGGCGTTGGCTATTAGTTTCCGCCAATAGGCTTCCAATGAAGATATCCAGGTGAAAGCAGTTACAGTTAGGGCAAGAAACATTCTCCAGCGTGCTTTTTGGTCGACCATTCTGTTGACATTTCCCCAGTTCTGACATATTGAGTATTATTTGACACTTTGTTCAATCTTCGCCGATTAATTCAATCATGGGGATTGAGACATTGGATAGAAGCGGGGTGTGTAAAATCAAGCCTTGCACAATTTGAGGACCAACCGCAAGAATTGGGCATGACCTGTCAAATCAAACTTGCTCGGCAAAAGCTTGCCGTATGGGAATGGAGCAATTGGTCTTGACCCCAAATCACCAATCTGCAGCGATACTTCTCCGTCCCCGTCTTCAAAGGTCTAACACTGCCTGGCCCTCTAACACAGGGATACAGGGTGTGGGTATGGATGCGGGAGTGGTCAAGGATACTGCAACTTTCCCTCAACTTTATGCCAGATACGCCACAGCTTTCCGCTGTCAGATGTTCGTTCAATACAGAGCCTGAACAAAATTGTTCTGCTGTTTTACATACTGGAGGCGGTCGGATTTAAGCAGTTTTTATAAAGAGATTCTGTACACAGCAAAACTTGATCCTTGTTATTCAGCTATGTGAATTAAGATCTATACGGGATTTCTCTGGTTCCAATCCAAACTACGAAGATAATAAAGAATTATGGTCGAGCATTTCATTGGATATCTTTAGCGATAGACTTTACAATAGCAAAGCCATACAATTCTGTAAGTACAAGTAAAAGCATGGAACAGTTAAGTATTTCAAAAAATCAAACGAGCGCATCCCGCTTGCTCACAAGCCCAATTCAAATCCTCGAATTCCATTATCCGTACGCCATCAGATTAACCCATTTAGTTGTTAGCGGGCTTAGGCTTGGGGGGAGCCTTGTTGTCCTTGGGAGCTGGGGCATCGCCGCGCTTGTCGTGCTTGTCGTCCTTAGGGGGGGGAGGGATCTGAGTGTCCTTGGGGGCGGGAGGGGCGTCACCGCGCTTCTCCTTGTTGTCCTCGGGCTTAGGAGGGGGGACCTCGGTGTTCTTCGGGGGAGGAGCGTCACCGCGCTTGTTCTTGTCACCGTCCTCAGGCTTGGGCGGGACAGTGGTGTCCTTGGGAGGGGGAGGAGTGGTGGTGTCCTTCGGGGGAAGAGCATCGCCACGCTTCTGCTTGTCATCCTCAGGCTTAGGAGGGGGAGGGACCTGAGTGTCCTTGGGGGCAGGAGGGGCGTCACCGCGCTTCTGCTTGTCGTCCTCAGGCTTAGGAGGAGGAGGGACCTGAGTGTCCTTGGGGGCAGGAGGGCCGTCACCGCGCTTCTGCTTGTCATCTTCAGGCTTAGTGGGAGGGGGCACCTCGGTGTTCTTCGGAGGTGGAGCGTCGCCACGCTTCTGCTTGTCGTCCTCAGGCTTAGGAGGAGGGGGGACCTGAGTGTCCTTGGGGGCGGGAGCGTCATCACCCTTCTTCTTCTCGTCCTCAGGCTTAGGAGGAGGGGGGACCTGAGTGTCCTTGGGGGCGGGAGGAGCATCACCACGCTTGTTCTTGTCACCGTCCTTGGGAGGGGGGACCTGAGTGTCCTTAGGAGGAGGGGGGACATCGCCACGCTTGTCGTGCGGCACAGGGAGGTCAGTCGGAGCGCCAGGAGCAGGAGCCTGGATGTCGGTAGGGCGAACACCCGGAGGGGCAGCGGACACAAGTCCGGCAACCATCATGGTAGAGAGAATGGCAGAGACCTTCATGTTGAAGAGTTCGATTGATTGGATAGAGGAGTGATTGCTCTGAGTGCTGTTGAGATTGGATTGTTTGATGATGAGAAGGAAGCACTTAGGCAGACTAGAGAGCCCTCTTTATAGCTTCTTGACGGATGATAGATCTCAGTCTTGACTCCTATTCTGGCACCATCACTCTCCCCCATGACGAGGCCGTATGTGATGGTGCGTGCAGTCGTCATCAGCGTTTCCAGGCTGAAGGCTGACGACGAATGATCGTCCGGAGACCATTGAAGAGCTAAAGTCATAGCATTACGAAAACAGTGGATCTCGATCTTGAGCACAATTTCTCCAGTCTTCGATTGGAACATCTGCTCCTATTGTTGTGACAGATATGTCGCCATTAGGTCAGTGTGGAGAGAGCTAAGCCTCGCCCTACACGTCGCAGCGTCAATTTTGACGAAAGCCGTTGTTTTGCGCACTCCCGAATACTTTGCGTTTCGGATTCTGCATCTGAGCTGTACAATGCGACTGTCGTGACGTCTACCGACAATCGCACGAGAATCACCAATAATGAGCGATGCTTCCATTAGCATTTTCGAGAACGCGAGGCCTGGTTCCCAATTGGGGATAGGCCGAGGACCTAAATTTAGCCTTACGTAGCGGCAACGAAGCTTAAATTCTTGGCATGCCGATCACTTGCTGACACATCGGAACTCGCGAAACCTCCGCTTCCGAGATATCAGATACTCCATACCTCGTGCACCACTCTCACACACTGGGCAGAGAGATCGACAACTGTTTGCGCAGCCACCCCAATTATAGCTGCCTGGACGGCAGGTGTGGACATGGCCAGGCCCGAAAGAGCGAGAAGGATCTCATACCGCTCAAATATGGGGTGGGTTTGGAGGTGATAGCCACTGGCCGGGGAACTTGTGGCACGGCTAGTTGACCGGATTTGCTAATACGCGTCCAGAAAATGGTATAATAGCGGCCTCTCAATACTCGAGTGTTATTGGATCATCATCATATGTTTCTGGTCTCTACTCTATAGGAAAGCTTTGGATGGATTCTTTCTCCGGAACTCGAATTCCGCTTACTATTGCTACCCCATAAAACCATCAAATGCCTCGTCTTACCAAACGGCTCCGCTGTGCCAAGTCGAAATTGGCGTGAGACTAAATGAAATACCGGCGTCGTCATCACTAGTGTACACTCAGCAAGAAAGTTTAAAAAAAAAAACACCGCTGAGCCATGTGCTAGACACCGGCTTTTAATCGAATGAAATCCAGAGCTCATCGCGCTATCTCTATCCATGTAGATCTTAATATCGTCGACACAGGGCTGGTTTCTATAATGCTTATTGAGTACCTTGTTGCTCGATCAGGAGTTGAGTTATCGAAGTGGCTCCACAAGTATACTCCGGAATACACTTGGCATTCCGGAGAAAAGGAGAAGCCAAGAACAAACACTGTTCGCGTTTGACAGCCAACCGTTTGCACGAGTAGTGCCAAGTCATGGCTTGCTTCTCAACATATTCAGTTACTGTCGATACTTGCCTTTGGCTCTTCGCAGATACGTTGAAGACTCGAAAGTCAGCCTGTAGATGCTACAGCAATGGCATTACATTCCATGATCAAAACATTCTCTTATCCTTTCAGCTGCGTTTTTCAATCGTGGTCAAGGTTTGAAAGGGGTTTTGTAAGAATTATCTAAATAGCTCCGTTTTACACTGCACTCTTACCATTGATTCGCTTCATGCTACTCAGAAGGCCGAAGAGCATATAATATCTGTTTGCTTTAGGTTTGCTAGCATGGTGTACATAACGCGCAAATCTTAAAGATACGTCGCTGCTTCTCACTCCAGATATCATCAGCAGTTTACTGAGTACAGTGCGCCAGTGTCAACTAGTAATTCAAACGTGTTGGCGAGAGTTCTGTTTCCTGATTACTCCAACCACACGATTACAGTCCGGGTGCTTATTATGTACTGAGAGAAGTATCATAAGAAAACTGTATTTTAAAAGTCACGCGATGTCTTAAGCATATTGCAGAGCAAAGCGACGCTCCGTGAAGAACAATGACACATCCAGCTCACTTCTCTCTTGTTTTAGAAATTACCAAAGCCCATTTTATAGACCATGTATTTATCAGATATATCTGATTTTCAACAGTCTAGAGTTCATGTCGATTCCGTGGACACTGCAGCATGATTACCGAACACCTTCACAACCAGACTGCGACCTTCGACCTCCGGCTCAGAGTGCAAAAGGGATGGTTGAACAATCCCATGATCGCAGCTCTGCTGAAAGCGGCTAAGGAAAGACATATTGAGTACGACAAATAGAGTCGGACTCTAAAGGTTCGCACAAACATACATCGGCGATACATAACAACTTCGCAGAATTCGTCTCCAGATTCTTCACGAGGTCGATACGAACCAATGGTATCACTGAAGAGCAAGAAAAATTACATCATCTTGGAAATCAAAGGCGTATTAGTGAAGGGGCAAAAGGCATACTCCGAGGGAAGGGCCATAGCATGGTTAAAGCATCATGGTTTCTCGATCAACGACGGTCAGGTTGGGGACGACTCGATACCTCGTGTTGTATTTGAGGTTGGTTTTGCACATCCGTATTATGCAGAGCAACGGCTTTTGTCCTCCTTAGGGTCGGTCGGGTTAGTAGTTTTGGGTCAAGATTGATGAGGATGTTAAGACGCTTGGCGATGAGTGGTCTGCCCGCGGTTAGTCTACACCAATGCGAGTCTATCCTAGATGCCCTACCGCCTCCGGTGGTCCAAAACAACCCTAAAATCAATATCACAAACCTCATCACTGAAGAGAAAGGAAAAACGTTCGATGATTTTGATGACTCTTGCTCAACCGAACTTAATGTCGACATCTACCGTCCATTATTACCCCGGCCATCAAGTGCCTAGCCTATCAACTGGCGATGGCCAAGCTTCGTCCCTAGCACAGTGAGGGTATAGATCCTGAATACGTATGGCGCCCCTCACCATGAAGCTGGGTTTGTGTTCAGCATCAGCGGTCCGTACTGACTGTTCACTTGGATATGGGCCCCTTCTGATTGAGCATGTGGTTGCTTTTCATTGCCTTTCATGGAACTCAATCGAAGTAAGTGAATTATCCAGACTCTCGAATATGATGGCTGGGAATGCACTGGTTGGAGAAGATTAGTGTGCCGTTCGAAGGTACCTACCATCATGCCACTGTCAGTGTCTATATTGGCCCAATGGTTTCTCAGAGTGCGAAGCTGGCCTATGTATCGTATCGTTTGCGAAATAGTTCGCTCTACGATCATGTTTCTGTTTTCAATGCGCGTTTCTACTTTTTTTTTTTTTTTTTGGTCCCGTGCTTATTTGTGTAATACCTATATCCGATACCCTATCTGTTTTATGACCAACATCCTTATGACTCTGGCATCGCTGGATGTTAGGTAACTGTCGAAGTAATCAATATCACATTCCTCTAATCACCAATGATTAAAGCCTAGGACCGCTTAACCAACATCAGAATCATTCTATCAATTTTCGCCAAAATTGGCTTGCTTGCTTGTTTGTTTTATCTTCCAAGACGTCCCCTTCATCATAGAATACAGAATGAGAAAAGAAAGAAGATCACCCACTAAGCAAGCAAAAACTTCGCCGCATGCTCAACATGATCATCCGCAAACGAAGCCATCGTATAATAACTGTGATCGTAATCAGGCTGGTACCGCACATTCACGCCCTGAATGCCAGCCTCGGAGACGGCCTTTTCAAAGTTCTCAGGGAGCAGTTGGCCTTGTTTGTAGAAGTTATCGCCGGTTCCCTGCCTTCGTTAACATGTTTTTCATTCTATCGCGGGGAAGGGGGTAAAGGGAACGTACGACATCGATCAACGCATTCAGTGGACCAGACCATTTCTTCACAAGCTCAGTGGCATCATGCTCCTTCCACTTGGCCTGCTGGTCGTCGCCAAAGTACCCGTTGAACGCCTTCTGGCCCCATGGGCAGTTAATCGGGTTTGAGATGGGAGCGAATGCAGAGACGGATTTGTATTTGCCGGGATTGCGCAGGAACTATTCATTACATCCCATGTTAGCGTCTCTTCATTCCCCAAATCTCAATAACGCAGGACCGAGGTGAAAGACATACCAAAGTGAGAGCTCCATGCCCTCCCATACTGTGTCCCGTAATGCTGACCCGCCCCTCATCGATCTGCGGGAACGCCGAAAACACAGTCTTGGGCAACTCCTCGGTGACATAGGTGTACATGTTGTAGCCGTTGTTGTAGGGCGCCTTGGTAGCGTCGACGTAGAAGCCAGCGCCGGAGCCGAAGTCGTATGCGTCGTTTTCGCCTTCGATGTTTAGGCCGCCTTCACACAATCATTCATATTAGCATCGGGGTTTGTTTACTTTGCGCCGAGGACCAAGGTGGTAAGGGAAGGGGTAGGGAACGTACGAGGACTCGTATCCGGATACAACACCGCAATCCCATGCTTACTAGCACCATGCTGGAAGAAGCCCTTCTCAGAGCAATTATCCGCAGTGCACGTCAAGCCGGACAAGTAAATCAGCAGCGGAATTTTCTGCGACGACCGGGCTTGCGGGGGGAGGTAAAGGTTGAAGTTCATTTCGCATTTTGTGGAGGTCGCGGCATGGCTGAGTTTAAGCAGTTTGCCGCCGAAGGAGGCGATTGTTGCTTTGGTTGTGACGGACATTTTCACTGTCAATTGTATGTAGGCTGAGTAGATTATAGGTTGAGTGGTGCAATTGAGGGTGGTGCGGGTGGAATAAATAATGACGGATGAGGGGAAGCTGTGAGGGGCAGTGGTTATATAAGATAACTCGATTGAGCAATATTTTCCGCGCTCTGCGGAGAGGATTATTACCTTGTAGGATATGACAGGTTAAAGAACTACCATTGGAAGAAAAGAACTACATTATTATACAGCATCTCCAATTATGCAAAAATACACTCGCCATGCATGTACCGATCCCACAACGCCATACAAGTAAGCAAAACAGGCAAACAAATTACTCCAAAAAGACAGATGGAACGCCATATATCACCGGCGCAGCCCCATTCAGATACCTCAACACACACGCATCCCTCGACTGACAAACCGCTTCATCCAAAGCCACTGCTTCATTCCTCGGGGACCTCGACCTCGACCGAGCCCGTCCCTTACCCTTCGAATCACTCTCATCCTGCCCACCAATAAGACCCCATTTCTCAAACGTAGCCTGCGCAAACCGATCAATGTCCTTGTCCGTGACATCCCACAGCGTCGCGACGAGTGCCGGACTACCGGCTTGTAGATAGTTCATGGGTGTGCCATATGGTTCGTACTCGCCTGCTTCGGTCAGGGTGCCACTGCTGCAGCCCATTAGGAAAGCGACTGCGCAGCGGTCGAGGCGTTTGATTGTTCGGCCGCGGATGTATTGGGCGCCGCTGCCGTGACCGAAGTAGAGGAAAAGACTCTTGGTTTCGAGAGCTTCGCGGAATTCGTCTTCGGATGGTTGGCGGTTGACGATTCCGTTCCAGCGGTCCATGCGACTAAGGTCGGTTTCGAAGGTTGCTTGCGTTGTTTGCAGGTCACCTGTAGGATTGAGAATATAGGTACCGTCCTTGCGGTCAATAGTAAGTCGAGAACCTTCACCCTGTTTGTTTCGAAATCGAACAACGCGGTCGCGCAGGCACTCCAACGATGGCACACGGCAAACTGGCGATCCCTTCAGACAGGGAAGCGACTCCCATGGAAACAGATGGAGAGCCTTGTCGAGAACCAGAACGGTGTGGCTCGTTTGCGGGTTGACCGACTCGTTTCGGACAGTGTCATGATAGCCCCTGAGAGCATCAAGCGTCTCCACGACCATCATATCAAAGTCGATCTCATCGTAGGCGTTGCGCTCTCCCTGAAACTGCAGAATATCGACCACAAAGTAAAGAAGGTCCATCAGCATCTCTTCCGGATCCTCCTGCTGCTCCAAATCCTTAATCCCAGTAAACAGTTCAAGCACGTTATGGTGCAGCATCAACTTCGGACCCGTTGTCGACCGACCACCCTTTTGCCGTGATGGAAGATGCTTGTCAAGGATATAATTGAACGAGCTCGCAAACCGCGACAATGCATCACCCTCCCTCGCCACAGGCGAGAAGATACCCCTGAATCCACCAAACCACACACTCTCAACATTCTGCAGCAGATTCTCCATCCGACGATCTAGCGCCTCGCGGTTCTTCCACCACTGTTTCTTCATCTGCTTATCCACCTGTGCCTTGGCGGCATGCGCACTCTCGTTGGCCAGTTTGATCAACTCCTGCATCTCTTCCCGGCCATCTTCGAAGGTAAACTGCTCCTCGTCATCCTCGTCTGAGTTTCCCCTCTTGAGCGGAAGACGCAGGAGGAATGGTGTTTGGCCCTTGCGTAGACGCGAAACGACGAATTCCGTGCAGTCCGTGCTCAGCGACAGCGACAAAACGTTCCAGTTATCGGGCAAAATGTCGACGTACTCTTTCGTGAAGTTAGAGCAAATATCATCCTCAAGACCAACAGGCGACGGCAGAGACGTTGACGGCCAAACTAGCGGATCGTTGGCATCTGCCAAATGCTTGTCGAGATCAATAGCCACACGCTCGCGGTTAAAAGCGCCGATACGACCGATTTCTGTATTTGTCAGCACAATCTACCAATCCAGCTGAAATAGGGGGCTTACCATTGACATTAGCCGGCGCCTGAGACCACGGTGTCGAACAACCAGGTGCCGTAGTTTGCGACAACATAGAAATTCGACTCATCAACCTCGAAGCCGCATGGCTGTCAAGCGTAGATCCAAGTGTCGTAGCAGTACCGAAGATATTGTTAAGACACTCGCCCGCCTTGGACAGCATATCCGCAAAGTCCTCACTAGCCTTCGGGGTCTTGGAGCGCGTGCCGCGGGCAGGTGCTCGTGTTTTGCGAACGGTAAGTGGCTTCGCGGAAGGTGCAGGAGGTTCTACGGTGTTCTTTTCTGGTGACTCGAGCGATGGTAGGGAGATGGTGGACTCTGGGAGTACACAGTAAACCGCGTGTGTAGCGAAATGGCGAATAGCATCGGCGAGTAGGTGCTCACTTTCTCCGATATGCAGAGAGATCTGGCTATCCCGAGAAAGAGCATACTGTCGTGCGTCGGTCAGCAGGTTCGTCGCATTGTCGAAGTCGCGCAGTGCTCGTGAGCAGTCGGCTTGATGTCTAAGGAGGTCCGTTCGTAGTTGCAAGAGAGACTTCGATTCCACGGTAGACGACTCCGGCGTGGGATTCGAAGTCTTCCTAGAAGTAGCCCGGGAGGACGAAGACACAGCACGAGTGCTCCGCGTATTAGTAGTAGCCGGCTGTCTTGTCTTCCGTGTACCGGTGGTGCTCCGAATGCGCAACTTGTCCATCTTATCCTCCAGATCTGCAACAGCTGTCGGCGAAGTTTCCGTTTCAGAGAGGATAACCTCAGACATAATCTTATCGGCCTCAAGAAGCGCACGATGCTCCTCGCGATATTGGCCCATTGCCCGATGAAGAGAAGCTAGACCCATCTGCAGTGAGACAAGCTCGATACTGCTATCCAGCTGCTTCGCCAATGTGGCGGCAGACTCCAGGAGCTGCTGTCCCTCCGAAACACGTCCACCGTAGATCCAGTGAGATCCAAGCTGCGTTTGCGAAGCGACCAGGCGGACATTGGCATTGAGAGTCTTGTTGACCTTGAGCGCCTGCTCTCCGTAGTAGATCGCATCTTGGAAAAGGCCGTGGTGTGCGGACAGACTCGCGAGATTCAACAAAGAGGTATGATGAGAGCCAACGTGAGGCCAGAATGGCGCTCCCTGAAAGTAGCTGACAGACGGCTCCGTCGAAATCGCTTGCGAGACGTCAAGCTTCGCGACACCTTCGACAACACTATCAATCTCGGTACTGCTGCTTGCTTGCAAGGCCTTGCCCTGCTTCCGCTGAGCAAGCTTCTCAACCTTGGCCCAGATCCGACAGTTCAGTCTCACGGAGAGCTTAGCGAAGAACAATGCGTGGGTAATAGACCCCTGAGCAAAAGAAAGTCGCGAGTTAATGAATGCCGCATCTGCGACCAATCGTTCCCACGCAATCTTCGACAGAACAGAGCAATTGTTCAGATCCTGCTGCTTCTGGTTCTTCTCATACAGTGACCTGGCTGTCGCGAGGATACCAGCAGCCTTCTCAACCTCTCCAGTCTCAAGATGATACTCCCCTCGAGCCAACTTGTACGATAGCGTTGCCAGGCAAGAAACTTCGTTGTCTCGAAGGCACTGGTCCGCGCGGGTAAGCAAACCACTAGCCTTCTTGCAGTGTCCAAGTCGACAGTACTGCAGTACCAGTCGCGAAAGAACGATAATCGCTTCGGAGAAGTCGCCTAATTCTTGTAACTCGGTGACACGCAAGACCAACTCCAATGCTGAGAGCTGCACTTTCCATAGCCCGTGGATCTCGGTGTAATCGACAATTGCCTTGAGTTGCAGAATCCAGTAGTCGACATCGACGACACACGACCCTAGCGAGTTCCAATCAGGGCAGTTTGCCACCATGCAGCTCCAAGACGAAATAATCTGGTTGAGTTCGAAAGCTTGCAGATTCCCCTGGTGAAGTCGCACGGTGAGCTGTAGGGCGTTCCGAATGTGAGTGGAATAAGCAGCGAGCTTATAGTCGTTTCCAAAGGACCCATCCTCGCTGAAATCGGCACACTCGTTGACAATACTTTCCAGTACTTCTGGCTCCAGAGCACTCGGACGCTCAAGCAGAAATCGCATCGCGCATAGCATGGCACGCATACGGCGAATGGGATACGTTTCGCAGGAGTATATGTCAAGAAGCTTGGAGACAACGGAATTGAACATGCCACGGAAAGTTTCATCACTGTAAGCATGCAAATGCAACTCAGTAAGAAGACCCATCTGCCATTCAAGAACAAGTCCCCGTTGTTCCAGCCCTAATTGCTGATCATCGAGGACTTGCGATTCTGAGCTCTTGTTCCGCAGCTTCATCCTCATGTATCCGGAAATAGCACGACCGAGCATGAAACCACCACTCTTCGGGTCCTGAGAAGCACGATGAGGATAATTCCCGGCAGCATCAACAGCAACTTGATCCAGAGCTCCAGCGTTGATGTGTTCGGTAATAGACTGGCAAAATGCCTTGTCGGATTCTGCTCCCATATTCCCATCCATGTACAGGTGCGCAAGTCTCTCATACTTGAGGGCCGCAAATCCGGTATTCCGTTGTGAAGCCGAGCACCCAGAAAGCAAACTTGTCGAGTGTTTCAAAAGCGGCACAAGCGAACGGTAGTCCTTCCCGCATTCCTTCTCCCTGATGTATCGAGACCAAAAGAGGTTCGACAACTTCACAAGTCCCATTCCACTGTCCGAATCTGAATTTTTAGATGCGACACCGATGGTCATGAGGAGGCGTTGGCAATCGACGAGAATCGAAAGCATGTCGTCCCATGGCGGGTTCTGCGACATAACCGATAGCTTACCCATGGCAACTGCCGAATCGATAGCTGCTAGGATGATGTTCTTGCATGCAGTGACTCGCTTTTCAAAAGTCTCATGCTCCTTCTGCTCAGTTTCTTCGGAGGGTTGGCGTCCAACGTAGCGGCGCAGGAAGCGTAGAAAGCCGTAAAGATATTCGCGTATCCGATTCGGAATGTCGTCTGCTACACCCTTGCCCTTGTCCTTGGTGACTGCGTCCCCTAGCCAAGCCATCGAGATCTTCTTCAACTTCGCTGCCTCCACCAAAAGCTCATCCAGGTCGCCGGCGCTACCCTTCAGTTGTAGGGCCAGCGCTGCTGAGGCTTCTGATACAGCACTGGCGATTTCACCGTGAGACTTCGAAGACTTCATCTGCTGGAAATTAAGCGACGCGATCTTGCAGCGCACCGTAGCCAAAGAAAGACACTGTCCATCAGAGAGGGGCTTAACAGCCTCTGTGAACAGTTTCAAAGCTTCCTCCACACAACCTGCATCCTGAGCAAGTTGGCCCAGAATCGTTGCAATTCGTGTCACGGAATGGAGTTGCGCGGTGGACGATTTCCGTTCCGGCTTCGCGATGGCGGACTGGAGTCGAACGATGGTTTTGTATAGGATGGCGAACTCGGATTTCTCGATTCCTTTGTTGTGGTGAGCGAAACTTGCAAGATATCGTGATAATGGGTCCCAAAGCTCTTTTCCTTCGTCGCAAATGTGGCCGGACAATTTCCATCCCATGCCTCGCATCTCCATAGACAGCAGCTGGAGGGTCAGCGTTGTGATCGGTCGTAAGCGGTCCTTCGAGTCGTCGGTTTGCTGGGCGGAGGCCACGGAGAGAATGGTATTTGATAGTAACTGCAACTGAAGCGCAGCCTTGTCCTTGGTAAGACTCCCAGAATCCACCGCAGCCATAATCACCCTACCCGGACTACTCGAGTCAGACAACTGCATTGCCGAACAAACTTTCTGCGTCGTAGCTGGTCGTTTCTCAGCGGCAAGTAGCCGCAGCGCATTTGACTGGAACGTAACCACAAGCCCAAGCACAGTTTTCGCATTCCCAATATTTGTAAAGCTAAGCAGATCCGACATCCGCTCTTTCTCTTCCTCCTGTGCAGCCGTTTTTCTCGAAACCCCCGCGGCCTTCTTCGAACCAGCACTATCCAGATAAGCCTGTATCCTCCTCTTCAGCGCCCGCAGCTCCTTGTACGCCAAATCATTAAGACCAAGCGACAAGTACCTCCCCGCAAGCACACAAGCCCCCTGTTCAAGCTGTATGTTCAACCCCTGCTCATCCTGCCCCTGTTCGCTTTTCAGCGATCGTAAACACGACAGCGCTGATCGTGCACATTCTGCGACTGAGAGCAGCCCCTGGTCTACTGCGGTAGCGTCTGGTTGTGTGTATTTCGATAATCTCGACTTCTTCGGCGATCGACCTGCGTTATTCGGCGAAGTGTGTTGAAAGAGTGTCGAGGGTCGAGGGTCGTTCTGGCGTTTCGAGGAGGATAGTTTAACTGCATCTGACAACGTCTTTAACGTAGTATTAAACACCTCAGTAGCAAGCACGAGACGCTCATGAGCTGATAACCGCGCCTCCACATTCAGTGTTGTTGTTGTTGTTTTCGACGTCGCACGGGATGTCGTTCTACTGCGAGCTGCACTAGTTGTTGACTCCTTGATATTCCGTCCTGCCCGTCTCGATATAGCATTGCTTTCTGTCTCTGTCGCTTTCGATCCACCCCGAAACAATCCCTGCAGAGAGAGCAGTGTAGCATTCGAGCAAGTCGCTGTTGACCGGACGGCGAGCTTTACCGATTCCACGGAGGAATCGGAGGGGAATGTTGTAACCGCCATTGTATTAGTTAGTATATGATTTGTAGAATCGTATAGCGATTCGCATAATAAGGCAGGAGATGTAGATGTAATTAATCACGGGCCCATCACTGCAAGACAACTCCGTCCGCTGCCAAGACGAGACACAAACGTCGTTGTCGCGGTAACAGACTGCGCTAAACCTAAACGGGACCGGGGGCAGTCTCCGATCCTCCGATCGTGCGGCGGTTCTGATATGAATTCATCATTGAAATATCCAATTCCTCAATAAGATACACACGGCGATGGCTCTCAATATGACATTTACAAAACTCCCCCTCCGCTCCCTCACAATCCGCCATGCCCCAATCCGCAACGCCAGGCTCCTCACCCGCCCACCACCGACAATACAAATTCAAGCCCGTCCCCGTTCAACCTACACGTCCGAATCCATGCCGCGCATAGCCCAGACCTCCGTCTGGACTGCCATGATCCCACCCTTCATCCGGCGCCTCGCGCGCGGCGGCGGCAAACCCGACACCCCCGAATCCAATGAATGGAACCCAGCCAGCTTCTACATAATCATTTTCATCCTAATCGGCTCGCAGGCCATCCGGATGATGATGCTGAAGAAGGATTATGCGGCGTACACAAGGTCGACGGATGCGAAGATTGAGTTGTTGAAGGAGGTTATTGAGAGGGTGAAGAGGGGGGAGGCTGTTGATGTGGAGAAATTGTTGGGGTCTGGGGATGCGGCGAAGGAGAGGGAGTGGGAGGAGGTGTTGAGGGAGATTGAGGATGAGGATTCGTTGTGGCATCAGAGGGCTTCGGCAAAGCGGGCTGAACAAGCTGAACAGGAGTCGCAAGGAGATGTGGATGCGTTGAAGGAACCGGTTATCCCTGCTGAGGGCAAGGGGAATACGGAACCGCCGAGGGAAGGCAGTTCGAGACGGAAGCTAAATTTCTTTTAACAAGCGTAACCTGCTTGAACTTGAACCATTGTACAACATAAAATCCCTTGATAGACTTGAGATTAGCCAGGTAAGTACATGCACATCTTTCTTGAGGTGTACGTAGCTAACAATCAGTCCAGGTGATGTATGATTATTGTGATATGATGTTGCATACACTCAGCCCTCCTCTACAAAAACACAGGATTTACGTCCCTCTACTGTATATACCATCGATACCCGAATCAATCTATTTCCATTTATTTACTCCATTGAAGTGGAACTCAAAAGAACGTACAACTTCAGTCCAAACACTTCCCCCTATCCCTTCAATATACAGAAGAACCCGAAAAAAAAGAAACAAACAAAACTATCACACCACATCAAACAACATCATCACAGCGGGTCGACCAGTCGATTTCTCGCGCTATAACCTAACTGTCATCGTTCATCGGACCAAAGCCCTGCTCTGCCCTCGATATCATTGGGCTTTGATTAAGTGCGTTTACATAATCCCATAGCCACCACCGGGAGAAGCTATCATTATAAGCATTAGCATCATTCCATTTTGATCAATATCAAACATAACCAGAAGGAGGAAGGAAAGGCTAACCCTTCATAACACTGCACCCACCACCAGGTGAAGCCTTCATAACATTGCATCCACCGCCAGGAGAAGCTCTCATGAGAACGCAGCCACCGCCGGGGGAAGCTATCACAGACATCATATTAATATCATCAAACGCATGGCCCAGAATAGGACGATGGCAGGAGGGGATGGGACTTACCCCTACGGACACCGTTCTTAGCAGGCATTCTGTGGATTGGTTGGTTGGTTAAGCGTAAGCGTGAAAGTAGAATTCTAGTAGAGTTTTTTGGAGATGATTGATGATGATGATGAGAGAGTACTAAGTTGGAATTCGAAGGGGTTTTATGTGCTTGTCTGTTTGTCGTCGTTCATAGACAGAGATGGAGGGAGGGAAAGATAATGATTCTCGTTTCCATTCCCATTCTTTCTTTCATTCTCACTTTCATCCCATCCCCAATCTCAAAGTGAATCCAAGATAGACGAGGACAATATTAAGACCCCGAACCAACACCACCATCAACGAACCATGACTTTCATTACACTACCTTACCCTACACTAACCCGAATAATACGATTCAACTGCAGAAAAAGATATGAATGAAATTATATTGACATGCATAGTAGTACAACAATGACAAGTGGTCCCATTCACGCTGCTTGATATTGTTCTCGACACATGGTTGACGGGTCCCTTTATTGTCGTGTCTTTGTTTGACAGAGTTGCGTGTTACTCGGTATTTGGAGATAAAGATGTTTTTCTTCGGTGGGGTCTGGGGTCGTTGGTTAGTTTGTTGTATGATGGTTTGTTCCATATGGGGTTAACGCAACCACAAAGGGCTAATAAAGCCCGGAGATGCCACAAATTGACGCTAACCAGAACAATAATCCGGCTTCTGATAAAACAACCAACAAAGGGATGCTTCACACATCAAACAAATTACAAGTGATAATCCACACTATCCAATTCAATGCATATACAACGAAAGAAAGAAATCAAGGTTGATCATCTAACCACAACCCTCCCCTCTAATCTATCTGCCTTTTGTTACACTAAGCAAATTGACATAGATGTCTACCATATGAACAGAAAAGATCAAAAGATAATGCAAACTTTACAGACCAAAACCTCCAACAGATGTAGTGGTGAGACATGAGAAGACTGAAACATGAGAAGTAAAAAGAAATGAAGGATATACTCGTATCAACAACAAATGGAATGGACATAAAGCTGGTCGTCGCTAAAAGAAGAACAAAGAGAGCGTAAGAAAGGGGAAATCGAAATGAAAAGGAAGAAATCACTGCTGAGCCTGCAGGAACTTGGGCCACTGCTCCTTCCGCGGAACCTTGACACGGCCAATGTTCTCGTCCAGATCCAAGAGGAGCTTCAACGCGTTCCGCGAGCGCAGATACGGCAGAGGAGCCTTGGCACCCTGCAACCCAACACCAGGCTCAACCCGTCCACTAAGCGAAGGCTCAGGCTGCGAACCAGGCATGGGGAGCCACTTTTGCAGGATTTCATAGGCGGCCAGGGTGAAACCAAATTGCGGCGAGGAACGGACGATACGAGCGGGACCGCCCTTGAAGAACGCGCCAAAGCCTTCCTCCTTCCAGATATGCGATGCGCAGTGGCGGAGACCGGTGTAGCGGACTTCGCCCTTGCGAGCTTCGACTTGCAGACGGGTTTTGATGACGTCGCAGGGTGTTGTCAGGTAGGCGGCGGGCATACCGGCGATGGCACCGGCAGTGAGGAGCTGGACGACGCCGAGTTTGTGGGTTGGGGATTCGCCGAACATTTCGGACTTCAGGTGGGAGTAGGTAGGGAAGTAAATGGCGGAAAAGGGGACTGAATTGTTAGCGGGCCTTCTCTCTAAGCTTGGAAGTTACGTACCATCACGGAGAAGACAAGCGCTGGCTCCCTTGTACAATCCCATCAATCCCAGGTTCTTCACGATCCATAGAGCGGAGCGGCGAGGAGCGCCCTCGACGGACTTGGCGATTTCACCCTGAACCTGCAGGCGAATCTTGACAATTTCAAGGGGGTTGGTGAAGACCACTTGACATCCTCCTGCCGAAGCGCCAGCAAGGATCTCATAAGGGTACCAGATCCTGCCAGTGTCCTTGTCGGTAAAGTGATTCCGGACCAAATCGTTCACGGTAAGCTTGATGGCCTTCTCCGGTGCAACACCAATCAGCTGAGGAACAACACCGGAGTACAAGCCGGTGAATCCTTCGTTGCGGATAACCTTGCGTGCGCAATCCAGCGAGTTGTTGTACAGCCTCTCGCCAACACGTGTCGACCGCTGGTTCTGCATACGGGTCTTGACCAGGTCAATGGGGTAAACCATGAACGCACCAAACGCACCCGCAAGACTGCCAAGCGCAAAGTGGTGCGCCGATTCCAGCACGCTGAACAGAATCGACTTGGTGTTCTCTGCGGCCTTCTGTGTAGTGGTCGACGCAGCCTGGCTAGCAACAGCGAACGGGGTGCGCCATGATGCATCGACAACCTTGGCGAAATCCTTCTGGGCCAGCTGGCCGGACGGTGCGTCAAGACCGGCAAAGTGGAACAGGATATCCGCCTCCATCGGGGTGAACAGGGAGAAGCGCGTGGTACGGGCCGCCTCGTTCAGGAAGTCGGTGCGCGTGATCTTACCGTCGTCACTCTTGCGAGTTGCTTCGCGCACGATCAGGTCGATGATGTCCATTTCGCTCATGACGTTCTGGAAAGCGCGCACCGTCGCGTAGGAGATCTTGCTACCGTCGGAGACATTGCACAGACTGGGCAGGTTTTCCAAAACGTAGTCGGACAGCTTGTGCTTGGAAGTTTGGAGGATGATGCGCTGGAACTCATAAGGCTCAATGTAACCATCGCCATCAGCATCCATGACATGGAATGCTTGCCGAATACGCTCTCCCTGCAATCCCCGCAGCATCTGGGCGAATTGCGGATAGGTCATCTCATGGCGGCTCTTGCTGCTGCCTGTATACAACGACGCCCATGCGGAGTTCCAGTTGAACGGAATGCTCTCTTGAGATCTCGTCTGGCTGAACAAGCTCTCCACGTTCTCCCACTTGACAGTACCCGTTCTCTCGATATCGAACAGACGGAAGGCAATCTCGTACTCGGCATCGGGCTTAGCGAGGAGGTTCTCGAACGTCGCCCAGTCGCCAAGGGTCAATCTACCGGCCTTTCGCGTATCGGCAACCTGGAAGAGGATAGAATATTGCTCCCGCTTGATCTTGTGCTACATGGCGAATTGGCTTGTCAGCGATCCTGCTGGCGAGAAAGCCGCTAGGGCAATAGCGGGGGGGAAAAAGCAAACAAGGGCTCACATAGTCTTCCTCCTTGGGGGCAATGGCATTGATGAAATCATCTTCGGTCATGTACAGCTCGCCAGTCTGATCATCTTTATGGGCAAAATGGTTGAAGTTGGCCTTGATGTAGTGCGAGAGCTGAAGCTCGTCCGAGCTGCCCACCAAGGATTGCTTGACGGCCTCTTTGACGCCGGACATGTTGACTTGCAGATTGAGCCAGACGGTGCGGGAATCCTGAGGGGGTTCTGGTCTGGATGCAGCGACTGCAGCTTTAATCGTCTCTTTCAGTCCTCTTCAGTGGACGGTGCACAGGACCTGGTCTGAGATGGCAGGAATGCAGAGAGAAAAGATGTGTGGAGAAAAAGGAAAATTAAACAAAGGATTGGGGTGATATACGGTATCGTATTGTGTATGTATGGTATGTATCAGGCACTAAACTCAGCTCAACACAGTCAGCCACATCTCGTGGCAAGTGTTTACTTTTTCGCTGTATTCATGCTTCAGCTTCGCACGGTATTCTATTTTATTTTAATCCTTTCTCTCCGCCTCCTCTGCAGTACTGGACAGAGCCAACACTGGTCAGCCACCGCCCCTGAATTACATACAATACAATACGGCAGATCGGAACAAGGGCCGATGCCTCAGTCATGTTCTCCGCACAAAGCGCATAATGAAGTAAACAGAACACACATGGAACTGTACTCTGTACCCTTGACGGAATAAGGGTCGATGGCGGGCCTACTACAAGTACCAGTACCCCATCTCTCTCTCTACATATACCTCTACTATGTACATGTACAGACACAGTCCTCGAATGACTCATTTGACTACTCCGGAGTAACTATGCATATGAACAATTCACTTAATAATCCCCGCCAGCTAGCTGACCGATATTCCATATTTTTCCTTCACATGACACCTTTCCACCAGTCATAACGCACAGGTGTACTTTATCTATCGGGCCGATGTTCGTACAAACTCCGTTCCTGCTCGCTCCGTGTTCGGTGCGGAGCTGTGGGGATTTATGAGCACGGTTTACATTATGCTCTTGGAGTCACCCCTAGGCAACTGAGTGTGGAGGGGAAATTTCATGTGCAGCTATGCCGTATGCTACACATGTCAACATTATGCATTCCTCAAATGTCCGAGAATACACTATTTTTAGTCAGTCGGTGTTTGTGCCTGGATGCTAAGGCAGCTCATGTGCTTGGCCAACATTCTATTTAACCGATGCGTAGGGCTGGACTCGAGGACTACAAAGCGTTATGCAAAAGTATACAGAGCTTATCTAGTGTGCGGACAGGAGGCTGGATCAATCGTGAGCATTGCATTGCATCCTCATAGATCTTGACTCCGTTCGAACGTTCCACATAGCTAGGTTAGTCACCTAGTTATTTATATATCTCCAGAGCGCCTACCCCTGGGTGCCCGTCTTCATGTACCAGGCACATAGCTCAGATCTACAAGTCAAACATTTCTCCCCCTGTTCATTTCTCTTCTTTCGGGAGCCACAGCAACCCAAACGTCTCAAATAGTCACCACATTGCTGCGGGGCAGTAGATCGGATCGACCGACACAATGACACAGCATGACAGCATAATAGCCACTCGAGCAGTATCTGGTTAATGCGTGCCCGGAAGAAAAACCCAGACGATAGCGTAGTCGTGCTAACTATGCTGACTATGCCAACTGTGCTAGGTGTGCCGGATGTGCCAAATGCAATGTGCTAACTCAATCCCCTGCAAGGCATGACTCTGAGCAACACCAACCCTCTCTACCGACGACAACTCGAGAAACCCTCTCGATGATCCCCTCCCAGCCATCCAACATGGCCATCTCATTTGCCCAGGACTGGGTGATACTGTGAGTGACAATGTGACACTGCACCGTGCTGCATTCCCCGGCGCTTACAGAACCGCCATCACTGGCCGTCATTGGTTCTACGGCATTTCTCCTCTTTCGGTCGACCCCTCCTACCAGGACTGATTCAACTTGAGACTTACCAGGCGATTATATAGCCGCGGAAGACCCCCTTCTACATATCTGCTCTCTTTTCTTCTTTTCCTGTCAGACACTGTGTGTTTGGAATTGGTTATTTTTCTTCTTTTTTCTATTTTCGTCTTTGAGTGGTTCGTTTTGGCTGGTCCAAGCACCGCTTCTTTTTTTGTTTGTGGCTTGACTCGGCACGCGTCAATAAAAAAATATAGAAAAAACAACAACAACAACGCATACTTGCACATATTAATAGTATCTCGCGACACGCTGGCTGGAGCTCGATTTTGTTGATCAAAATCCAAAGCCTCACCGCATTCTTGCTTTATATCGATCAGCCCTACCTCTTCAATTCAGCCACCACATCACATCAATCCACATCAATCACCTCCATTACAATAACACAAAACAAAACAACAAAATGTACGCCGCCCGCGCTGCAAAGCCAAAGCTCTCCTTGAGCATCTCCGCCGCCCAAAACGCCCGCTCCTCCTTCCCCCTCAAATCCCCCAGCGCCGCCCCCCGCACCCCGATCTCGCCCGTCCCTATCCCCAGTCCCGGCGCTGGTGCGGGCGCCGGTGCAAAGCGATTCTCAACGCTGCAGCCCTACGCATACGTCAACAATTGCTCGTCCAAGAGTATTCTCAAGAAACAGCCTAGTCATGGGGCTGGTGCGGACAAGAGGATCAAGTTCAAGGGGACGCCAACTGTGCATTGTGTCACGCCGATCGAGAATAAGGAGGAGTATTATGGGTGCCATACGAGAATGGGAAGGGAGGAGAGGAGGTGGATTGTTAGGGAGTGATTGGTTTATTTGTTTGTGATGGATATGGCAAGATAAGATGAGAAGATGAGCGCGTCTTGACTGGATCTGGTCGATAGCTAGGGCTATTAAGAGACGGGTCGGCCTTGATGGTCTGCAACCACGCCCGGCTCCGACGGACTCAGGTCTACGATACAATATCGTCGGAATAAGGTCTCGGATGGTCCTGTTGGATGGGCTACGTGTGTTAGCGTGCTATTATGATCATGATGCGATGCCTTATGAACTTACCTAGTTGGAATCAATGCACTCGTTATGGTTCCTCATACTCATGCATTCATTGTAGTATACCTTCCGTAGACACTGTCCTTGAGCTCATACTATTCCACAACCTCAACCCCCTTTACTAAACCAAGCGTCGGAAGCCCCTTCTCAAAGCCCTCACTTCGCCGAAACTTCCCTCCCCCCTCTATTTCCCAGCATACCACATAACCCGTCCCTCACCTCCCCTAATCCACTACACTGCTCCCCAACAACTCTATTTCTACTTACCGTTTCCAACACCTCCCTAACCCATCCCACGCAATTCCACCTTTGTACGTCCTGCCTTATCGACGGCCCCTTAATAACCCCCGTAATCTCGCCGTATAAATGATTTTAGCAACCATAACCAGTACCAACAGAATAGCAGCGGCATATGGGCCAGGCAGGGAGAACGTTTCTCGGAAATGCCATATGGGTGTGCCGGTTGGGGAGAGGGTTTCTTTGGTGTTGCAACATGTTCCTGGCTCTGTTTCTGTTTTTAGGAGTGTGCTTTTGGGGGGAGTTGAGGGGTGGGTGTGGAGGCCCAATGGTAGCTGGGTTTTGTTAATTGGATTGATCGGAGTGGATTGGATGGCAGGTAGGAGGGGGGATGTACGTGTCTTCTTTCCGGGACATTTTGGGGGAGCCGCCGCGGGCGTAGAGGGCGACGTAGAAGCGGTCTTTGTTTTTCATTGCGATAGATAATAGAAATTATTCCTAGGTCATAGAAGACGCCAAGGCACTTGCTCCAATGTATACATATGCTTAATTATTCACTTAGGGTACCGGCGTAATGCTTTGGCTTTGGATGAAGTGTCCAGGAAGAAGACTGCTACGGATACAATGGTAGTGTCACATTAATTTTCCCCTTAGTGGTGGCTCATTTTATATTTGATTTGATCCCACTATTGTATACGGTACCTATAATATACCTGATATGTCTAGATTAAGTTATGATGGCAAAAGCCCTAGTTCACACGTTCACACGTGGATGCGGACGCATGATCAACACGCTGAAACCGTTATGAACCGGCTTAAATGTACAACAACATCGCGTCCATTGTAACATTAAGGTTAGTGTGGTTGAGAACTTTAAATGCCTGAGACAGACTCGGGAGGTACTCGAACAAATAATGCTAAATTGTCGCTGCGGTTCCTGTCCAGTCGGGAAGCGAGCTCAAGGGTTAAATGTTCCGCTCCCTCCCCCGAATAGTGTTCGATCCAGGTCGATTTAAATTTTTATCAATTGGAGCTGTCGATCAGGTTCTTTAATTGCGGCCAATTAGTTCGGTTCGCTCCTGTTCGTCTGGATTTGTCTCGTGCAAGTGCACGTTGAGTGTGGCGATGCTTGCAAAACCACCAATGCCGTTGACGGCCCTGAGGGCCTCGGTGTAGGCGTTGACTACGCTGGTAGCATTGCCGGTGATGGTGAAGCACTTCTAGTTGTCGTGGATAGTAGATCTTCATACCCTAAACGGCCTGATTGGCGACCTGGGCCTGGATAGCGAGTTTCGTGTAAAGGCCATCCCGTTTCTGTTCCATTATAACATTTTCATGACACAGCACGGGTGACGATAGTGGTGGCTTTTCGAACACGATTTCGATGCTAGTGGAATTTGATAACATCGATCTAATCCGCCATCGATATATCCCAATTGTGGAAACCACCCTCAAGGGCTCTGCAGTTATCTCTCCAACATCACTCACGTTGATTGTGCCACATATGATGCTGTTCTGCAATGCACTTAATACTGCACGAATGCTGGTATTAAATGGAGGTAATATTATATCCACTAAATATGTCCATAACCGGCTTCAGTTTGGTGACAAGGTCCGGTGTAGACACCCAGCAAATACTTTGCGTAAGTTGTAGCCGCCGTGAATGCGGCGTGTCTTTGTACGTCTTCGGCGCAGCTGTACTGTCGTTGCTGTTTGGAAGGCCTCGTTTGTTCCCGGTTTTTCTTGATCATGCTGATTCCTGAGTTCCCGGGACATATTGTAATTCTTTCTTTTGCGGTAGCCGTTGCTCCATAGTCGATTTGAAAGAGTCGTGTCCGAGGAGCCTGAGCCATGGGTTTTGATCAAGGTCGTCTTCTATGATCCACATGAGCCGCGTAATGCAAATAGTCAGGCTTTAATTTGTCCGTAACTGGTGGAGAACAATTTGGCTTATGATGCTTTTAATAAACTCATAGTCGGTGTGTGCTTTGATGCCATGAAATATAAGAGCGCCGTAGCGGCAATGGTCGACCAACTGGCACGGGGACCGAAACAGGCTTTCGAAGCGCGCAAAGACTCAAGTAACTTGCTTCTACTGTCCCTGCTATGACTTTTCCCAGCCATTTTAGGTGTTAAAAAAAGTCGAAATGTACCATGGGCTTCTTGTCGTGCTGCTGCCTTTGGAAATGTGGATTCGCGCAAAGAAGCTTATTGCAGCCACCTTGAAATCTCCTGGCTGATTCGATGCGTAGCAATTTGAGCCTTAAGACAAGGGTTCTGTTTCTCCACAAAGTAAATATGAAAAGGGTTAGACCCTTCAGTCTTATCATGAACCCTGAAAACTATCGAGATGTTTCATGCGGCGGAATCCGTGCTAGGATGATTATCGCGATGAGAACGGCAAACATTCCAAGCTGCAAAGGCAGCCTGTCACGCTCGCTCTTCATTTTGAGAACTTTTGATAGTGGACTATCAGCCCAATTTCGCTCACGATACTCACGTATCTACTTGGAAAATTTCTGGGTGTCTCCCACGCGTGGAAGCCATTGTTTGAGTTGAATATCATTTCCCACTCTGAAAAAGGCCGTTGACTAAGAATTCACTCCGTATTGCCAGGGCAAGGTTGCTTTAGGATATTTCAAGTTGCCTTGCTGGAGACAAATTAATGAAACGATTCTGTTTGAGTCAATACCGTCCCACAACGGGACTTGTAAAGCCTTGATGTGCCTGTTGCTTATTTTCTTTCAACCCCAAAGCACATCAGCCTTCATATTAGAGGGTTGAAGGTTGTGTTAGCAACTCAGACCTGATTGTATGAGCAAGGCCTCTTTGTAAATGTGTTTAGGCAAAAAATTTATGTATGATTTACCTTGCAGATATGCTGCGCATACAAAATGCACAATTATCGCTCTTCCCGTTACCTTCAATTACTTCACCGAAGATTCGTGTGTTCGCATTTTCAACAAAAGAGATGCGGACTTTCCCCGTCCAGATTTGCTATCGACCGGCCTCGATGCTTATGAAACGAGCATGGGAATAGTTTCGACACCCTCCTCTTGATGGTAAAGGGGTGGAATGACCACAGAGCGTAACGTTGATCCTATCATCGTTGAAGAGGCACCTCGCCCAAAACTCTTTTATAGGTAGCGCCCTATTGACGATAACCATGACGCACGAGACAAATGGGCCAGCGCCGTGCAAGCATTGACGGTATAGCCGTGCCATTCTCACGCCCGTATCCAGGAGGCCAGTATACGGTTTTGCGAGTACAGTTCTCTAAAGACCGACAGGCCATTTGTATCCATCTGAAAGTCCGGAATGCGCGAGTTTATACTGTGCTGGTCCCGGTATCTCGACCTATTGTGCATGGGAGAGTGCGGACAGCACCATGCATTTTGTGTGCATGTATATGGGGTGGGAGTTTGAGTACGGAGTTGCCTCAACGGACTACATATCCAACAGCTGACTCCATGACATATCCTTTATCATCTTTCTCAAGGTTAGCTGTGCTGATTCAATCAGGAAGCCTTCATATCACCCACAATCATAAGGATATCCATGCTCGTCGAGTCAATTTCTGTTGTTATAACAGGATTTTGTCTAGGAGCCCTGATAGACTGGCTTTGACTGTCGGAAGAGTGAGCAGGTAAACGCTGGACATCATAGGGTGAACTTACACGTTCTTAAACTGAAAGATAGGGCGTGAACCAGGGATAGATTCGCTGTTTATGGTATTTTCGCTTTGGCAAAACCGTTAATACTTCCACGTACTTCCCGGCCACTTCGAGTACCCAGCTGCGAGATTTTTGTTCAGACATTTTCGTCTCAGTTCAGGGGCTGTGATTTCCTTGGTATGCATTTGCAATGATCTGATCAACGCATGGCAGCTTGGTCCAACGTTTGTTCTCAATGGCATGAGTCTTTCTAGTGAGTTGCCCCGTAAGGATGGAATGACGCTGGCTCAGCTTGAACTTCTCCGAGCAACGTTTAGAAATTGCGATGTTGGTAGGTAATCCTGTACGATCGCTCATGCCGCTTACCGTGGTACCTTAAACGCATACCCCAAGCGCTTACAATTTTATTGACCCACGAGAACCGTGTTGGTTTATGTATCATTTGCTCCCAAAATGTCTGCCGCTTTTTGGCCTTCATTTGTGCAGGCCTATCTTTCGTTCATGTTAGAAAAATTGCTGACCAGTCTTCCTGTCCGCAGCATTGATTAATGTAGGCATGCATTTGTGATGAAAGATTGCCGGGTGACCGTCTTAAAATATTTGCAGAATGGCTAGGTTCGGCGTTTTGCTGCTTCGACATCTTGCGAGTTTAATTTGCACCGCATATGCAAAATGGAAGGTGCGGTTTTAGGCAAGGATATTTCGATATCAGACTAGGACAGGTGTTTTTCGCCTCCATCATCTGTACAGGAGGAAGTCCGCGTTGTGGGCACAAGTGGCCGACGGAACCTCAAGAGGGGTCAGCTTAGTCTAGACGCGATTGGCATTCACCCATTTTCTCCATACGGGTGCCTGGGAGGGCTCGTGAATGAGTACCCTGGTACAAAGCTTTTTTCTTCCGGAAAGTTAGGCCTGTATGGTTGATGAATGGCAGCATCGTTACCCTTATCCATATAAAGAAATCGGCAGGTTCGGAGGCAAATGGCCAAATACCAAGCCCGACTTGGGCACTTGATGCGTAACTTATGTTTGCACGATGTCAAGCCTGCTATCTCGTTGGATGGATATCTCGTCAAAGGCAACGTATAGGGGAAATCTCAGTCATTGACAATGGGTACGCTATCCATTCGGATATCACCACTCACTCGTCGTGTTCAAAATCTGGAATTAGCACACCCTATAAACCATCCTCTCGGCGCTGTGATTCGGAGATCGACGAGGTACTCGATGGCGTAGACGTTAATTTCCCAAGCTTTCCAAAAGCTATGTGGATGTTCATCGTGTAATCACCAAATATGCCAAAGCAAACGTTTCTTAGCCCGGAATGTGACGAGAATAATGGTAGCGAGGCTCTGTTGGATGGTATGAAGATAACAAGTGTCTGCCTAGGTGGCCTGAGTGATTTAGCTTAATGTGATGAGAAGGATACCAGTGAATAATCTACCTTTAGTATATCATAGTCATTCACAGCTATATTAACTCTTATGTGAGATGTTTGATATTGCACAAAAAGGGAAGGTCTAGACAAAATCATTGTGTAACCAAGGGAAATTACACAATTAGCCTTGGCACTAGTTCTTATCTCCTTTATAATTGGGAATATCTTCTTCCTAAGCTAAAGTCCAGCATTTTATGGCACCATGGCACTCCAAAAACTACGGACCTTCTTTTCAGGAAAACAAGCCCTCCCATTTCATGTCTTATCAGACCTACATCTAGAAGTCGATCAGCAATACGCTTCTTTTGAATTCCCAGTCTGTGCAAACTACCTCATTCTAGCCGGAGATGTCGGGTGCCTAGCGGATTATGACGCATACCTATATTTCCTACAAAAGCAGGCTGAGCGGTTTGTAACTGTGTTCCTCGTTTTAGGGAATCATGAATTCTACAAAGAGTCTTTCGAATCAGGCGTTGAAAAGGCTAGGCGGCTTGAAAAAGAGCCTTGTCTTAATGGCCGGCTTGTTGTTCTTCATCGGAGACGGTACGATGCCCCGGATTCTAATGTCACTATCCTCGGCTGTACGCTTTGGTCCAGGGTTTCGGAGAGATCAAGCGACAATGTCCGGCAGAAGGTTCAAGATTTCCACCAGATAGAAAATTGGGCCATCGACAACCACAATGCAGCGCATGATGCAGATTCGGAATGGTTACTACGAGAGCTTGAAGCAATACAGGAAGAGAATCAAAAAACGGGGAAGGGCCAGAAACGTTACGTTCTGGTCGTGACGCACCACGCGCCTTTGACTCAATTGACATCCAGCCCGCGAAATGAAAATAGTTCTATATCGCCTGCGTTTGCGACTGACATACTTTCGGACATTCCAAAGTTAGATGGTGTCAAGGCATGGCTATTCGGACACACGCACTATTCAACAGAATTCAAATACCGGGGGATAAAAGTTGTTAGCAATCAACGGGGATATGTGCTTAATGGGCTCCGTCTGGGGGATAAGGCAAATAGATTTAATCCTCTTAAGGTCATCCATATATGATAAAGTGTTATCGTATCATGATGATTGCAGACTACATAGCTATTCATTACCCTTTGTGGCCACGCTTTAGGGCACATCCTCAGGGCTTCCCTGGCCCGTGCAGATCCGATATTTTCCCGCCGACCTTTACCGGAATAACGGGTCTCTCATCCACCTTACAATGTTGAACTTACGAATAACAACAGCAACTTTTCGCACGAGTTTATACTCTACGAGAAGGAATTGCTTCTCTAGACATAGAGGGTTGCTGACTTTGGCTATCGAAACTTCTTGGTGAGCACTTTTGGTACCTCCCGTCAAAGCCTTTTACTAACTTTGGTCGCTCTGCTAGTGATGATACCTCGGTAGCAATCGTCGAAAAGAACCCGAATAACACCCCTGGCGCTGCGAAGGTGCACTTCCTCGAAAATGTAACCGCCGATTCACGAGAGTACCGTGGCATCCACCCGATCCTAGCACTCGAATCACACCAAGAGAACCTCGCAAAGCTTGTCGAAAAAGCACTCTCGCATTTACCAGAGACTGAAAATAACAATGGGAAAACTGGAAGCGATATATCACGACAAATAGTCTTGGCTGATGGGTCGAGCCCGCGCCGGAAGCCGGATTTCATATCCGCCACTAGAGGACCGGGGATGCGCTCCAACTTGTCCACCGGATTGGATACAGGAAAGGCGCTTTCGGTTGCATGGCAGATTCCGTTTATAGGAGTACATCATATGCAAGCGCACCTTTTGACGCCGCGGCTTGTTTCTTCTCTGGAGCGAGGTCAGGGTGTCGATACCACGACTACTGAGACCACGCCAGAATTTCCTTTTCTCTCCATTCTCGTTTCCGGTGGCCACTCAATTTTGGTGAAGTCGACATCTATCACAAAGCACGAAGTCATGGCATCCAGCACAGATATCGCCATTGGCGAGTCTCTTGACAAAGCTGCTCGGGAAATAATTCCCAGCTCCCTACTTCAGAATTCAAAAACTACAATGTACGGCAAAGCGCTGGAGCAATTTGCATTTCCAGATGGAAACTCAGGTTACTCCAATTACCGACCACCCAAGACTCGTGGAGAGGAGGTAATCAAACGTGAAAGCCCATGGGGCTGGAGTATCACTACGCCATTTGCCAACACGCGGCATCTGCAGTTCAGCTTCTCGTCCATCGCGAGCGCGGTTAGAAAGCTTATATCTCTGAAAGAGAAGACTGGACAGGTCATGTCCGATGACGAGCGTGTTGCATTAGCCCGAGAAGCGATGCGAGTCTGTTTCGAGCATCTCGCCTCACGCACAATCATCGCCCTAGAAGCTCTTCAATCAAAAACAGGTAACTCCAATGAAGATGTCAAGACACTAGTCGTCAGCGGCGGCGTTGCCGCGAACAAGTTCCTCATGAAGGTCTTCCGTTCATTCCTCGATGTTCGCGGGTTCGAACATGTTAACATCATGGCACCCCCGCCTTATCTGTGCACAGACAATGCGGCGATGATCGGGTGGGCTGGGATTGAGATGTTCGAGGCGGGATGGTGCTCCGACCTTAGCGTTCGCGCTTTGAGGAAGTGGACCCTTGACCCGCGTGCTGATGATGGCGGAGTTCTGGGTCCGAATGGGTGGAGGAAGTGTTGAACGACAGTTGTACAATAGCGATACCCCATGTGTATTTGTAGCACCGTTCTCCTGTCTATATACCGATGTATATCTATAACAGTGTATTATACGGAAGATCTTGGCATTTCTCATGTTTCTCATTTTTTGCTTTTATATTACAGGTCGAAACCATGCCTTGAGGCATATCTTCAGATGGAGAGAGCCTCGCCCACATGCCATAAATTCGTCTCCTCGTATATAATAGATCAATCATCAACCGTCCCTTCCAGAGGGAAAGCAATCCACCGGTATAACTCCGGGAGTGCTTATATTCGTAAGGTCCATGCCACCAGCATGATCAACCACCAGGAACATTTCCACCCCGCAATGAAGTGATTTGCTTTCGAAGCTCAAGGAAGAAGTCCTTTCCACTCGCCATGTTGTTGGCTGGACATTGTCAGCAAGACGGTTCTAGGATCGAGAGTACATATATCGACGTACGTTTGGCGCCCCAAGGGCCGCTAGCACGGTTGTTCACGTCCTTCCCGGCTGGCTTGTAGGTAGTAGGTTTTTGTTCTAATGAGAATGGAGGTCAACGGCTCGTTCTATAGCGTGAGATATAGGTAGACTATACGTACCGTGTGCACCTGTAGAGATCAAGAACGGTCAGTCGTCGAACCGAACATCAACAGGCACGCGCCCACTTACCTCGCTTGAGAGCTGATTTTGCTTCCGTCGCATTAAATCCACAGACGGGAACATGCTGCTCGTTAGCTGGTCCGGCAGGGCTCTGATCGCGTGAGTCGCTCCAGGCATTCCCACGCGATCCTCCCATGTTCTTAGGACCCGACTGTCTATGGCCCGACTGGCGATTGTCTGGTCGGCCTCCGCGCCATCTGAGTTAAGTGTTAGTGGCATTCTGTATGAAAAAAAAAAAAAAAAAAAAAAAAAAAAAAAAAAAAAAATAGGAGAAGGACAAACCGGTCATCACCCATCCTGGAACAATCGATTGCTCTCACAGAGGATGAGTTGTGAAGCTGTGGGCGAGGATTGCCATTTAGTGGTGTGGTTGGAGGAGACTCCGGGCGGTCTCGTCCTTTCTCCGCTTGGGGCTTAGCGGCGATAACAGCCACTTGCTCTCCTTTGCCTTCGCGTTCGCTCAGCTGGAATCCTGCGCTCCTGTGGTCACTTTATCTCGTCCGTGTCGTCTTCTTCTCTCTTATTAGCTTATTTACACTCGTTTGGGTAGCCATTTTGATAGAGAGAGGGTTATGACTTGTTAAGTTGGCTGTTGTGGTCTGTGTTTGCCTGCTAAGGACCGGCGCGGCTTGATTTCAAAGACACGAGCGACGACCCCAACGACCCCAGAAGCTGGTTTATTACTTTTCCTCCTTACCTATATCCTACTAGATACCCTGAAAATGGCGCCTCTGCCTGCAGCGAAACGACACCCCGGCCCCGGACGACCGCCCAGGAACCCCCCGAAGCAGGAACCGAGCGAAGGGCCTCCGCTCAAGAAACGAAAGTATGTCCCAGGAGGCCCTGGGGGAGGTGGAAGGTTTATCGAATACGAAGTGAAGGAGGTACAATCCACCAAAGTTGCGAAACCCGCGAAACCGGCCAAACCCACACCCGTGAGACGCACTTCTTCAGTTTCGCGCAGTCGAACCGCACGAGAAACACCGCGTGAATCCGAACTGCAAACTGTCCAGGGCCTTCCGCCACCTTCTTCCGTCCCTGTCCCAGCAACACCGCCTTCTGCGCGATTGAGACGGGATAAGACTCAGAATCGCGGTCGTTTTGGCTCATCGACGTCGGCTGCGCTTGCGTTACAACAGGGAGATGGCTACAAGCCACGTGAGGAGCGCGGTTGGGAGGAATTCCATCCAGAGCTAGATATTGACGCAAAAATCACAGTTTTTAGCGCGGACGAGGTAGATGGTCCACGTCCTTCAAACGCGATCCCGAATGCCCCTGTCGCGAATGGTGAGCAGACTCCTATCCCCGATCATCTCCGCGCGAATGTCGTCGTGCCTTCTCCTACACCACTCAAGCGCCGCCCTGGACGTCCTCCGCGCCGTCCTGATGCTATGCTTCATGGCCTGGGTATGCCGAACGAGCCTAAGGCAGTGCCGCCTCCAGGCCCCAATCCCCGCGAGAGGTTGACTCTACCGAAGCCGTCGTTCCGGATGCGGGATCCGTTTGTTTTCTACGATCTACCGGGCGTCGGTCAAGCCAATTATGTCGACCGTACAATGGCCAACGCGGGATACCAAGAGAGCGATCTCTTTTTCCGACACGATCGCCAACTGATTCGGATGAGCGAGGCGGCGCAGGAGGATGATCTGGACGTGATAAACCCAACGGGAATTGAGGGTGAAGTGAACGCGGCAGTTGGCAGAGTGGAGTACGATATGGATGAACAGGACGAAAAATGGCTGGAAGAGTACAACACGAAACGAAGACTAGACGAACTGGAACCTATTAAACCAGCGGTTTTCGAAATTACCATGACAAAAATCGAAAAGGAATGGCATGCGCTTGAGAAACGGATACCCAAGCCCAATCCAAAACCACCGCAAACACATCGCCCTCGTTCTAGCTCGGCAGCGGCCGTTAATGGAGAAACTACCGGGTCGGGAGAAGAGCAGGACACGAAGTGCGCTATCTGTGATGATGGCGACTGTGAGAACTCCAATGCCATTGTGTTCTGTGACGGATGTGATTTGGCAGTGCATCAGGAGTGTTATGGGGTGCCTTTCATCCCAGAAGGCCAATGGTTGTGCCGCAAGTGTCAACTGGTTGGAAGGGGCTCAGTCAACTGCATTTTCTGTCCCAACACTGAGGGCGCTTTCAAACAAACGACTACGTCGAAGTGGTCACATCTCCTTTGCGCTATCTGGATTCCAGAGGTGTCCATCGGGAACCCGTCTCTGATGGAGCCCATTACAGATATCGAGAAGGTCCCCAGGAGTCGTTGGAAGCTCAATTGCTATATTTGCCGGCAGAAAATGGGTGCGTCGATCCAGTGCAGCAACAAGCATTGTTTTGTTGCATTCCATGTCACATGTGCACGTAGAGCCCAGCTCTACCTGAAGATGAAGGCAGGCAATGGAACACCGGGACTTATGGATTCGCACCTCCTTAAAGCCTTTTGCGACAAGCACGTTCCCCCAGAATGGCGAAGAGAGCATGGCACCGACGCTGCTACCGCGGAGGCCATCGAATACTATCGCGCAACAATGCAAGGTCGACGATGGGGTGATAGCCAGGCCGCTGCTCTTTCGTTAGAACCGTCACACCCCACGGTCTGCGATCACATACATGACGATGGACAGAGAAGCGGTCCGCGACTCACACTTACTGTTGGCGGCAATAAACGCAAGCGTCCAACCATGCCCAGAACCGTCTGGAAATTGCCTTCTGGGGCTCCAGTCATACCACAGGTCGTTCTGAACTCCGTTGTGGCCTCTCTTCAGCGATTCGGTGTTCGCCAAAGAAAACAATACGGTGAAGATGCGTGCAAATATTGGACACTCAAGCGGGAAGCAAGAAGAGGCGCAGCACTTTTGAAGCGGCTGCAGTTATCATTGGAGACCTTCTCTTCGATGGAGATGACGCGCAGAGACTACATGGCTATGGGAATTGGTGGCGGCAAGCGGCTACAGCGGCGCATCGAGTTTGGTGAGCGGCTTTCGCACGATCTGGACCGGTTGCGCATTCTATGCGATGAGGTGAAGAAGCGGGAACGAGAGAAGTTAAAGGATGCGGAGATGCTACGCCATGTGGTGGATACCGTTTACTTTCCTATTTTCCCGTTGCTTTGGCCTATTTTTGAGAAGGCTGTGGCGTAAGTTTAACTTGTCTTCGTTCTTGAATGGCCCTCGCTAACTATGTGATAGTCTTGATGGCAGGGGAATATTTCGACAAGGACTTTTATCCATCCGTAGGAAACTGGAAGACCGCTCGTATACCTCCATTTCCATCTTTTCAGCTGAACTTGCCAGCGTATTCACCTCGGAGATCGGTGTACAGCCCGCCGGTGACACCGCTGAGCTCCAAATGCAAATAAGTGGCCGGGCGCCTGAGCTTAGCTTGGAGCAGCGTGAGAAGAGAAAGTTGGCTAAGCGGATCATCAAATCGATTCAACCTGCGTTGGAGGATGCAATTAAGAAGGAAAGCGAGTTGAATCGTAAACCCTTCGAGCAGGAATTGAAGGAGTTGGATCAGATATTTGAGGATAGTGTCCGGTCGCGGAGGAATTCTCTTGCTGATTTGACGGAAATGGCTGGCAGGGAAGCCGTCGGTGAGCTGGAGGGTCCCAATGGCACAGCAGAGAAGATCGAGAGCGGCAATGAGTCCGCGAAACAAGAGCCTCAGAAAGAGCAGCAGGCTTCTGTATTACCTGATACCGATGGTGACCATTCCATGGCCGATGCAGATACAGTGCAGGCCCCTGAAACCGTGGAACCTCAAAACAAGGATACGCCTGCGACCAGCACAACTGCACCAGCTGCAGTCAAGGAGTCCGAAGCTGAGATGGAAACCATGGACATTCAAGCTCATGATGAGGCCCATGTACCTGCCAACGGAGACTCGAGACCGCATCCCAGCGGCAGTCCACAGCCCGCGAAGGAAGCGCCTGAACCACAAAAAGGACCTCCAACACCTCCACTGAGCTCCCAAGAAGACCAACAACATCCCTTGGCACAAGGTGGAATACAATGGTACATGGAGCCTTTCGATCCACTAGGTACTACAATATACGAAGAACGATGGACAGGCCGAGACGTCATGCGCGGAATGAGCGAGGAGCTTAGTGAACTGGACGAGGATGAATTGATGGATTTGGTGGACGATGGTCTCGAGGGCAAGACGCAGACGAGCTCTGGTGCACCCGAGGATGCAGACGGGTCTGGTGGTGAGCCACCAGTCAAGGTTCATCAAACCCGGAGACGGCTACGGACATCTTATAACTAGTGGTTTTGGATAATGAGGGGAGTTATGGTGCTTTGATTGTTTATGGATTGTTTTGTTTGTATTGATGGGCTGGATAGGGAAAGATGGCGTTCATTCTTGTGTTTCATTAATTCTCCTTAAAACTAGTGATAATTTAATTGAATTGATAACTCCAATATCGCTGGGTATCCTACTGCTATTGTTGCTGTATTACTGCACTGTCCGAAAATGGAATGTTGGTTGCTGGGGTCTTGGCGCATCCACCGCAGAGCCGCGCGTGGTCTGGAATTATTATGCTCGACTTCTCTTCTGCCCTCGCCCCTTCATTCCTCCTCCTCCTCCTTCCTCTCATCCTCTTCCATCCTCTTTATTTCATTTTCTCATTTCCTTTCTTGTTTAATACCCTCTCCTGTTCGACTTTAACCAAGTTTAGCTGAGATACCAACTCTTTTGTCGTCGGTGGAATTTTTCTGTTTGCCTTGTTCCGGACGTGCGACACGCGCTTCTCAGTTAAATCACCAGTCCCCTGTGACGTCTGTTTTTCTTTGACGACTCTTTTCAACTTCAAACCTTCATAATGGCCTCGGAATACGAGCAAGAGAACGGTCGCTATGACGGTATGCTTTAATGACTTGCTTGACCGGCCAGCTGGACCTTTCCGTCTCGGATAACAACAAGACTGACCTGAATTTTCTCACCCTTCAGACGAGCCTCGTTTCGACCGTCACCGCAGCGCATCTCCTCGCGATGAGATTAGAGATGACCGTGCCCGGAGCCGCTCCCCCAACGGCCGCATTGATGATCGGTATGCCATCGCCTCTGTTTTCACACCCATAACTTAAATCGCCTGTTTCGAAAAGCTGACACGAAAAGACCAAGCGGATATGAGAGAGGTCCTGTTGACCCCCGTAAGATGCTCGACGATGATGAGGAGGGTGCCCAGAACACCGGTTCTAACCTTTTCGTCACTGGCATCCACCCTCGTTTGTCTGAGTCGGATTTGACGCGTCTGTTCGAGAAGTACGGTGACGTCGAGAACTGCTCCATCATGGTTGACCCTCACTCCAAGGAGTCGCGTGGCTTTGGCTTCGTGAAAATGGTTACCGGTGACCAGGCGGATGCTGCCAAGGAAGGTCTGCAAGGTGAGGTCATTGAAGGCCGCACTCTGAGCATCGAAAAGGCTCGTCGTAGCCGTCCTCGCACCCCTACCCCCGGCAAATACTTTGGACCTCCTAAACGAGGTGAGCCTGGTTTGCAATCCCATACTTCTCTTTTTCACGCACTATACACTGACGATTGTAGCAGGTCCCCGTGGTCGTGGTGGCCCCCGTGGTGATCGCTATGATGACCGCCGTGGTGGTTTTGGTGCTAGCTGGCGCCGTGACGACTACCGCTACGGTCGCTACGACTCCTACAGTGACCGTAGCCGCGACTATGGTGGTGGTGGCCGTGACTACCGCGACTACCGTCGTGATTACCGTGATGACTATGGCTACCGTGGCATCGACCGCTACGCTTCTGGTGGCGGCCGCGAGGACCGCTACAGTCGCGACGACCGCCGTGGTGACGACCGCCGTGGTGGTGGTGGAAGCAGCAGCGGCGGTGGTGGTTATTACGACCGTGATGCTAACCCTCCCAGCTACAGCCAGGGCGGTGCCCCTCCGCGTGACGCATATGCTAGCCGCTCCTATGGTGATGACCGGTACGCTAGCAGGTAGGTGAAGATATGTCGGAATGATCAGATGTCGAAGTCGGTCGAAGGCACCTAATTTTTCTTGCTTTTAATTGTTGTGTACTTTTTACCCTTTCCTTTGTGTTTTTTCCTCCCCACCCCTGCTAGTGTTTCTATTATCTGATTTCGACGCCAACGGTGGGACGTCGTTGTTTCTGTTCTTCTATGTCACGCACACAAAAGTCGTCTTTCGCATCTCCTTGTCGTCTCGGTGAAATCGAACCGCCATTCAATCTTGCGGGCCAACTTCTCAACTGTCCACACAAAAAAAAGGAACAATACATGTCGCCGCGCTTCGATCACTGAAATACTGTTTTCAATTTTTTATATTCTCGGTACTCTCCAGACAATCATGGCGGCAAGGACGAGGAACAGATCTACATTTACGTTGTAATTCTCGGATTATCTCATGGGTCAGCACTGCTACATTTCAACTCTTCGGGATGTTTTCGCTAGTCAGCTCTTCGCCTTATTGCGTCTTGTTCACACACACACCCTTTACGTAACGACTCGATTGTATTCGACCAGAAAACACATAAAACAAAAAAATTTCTTTATCTTGGCCCATGCCCTTTTCGCCCAATGGTCTCGCGACGCATTGTGAGAAACCAAAAAACAAAAAAAAAAAAAAAAGGAAATCCGGCCATTCCACGCCAGTTTCCGCCATAGCCGTGGCGCGTTTTATCCCTGTAGTATCGCCAGACAATCGGCCCCTAGAATCCCCGCGAATGAGGGATTCTGTAATTCTCGGGTCACTGCAGAGCCCGGGGCGATCTTACGGCTAATTGCTTATTATTGACAACATGGCCGGGGAGGGGGTAAGATTTCCATAATTCGAAACGGGAGCTGATTCGTGTCACAAAGATCTTGATTTATTTTAGACAGGGAGCGAATTCTTATTCGTGTTACATTGGTTTCTGAATGGTTACGCTCGATAAGCTTGACAGTTCATCTCGTCGATATCTACACTCCATATGATATGGAAGCGCTGACAGCAGGGCGGTTACTTGCACCAAGCCAAGGCTGGTATATTGACCATTAGAGATAACAACTGTTTGTGAAACAATAATTGGTGCACTAACAAAGCATTTCTTATTTGGTGCTGGTATCCTTTGCATCAATGATGATTTGACTGGCGCTGAGGGTTCTCCTTGCGTCATATGCAGGGCTTCCTTTCGATGATTGTGGCTGCGATGATCTGCTCAAGGGTCTCAGTCCAAGAGATCGATCAATGAAACCTTTATATGGACAGCCATTAAGTAAATGAAACTTCGAGTTTGTACGAATTCCATTTTCCTAATGTATGCACTCTGTACTTGAATACCATAGCACCCGAGTATCTCCAAAATATACAAACACGAGGCAATTCTGCAGCGCCACATAATGTGACTGATCTAGCATCAGATCAATAACCCCGAACTTTATCGTGCAGTGCTTCTAGACCACTGTTCACGTCCAGGCATGGCCAATGATCCATTGACACCTAGCCCGATGCCCCAGTTTTGATAGTCCAGCGAATTAGAATAAGTTCATCGATCGAGCGCCACGCAGTCAGTCACTTCTATACCGCTCCAGGCGAGACCTTCTGTTCTCCATACTGTCGTGGATATCCGCCAGCGGCGGTCCAGTAATGTAGTAGCTTCGATACCAGTTCATGGTGATTGTCATCCAGTCAATCAATTAATCAATCCACTATCGACCCACTACTCAGGAGCCTTTCCCTCAACCTCAGCACTCTTCTGAATCAGAAACTCCCCCAGCACGCGCAATGGATTCGCCGGCCTATATCATATTAGCCTTCTTCCTTTCATCTCACCTCCATTTTCATCTCCCAACAACTCAATCATAATACAGGGAAAGGGTGAGACGTACTGCTCTTTAGCAACACCCTTCATCCCCTCCAGCAAATACGGCACGATATTCTCGTTCATGTACACGCGCGCTGGGGCGCCACCGGGGCGGCCTGTTTGTGCTTGAGATTGGGGTTGAGATTGTGTTTGGGGGGTGGTGGTTGTGGTGAGGGAGTCGGCCGCGGGCGTGCCTGCGAGGGGGCTGTCGGTGGCCATTGTCGTATTTTATTCGAAGGTCGGGTTGGAGTATGCTAATATGGGCGTTTGGATTGGAGGAGTTCGTGAGTTGCAAATAAATCAATGACGTTGGAAGAGTAGAAGGACATTGAATCCGTCGTTTGCGCAGGCGGAAGGACGGGCGGTATAGAGCGTGCAAACGCACGTGATATCGCGTCTTTGTGTGGCGCAGTAGTGGCGTTCTCGTCTGGTCTGGTCCAGTGTCGGGTTTTGGTTTTTGGATTTTATCCCCTCAGCTTTATCTGAATATCTATTTCGTATATACGTTCCTTTGTTTTATATTGATCCTTATGAGCTGGTCCAGATTTACTTGGCTGGCTATTACTCCAGCCAACTGATGTCTGTCGCTATAGACGCAGTCATATCTCGGCGTAACGTCCTATGGTTCGGTGACAGTATGTCCTTGCTGGACTACTGGGGGAAGCAGGAGTCTTCCGCGAAACGCAGAAAGGTCTCCGGTGATGACGTTCTGCAAAAACACTCGATTCGGAAAGAGGAGAGTATGCCTCGTGAAAGCGAAGAGCGTCCTATAGATCGCCCATTATTAAAGACATCCGATTCACCAGCTATACCTCTAGACGGATATCTCCCAATCGACGATGGGAAGCACATTCCAGACAGTCAAACAGAACTAGAATCTTCCCTTCCAGCAATCGAAACCAACACCCAAGCAATAGACGAGTATGAGACCTTGCGCACTGTGCAAGTTGAATCAGACGAACCAGACCTGCACCAACGAATGCAAAACAGCAGCTGGCAGAAAGGCAAAAGCTCTATATATGCTGATGCCTTCAATCTAGCACTGGAAACAGTACTAAATGAAGAGGCTCATCTGTTCAATGGGGCTGAGATGGAGGTGTTCAGGCAGTGGAGAGAGTTGTCATATGAGTCGCAGTATTTGTAGGTTTATGTCTCTGTCTGGTGTCTTTGTATGTATTTTGGTGTTAATGGTTGCAATAGATATGTACGGCTCTTTCTGCGGAAAACTTCTGCGTGGCATCGTATTAACCAGCTTGGTTATTCGGATGTTGTGGATTTGGATGCTGCGGTCGCTGAGCTCCAGCGCAGTCGTGGACTTCCTATTCTTTCTGGAATGGAGAATGCGAATCCAGCAGATGTTGACTCTGGTTCGGAGCTCAATGGCGAGTTCAGATTCGCCGATAGTAGTGAGCTGATAACGACGCTGGAAGAAGCGTCATCGTTATTACTACTGGACGAGCTGAAAAGCTTTGCAACTGATGTGAAGGCGCAAGGGAAGAGCAAGAAAGAATTGCTAGCGGTATTTCGGGAGTCAATCCAGACACAGACGGGACTTGACTGGAATCATGGTAAAACAGGTGTCAGAAGTCCTTATGTGAATCGGGATAGCCACTATGTCCAAAAGATTCTCGGCTACACCGGTGACTGTATAAGGCTCAGCGCTGGTCCTCGTGTCTTGTTTGAAAGAGTGCATTTGGTCTTTTATAGGTCTACAGAATGGACAGAGAAGTCTCTTACGACTATTATTCTTGCGAAGACTTTGCGCAAGAACTTCCCGAGTTACATTGTGTGTCGGTCTAGTTCGATTTTTCCGTCTAGGTCGACTTTGCTAGAATTCGAGTCGGCACTGCGGACGCAGTTTGATATTGACAATATCCTCCAATTCAATGGACCCCCGGACTTGCAACAAGTCAAAGGTCTTTGCGATAAGGTTTATCCTCGATGGAAGGAACTTCTAGCCCAAGAACAACGGAAAGAAGCCACTTTCTACGAATGCGGAGAAGGAGCTTATCTACGCCGTTTCTCGCCAGCTTGGGTTTATACTCGGATTGTCCATAAGGGCCTTCTTCCCTTGGGACGATTCAAGGAGCATAAACGTGAGCATGAGGTTCTCACTGAACTTCTTGATCAACGTCTTTTTCACGCTGCGCGTCGTGGTGGATGGCATCAACGGAAAGCCCTGTTGGAAGAACATTACATGTGGAATCTCACGCCATTCGACGGACGCAGTGGAGAGAACCAGCGAAAGCACTGGAAAAGGATTGCGCTTCGGACATGTGAGGAAGGGCTCGAGGATCCGAGCAGTCATCTAATCTACCACTACGACTTACAAAAGCGGGTAATGAAACTGGAGAAAGCGCTGAAAGTGCCTAAACGAGAACAACATGATTTTGGATACGCCGTTCTGGCTAAACCTGAAGAACGGACTATTGATGGGATACGTATCGAGCAAGAGGATACGCCTCACGACAATGCATCGAAACGAGGTCGTCCGACGGTTTGGGTAGATGAGAGAGGGGGCGGCGAATGCAGAGTCGAGCAGATGTGTTTAAATTGGTATATGGATCATGGCTGGAAAGGCTATCATTCAGAGGGCGGCATCGTTCGTACATTGGTAAGCACACACCACCCCTCAACCCGTCCAAACTAACAAACAAGTTCGGCCTCCTATTCTACGACATCCTCTTCACCTACATCCCTAACGTCTTCCAAACCCCCTTTCAAACCTCCCCCCTCGACCTCCACACAGACACCTTCTATCCCACCCGCGCCTCCGAAATAAACCACCGCCTCGTCGAAATCGCAAATGGCTCCGCCGAACACCTTATCCGCACAGTCTACACCACTCACTCCCCCCTCCAACCTTGCGTCGTCGGCATAAACTGGTCCTTCCCGTTGGACGATCTGGTTGAAATCGCGCGATGTTTTCGTGGTGAGGCGCTGGCGGCGATTTGTAAGGTTCTCGCGCAGGAGTATCAGCAAAGAGGTGGGGGAATTCCGGACCTTTTGGTTTGGAGTCAGGAGAAGAGGGAGATTATGTTTGTGGAGGTGAAGTCGGAGAATGATCGGTTAAGTGATACGCAGAGGTTGTGGATTCATGTGCTTGTTGGGGCGGGGGTCAGGGTTGAGCTTTGTAATTGTGTTGCTAGATAGTGTTTTAAAACATTATGTACACGATCTCTTTTTGCACATTGTAGCACTCGATGGAAAGAAGAGGAATTTTTCTTGTACGTTTAACTGATATTCGGTGAATACTTTCCTCGGGTGCTTTGAGCATGCGTCTAAACTTCTCTTCTCCTCGCTACTCATCACAGGAAGCTATCAACCAGCAACCGTCGACTCAACAATGGACGCTCAAATGTCAGATGCAAATACTCCTAACGCAGCAACCCTCTCGCAAGATACCCGAAACTGGACTACCACACATTTGGATCTCGCAAGAGTCAAAGCAATAGATAGCATCACTAAATAACAGTCACTAGGCTCTGAGAATGTGCTAGCGGACGGAGGCAAAGGTCAGCGTAGCCTACAATGACTTTCGAGCAAGTATTGACTACTACTAAAAGAATTCGAGAGATTGTCTGGGTTTGCCATGGCCCATGGTAGCCAGTAAGAACATGTCGAAGAAAAGAATCTGAAGGGGACAGGATTCGTAGTTCATCACAATCCACGGAATTTTTTCTCATGCCTAAGGAGAGTTGAGGAAAAACCTGAGAGCCCAAGGGTAAATGGGCAATCAAGGCAAGGCAACGGGATGAGATGGTGTACAAGCAAATGAGCTTATCGCTTCTATAAGAAACGTGATGCAACTGACACTGCGCACTACGACAAATTTCACTAATTGAAATTAGGGCTGATGGCTTGATTCTGGGATCATGTTAGTTTTGGGGTTGAGCTTTAACGATAGACTAGACATTCATCAGTTTCAAGCTTGCAAGCAGAACCTAGTCACACCTCCAGCTGGATTTCGCCAAACGACTATCGCAAGTGATAAGAAATAAGAGATAAGACATTTACAGATGGCAAGTCAATAAGCTGCCATGTAGCGCTTGAAGCTGCTGCAGTAGTGGCTTGTACTAGCAATAGTCACTGCAATTGCTTCGATCGACTTTATGCTATTCGTATGTTTGCGTCCACCACTGTGTGCATAAAAAGGATTGAGGCCAGCCTTAAAACCATTCTGTTTATTTGGCATGTTACGAAAGACAAAAGTCGGTTACTTCCTTTCGGAGTTTATAGTCGACAATAGGAACTCGAACCTTAAGTGATCCGTTTATACGCACGGATCGGAATGCCACGAACGCGCTAAAACAGTTCCACGGTTGCTATTCCAATTCAATGGATACAGAAATGTGATCAGAACTAAGGGGCCTGGTTGCTTCGCAGATTTATTACCTTGTGGGAGAAAAAAAAAAAAAAAAGAAAAAGGTGTCGGATCGATGAAACGGGTTGATAAGATAATGCGAGCTAACTAGCTAGGGTTCGGGTCAACGCCCCATATAAATTTGCTCCAACTAACGTCACAAACATAACAGGAATAGTCTGAATGCACTCGGCAGTCCAGTCGCCATTGAGACAGGAACTGCAGACCCCTCACCTGGAACGATAGCTATTCACATCGTCCCAGCCACCGTAGGCTGCTCGTTTTTCAAGCATTACCCTCTCCGCCATGTCACGGTCCTGTCAGTCCTTCTGTCGGCATGCCATATTACTTACATCGTCGATAATCTCGAGAGACAGTCGAATTCCTTGGGTTTGATTGTATCGCCATTGGCATCGTTTCGGTACGATTTGTACAACTGCACGAGCATATGTTCTCCGAGCACGTATCTGGCAAAACAAGTTCGTATACAATACATCCAGAATGAGGACCCGGGTTGGCACGGATTTCTTAGCTTGAATGTAGTTTCTGGGGGCTAATCGGTCGTTGAGCTGCGCCTTCGATGCGATCAATTTCTTTTGGGGGGGGGGGTGTCATGGCGGAAATATATGGAACGGAATGGGGGCTTTTGATAGTCAAACACCTCGATTGGGATGCCAGAGTCGAACTATGCAGATGGATGGTTTAATTGGCATGGTATTGAATTTCACAATTGCACGGGAGATTTTGTCTGGCACCTCAACCTCGGGATGCATGCCATGCATTTTTCTTCCCTATGTAGATAAGATCTTGATTGAAGATGATTCCATGGTCGTGTATGGCATCCCACTACGCTTAGCATAGATTTGGCAAAGTTTACGTTTACTTGGTTACATCTACACATAAAACCAAACATTAAGAACCGTAAATTTTTATTTTTGGCGGTTGGAAAGTTAACGACTATGTTTCCTCGTTTCGATTCACTCAAAACAGAAAAACAGCCCGCCTTCAGATAGCTCGCTGTGACCACATCATCTACAGACGCAACAAACAAACCATCTTCGAACGTAGTCTTATCCCAACAACCCAAACCAAGAACCACCGGTTTATCAAGTTTAAGCGACCAGGGTGCTGGCGGTGGCGGACTCGTATCTCCAGGTAGGGGGGAGGACACCGACGGTCTTGTAGTAGCGAGACAGACGGTGGATACGGGACTCGATGAGAATCAGGCGGAACTTGGAGTCAGTGTCCTTGCGGTTGCGCTCGAGATGCTTGCGGACGGAGACGGCCTGACTTCGTTAGCGCTTGTTTTTCTTTTTCTTTTTCTTTTTTTTTTTTTTTTTTTTTTTTTTTTTTTTTTTTTGACGAGTAAAAGGGAAGGTTTACCTTCTTGATCAAGAAGTAAAGGTCCTCGGGAAGCTCGGGAGCGAGGCCTGTTAAATCACTCTGTCAGCCATGACCAAGCAGAGGCAATGGAGACTGGCATTTCTGCACAGTTCCTTTCGAAGGAGAGAATTGAGGACTGATAGGGAGATTTGCGGTTGTGACATTCTAGGTTCTGGAGATTTTTCAATCCAGAAATAACCATGTCTTGATCAACCGTAGTGTCTCCTAATCAAATCACTCTCTTCATCCCATCGAAGTAATTGTAAATGGCGTAAGTGTATTCGTACCGTTCGACTTCAAGATACGGAGGATCTTGTTACCTATTCGCTTGTTAGCCCCGTCTCCCGGTATCCTCTCAAATCGCAAATGCAAACATACCAGTAACAACCTTGACCTGGGCAACACCGTGCGAGTCACGGAGGACAACACCAATCTGCGAAGGAGTGGCACCCTTCTTAGCGAGCTTGCAGATCTGGTCGACAACCTGGTCGGGGGTGGTCTTGAGCCAGGCCGGGGGAGTGCGAGAGTAGGGGATGGCGGAGGACGAAATGCCCTTTCCCTTGCTGTGAAGACGACCCATTTTGTTTTTTTGGTTTTGGTGTTGACGGTGGTTGTCGACGGTTGTTGTTGGCTGCGTTGAAGGAGATATGAAAAGTTCGCGATGAATTTTTGACGATGAGCGGAGAGTGGAGTGTGGGTCACGTGAGTCTTCGCTTAGGGTGATGGTATTTAAGCCGCGCGGATCGTGATTTCTTCCGCCGGGAAAATCTCTGCGATTTGCATTTTACTGAGCTTTCATGATGAGCTCTTGCTTTGTTACTGCGACTAACTAACAGATAAATACTGCGCAGCTATAATCCAGGTCAGTTCTTTTCTTCCTCGCGAACTCAACACAATGATGATACACACCTTACTTTTATTTTTCTGGTACCTCTTATGTCAGGAGTGCGTCCTAGCGATGTTCCTCCGATGATCTAAATGGACTTCTGATCTTCTCCTTTTCACTTATACTGCTGCAATATGCTGTGAGGACAGTTTTGCTGACTTCGTAAAGCTCGTCAGGTTCTTTGCTTTTGCCAGAGTATCGGTTCAGGTTTTATCTCGATGCGATAGGCATTGGGCTTTGATCCCCACACTCTGACCCACACATACTGGATAGTTTAATAGTCAAATGAGATGGAAATCGTTTGTGCTTGGTTTTCTCATTGTCGACACGTTTTCTAGATCGCGCTGGCTAGCCTTGTATCAGGCTTCCATAGCGCAATTTACGGGCATGCATAAAGTGCTGGCAGTGGCATAGTGTTATCCCAATCCCACACCTGCCACTCGTCCTCATAAAGCCACCTGCGCATGACTCGAGAGCCCTGCATGTTGTAGCAACGAGTGCTGAGATTCTGTAAAGTCAATATGCAGCAAGGCAATGTATGCTTGTTCCGTTTGAGTTGGGTGATTCCGGGTTCCTCTACCTCAAGGTTGTACACTGTCGAAGGGTGTATGAGGGTATCCGGAAGTCATCCGGATACCATCCGGCAAAACGCCTGAACGTGCAGCTCAGTCAAGCTACCTTGGCGTCAGTCCCTGGGAGTGCATCGACAGCCGCGTCGCATAGCATGGCATTTGCATAATACCACAAAGAATCACACCGCTAAAGTACAGTAGATATCGTCGTGATTAGCGCCAGAGTGCCGCAAATTAACCAATGGTAGAAACGCGGTGGTTGCTTTGAAGGTTGATTGCTTATTTCCTTTTTCAACGCGCTGCTCGTATGGCCAGACCCTACTGGTATGAACGAAGGCAAACTGCATACAGGACGTCATGGGACAGAGACAAATAAACTCCTACTGGAAACTCCTAACGAGACAACTTGGCCAGAATCCGCGCGTAGCAGCAAATAATATCATATCACCACGCCAATTCACCTAATCGGATGACTCGGCTGAATCCGCGTCAACCAACACATGCGGCTCGCCTTCACAATATTATTATCTTAGACAAATGGCCTAGCTGTGATGAGTCAAAATGGCCACTTCGCGGCCAATGCTCAGTGTCGCAGGAACAGACAATCGGAAACGGCGATTGGATCGGAGCTGGATAGCTGAATATCCAGTCGGAGGGGAAAAAAGCGTTGATGCACGCTGACAGGCTGCGGCGCAGTGATGGGTCGGTTGCTGTCACGGGAAGAGTGACCAGTCACCTGCCATATCGGAACTTCCGTGGTTTGCTAAAATACGATTTCTTTTAAAATAGCTTTTTGTGTATACGGAGTACGCCGTTGGGTTGGAGTGCTGGTGGTAGACAGATAACTTCGCTGGAGGGGATATTGACTCACGTTGAGCCCCCGCAACACTGGGCTACAAATGCGCTGTGTATGCACCCTATACACTGCCTCCTTTACTGTAGACTGCCGCTGTAGCACAGCCAGGTTATTTACTTACCAAAATGGCCTGCCGTAGTGATTGACAAGGTCAACAATCATTCATTCCCCGAACTGACAGCATCGAATCATGTAGAGGTTGGATACATCACAGGGTGGTGCAGGCAGTTTCAAACATGCCGGGACCCTTTTTTTGGCCAAGGTCCACATATGGGCTTGGTAGGCGCAAGTGTCTTGTGTCGACAGCAGACCCGTTTTATCTATGTGTCGCATATCATACCAATATAATTGCAGTGAAGATGGCATAGCTTTCTGGGCATCAACGGCGATCACTAGGTGAAAATACGCGGCACAACCCATACACCCACTTGGATCTAGACTCACCACTTTCTGTACCCTTCGTACCGCGACTTCTACAAAAGCAGTAATTATTATGCACTATTATCACTGTTATAGACTATCACCGCCAGTATTCAGGCATCAAAAACGTAGACGGATGTCGAGTTGACATCTTCAAAGCAATGGCTAAACCTTAATCAATCTGAACCCTAATTTCACCGGCGATTCTGGTGGCGCAAAAGATGAAGAAAATATTAGCGCTAGGACGCTGACAGCATGACACAAAACGAAAAAAAAAAAAAAAAAAAAAAGAAACATTCCTATGAGTGAGTAGTGCCGATTTATGTGCGTAAAGTACGGACCATCGTCTGTAGCTCCAACCTTCCCATATTTATCGAGTGGCACTACTATCAACGGGCTTTGATATCGCATATAATACCGCTTTTCGGAGACTGTAACAACTTAACTGGCTACTGACTAGTGTTATTAGCGTCGCGTCTACTCAACGTTTTCGATCGTGTAATACAGTAATACACGTTCTTTCGTGCAGCAGCCAATAAGCAACCCTCGTGGGGCAAAGGCGATGGTGGTGGCCCCTGCGTGGTTAGTACGAGTATATCCTAGTAAGGCATCAGATTAGCCACTCTCATGTCGGCTTTACTTCTCCTTTTCATGTTTCGCTCTGATATATACTCTTATTTTATCCTCACTTCTTGCAACTTGATCTTTTTCCGGTGTAAAATTCGGTTCAATTGCATTGTATCTGCTCGTGAGGTCCTCGTTATTCAGTCCCATGCCACAATAACATACAGCCGTCATGACTATCGAGACTCGAATCTTCGACCCCAAGGAGGGTCGTCAAAACTCAAATTACACTGGTGCATGCCAGTTTCCCTTTCTGCAGCAGAATCTCTTTCCCGATACTGGTGGATGTATGCGCTCCTCGCTTGACCCTTGTTCCCTCAAGAATAACTCTAACAGCACGATATAGACATCGACGGACGATACTGCGCGCTAGTCCCGAACCCAGGCGGATACGAAAATTGCTGCGTGCCATGTCCGGTGGCTAATTGGAAATACGGTGATGGTACGTCTATCCTGGCCGGTTGATCGTTTCAGCAACTAACCAGTGTATAGAGTTGATGGCGAAGACGAAGATTCCGAGTTACATTAGTGCCGTCATTTTTCCTTTTGTTGTTCTTCTACTACTATCATATGTGGTTCTTCCAGCGAAATATTCTCATCGGCATTACTTGAGTGTTTCTTTTACCATTGGGATTTGCTGCATGCATGTGAGTCGTTTGATATTAGCCTGGTCTGGAATTTGCTGACAGCGATAGATTGCTTTTATCATACCACTAGGTGCCAAACCAGACCAATGCTACAATGAAATTACACCAAAAGGCATGCACGATGATCTCTCATGCGCCTTTACCGGCTCCCTTCTTCTTTTCGGAGGCTTTAAGGTTGTCGTATGGAGTACGCTCTTCAACCTCCCCTTCCTATACTGTCCCAAGCTAATTTGCAGGTTTTATCCGCGCAATCGCCTTCCACCTCCAAGTCTGCTGGGAACAAGTCCTCGGCAGAAAGTTCATGTGGGGAGCCCTAATCTGCGGCTGGGGCATCCCAGCCATCGGCACAACAGTCATGCTTATCTTTACCGGCGTCTCCTTCCGCTTCGGCGAAATCTGCCACATCAACATGGAAAACAGCATGTATGACTACTGGATTCCGGCGCTGGTGTTTGCCGGCGCAGCCCTCATCCTTCAGTTATCGACTATGGCCTATTGCATCCGCGTATACCTCAAGACAATATTTAACAGGGAACCCAGGGCTACGACTGGCGGGTTGCCATCTTACGCCGCTAGCGTTCGCTCGATAAATGCTCGTCAGGCATACCGGCGGATCAGCAAGGTTTTCCGGCTGCAATGGCGCGGCGTGGCATTCGTATTTATCATCATTGCAAATGCCCTCCTCTACGCCATCGTCTTTATTAATCTGGACGCCACTACAAAATTAACACACGAAGTTATCCAAAAGGCCTTCCCCTGGCTTCTTTGCCTTTCCCTCACAAAAGCAGATAAAGAATACTGCAAGCAATACGCCATCAACATCGGGCCGGACAAGGATACTCTCCTCGCCGTCCTCACGTTCCTATCTATGGTTGGCCTTTGGAACGTCGCACTCTTCGCTAGACCATCTATGTTCACAGGCTGGCTCGTACTCTTCCGAAATACATCCAGCAATCAAAAGGAATGCGTCTCCGCGGACGCTAGAACCCTCTTCGCTACATCCCCCGAAGCGCGCGGCTTTGAAATGTTCTACAAAAACTCCACTACCACCAACACAACCTCCAACACAAAAGCCCCCGAAACATTCATCGATATCGGCATTGGTATCGCCCGCTCCTCAACGCCCGACAAATCTACCGACGAGACCAGAAGTCTAACCTCCCAAAAGCTCCCCTCTCCCCAATCACCGTCCTCATATGATTGGGAGTCCGATAAAGAATACATCAGACGACAGCCCGTGAGCTTCTCAAGACCGCATCCGACTGTGGCTTTGCCGCCAAGGATAAGGCCTCCCATGTCCAGGACACCGAGGGTGGCAAGTCCTACGGGGTTGGAATGGGATCCGAGGGATACTTTTGCGGCACCAAGTCGGAGTCCGCAGGAGGGGGAGAGGTCTGGGGCGAAAAGGTTTGGGGGGGTATGAATATGCTCTTCTTCTTTCTTCGTTTGCAACCCTTTATTCAATTCTTACTCTCGCTTCATTCTGTTTACCATGTTATACCTTTTAAATCAGGTTCGATTTTGGTTATGTCTCCTTTCGTTGTTCAACACATACATACACTTACACTTCTTGATTGATGGCATGTTATATGATTGATGTGTTTGGATTCGTTTGCTATACCCTGTTGTTTTGTTGTTTCGTTCATGTGCTGGGTTGTTGGTTGATATATTACATTGGAGCGTTGATTTTGGATACATATACTAGTGCTGGAAATGAGGGGAGGCAGGCTTGTGTATATAAAGTACATTTTGGAAGGATATGAATCAAGATACGGAATACCAAAAGGTACTGCTTCGTACCTCTCGCAAAATTTCATTAACGTACTTGTAGTCCAGCGTGGTGCTTATCAGATTGAATATCTGACCAAAATTTGGAACTTACTGCTTCAGCAGAGCAGGCAAGATTATTGTCTAGCGCCGTGAAAACACATTCAGAGAATACCAGCAGATTAAGCGATTGATTGACAGCTGCTCACGTAAAAACCATCTGCTATGATACATCACCAACCAACCTCACCCCGGATAAAGTAAACAAAATAAACCAAATCTCGACAACGTTTTCTGACCTAGCACTTAATAGCGAGCAGACAAAGGGGAATAAAGATAGATGAAATTTAGAAGCACAAGACAGATAACATGTATGAATTATGGTCACTTTTACCAAGCTTCGACGTCGAAGTTTTCCTGTTGCTCATTAGTATACGAAGCGCAGGTTGGCTAGCGTGGGTGGAGCTTACCTCGGAAAAGTACGTTGTCACAACTGTCCGGTCCGAGAACTTTCTTCCGGCAAGTGCCTTCAGCGCATTTGTTGTAGATTCCACCGTGTCGAACTTGACGAAGATCTTGCCTACCCCTGCAGATTGCCTGCTGCCACCAGAGGGACGGGGGATCTTCACGCCAAGGATTTGACCGTATTTCGAGCACTCCTCCTGCACGTCGTCGCAGATTTCTACTTCATTAATATGATCCTAGAGAGTGAGATGGTGGGGAAGACATACCCTCGTAATCATCATTGTCCATCAGTTCCTCCGGGGTCACCATGTTCAACAACTGCAGCACACGACTGGTCTCAAGGTCCTGAGATGTAGTCTTGGCAAACATGGACATCGCGTTGACGCCCATGTCCAGACCAGAGGCCTGCGTGATTCCAATACTAGCCCGCACAACCTTGAGATGTCTGTCACCAAGTTCCATACCATTAAGTCCCTCTACGGCAATACTGGTTGCCGTAGGATCCGCGTATTCGCAGAATGCGATGCCCTGTGCTCAGTTAGCAAGAGATGATCATGAATACAATTGACATTACTCACCCTAGATTCCTCCGTCGAACCGTCCTTGACCAACACAAACGACTTCAGCTCGCCAAAAGACTTGAGCAGCATCGTAACAGGCTCCTCGGGAATGTAATGCGGGATGTTCGATACACAGATCTTGTTGGGCGAGTCCGGAACTTCGTTCAATAACACACCCTCCTGGTATTCCTGCTCTGCACCACCAGGGACAATGTAGTCCTTGGGCCGCCGTACTTCCAACCCAGCAGGCGCGCCGTTGGCTCCAGCCTCAGATGCATGGTCATCCATCAAGATTCCGTCGAATGCAAGCGCAACAGTGGCATCGTTTGGTGTCTTGAATTCCAACAAAGCGAAAGAGTGGTCCCCAGACACTTGGGCGGAGATACAAGGATCCACACTCTGGATGACATTAAGACCGTTAAGCTGAACATTAAAGAACGCGAGCAAAGTCTCGCCGGTAGCACTGGGAGGCAAGTTGTACGTGAACAAACGTTTGGCCTGGCGAGAGTTGGAAGCTTTGAGAGTCGTGCTTTCCGCCTGTTCACCGCCAGGTTGTTGGTTCATGAAAGCCTGGAGACGACTGGGGTCCATCGGCTGCTGTCGAGGTGCTCCAGGAAGAGGGAACATTCCTGTGTTTGTCAGTTAGTTTGGACAATATACTACCACTGGAAAGAAAAATCTACCTGAAATCTTCGCCTGCTCCGCAGTAACATTCTCATAGCCAGGAGGCTTGATATCCCATTGTGTCAGACGGCGCTTCCGAGTCAATACCGAAGCAACATCCGTCAAGTCAGGTGTAGCCTCCCTCTTTCTCGGCGGAGGCGACGCAGTCCTCCTCCGATCTCTCCGATCTCCACGCTCACGTTCGAACTCACGGTCATGGTCACGTTCGCGGTCGCGGCCTCCCCGGTCTCCCCGGTCTCCCCGGTCTCCCCGATCTGTCCGATCTCCTCGTCGGGACCTACCACCGTCAAACAAGTCTCGGTCTCTTTCGCGTCGGGAGGGTCTGTCATCGTAATCTCTGCGTCTGCGCTCGCCGCGGTCTCGGTCCCATTCACGGTCATCTCTGCGGCTGGAGTAGCGGTCCTCCCTTTCTCTGGCGCGGTAATCGCGGCTTGACGAGTATGTATCGGTCTCGTAATCGCGTCTGGATCCTCTTGAGCTGTGGTGAGGAGATCTCGATCGTCGGCGTTCGCCTCTATCTCCGCCGCGTTCGCGACGCTCGTCGCGCTAAAGCTTGTTAGTTGATTTGAATGGTTAACATAGTTGAAGGGACTAAACTCACGTAGTAATCTCTAGGGCGACCGGAGTCTGCGATGATAACCGGTTAAATATGTACCATAGAACAGCGACAAGGAATGATACTAACCTCTAGACGAATAGGCGTCGCCGTTCATTTTGAGCTCCAAGCAAGCTTCCTCGCGTTCCTCCTAGGGGTAACAAAGGCGGATGCAAAAAGAAAATTAAGCTTAAATTAGAGTAGCAGCGCCCGAGCAACGTTGAAGCCAAACCAAGCGATGGCAAGAATAATTGAACGGAGTCTGGGCGAAGAGGACAGCGACAGTTGCAGGGCGGCTGGACGAAAACTTGCAGGTCTCGACGATCGGCCGGCGTCTAGATCGAAGCGGTTAGCGCGCGTCTGTCAGTGGAGGCCTCACCGCCTGGGAAAAGTTGGCAGAATCACGTCCTATCAAGGTTATCTGGACTGCTAATCCTTAACTGCTACACCAACCAGCATGACTGTTGGTGCTTTTTCGGAATGGCGCAAGCTTCCAGTGAGCCTGAGTGAGCTATGCATCAACACGACTCTTCGGTGTGGTCAATCGTTCCGGTATGTCCCTTCACGCCCCAAGTTGCAGCGCAGTGCATTCTAACTTGCATCTGGCTAGATGGCATAATGTCCCCGATAGCGACGAATGGCGATGCGTGCTCCACGGGAAACTCCTCTCCTTGAAACAAGACTCTACCTGTCTCTATTACAGAACCTACCGCCCTTCAAAGTCAGACAGTACCGACAACGACGACACAACCACCCTCAACCTAATCAAACACTACTTCAATCTCACCGCGAACCTAACAGACTTCTACGCGCAGTGGTCCTCACAAGACCCGAATTTCAAAAAGAAAGCTCCCCAGTTCACCGGGATCCGTATCCTCCGCCAAGACGCGTGGGAAGCGCTCATCTCCTTCATCTGCAGCAGCAATAATAACATATCGCGCATTTCGCAAATGGTTGAGAAGCTTTGCTTACATTATGGACCATTCATCGGGACGATCGATGATCGCGCATATCATGACTTCCCAACTCCCGACGCATTGACTGGTACAGAGGTTGAAGGTCGCTTGCGCGGGCTAGGATTCGGGTACCGTGCCAAGTATATTTACCAGACGGCGCTTATTGTCGCGAAAGAGCGGGAGAAGGGCTGGTTGAATGGACTATGTAACCCGGAGTCGCCAGCCTTTGGGGTTAAGCCTGGATTCGGGGGTGAGATGAAACCAGAAGGAAGAGATGGTTATCGGGAGGCGCATGAGAAGTTACTTGAGCTGCAAGGCGTCGGGCCAAAGGTTGCCGACTGTGTTTCCCTGATGGGGCTGGGATGGGGAGAATCCGTGCCCGTGGACACACATGGTAGGCTTCCATCCTTTATCCTTGCCTGCGTGTTCCGCTAATCTGAACGTCACAGTATGGCAAATCGCCCAACGAGACTACAAATTTGGCAAAGGCGCACACAAAACCCTCAACAAAACAACATACGACGCCGTCGGCAACCACTTCCGCAAAATTTGGGGCAAAGAAGCTGGTTGGGCACATAGCGTCCTGTTCACGGCTGATCTCAGGACATTCTCCGATCGACTTGCCTCATCGAAGAAGTCCAAGGTGGAGGTCGATGTCAAGGTAAAGGAGGAGAAAACTGATGATATGAAAGTTGAGACCAAGGTTACGACTGCCGTTGCGGTTAAAAGGTCTGCTAGCGAGGATGGCGATGAGAAGGTCAAGGTCGAAGATGATGTGACAAAGACAAAGGAGGAGCCGAATGGCATTGTCAATGCTTCGCAAACGACAACGAGGAGGATGTCGAAGCGGCTTCGGAACTGCTGATCTGATGCTTGTTAGATAGTATTTAATGCACAGTATACCCCTTCATCTATTTGGATATGGACTTTGTTATCTTGGAAAAACAAGCACTTGGATTAGTATGCTTTCTCCTATTCTGTATATACTCGAGCCACAACACACATTACCTGGAATTCAATCAACCAGACACCCAAACAATCAACCCGTAAAGCGGACTATTCAATTATCGAGATAGATAAGAAATAAAAATTAAATTCATTTATACTACGTAGTTACATCTTCATCCATTGGCCAACTATGCATAGCTGCAAACCGCCGCTCGGAAATCTATGGGATACTGGGCAGTAGTACACTGCACCCTCCCGGACAAGCTACATGGCATCACCGATGCAGATTCGCATCCTTTTGCCAATAATGCGCAGCTATAAGATACTGCTTGGGATCCCACTTGTGACGCACTCCCATGAGCTGCTGGATATTACTCTCTCCCCAGAACCAGCTGTCTGACATCGCCGAGAAATCGCAAGATTCTCCCAGACAGACACCGACAGTACGGGGTCGAATCGCCGCCATGGCTTGCTGTGTCTAGGTCTTGCATTAGCAGTTTCTTGCTGTCTTCGACGGTGGCGTAAATCGACATATAATGAGGTCTGACACTACCGGAAGCGCTGTCTGCTTCGCGGGTAAATGGGGTACCAGAAAGCAAGGGAATTTCCTGAAATAGTGTCTAATGTGACGGCTCATGCCACATCTATATTAATATTGACACACTATCAACGTCGCAAACGATGCTTCCGAGACAAACACCATCATACAACCCCTATAAAATCTCTTCATCTAGATAGATTTCTTTTCTTCTCTTTTTCTTTCCCTCCAGATTCGATATTCTCAGCGATGGCTACACTAGTTTAGATAGGAATAGCGTTTCGTCAGTATCTACTAGTCCGAGCCCGTGACAGCTCTTCCACTATTCAGCAACTGCCCTGAATCAATCAATCTGATTGGGAGAAAAAAAAAGAGAAAAAAAAAAAAAAAAAAAAAAAAAAAAAAAAAAAACCATCTATCATAAGGCCTATATATACACAATCTGGTGGCCATCAATCTAGCTACGAAAAGAAACCATTGCAAAAGAAGTTCAAAGAGACAAAGAATACAAAGTGCATAATGCATGTATGCATTGGCTGTACTGAAAGAATGCTGGTTGCATAGCCGTAGTCCCCTGATCATTTCATCTCTCAAAATGTCTTTGAACAATTCACTCGAATCATTTGGTATTTCTGCAAGTCTCTTTCTCAGGGACTATGCAGGCAGCATCCTTTACAATGGCCACTGCATACATGCGTTATGCGCTTTGTGCTCCTTTTATCTCTATGAACTTCTTTCGCAACGACCTTCCCTTTTGCGCTTAATTGACGGCCGCCAGTTTGTGTATAAAAAGGCCGTACAATAGATAAATATCTAGAATCAGAGTTCTTCCTCGATTCGTTTTGAATAGTGCCTACGACACCCTTCCGAGCATAGTAGTTAACAGTCCTATGCAATAGGAATTTATTAGTAGACTATCTAACAAGATTCTAGCATGAGAAAAGAAGGAAGAAGGCAGAGCGCCCAGAGCTTGCTGGTGTGTGCAGTGGGGTCTATGTCTTACATCAAACAGACCAAAGTAAGGAGGAAGAGCTCAAGCATGATTCGGACATTCTCCTTGATAATCTGAGGGAAAGAATCAGCACTCTCCTCATTGTAAATATCGAATTCCTGGGCCTTATTCCGGCAATAAGTCCGCCAACCCCGGGAAGGTTATGTGGAACTGGCGATACACTCGGCCTAATGGCAACCAGGAGATGGTTAGTCGCAAGGTATCTCTCTCTATCATTTATCCGTACCAATACAGTCCTCAGACCGTTATACCCCAGACCTAAGCGCAGTATTAATGCTTACATTGAACAAATGATGGTTTTGTAATTATGTTACGGTTCCAGGGCCCGTCTTACTGTACTTGAAGAGTCCAAGGTCAGAAACATGCAACGAGAACCTAGTGTGGTTATATCCCGGTGATGATTTATCCATTTCTTTGAATCCACTATATCCTCGTCCCTTAGGAACCAACCTCGCAAGCCTCCATCGGGAAACCTTCCATTCCCGTGTGCCCAGATAAATTTGTATGACACTTCTCGCTTAACTTGATATTACCATCTAGGTTACAGAAAAACCCACAGCTACTATCCAATGTTCCATCCAAGGAGCCAATTGACTCCCGGGCCAGTGGTGCTACCACTTGCACCAACACCCTTCACTAATTAGGCAAGTAACACAGCCCTACGAAACAAACAAGGATACGCATGTGGGGAGTCTTTTCAACAGGGAGAGGGGGATATGCATAAATGTAACCTTAGATGACAATCATATCCTTCGGAGAAAGCCGAGATCCATGTTCTGTACGTGCAGAAATGTGTGGCATATGCATGGCTATGGCCCGAAAGGAGAAATGGCGCAGTGAACCGGCAGGTGTGCCGAGTAGGTCTGCCAATGGTAAGATCATTGCTGAAATGGGATTCATATGAGGGATTTGTTAGATTTTATATGGGGGCTGTTTCTGCAGTTCAATTTACATTTGTTCGGATTCATTATAATCATTCAATATGCACATGATATCCCCTCATCAAATAACATGATAGATGACAGGCATCGCTCAAGCAGAGAAGAAGAGCAAGCTATATATAGAGGGAAGAGAAACCACAGTGACGATCATTCGTCAGACGCTTCCGTGTGAAGTGACTGACACCACCCAAGTACCCACTCAGTCTACCGCCAGATTAATTGAATCTGAAGCATGTAGGGAGAGGTGTTCAGCGGGAGACGTGGTGTAGGTGCTCAAGCTGGCACCATATGGTTGCTGCCGGTATGCATACCTACGACCAACGGGGTCTGATGCTGTCCGTCAATCGCTCTGACAGCAATATCCGTCAATAAGGTTCGTCTTGATCCAAATAAGAGAGACAGAAGAGAAAAGCAAGACGCTTCACAATACACCCCCCTCAATCACTTCACTCCCACCCTCCTCACTCCACCCCCATTCTTTCAACAACTGCTTAACCCGATACCCCGTCGCCCACCCAAGATCCCTTTCAACATCCCTCAACAACCTAACAATCAACCTTCTCTCCCTCGCCTCCGTCAAACACTGCCCACTAACAAACAGGGGCTGCAGGGAGTGGATCCTAACTGAACTATCCGGTCTCGCCAGCGATATGCCCAGTATCTCGCGGCTGTGGAATCTTATCTCGCTCTCGATGGAGCGGTAGGAGTTTAGACGGTTGGCGATTGTGCTGCGCCGGCTGGTGGAGTCGTGCGGTTTGTTGATTAGGAGGAGGATGCGCGCCATGTGGTAGTGCTGCATTGTCGCGGAGCACATGGGCATGCAGTGCCAAACTTCCGGGAGCGGAGCTGCGTCTGTGTCTGCGTCGTCAACGGGTCGGTAGTGCAAGAGCGTGGACGGGGTGATCCGCGCGCAAGGGCGGAAGGTATCCGGGAGGCCATTGTGCCAAGCGTCGAGCTCGGCTTCAAGACGGTACCAGCGTTCGAGGAGGGCTTGTTGGGAGATGCCGAGGGGGCCGGTGTCGATTGCGTTTTGGTCGAGGTGTACGTTGTCGCCGGCGCTGATGAAGTTGACGATTTTGGAGAGGATCCAGATGAGCGCGTTGGAGATTAGATCTTCTTTCATTACATCGTTGCCTTCGGGGTAGCCGGCGGCGCTTGTGTTGGTGGGACGTACGAAGCCCATGTTATCGAGTTGGAGACCGGCCTCTGTCCAGAGTACGAGATCTTCGGTGTTTAACCTAGTGTGGCCCTCATTGATGACTGACTTGTTAGCTTCGTACAAGGTTTCTTGAATGGCAACTTACAAGCTGCAAGATAATCCTGTCGTGCAAAGTTCCAGAATATCGCTTTCCTTGCCTTCGACAACCCCGATTTCTTCGGTGCCTGAAATGGATCGAGAGGATGCTGTTCCAATGGCAACACGCCAACCTCAGCAACATCAAGCAGCGACTTAACCCCACTCAAATGCCTATTCCACGCCGGAGTAGCATCGAGAAACTCATAAACCGACAAAATCGCCGTGGCAGTCAACACCTCGTCCGAATGAACCCCGTTCGAAAGACGGCTACTCGTGTGCCGTCGTCTACGCTTGCGTGGATTCTCGTCATTATCCTCACATATCTCAGCAGCCTGCCACTGCCCAAACGCCTCTGGAGTACTTAACGGTGGAGGCCCCTTATCAGGCTGCAACTCCTTCATCAAAAGTTGGATGGCCTTGTCATAATACTTTGCACCATACCAATACCAGTCTACTTTTTGCATGTCCGGCCAGCTCTCCATGGCTGATTGTTTCGAAGTGACACCGCCTACAGGTGCCTTTGCGCCTTTAACCCGACCTAGTTGTTTCGCGGAGAATGCGCACGCGGCGTACTTCAGGAGAGGATTAGTGAGGGCTCTGATAGGGACATATGACGCGAAGTATGTCCCCAGGTCGAAAAGGTCCATCCTGCAAACGTTTGTTTGTAACCATCCATTATGGCTATCCCCGGAGACGAGACTTACCACAGGCCCGGCGCTTCTGCATAGTGTCTTAAGAGGAAGGCGACTTCGTGGTTGGATTCGGCATGTACACTGGTTATCGATTCTGCGGGCGGTCGCGACGCATCTGATCTTGCAGATATTGAGGAGCTTCTGGCTGGTTGTTGGATACTCGGGTCAACTGGTGGAGATAACGAGTGAGATGGGTTGAGGAGGAAGTTGATATTGTTGTTAGAGGTTGGGTTCGACGAAATCGAGACTGGAGGTGAGGCATGCGGCGGGATCGAGCGCGTTCGGCCAGGAGAAGGTCCAGAAGAGGTAGGTGGTGATATGGGATTGAATGGAGAACTGTCCGACATGGACAGGTGAGTCTGATCACTCAAAGGGAACGAAAACCGATCGTGAGCGGCTGCCGTTGACAAAGCCTCCAACCCTTGTACCTCTCCATCACGGATATCCCTATTCCCATTCCAATTCTGACTCTGCGCATTCGCAGCCAGTATCGCGGCTTCGGACTCGTGCAGCGTCGCTTCGAGGTCGTCGTTATACGGATCGGAGTTGTCGACAAACACCACCTGCTTCGGGATATCCAGCCAAACGCTATCCTTGTCAAATGTATTCTTATACGAATAAAACCCCTTCAGATTCCCGCGACCACTCGACGAAGCCTCCTCGGCATCCTTATTCATCGATGCATTTTGCTGATGTCGGAAGATAACGCCTTCGCTCGGTCGACACTCCCGGCTTCCTTTGCGACATTGCGAACACTGCGGTTTTTGTTCATCGCCTGCACTATTAGCGGTGTATGGATCGTAGACTGACAGTAGACGTACACTTTAGTTTCCTAGCCCGACAGGTCAAGCTGGTACGATTAGCTTCGCCTCTTCTATGCTGGTCCCAAAGAAACTCACCAGCCTGTGCGCGATCGCATAGTACCGGGTAAAACCGACAACGGTTGAGCAGCGGCATCCGAGGCAGGGGAAGAATGCGATGCGACGATCAGCGGGCCTGGCAGGTATGAGCTGAATGATAAGTGTAGTAACTCACGATGCTCTGGGGATAAACGGTGACGGGTGTAAAATACGAGGACCACGAGGTTCCGGTTAAAAAAGCGGGGGATTCTTTCCTTCCCCGGTGAGCCGCTATGCGGGGATACGGAGTACATAACCCCATATACGATATTGATGGCTATATTGGATTATGCGAGAGTTTTCCTGTAGTCTCTTCCGAATCACAGGAGAAATGACAACCATCGGGGTCTCTTTCTTTCCTCGGTGAATGCCTTCATGCAGGGAACCAACAAACATCTACTACTCCCTACAAACCGTAACTTGTATATCCTCCTCAAAACATATTCTCGAAGCTTTTCTGCTGTATCTGAGATTGTCAACTAGTTGAATCCATGATAGGAATACCTACGAACCTTGCGGCAAGTCGTATAACTAATAATGTCCACTTTCATCCATCAAAAATGGGTGGTCTGTTCTCTCGAGTCAACATAATGATGGAACACGATGGTTGATAAGAACGTGGGAATTTCAACAGATATTTAGTCACAGTGAGCTTAAGTACCTAGCAAAAAACGATATTGCCATGATGTGACCTAACTATCAAGGCAGCAAAAACCATTCCCCGAGAAAGGCCATGTCCGGAGACGGGGTTTGGCTCACTCTACCGTGGACGTTGGCTATACCGAGAAGAATGAAGATATCATCTCTTTTTGGCGCGGAACTACACACGAACTTTACTGAAAGGCTGATGAAGTCTGCTCTACCGTAGTCCCACGGCAACAAGCCCATCTCCTTTAGACATCCCAGACAATCGATAACAAAGCCCACCAGTTTTCGCCTTCTAGTGTCAAGCGTGATTCGCAATGAGAACTTTTTTGTTTAGGGATAGAAGCGGGTATTAGACGGCTTCTGATCTCTACCTGCTCAATGCAGTGAATTTAGCTACCTAGAGGCTCTTACCGTGAGGCGGCTATTTGTTTTTCATGTCAGAAAAAGTTGGAATGGAGCGGACAGACCACAGATGGATCTATGAAAAATGCAGCCAGGCACTGCTTGAACTCAAGGTGCTGTACATTGGAACTCCACGCAAAAGCACACGGACGGCCAGGTCAGGTCAGATGGTACCCTGTTGAACCGAAATACCTTACCATTACCAAGCAGCTTAGGGAGTATAGCGAAGAAGTTGGGGTGGTCCCTACTAATATCAGATGACCTCCTCCATCTACCTCTTAATATTTACTTCCTTGGAATATTTTCTCATAGGGAAAAGGGGTTACATTCCAGAGGACATGTGCGTCGTAGGGAGACTCGACGCCACAGAATCATGTTGCACCAGGATAACAACACGAGGAAACATGACACGACACCCTTTAGCCTCTCTTATATTTTCACAAAGGAATAACGTTTTGCAAAGCCCATACTTATGGAGCCCATAAGAAAAGGCAAAGATAGGACAGAGAGGTACATCTGGTCATCGTCCACCTCTTCATCACACGTTTACTTTAACCTAACGTCTTCAGACCTTGTGCCCAAGGTTCAGCCTTGCGGTCTTGCCGGGTTAGAAAAGAGAATCAACCCAGCCCAACTGTAATGACATGATCCGAGAAAGCTCGATCTCATTGGTGAAAATTACCTTATCTGAATTGCCTGAGAATGATGAGAGCTTAAAATAACAATAACACTGCAGACAATACAAGTTCATTGCCGATAAAGAGACAAAAAGGCGAAATAAATTACAAAGGAAACAGGAGGTAGTGTGAGATGTTTAACTTGCTGTGGATCACATAAAATTTACCGAGATTGAACAAGGGGGTAAGGCGTGAACAAAAAACTAAGAGACGGCCAAGGCATTGACTGTTCTCGGTGTCTCAGGTAGATGCCAAAGCTTCATTCTAAAGCATCGATATAGCATATGGCATAGGTTATAGCATGTAGCATTAGCAACTAGAGAAGACCAACAGGTTTGTACATTTTAGTAGAATAGAACCCTAACACAAGTTATGTTCCATTCTTAGTATCCTATACGACTCCTTTAAAGAACCAGAACAAAAATAAAGAATCCATATCCATCAACAACATACCATTATATTGTCATTACCGCGACTTGCGCAGGCTATGTACACAAATGTTCTCTCTTCCCGTGGTTCACTTAGTACAGCACATACATCCACGGCAGCATATTCACAACGACGAGACAGACGAGTCGATGCGCAAGAACATGCACATAAACAACATCCAAAAAGGCAAATAAAACCGAGTAAAGGGGGTCTGAGAAAAATAGACCGGGAGAATGGAATAATAAAAGATAATAACAGATGACGAAAAATGGCGAAAATGACAAGGCAAGGTAACGCAAGGTAATAAACACTAAATAAGGGTATAAACAACAACAGCGGCTCCCAGGAACGCCATGGTCAGGTCAGTATGTAACAAGAGCGTCGGCTATGTTCTTTTTCTTTTTCTTTCTTTTTTATATGAGTAACGAAGATATTCCTGGTCGAAGCTATATCGCCGGCGCAGGGCTTCGTTGGCCCAAGGTGTTAAACAAGTACTCCGGAGGCAAACGCTGCATGTTGGGTTGCCGGTCTGTGCCAACGGCCTGAGGAGCACGCATGTAGCCCTGGCGACGGCGTTGGATCTTGTTGAGGATGATACCGGCGATGACAATTAGGAAGACGCAGCCAAGGGCGCAGCAGAAGGAGACTAGGACGACGATTCCGTTGGTGTGGCGCTTCTCTGCATAAAGGGTTAGCAAAAGTTTATTTTTCCAATATAAAAGAAGGGAAACGCACCCTCTCTAGCGTACGGGTTCTTGTTCTCGTAGAACACCCGCGACATACTGCCCGGCTGGCCATCGGCTGAGGAAGTAAGGATAAAAGGTGTAATGTCTGTACCGTTGTACAGCACAGCAGAGACGTTGCCAAAGTCAGGCACAACCAGTTGACCAGTGACCAAAAGGACCTGATCTTTGTTGAGAATATCGACTTCATCGTGGTCCGTAGCGAGAGGCAAAACTTCCAACCCGCGGATGGTAGTTCCATCTCCGAAGAGATCTTCCTTGGTCTGGAAGCTCGAGCCATCGTACCGAGTGATGAAAGACGAGCCGTTGCTAGCTTTTCCGGCAACCCAGAAAATAGAAATGTCCTGGCTGGCTGGCGTAAAAGCGGTGATGTCGCCAGGGATAGCAGGCGACGATGCACCGTCAAGTGCAGTCCACTCGTTCTTCTTGAAGTTGTAGGTTGCAATGTTTGTGTTGTTACCATCAACCTGGAGGTTACCAGCGGCGATCAGCTTGTTCTCAGTAGCCCACTGGAGTTCTAAGATGGTTCCAGACAGGTCAGATCCAGGGCGGTTGTACCGTCCCAACGACGGGTCAAAAACACAAACGCTAGGGCAAGGGTATCCACCACCACCCTCAAAGTTGCCTCCGAAGTACACACTGTCGGAGTTGGGGCGGGGCGCAATAGCGTTAACGACCACATTCTCACCACTCAATGCAGGAGGTTGCATGTTGGCCCACTCGTCCTTCGATAGGTCCCAAGCGAGAATACCATTCAACTCAACATTAGCCTTACCCACAGAGCCAGTGACGTTGCCACCAGCATAAAGCGTGTCATCAGTAACGGCCAAAGACAAGAACGTCGAATTGCTGTCAACTCCCTCATCAATGGTGGTGATTGTTTCCTTGGAGCCATCAAGCAGAATAAGGTTATTGATGGTCGACCCGTCAGTGGAGTGAACGCTGAACTGGCCTCCGAGAATGGTGAGGTTGCGGTTGGAGCTCGTATCGTAGGCACCAATGTAAGTTCCACCGGTCGAGTTGACAATCTGCTTCGCGGACAACAGTGGATCCAAGTGCAATCCTTCCTGATACCTGAGGTTGACAGCATCGACAGCGGCAATACCGCCCGAGGCGAGACTACCAGCATACAAAGTGGCGTTGTCGACCTTGGTAAACGATGACAATTGACCGCCAAGCTCGATCTGGCTGACATTGAGGTTCTGCAGCCAGTTCTGGCGGGACGGGATCCAGATACCGAATCCTGCCACGGAAATTTCCTTGTTGTCATCGAAAGCCAACAATTTATCGAATTCACCACTGATGGCAATAGTGGTCTCATTGATCTCAGTGGAAACGTTCAATGGTGCAGCAAGGACCGAGTAGACAGGTCCGTTAACACCACCTCCCAGAGCGGACCAAGAATCGGAGTCAAGAGAGTAAGAAGCGATATGCTTCAGGTTCTTGCTGCCCTTGGCGGTGCCAGTAAAGTTTCCACCAACGTAGAGCGAGTTTTCCAACGCCGCAATCGATCTCACCTCGGAATTCAAACCACCCTGAGCCAGAGCAGTGGCATTGCCATCGTCGAAGTACATGATGTTGCTAATGTCCGAGTCGGAAAAGTTGCCTCCTGCGTAGATGGTGTCACCCTGCTTGATAAGGGCCCGGATGGTAACCTCATCATCAAAGTCCAGTCCCGCTTTGTTGAAGCCAGATTTCGAAAAGTCGGTTTCTGTGGTGTTTGTGGATGGGTCGTACTCGTACAAGCCGTTCAATTCCCCACTTAACCCGCTCGAAGCGTCCTTGAGGACAAACCTGACACGAGATGCCACCACAGTGATATCGCTCTGACCATCGGCTGGGGTCAGGGTGACGCTAGGACGGAACGAGCTGCTACTGGCATCAACGTGGCCGGTGAAGATATTGTCATACTTCTCGTAGTAGTTAGTCTGGTAAAGAGTGGTCGGGCTAGGTTCATCCTCATCGGAACTCGACGACACTTTGGCCGTGATATTAACAATACCACGTGCGTCACAGTCATCATCCTGTTTGCAACCAGGTGTGTACAGCAGGATACTGTAGTTTCCCGACTGCTTCACATCAGGTTCGAAAACAACAGAGGCATCAGAAGAGGTGGAGTCGGAGACCTGGGTGCTCAAATAGCCGGACTGACTCTCGCCAGAAGGCTTAGCGGTCCAAGAGCCTGTCGTAGTAGCCTTGGAGGGATATTCAATACCTCCGCACGATGGTTCGTTGAAGTCATTGACAGCGTACGCCATGATGTTTTCCTGGAAGACTTCGATGCCATTGAGACCGGCACCATCTCCATACCAGTCAAGAACTTCGATTTGGAAACCAGACATGCCAACATTGTTCACGAAACGGAATTCACGGTACTTGTCGTCGGTGCTGCTGGTTAGGGGGCACGAAGAGTCGCAATAAGCATCATCGCCGTTGTCGTCGGTATAGGTGAGGTTCATGATGCCATTGTCAGGGAGCGCGCGAAGCAAGAAGTCCTTCGTTCCACGGCCGTCGTAATGGGTGTTGTACAGACGGATCTTGTTTGGCTTGAAACCATAGCCCATCTCTGCGCGCCAGTATCCCGGAGAGTTATCGTACAACAACCACGTCTTGCCGGAAGCATCGTCGCCGCTGGTTTGGCAGATAATGTTCTTGGGGTCGCTGAAGCCGCTTTGCTGAGAGACCGCGTCGGATGTGATTTTCGCATCCTGGAGGTTGATGACCTGCTGGTTCTTCTTAGAGTTGGTGGAATTGCCGATGCCGTCAAAGTCACCACCAAAAATGATGTTGCCGTCATCGCCCCGAATAATCGCAGTAACCGGTCCATTGAATCCACCAAACGCCAAAGACTTCCACCCTTCACCATTAACATAGGCGGCCGCATTCGAGGAGTTTTGGAACCGAAAATCTCCACCGACATATACACTGTTGGAGTCCTGGTCGCACAGCATAGCAGATATCGAACCCGACAGACCCGGCATGGCAGTAACCTTCGTCGTGTTGGGGTCAAACTTCGCGATACCCTGTGCCTTAATCCCACCCAGGCTCGTAAAGTTACCGGCAACGAAAATATCGGACGTTCCATCCTTCTGGGTTAACGGACACATTTCGAGAATATAACCGTCGGAATCGGCGAGCGTCGTAAGGACCCCATTCGGAAGCGATGTGGAAATCGATTGCGATCCATTGTTGGAAGAAGTCGAGTTCGACTGTTCGGTATAGGCATACAGCGACACGGCATCGAAATCTCCGGAGAGCGCGACTCGTCCTAATGGTGAGAGATCTAGTTTGGGATATGAGACGGAATGGAATGATAACCCATCAGCGACTGCGGGTTTAACAGTCGACAGTAATGGGAGAACGGTCGATAAGCCCGCCGTTACAGGCCCTAAGACTGAGGGAGCCCTCATGGCTCAGGGGCGGGGAGAACGGCGCGGGCTTCAAGACAAGAAAAAAAAAAGTGTTAAAGGGTATGAAAAAGAGAGCTTAGAAATAAGTTTGAGAAGGATCAAAGAGAAAAACGAGAGAAACTGTAGGGCTCAGGTGGTGGCGACCCAACACGATAACGCAAGAAAAAAAGGAGTGGCCTTCAAAAGAGGGAGGTTAAAAAATGAAAAGAACGGAATGATGGAATAAAACGAGTGAATGAACGGACAACTCCACGTTCCCAGGCGGGAGTTTAGAAACGTATAGTAATCAGAAATAATGCATGAGGAAAGCAAAAACACAACATCAAATCGCAAAAACGAACGGCAGACAGACTGGGTTGAGATGTGGAAAGAGAGTGACGAGTGACATGGCAGGGGAAGTTTGGTTTGTTCCAGCTCCCGTGTCCGAGTCAGTATTGTCTTACCATACCGTACTAGTGGGTATCAGTGGATCAGACAGCTAAGATTAGCTGGGATGTCAGAGCTATACTGGTTTTGGTTTAGGTTACTCCCGTTAGACCAATAATATGTTATACCGGCAGGTATCGACATTCATCCGGTTCCAAGGTAGCGTCATAAATTACCACCAAGCCGGTACGGAGGGGAACGGTCCTTACATAAAATACATACATCTGGAACCTCGCGTCTCGGAATGGAGGGGATCCTAACCACCGCTTTATTCCCTGGCATACTTTAGTTGACTTCCTGGCAAAGGCTGGGATAGACTCTTGTGGTGCAGTGTGCAATCTGTAGTATTTCTAATTGTGCTCATACCAGCGGTGTGACTGGAATCACCGAGTATGTGTTACTCCGGAGTACATAGTACTATAGTACTACTCTGTATCCTCGACTCGATTGCCCCTCTGGATTGTGGCTTGTCCAATTGGTAGCACAAGGTACAGCAAAGTTTGGTTATGTTATCATTTGTCCGATTGAGTTATTGAGTTGGATCCAGCGGAGGATCACGGAGAAACATGCGGGTCCATCTGCAAAAATAGTAGCGAACGTTGTACTTGCATACATGGTACAGCGTATCTCTCATGTAGAATACTCGATTTTGGTATTTTTGTGTTATCCCAAATTGCACCCTATACGAGTACGGAGTACTACGTGTGCTCTTTGGGTGCTAGCCGTCTATGCGTTGATGAAAGAGACAGATACGAATATGGATATATCGACACAGCCTTCTTCGGACATGTCCACCTAAGGCGTTATTGTGCAATAATGAACTAAGCTATCTTTCGTTTGGCACTCTCAAATCAGAGATCCAAGGATTGACTTGTTAGATTTCTTGGGCAAACATTGCAGCCGTCCCGCTTCGGCTCAGATATATATAAGCAAAGCTAGCCAATTACATCAATTTCGATACTACAACATCTTTTTATCAGAACCATCGTCATCAGATTCGCCATTCAAGATTAAAGTAAAATCCGACGCCCTCAAGCTCAGTCCGCAAATCGTCGAGGTACAACGGTGGCGGCTTCTCTTGCGTGATGCATACCTCAAACTTCTTATTCCGCAAGATCTCAGGCCAGCTAAACTCAATGCATTGCTGTGAGCCGTTCGCCAATTGTGGGTACAAGCGTGTTAACGATGCATCAAGGGGCCGGAAATAAACGATGGAGACTCACCATCCTGCTTCCAATCTTCACTCTTTCCCCTGTATTTCTGCTGCATTTGTGTAGCTCTACATATCCATTTTGAAACTCTCGCTCATCAGGAGCTAGGGTCTCCATTTTGACCACGATCGTGTACAATAAGATCGGTGCCGTTTAGAAGCTCCTCATCACTTCCCCGTATCCCAATTCCAAGACAATCGGTGGCCATTTGCGTGTTCTCACGCATAATGCAGTCCATGAGTTTTTCGTGCTGATTCAAGTTAGGTTAGACACGAGAGCAAGCTGATGCCGTCTAACTCGCCTTCCAGCAAACGGAACCTGGAAATTCCGTAAATCTGTGTTGGTTTAAATCCCGAGGCAGCCCGGGTTTACCATTCCACAACGGTCCATGTCGCCAGCCCAGTTTTGTAGCGCTACTGGAATGAGTGCTCGAGTTGAGAAATCTGGAAATCCCGTCACGTGCATCGTAGGTGAATCTATCATGTAATTCTTTTGTCTAGGCAAGGCTTCCATACTACGAGAAGAGCGTATAGCTTACCTGCATTTGCTTTCGCATAGAGGGGTTTCAATTATATGAAAGTCGAGAAGACTGATGGTATATTGTCCTTCATCGTTTGACTATAGGTCTTTTTTTGACTTTGCGGCTGTTTCGTTGATCATCGTGTTGTCAAATGCAAATGGCGAGTCCGTGGAAACCAAAGCCTTTCCCTTCTTGCGTCTAAGAACAGTATCAAGATAAAGAAATTTTGTGCTAACAGCATTTTTATGAGTGCATTATTATTGTGAAATCAGAAGACCTTAGGTCTAGTGATGATGTGTGATATATGCAAAGGTATCTTTACCACCAGCAAGTAGGATGATTATTTTGGATTTCTGGCAGCACCCAATACTCTATAATTTGTACAAATAAATACTTGAATACCAAGAGCTTGGTATCGCATGTTATTTCAAGATTTACTTCGTAAAGTGGACCCGGTACCGCAAAATATCACGCTTACGACTAAAATAGAAAGTTCGTTAGCGTACCGGTTGGGACAATCATACGTACAGAGTAGAGCACGGTAACTCGCCTCCATGCCCGTTAAGAGTACAAGTGCAAAGTACAAAGCCCTCCTACCCAAGGGAAAATTATCATTGAATATACGTGGAGAAGACTGCTGTTGGATAGATTTGCACCCACGAGCCACGACTTGATCCGTTTGGTAGGCTAATGATGATAATGTTTCGATTGCTGTTTCATCGCCGATATGCTGTAAGTAACAAATTAAAAAGCGCGGGATTTTGGGTCTCGCTTGACTACTACGTGCAAACAAGCGTTGATCTGTTTTGCCTAGTGACCCTAGACTTTGTTCCGAATGGGTAACTGGAGTGCTCTGCACGGAGTAAAAAACCCAGTAAGGGCAGAGGTACCAGGAGTCACTGTTTCATCGTACAACTAGAACGAGGTTGAACTTCGAGCATAATAGATCAAAACTGAATCATGCTTCAATCGTGTGAGATCCTGTGGCTCACTATAGAGCCTTCGTACTTGTATAGAGTACTCCGGAATGGATGCGCTTATGCCTGAGGCACTAAGCTATACTCAATCTGGCACCAGTGGCGGCTGTCCCCTTACTAACGCGAAAGACCGACAGCCGCGCACCGCAACGCGAACTCCAGAAAAAGGTTGTTCTAGAGCTTCATCACCAGATAGCCTCCGTTGCACTCATTTCACGGAGAATACCCATCCTGCACCGGGTCCCTGCTATCTTCGCGCGACTTATCCCTACCGGGACCCCAATTTTCATCGAATAACTTTTCTATCCACCGGTGTTCAACATGTGAGTTGCGCCGGCCACGGTTGCCGTTTTCCTGCTATGCTGATGACTTCGACAGGGAGAGCTTCGATAACGTCTTTCTCGATCTTTCAAAGAGCCCCGGAAAGTGCAAGCTTGCAGAGAGTGGTCTGGGATGGCGACCTTCCGGCGGAGGCGACACATTTACCCTTGACAGCAGCAATATTGGCGCAGCGCAATGGAGTCGTGCGGCCAAGGGGTTTGAGTTGAGGATTCTTTCGCGTTCATCGGGTGTGATTCAATTAGATGGGTTTGACCAGGAGGTGCGTCGGATTTTCTTTTCGTTTACGATGCGAATTACGGTTCTAACTTGAAGCCATGACTAGGACTTCGAACGATTGAGTAAGGCGTTCAAAATATGGTACGGCATCAACATCGAGTCTCGCGAACATGCCTTGAGAGGGTGGAACTGGGGTAAAGCCGATTTTACAAAGGCCGAGCTTTCGTTCAACGTGCAAAACCGACCTGCTTTCGAGATCCCCTACTCCGAAATCTCGAATACGAACCTTGCCGGAAAGAACGAAGTCGCCGTCGAGTTTTCTCTTGGGGATAACCAGCCAAATGGATCTAGTGGCCAGCCGGGTAGCACGAAGAACCGTGGCAAGAAGGCTGCTTCAGGCCCTGATGAGCTGGTTGAGATGCGGTTTTATATCCCTGGCGCAGTGAAGAAGGAGAAGGGCACTAAGGAAGATGATGGTGAAGAGGGTGAAGAGAAGGGAGAAGAAGAAGAGGAGGAGGAGGTTGAGGAGCAGAACGCAGCCAACTTGTTCTATGAGACGCTTATGGATAAGGCTGAGATTGGTGATGTGGCCGGTGACACGTTTGCTACCTTCTTGGATATCCTCCATCTTACTCCCAGGTATGTGATCTCGGGGAATTATGGTTATTTGGGTATTAACGAGCTTGCAGAGGTCGTTTTGATATCGACATGTACGAATCTTCCTTCCGGTTACGTGGAAAGACGTACGACTACAAGATCCAATACGCTTCGATCAAGAAATTCTTCCTGCTTCCTAAAAATGATGATACCCACACTCTTATTGTTCTGGGACTCGATCCGCCTCTTCGCCAGGGTCAGACCCGTTACCCTTTCCTTGTTATGCAAATGAAATTGGACGAAGAAATCAGCCTCGAGCTGAATATGACTGAGTGAGTTATTCTACTTTTGGATCTTTCTGATGATCTCTAACGCGCGCAGTGAAATTCTCGACACCCAATACAAAGACAAGCTGCAGTCTCACTACGAAGAGCCCATCCATCAAGTGGTGACCAAGATTTTCCGTGGGCTGTCCGGCAAGAAGGTCATTATGCCTTCGAAGGACTTTGTCAGTCACCATGGTCACAGCGGAGTCAAGTGCTCGATCAAGGCCAACGAGGGTCTCCTATACTTCTTGGACAAGAGCTTGATCTTTGTTCCCAAGCCTTCGACCTACATCCAGCTTGAGAACGTCGCCATCATTACTATGTCGCGTGTCGGCGGTGCCGTATCTGCTAGCAGGACGTTCGATATCACCGTTAGCCTGAAGAATGGATTGGGAGAGCATCAATTCAGCAACATCAACCGGTATGTTACTCTTCACCAAAGTCCTAATTGAATCTCCACTGACTTTCACAGCGAGGAGCAACAACCTCTCGAAGAGTTCTTCAAGGCCAAGAACATCCGTTTCAAGAACGAGATGACAGATGATGTACGTTTCTTTCTCTCATACACCAAGCCACAAGCTAACCGATATAGCACAAATCCCTCATCGCAGCAGCACTAGTCAACGAAGACATGGGCTCCAGCGACGAAGGTGGCCGCCCTGACCGCGGCTCCGCCGACGAGGACTCGGAGTCGCCTGACGAAGACTTCCAGACCGAAACAGACTCGGATGTCGCCGAAGAATTCGACTCGGACCACGACAGCAGCGGCAGTGACAGCGACGCCGAGATGAACGATGCCGATGCCGATGCCGGAGATGATGATGATGATGATGAGATGGGCGATGCTGATGAGGCGCGGCCTAAAAAGAAGAGCAAGACTGGGAAATAATCAGTTATCCATGTGCATATGAATTCAATCGTGCATTAACGTCGTTGGGATTGAACCGTGCTTTTGGTCGCTGTATCTGTATGTACTGTAATATTCAATTGGTCTGATGCTTGCCATCCGTACTGGATTTGAAACCCAACCCAAACACAGCCGATGCTACACTGCATACGGAGTATTCTACATATCCTCCCCCCCATATCCTCACTAAAGTACACCGCAGCGTTCTATATCTACAAACTAGTCCATATCACCAATATGACAACTACAATTGACATATCCTTCAATAATCCACGCTCTACCAATATGGAGTACATACTTGTAAGGCGATACTTCTACAGCCACCAGATAACCTTCGTGTTACGGGCATGCAGTCAGCGCAACTATTGAGTGATATGAAGTTCCACTGCATGCAGGTGCAGATGCGGATGCATATTGGAAGTAGGAAGGGAAGGGCTGATGCGGTTTCGGGGAGAGAAGGAGAGGAGGTTGGTGTATGGTATCCCCTCGAGGCTGGCGATGATTCATTACATATCCTACAGGGTAGAGAGTATGAAGTACGGACTTGCTACAGCTCTGTACGAGTACTCAGTATCTGTACTCCGTACCTGTACCCCGTGCCTAGATATCTGACTCGTTGCATCAAGCTGACCTCTCACCCGTCTGAATGTGTCCAATTCCATACTCCACTCTATAACAATAGACACATCAACCAATAAACCACCCCAATACCTCTCAATACAAGTACCTACCCAACGATGACAGAAAAGAAAGATGAAAAGATGGGTAGTTATGGGGATCGACCGTAAATATTATCTAAGCACCCGTTCCGACCCGCCCTCCGTGCAGTGATTGGCCAGGACCAGCTGTGACCCCTGGCTGGGCCGGAGAGGGACCATTGGATAGGAGTTCCCCTGAGAGGGAATTGTTATGAGAGATGTGTACAGGTACTATGTAGGAGGATGGAAAATTATTACAAGAGCCTGAACGGGTGGTCTTTGCGGGGGCATGGGTATGGTCCATGTGTTTTCTGTGGGAGTATTGTAGTAGTATGGAGCATGGAGTAGAGTAAAGTAAACCAAATATAGAAATGAATGTTGTTGGGATACCATTGTGTGTGTGTATGGAGTGGTGTTGCAGGTATCTTTTTTCTACGGAGTACTTGTACAGAGTACCCGCTGACAGTATCAGGTATTTTTTGGAGGAGTAGAGTACAGAGCGGACAGGTCGTCGGAGAATTAACGCCATATCCATAGTACTCTGTAGATGCAGAATGCGATTGTATATTGAACAAGAATGAACAAAATGAGTGCAGAGTAGATGCATTGGGCAGTGATAACTGCACCGTGCTTGACTGTACTCCGTAGAATCAATTGATTGCTACGGGCGAGGCCCGCCGGGGATTCAAACTAACCAAGATTTGGCCGATGAGCCCCTTTCTCTCACATCCTTTTCCTCTCTTCTCACTCTCACACTCTCTCCAACTCCCTCTCTTCCTCTTTCTTTTCCTTTCGCCAAAAAGAAAAGGTGCTGCCCTCCAATTCTGTTAATTCTTCTTTTCTCTCTTTCAGTAACCTTTTTTTATTTTTCTGTTTCTCTCAAGTTATTTATTTTTATTTATTGCCCTTTTAATTCTCTCCGGATCTCCACCGCCCTACAGACGCTCTCGCCCACTTCCCCCAAGCTGTGCTTGAGATCCCTCGCTCTTCTCGCTGTTGTGTTCGCCCTCGTTCGTTCGTAATTCGACGTTACTAGGTATCCGTTGAATAATATCACGGTACGATTGCTCCCGTTGTTTGTTTGCGTATGGTGTTGGTGATACCGTTGGGCGCTTGGAATTCTTCCCCCTCCAAATTCCCCCCTCCCGACGAAGTGTACAATTGGTCGTCATCCATCCGTCATTATCCAGAAACATCCGAAGAAAAAAGCGGGTGGAACGTGTTGCTAATAGAAAGCGCGAGTAGGGACCTTCCGTTTCGTCGCTCCCGGCCTCCTTCCTCTTACACTCGCTTCCGGAACCCCCTACGCACCCCTCGACTACCATAATGGGTAAGCTCCCTGTCCCGCATACATCCCTCTCTTCCTCTTTACCCCGTCTACTCTCTCGTCTCTGTCGTGCGATCGTCTGCTCCCCTCGTCCTGAGAACGAGAATACTATACTCCTGAAGTTCTTCCCGAATCTCGCATTGCGACATGGCTCTCTCGCTAGATCTGGACTCTCGCTCGCAGACAGACTTGAATCTGGATCTGGGATTTCCAGACCAGAGAGAATCCTCCCTCTTCACGAGCCTTTCTTCGCCCGAGACCAAGGATCAAGATGATGAAGATGATGCTGATACTATTGCCATTACTTCTGTAGCCTCGCCTACTCCCCCAGCAAACGATACTCCCACCGGCCGCTTGTCTCCCGACAGCAAGGGCGAATCTCCCTTTGTTGAGCGCAGCAACCCCATGGGCTCTGGTAACGCTCAAACCGTCAGCTCCAAGGACCCCAAGGCTGTCGCTCAAGCTGCCACCGATATGAAGAACGTTGTTCGCCGCAAGTTGACCGGCTACGTTGGTTTCGCCAACTTGCCCAACCAATGGCACCGTAAGAGTGTCCGTAAAGGATTCAACTTTAACGTGATGGTTGTCGGTAAGTAGCTGCAGCTTCATTCCAACGGAAGGCTACGGTGCTAACGGCTACAGGTGAATCTGGTCTCGGAAAGTCGACTCTCGTCAACACATTGTTCAACACCTCTCTTTACCCCCCCAAGGAGCGCGCTGCCCCTAGCCACGACATCATCCCCAAGACTGTGGCCATTCAGTCCATCAGCGCCGATATCGAGGAGAACGGTGTCCGTCTTCGTCTGACCGTCGTCGACACCCCCGGATTTGGTGACTTTGTGAACAACGATGACTCGTGGCGCCCGATTGTCGAGAACATTGAGCAGAGATACGACGCTTATCTCGAGGCCGAGAACAAGGTCAACCGAACCAACATCATTGACAACCGTATTCACTCTTGCGTCTACTTCATCCAGCCCACGGGCCACTCCCTGAAGCCTCTGGACATTGAGGTCATGCGCCGGTTGCACACCAAGGTCAACCTGATTCCTGTCATTGCCAAGGCCGACACTCTTACGGACGAGGAGATTGCTTTGTTCAAGCAGAGAGTACGTCCCTTTTTTCCTATACTGATTTCTCGGCTAACCCCAGCAGATCCTCGCCGATATCCAGCACCACTCGATCCAGATCTTCGAGGGCCCCCGCTACGAGCTCGATGACGAAGAGACCATTGCTGAGAACCAGGAGATCATGTCCAAGGTCCCCTTTGCTGTTGTTGGTGCCAACTCGGAAGTCACAACCGCCGACGGTCGTCAGGTCCGTGGCCGTAGCTACCCCTGGGGTACCATTGAGGTCGACAACGAAGAGCACTGCGACTTTGTCAAGCTCCGCCAGATGTTGATCCGTACTCACATGGAAGAGCTCAAGGAGCACACCAACAACAGCCTCTACGAGAACTACCGCTCCGATAAGCTGACCCAGATGGGTGTTGCCCAGGACCCGAGCGTCTTCAAGGAGGTCAACCCCGCCGTCAAGCAGGAGGAGGAGCGGGCTCTCCACGAGCAGAAGCTTGCCAAGATGGAAACCGAAATGAAGATGGTCTTCCAGCAAAAGGTGGCAGAGAAGGAAAGCAAGCTGAAACAGAGCGAAGACGAACTATATGCCCGACATCGCGAGATGAAGGACCAATTGGATCGTCAACGCGGCGAACTAGACGAAAAGAAGGGTCGTCTGGAAAGCGGACGGCCGATCGAAGAGAAGGGAAAGAGAAAGGGGTTCTCACTCCGTTAATCGATAGCTCACTGCCAACGTGGACGACCTCTTTTGCACCGACCGACCAAGCGCGCTCCTTTATATTTTCTCTCGAATATTCTCGACCACACACTCTTTTTGATTCTCCTTTTCCATTTTTGTGTTTTGTATTGTTCATCACTCATACGCTCCCTCGAAGTCTCTTTTATTTTCTCTCACCTTTTTTTGCTTCAGGTAATGAATCTATTCTTTAATTGGGTGGACCGAAGAAAAGAAATGTGCTGCATTCTTGATTTCTTCGTTTCTTTTATCTATTAAACCTAATATCCGGACCTGAACATAGGAAAATGAGCTGGGACACGGGGCTGCGAATCTGTACTCGATGGTCTTGCAGTCTGTTCAGGTTCAAGATTTACCGCCTCATGTCCACCTTTTACTTCTTGTTATGTACTTTTGTCTACGCTATACCTTTGTTGTTTGTTTTGTTCGTTCTAACTGCTACCGACAATCCTTTGCTTTCCTTCATGCAGTCGTGTTCTTAGTTGCAAATGACAGTTGATACTGTATTATCTCGGAACCGACGTAGATACCAGGCCGATCTATTGCAAATGCCAAGATGTGGAGGATTGAGGGGATACTAGTATAAAGATGGTCTCTAAAAAGATGGTCTCTAGAAAAATGGTCTCAGGGCTCATCTTGACAAATGTTTGCGTTCAAGTACGTAGGCGTTGGCTTACTATCTCTTCTACTCCCATCCGTCTGCCATTGAACAAGAACATCAATTACTATGTGGGCTGGTATTCCTGCATCGAAACCAATGGTAGAGGGGAGTTTAGCTGTGGCCATCAAACAAATTGAAGATGTTATTCCAATGACGGTTATCCGGACGAACGAGAGGGTTTCCTCTCAGAGGGCGCTGGGAGAGACGGTTAAAGAGTATATGATATTTTCCAGACAAAAATTAGTTAGTTATAAGAAGTACGTTCGTATCTTCCGAGAAAATGAGTATGCCAACTGAACAGTGATCTACCTAGCCTCCAGCGCAACACTAGCAGCAAAATAAAACAAGCTCCTCCTATATCATACGCTCAGGGCCCCGTCAATACAACCCTGAAAATAGACATCCTCCCAGGACCGTATTTCGTCTCGGTGAGAACGGATAATATTTATAAGGCGTTCCGGTCGTATCCTGAGCACCAACTTGCATTTACGGAGGCGGCTGTTGGCGATGGGAGGGGTGGGCTTGGGCATTTACCTGTTATTACTGAGGTGAGCTTGAGCTTTTACCAATAGGGTTGGTGAGTGGATACTGATATAATTGTAGGGCTTCAATGGCAAAAAGCGTCGCCGTACCATCGAGGCTATATTATACACCGATAAATAAGAGGCTACTCGCTGGGTGTACCCCCCTCCCCCTATTTATCCCATCCCCAACAATACACCTTCAACAGCCCCGCCTCGCCTCGAAGACATACGACATCAAAAAAACCTACTGAACCAGCGGCAGCAACCGCGCATACTACAATCTCTATCCACCCCAGAAACGTAACTGCACCGGCGATTCAGAAGTTACTTGATCTGGGCGCTATATTCATGGGAAAATAAACATTAGGGTACGCTAATAATTACTAGAATGTATTAGACAGAATGGAAAAGAAGTTGGTTAGTTGTCAATGGGATGATAGGTGAGAAGGCCCTCTGCCGGGATCATATATCCCATGAAATACATAGTACAAATCCACGCGATTTGATTGCCATTACCTAGCTAATCTAGGTAATGAGACAACAAGGTATTCTTTTGAAGTTAGATCAAACTGTCTACGAATACCATGATGACCGACACATCTCGCCCAATCTACGGCTGTCTTTCCATCTTCATCCTTAACCAGAGGATCGGCTCCAAGCTCCTTAATAAAGACACGAACCAGTTATGAGTTTTTTGTTTGGACAGCAAGATGCAGCGAAGGCGAAGCGTGTCCACACAACCACTTTCCACAACCATAAACAGTGCATGCGTGCCATTAATTCCAGCTCCATGCTGAACGAGAGATTTATCGTCTCGTGGTGCCTGAGATATGTCGCAGATACAATTGGAGGTCTACTCATAAACTGGCACTCGTTCGGATCATTGCCATGAGTAAGCAGAAAAGATGCCAATATAATATTATTGCCCCAGATTGCATTGGCAAGAGCATTTCCCGTATGGCTTATGTCTTGCGTTAATATTTCTGGGTTGCATTCGCTCAGCAGCTTGAACTCCTCGGTTCGGTCATAGTTTAAGGGTTCTATGACCACGTATCGGAAGAGGTATTCTTCGCTGTCTGGTTTGAAATTATCGAGGAGATAGCGTAGAGTATCGATGTTTTTTTTTTTTTTTTTTTTTGTCTCAATTGATGCTTTAAGCAATGATACGATGTCGGGGAGTGGAGTTCGGGATGGAGGGAGGAGTTGCTTCACTAGGGCGTTCTGGCCCTGCTTGATGAAAACCATAATGGAATCAGTGCCTGAAATGGTAAATTTAATGGATGATGCTTATTGCATTTTGAAGACAAGAAGTGTTAGTGGGTTAAAAACTAATAGGCTAAAGGCCCTAGTCCTGATCACACAAGTGAGCCTTGAGTACCGTCTAACCTCACCAATTCGTGTCCTCTACAAATAAAAGAAAAATTTTATAATACAATGTTTCAGCAAACCCGCAAAGAGATGAGATATATTAATGGTCTATTATGGAATCTCGAGTTGGATACTCCATACTGCAGGGACAATTCAATACCTGCTCACTCATCTTCAGCTTCAAAAACCAAAGAGCGAGGGGCATTATATTTGACGCCAATCATAAGGCAGAAGCAAGATGGACTCCGAGGTGCCAATTCTGATGTCGTGGCGGCGCTGAGCATCAAGGGGACATGTATAAACGATGACTAGTCGTATGTTGACCGAATCGGAACTGTTATTTCATCATCTTTTGATTGATTCATACCAAGTACAGAAGCCGCCATGGACTTCACCACCGTCCCAGTCCTTGATCTCTCACTCGCCGGCTCACTCACCAGAACCGAACCACAATTTCTGCCGGAGTTGCGAAACGCCCTAGTGCAAATGGGATTCTTCTATCTCAAAAACCATTCAAATCCCTAGTCGGTGCAGCGGAATGCTATCCAACAAGCAGCGGAATTCTTCGATCTGTCATTGGATAAGAAGCTCGAGATGGAAACCGTGAAAAGCAAGCACTTCCTCGGCTATAACATAATGGCCAGTGAGAAGACTGCCGCTGAGATTGATTACAATGAATCAATAGCGGTAAGTATTGCTGGATTATATGGTTTTTCTTGAAAAATAATATTAGTAGCTTGCTCCAGACCATCCAGTCCCGGACCCCAATGACCCGGTGTATCTCAATGTGCAAGGACCCAATCAAGTATGCCAGAGCCCATCCAAGCGATATTATCCCGATTAATGAGTTTTGTACTTCAGTGGCCAGATGAAGCTGCAGTCCCGAAATTCCGCAACGTATTCGAGACCTATCTCTCAGTAGTACAACTCTTGGCTGCCAATTTCACCAGCCTCATTGCGAAAGCTCTGAACCTGGAACCAAATGCCCTCACTCGCTTCCTCCATTCCTCTCTTTCAGCACCCTAATCCTCGGCTTATGCTGGAGGACATTTCGCTTGATATTCCGCCACAGATGGCGGATTTAGTCAAGCATGCGGAGGTCACTTCAGATGCAGAGATTTTTCTCTGGGATTTTTAACGATTTTGTTGGAGATACGATCTTCACAAGCACGTTGACCAGCTACCCGCAAGTAGGAAATCAATGGTATTTCGAGTTGTTGTCTCGGGCACTGGAGAAATAAGCACGGGCAAAGCAGGACCGTTATTATGGATAATATAATCGATTATTTATATACAATAGAAACAATGAGATCTCATGGCTTCTTTAAGAATGTTGAGACATAACAATGTTGCCGAGTCGCAGACTTCCTATTTTGGATTCACAAGGATACGTCATACTGCGGGGAGCTATCCCCTCCCCTCTCCTCTACAGCTTCAATTCTGACCATCCAGCTAGTACAACCCAATTCAGTACACGAAAATGGCTTACCCGCGACCTGACTTTCAGCGTAAAAATCTCCATTGGATCTCCCTCGATGGAATCTGGGACATCATCTTCGACGACGCAGACAGCGGCCTTTCTCAATCATGGCATTTAAAGGGAATCCCCGCGGAAGCAGGGGCAAACAAGAGGCGAGATATAAGAGTTCCTTACGCCTTTCAGACCCCGGCTTCAGGAATTGGCGTCCATGAAGTACACGAAGTAATCTGGTATGAGCGCACCGTGAGCGATATTCGCACCGTCGACGAGATCAACCGTGGAAACCGCCTGGTGATCCGTTTCGGCGCTGTCGACTATGAGTGCTCTGCTTGGGTGGATGGCCATTTTGTGGGGCATCATCAGGGTGGTCATGTACCCTTTGATCTCGATATTTCAGATGCTTTCTCTCGTCCCGATGTTACGAAGAAAACAACAGAGACCCGTTTGACGCTGCGAGTCCGTGACTCTGCGACTGATCTTGCCCAGCCTCGTGGGAAGCAGTATTGGGGCCCCGTTCCGGAGAGTATCTTCTACACGCCCACGAGCGGAATTTGGCAGACGGTGTGGCTGGAGAGTGTGCCTGCAATGCGGCTTTCCTGTGGTAGTGGCGGCACAGTGCTTCGTTCGGATGATATCAAGCGGGGCCTACTTCATGCATGCGTTGTTGTCACTGGTCGACCGGTTGGTTCCCAATGTAGCGTTGAGATTGAGTCCCGTCTTGCTGGACAGTCCGTCAATAAGGCCAAGGGGGATCTCCCGAAGGATCGAGAGTTTGCCAATATCGAACTGAGTATGAAGGTTCCAAACACGGCAGAGTTGAAGCATAAGTCACCATTCAACGCTGACGGCTGCTGGCATAATGGTGTGGCACTCTGGCATCCTGATCATCCGATTCTATATGACTTGGTGTTGCGCCTTTACGACTCCTCTGGGAGCATAATAGATGAAGTGCAGACGACAACCGGAATGCGCCATCTTTCATGGCAGAATGGCGACGGAACGTTCCGAATCAACGACAAACCTTTCTTCCAGACCATGGTCCTGGACCAAGGCTACTGGGACGAGACTGGTCTCACACCTCCTTCGCCAGAAGCCTTGAAGATCGACATTGAGTTGACGAAGAAAATGGGGTTCAGTGGTTGCCGCAAGCACCAAAAGGTTGAGGATCCTATCTTTTACTACTGGGCCGATCGACTGGGCTTCCTTGTCTGGGGTGAGATGGCCAATGCCTATGCATTTGGCAATGACTTTGTCGAGCGGGTCAACAGCGAGTGGATAGCGTCTGTCAAGAGAGACATCAACCATCCTTCCATTGTTACTTGGACTCCTGCGAATGAGAGTTGGGGATATACTTCGCTGAAGGACAATATCGAGCAGCGCAACCATCTTCGTTCTTTGTATTACCAGACCAAGTATGTCCATCTCCATGATCCACATTTGCTGCGCTAACATAATGGTAGAACCATAGATCCTACCCGCCCAATCAACGACAACTGTGGCTGGGAGCACGTCCTGACAGATCTCACCACCTACCACGATTACAGCGACTCCACTGACCTTTCCGTAACATGCTCCAACATGGGCACCGGAATTCTTGGCCAGAAGGGCGGACACGATATGTTCGTCCCGCCTTCCGGATCCGACCCAGGCTCCAAGCATCAACCAGGTGCGCCGGTGATCTGCTCCGAATTCGGTGGCGTCAACATTGCTCCTTCGAAAGATTCCCCTGCTGCTTCTGAACGAGACTGGGGCTATACCACTGCGTCTGATCCGAATGATTTCCTGTACCGGCTTGAGAAATTGGTCATGGCGATTGTGAAGGGAGGCAATTCGCATGGTCTTGTGTATACTCAGATGTATGTTTCTTTCTGTCTGTGATGAGTGTATGCTAACTCTTTGCAGCTGCGATATTGAGCAAGAGGTCAATGGACTGTACTCGATTCATCGGAAGGAGAAGATCCCATCAGAGAGGGTCAAGGCTATTATGGATGCTGCGCGAAACTACTATTACAAGAATGTGGCGGTTCAGAGAACACATCTGGGTTCGAAAGTTGTGCATGGCCTTGAGAAAAGGTTCCACATGTAATGACTAGATGCTATATGCAGAGACTTATGCAAGAACTGTGCCAATGAGTCTATCGAACAGTGTCTCTTGACATCAACTCTTCACAATAAAAAAGTAGACTTATAGCGGAGCTGAAGTATCAACTATTCCACCGCAACTGACCATCTACATTCCCAACATGCTCACCCAACTGAGTATCACTCCCGACATACTCCCCAGAATCCTTCTTTAGCTCGGCATGAAGCACCGGTTCTCGTTGTCCTTCCATGCCCAGTCTGACATTGCGAGCGGTATTGCTGAAATTCTGGCCATTCCAGCTAAATCGACCTACCGCAACAATCATCATTATCTCTTCTTAATTATACTGTATCCTGGATTAACGCACCATCCTGGTTTCCAAGAGCCTCGTCAAGCTTTATTTGGCTGGTCATGCCGGTTCCTTGGTCATTGTTACAAGTTGCTGATAGGGAGGTCTTCCTGTCCGTGTCACCGGGGTCGGAGTCGAGGTAGATATTGCAGGAGCTGTTTTGGAAGGACATGGTGGGATTTGCTTATTTGATAATTTATTGAGATTAAATTGTTCGTTTTCTGCTTTGTATATATACTTGAAGGCAAACGGTGCATAATAATGACGCAGGAATGGCAATATTCACTACTTGACGGGGTTCTTTTCGGCTTTATTTTCCGTTCTTAGAGCATTCTCGTTCTTGGTTGCTGTTATCGATGTATCTAGAGCATTAAAATCCATTAAAGGTAAGCCATAAAGCCATATCAACATACAAATCGTTCAGATTAGAAAGCACTAACAGTTCCCTCCTATCCTACACATGCGAAATGTATCCAGTTGCAACTGACCCTATCATCATACGAAGATCGCAGGCTAAAGAGCGATAGCGAGGAAGTCAGTTGGAAGTCGACATCATCTGCGTTTGGGAGACTGAGCAGTTGGAAGAGGGCTATGTGAAGCCGGCACTGGGGCTGATACTAGTACAGCGCATCCAGGTGACAGCCGGGGAACGGATTGGCACAGGCGAAAAGCAGGTCCGTCAGTGGCAGCTGCTGGACTAGACCAGAGAATTTTCGGGGTCATGGAATCCATCCAGGGCGTCACCATAGGAGCCCAAGTACCCGTATAAGCCATCATCAAGATATAAAGCTGATTGACAGGTGGGTGGAATCTTTGGCTCTGCTCCCCGTTCGTCGTCGCCCAGTCGTCCGTCCACCGCCAGGAAGCGCACATACTGAGAAAAAGCATCACGGGATAGTCTCCGGGGGATTTTCTTGACAGCCGTAGGTTCTCGCCGGGTCGGATTTTCATCTGGATGCTGTAGTACAGACAGGGTAATTCCATGATGTGGCAATTCCAGCTGGCGCACGCAAACTCTGCGAGAAGAGACAGGGGAATCATCCCCCAAATGTGAGCCTGCAGTGACGCTGCTCATGGAGTATGAGTTCACTACCCTGGATAAGCGTTAACTTGGCTTCCCACAGATATTCAATCTTTTATCTCCCCTCCCGATATCGAGAAGAAAGTATATACTATCAGTGCTCTAATGGCTACATCGCACAGAGAAAATTTTTAGAATAAAACCAGGCCCAGTATGTTATCTTCTCTGCTTTAGCCTCTAACATTATTCTACAATCATTGTCTCAATACACCTTGTTCGATCCTCAAAGCTAAGCTCATCCGGGTCCTCGCCCAAGACATAGTCCTCCTTTTCAATTTCCTCTTTGCTTAAAGGAGGCTCTTCATAAACACAATGATTATAATAAAGCCTCTTCTGCCAAGCATGTAGCTTTTTCTCCTTTAGATCATCCTCTAAATCTCCCCAGTACCACTAGTCTGGTCCCATACGCCTTTTCTTCACATGGATCTTATAGGTCTCACCCTTTTTTATGTCCCTACGGCTGTCACAGAGAGCGGGTGCTCACCAGCGGCGTGAGATGTTTGACTACTTTGACCTGTTTGGATATAGGGCAGGGACCTTCTTCGCACACACTAGACAGCGCAGCGCTGGCAGGCCCGGATTTTTCCTTTTCTTCTCCATGTTAGTATTTCGCTAGGTAGTCTACCAATAGACTCATATTATTTGAGACCGTCTCAACGACTGAGTGATGAATACTTGAAGAGACGATCGTGGGATATTTCGTGTGATATTATTGCCTCTTCCCTATTTCCAGGAATCGTGATTAATCTGGCACTCCTATCATGTAGATTCGAAACTTCTTGTATTTTAGTTTGAATAATGTATTCTGATCCCACCCAGACTGATGATTTTCCGGGTCAGATGTCGAGATTAGCCCTCGACCAAATGCTCTGAAAGCTCCAATGATGAAGTCCCTCAGAAAATCATAAATTGTATCATCCATAACAATCGTGATGGTCTATTTGGCCACGTGGACTGGTTTACACAGGTGAAAGAGGCGGTTCTTTTCTTTTACCTCCATCTCGTTGACCTAATCAGTCATGAGACTTCAATTGCGCCCACTCAGAGAGCTAGCTCTTGTCTGTCTGGATAGTTGCAATTACCCTCATTGCCTTCGTTTCTCGTCTTCTATTTTCGCTAATCAGACTCAATTGTGCACTTGCTTATTTCTTAGCTTCTCCTATATTAATTATCTACAATGCACGAGAAGGACGGAGTATCGTAACGTAAGCGAGACGCGCTATATGGTACAAGCCTGAAGTGTACGATGTACAGATGACGCTCGCTCCATTTAGCACTCTTTTCCTTACCAGTATCTACTGACCATCGAATCCGCTTCGATTACCCTCTGACCATCAACGAAATCAGGTCCGACAAAATGAGACCCCAAATGGAAAAGGTGCGAGCTTTCACTGAGGACATGAGCGGGTCCTCATGCTCAGACGAATCAAGCGAGACGATATCCGAGTGTCTAGACAGTGACAACAAAAGTACCACTTTCACCAGCGACAAACTAAACTGGTTGACCGAGAAGCTCGAAGATCTCACTTCTAAGCTCCAATTTATGCAGGACAAGCATCAGACATTCCAGGCGGAGAATCAACGGCTACAGAAGGAGATCCAACGCTTGCAGAAGCGCGCTGATCCTCGTATGGAGGATCTGGGGTTTGATCGTATTTGGATGAGGGATCGGATCCTTGCGGCTTATGCTGTCGCGTTTGGGACTTATTGGTTTATTAGGGGGTTGGCTTATCTTTAGGGCTTGGTTTGTCTTTGGGGTACTGATAAGGTCTTGCTTTACAAGGGATATTATTTTGATATGTTCGACATCGTTCTCGCTATTGTAGATTTATCCCTGTAAATATCCTCGTAGATTTTTTTAGAAGGCCCCATTTTTCATGTTGCATGACCTCATGTAGATAAGTTCATCGAAGTGTACGATGACACATGACGCTACACACCTACGAAAATTCCCCCGCTATCTTCACCTGTTATCAATAACCGTTGTCTCGTACCAATCTTGATGCTAAAAATACTCAAGCCCAACAAAATGAAGCGTGAAGTATCGGGACAATCAGACACCAACGTCTTAAAACAGATGACGCCTGAGGAGATGAGAGAAAGTATCAAGTCCCTCAAATCCGAGATGCAAGAATTCCAGGACGAGCTACAATCAATCCAGGACAGGCGACACTTGATCCAAGATGAAAAGCTTCAGTTGAAACGTCAGCTTAAAGAGAAAGTCAAGTATGACCATGCAGAGACTCTATCGAACCAGTACTGGGAAGAAGCCAAGCAGAGACTATGTGAGGAGACCGAGCTTGTGAAAGCGAATTGAGCGCAACACGGCAGAGTGCTCTGGGTTTTATTCCAAACCTTGCTCAGTTTTAAGTAACAATGGCTTATAGCGATATCCTTGGCCCATAGCGTTTGGCTTTCATTGTTTGAGATTTTGCTTCTGGAAATGTTATCTGGTTATTTTGCTTTACATTCTTCTCGTTATTGTACATTAAATGACTACCTAAGCGGTACGACAATATGACGCCTCTATAGCTAGGCTTCCTTCCTAATCATAAATTTATTTTCTCTTTACATTCTCAAACGAACTGCTGATTCCATCATGATCTATCCTTAGACATCAACATGGGTTACGAAGCACTCATGATCGACAAACAAGTCACACATTTGAAAAAGATGAAGATGTGGAGACACTACAGAACCTGATAGAAGAAATTCAAGGAAGACAATTCCTTGTTGCGTTCATTGTCGGAAAAGGGGGGGGGGCTGAAAAATGAGAAGAAGAAAAAAAAAAAGAAAACACCTACAAACAGAGAATCTGTGCTTGCAGGGAAAGATCCTTTCCTTGCAAGAAGAAAATGTACGCCTGCGTAAAGAGAGGGTACACTCAAAGGAAGTAAACCTACACTTGCAAGGGAAAGTTAAGCCTCCCGTGGAGATATGCATGGCGAAAGAGGGGAGAAAAGCCATAAAAATGCTGAGGTAGTGAAGATTAGACCTCTACCTATCTCTGGTGGTTATACTTCTATGCCTCTAGCCTTCTGAGAATGATATTTAATATTATGTACCTAGGTCTGACTGTCTGATCACTTGAATCTTTGTCTATGTACCTCAGACACGATCAAAGGATGTAGTATGGTACAGGAAAAGGAGACCTGTTTCATACCCACCACTATTACACATAATTCAACCCAAATATTGCCGTTATTTATCCAATCTGAGCTGGCAAATATGTACTACTAATGCCCCTTCACCCATCACCGTATTAGTAAATCTCCCGAGGTCCCAGGCTGAGTGTCCATTGTATATCTATCAACCTCTCATGACTTGTCTCAGGTTACCGACAAAATCGCTCTAATTTAGTAACCGTAGTCAAGCCTACAGCCTACGTACAATCCGGTACATGTGCCTGTCCAGGCTCCGATGTGATGCCTGCAAGAATGAGGATAAAATGTATTCCTCTTCTAGGAGGTTTCTCACTTTTTACCTCTGCCACCGCTGAGATCGCTATCAAGCCAACTACATACCATCCGGAACGCTCTGACGAAAACATCAAAATGCGGTTTAGCAAGATCCTCCAAATAACAATCGAAGACCATGAGCAAGGTACGGCTCAAAAGATCATGGAGGCGATGAAACCGCTGGACGAACCAAGAAAGGCAGTCTTCAAATCGCACGAGACAAACATCGTCGACAACCCCGAAGAGCCCAGCCAGCTGGGAAACACAATCAAAGTACTAGAATCCCAACAGCAAACACCGACTGACGAGAAGAGTACGCTCCAAGCAGAAACTAGCACTGGTAGTTGCAGGTTTGGCTGCGCTGGGTAAAGCCGAGTCTTGCGAGAATAGGGAGGCACCGTTATTTTCTCATCCCCTGGCTATCATATTTACCATTCTGTCTGGGCTGTACGTGTTTCTTATAGAGGTGTCTTGGCTTCCTTTGAGGGTGATAGTCGAGGATTGCTTCTAATAATATATGTCCACTTTTCTGCATTCGTAGAACTGCCGGTTGCATCATCCCGAGGCTCCGACGTCATAGCAGCCAATCAGCAGTGGTTCCGCCCTCTTCCCGCACAGCAAAACCACGAACGGCAGCTTGTCTTCTTCCACGCTTCTCCCCGCCGTCTCTCCCAACCTCCCTGTCGCAGTCTGTTTATTGTGAGTACGCTTGTTCTCTAGCTGCTGTGAATTGCATCAGATTTATCGGCTTTTTTCTATTCACCTGGACTCTGGACTGACTCGCGGATTCTACTGAAGAACCGTCCGTGACTGTCATCCGTCATCACTACAAATCACCAGCTTCGAGCTATAGATCCGGTAATTTCTATCTCAAGACCAAACGAAATTCGCTTCCGAGATACGTTCGTTCCCATGGCTCCTCCTCCATCGTCGAACTTGCCTCTGGCTGAGAGGCTGAAGGTTCTGGCTCAGACTCTACAGTAAGCCCGTCCCCGTCATACCTTCTCTCAATGACGCTTCCGTTCAACTACTAACATGATTGCTATTACTACAGGTTCGGTTGGTTTGTTGGGTAAGTTTAGAAATATCTTGACACCGTGGCTTTTGGTTGCGTTCCCGCAAGGCCAGTGCTGACCGACCTGCAGCCACCTGACCTTACTGCTTTCCGTCGCCCGGTACTTCCTGTCTTACTTCACCTTCAACTACTACTCCTCCGCTGCACAGGTTTCCTATCGTTTTGCGTTCATCTCCGCTGCGGCAACATATGGAATTGTGGTCTACAAGGGACACATCGCACGTGGTCGTTTGCAGGGCACTCCTCCCGCCATTGCCTTGAAGCTCATTACCGATGAAAATGTCCAGTACCTTGGTATGTAGCGGTATACTCCTATGGAAGAAGCCATCTCTGGGCTGACATGTTTTAGGTATGGCCTTGTTGTGGCTGTACTCGCGCCAGGTTCCCCTGGCCCTCCTGCCGTTCAGCGTCTACTCCATCTTTCACGTTGCGACCTACTCTCGCTCCTATTTGATCCCCACCATCCAGCCCCCTGCGCCCGCCGGCTCGAACGGTGCCAAGCAGCCTCCTCTGGCGGAGACGATCGGCCGCTTCATCAAACAATACTACGACGCTAGCATGGGTCTCGTCGCTGGATTGGAAATGGCTCTCTTGATCCGTCTGACCCTCGCCATCCTCACCTTCTCCAAGGGGAACTTCCTCCTCTGGGCGATCTACTTGTCCTTCTTCCGCGCGCGGTATGCCCAGAGTGCCTTCGTTCAGCAGGCTGTTCGTCACATTGTGGCGCGTGTGGACTCGTCGGTTTCTCACCAGACCACTCCTCCCGCTGTGCGTCAGGGGTGGGAGACGTTCAAGGGTCTTGTTCGCCAGGGTTATCAGGCCACTGATCTCAACCGTGCCGCCGCAGGTGCGAAGAAGCCTCAGTGAATGCAGCCAAATGAGGACCGCGCATTGGGTGAATGTCACAGGGTGAAATCAGCACATACGTCCATTCTTGTGGGCATTGGCAGTCGTCGCTGTCTTACGAAAGTATAATGAACCTCAAAAAGCTAAATGATGCGGGATGGGCCATTTAGGCGATCGTATAGAAGAGTGAAAAAAGGTGTGGCTGTCGGTAGTGGGCGTGAAGATTCATGTGCAATGACATGGCATGCAATTATTCTTGGGATTCGTTCCACTGTGTTTTATTGCTTTTCGGCGAGTACCTCTATTGTTATTACTGTTGCCGTTCAAATTGAATTTGCAGTTGAGCCTCATGAGGTATGACGTCGGAAGACGGGCGACTGCTATTTATATCCTGCTATTAATGTACTTTTGTTCTCGGCCAGCTCACTTGACTGCTTTCTGATAAGAATAAAATGAGAATGCGGACAATTAGAACTGTAAGCAAAGTACGGAGTACTTCGGTGCTGGCTGCGAGAATTGAGAGCCAGTCGTAGTGCGGGATTATTAAAGGCGGCGGAGAAAGCGGACACCCGACCGAAATTTCGGGCTCTTGGGATGAATTTCAACGACCACAATCTTTTTTTTCAAGATTCAAAGACGAGGTGCGATGCTCTCTGTGATCACCTCCCCCTGGTATTTCCTGCGGTAAATCGATTCCTCTTCTTTTTCTGAACGTCTATTTCCTTTTTTATTTCTACGTCGTCTTTTGTGGTGGCGCATTTCCGCCGTCACCTCGCCGCCGCATCCCAACTCCGTGGTCTGGCCCGCACCACGATCTGGTGGGTTGCGGTGTTCTTGCAATGAGCCTGACCTCGCGCGTCTTCGGTCTGTTTACGACGACAGGGACATCGGATTCAGATTCTGCGTCGTCGGCTTCATCCTCCTCTTCCTCCGCCCCGAATGTCGGCTCCGTCAGCAACAATGGCTTCACAGCGTCGAGTACATCGATAATTGACTCGAGTCAAGCGACCACAATGCCTGAAGAGGACGAACCTCGTCCACCGTACCTAAATGTATGCGCATACGTACCCTTCGCTGTTCCGTGAATCGTCGAGGCTAATTGTCATGTCATGGATCCAGGCGATGCTGGCTGGAGGTATCGGTGGAACATGCGGTGACATGCTTATGCACTCGCTCGATACGGTCAAGACTCGGCAGCAGGGCGATCCGCACTTCCCTCCCAAGTATACATCGATGGGTTCCTCGTATGCGACTATTTTCCGACAAGAGGGTTTCTTCCGTGGACTTTATGGGGGTGTTACACCGGCTTTTTGGGGTTCGTTTCCCGGTACGGTAATCTTCTTTGGTGTTTATGAATTCACCAAGAGGCGGATAATTGATGCGGGGATTAATCCGAGCATTGGATATTTGACCGGAGGTAAGATTTTCGTGGATTGCCGTGCGATTTTTGTCATGTTGATTTGGCGATAGGGTTTATGGCCGATTTTGCCGCTTCAATTGTCTATGTCCCCTCAGAGGTGTTGAAAACACGACTTCAGCTTCAGGGACGATACAATAACCCTCACTTCTACTCCGGGTACAACTATCGTTCTACCACCGATGCCTTGCGCACTATCGTTCGCCAGGAGGGCTTCTCTGCGCTTTTTTACGGATACAAGGCGACGATCTTCCGAGACCTTCCGTTCTCCGCTTTGCAATTCGCCTTTTACGAGAAATACCATAAGATGGCGATTGACTGGATGGGTACCCGGGACATTGGTTTAGGACTGGAGATTCTGACTGCCGCCACCGCAGGTGGTATGGCTGGTGTGATTACCTGCCCCATGGATGTGGTCAAAACTCGAGTTCAGACCCAGAAGAACCCCGAGAGCAGCTCCCCCAAATCCACGGAGCAAGCATCCCGACAGAATGCCAGTCAACAGAATCTCCGCACACAAACGCGATCGATTTCGACAACACCGCCATCGGGGTCAATGCCGCCGCCGTCGCATGGCGCACCACCGCCTGGTACTGCTCGCCTTGACACCTCATCATTCTTTACCGGGTTGAAGATGATTTACCAGTCGGAAGGCCTTGCGGGTTGGTTCCGCGGCGTGGGACCCCGTGGTGTGTGGACGAGTATCCAGACTGGTACCATGCTGGTGACTTATCAGTACCTGTTGAAACAATTCGAAGCCTGGCAGGGTCCCGACGAGGCCGCGAATCCTCTGTAAAAGACCAAAAGCCAATGGAGTCCCTCCAACGAGGTTACGAATGGACGGACCGAACAAAAAGCCAGCAGACGAATGATGGATGATATAGCTCAATATGTAACCGGAGCATACACATTGGAAGGGCGTTCCGGCATGATTGTGATTGTGACATGAGATTTCCTCCCTCTTGGCGGATCTTTGTATTTTATCTAGTTTTCTCTTTTTTTCACGTTTTGCTTACTTTTCTAAGCGGTATGATAGCATACTAGACTTGGGAGAGATGGGTTGGGATAGTTATGGCTGTATCATAGAATATAGATGAATATATACATAGACTGTACTTTTAATTCCTATGTACTTATGTATGCTGGTGACGTCTTGGCATCTCAAAAAAGGAAACCAACACACGCCGCCATGTAAACAAAACCCAACGCCGCCCCACCGGACGACGGTGCGCATCCCCCGGATCCGTCGCTTCTTTCTTTCTTTCACGTTTTCCCTTCTTGCGCTTTTTGTTTTCTTTTCCTTTTATTTGCATCGCGTTTGCTCAGGTTTGCTTCCTCGCGTCCCGCAGAGTTACGTACATATATATACGACCCTGAACCCACTACCCGCTCTGATAACATAACTTCACTGTTATCGCATACATACTCCCCGCCATCCTGGCCCTGGATCATCCCTTCTTCCGCACATCACATCGCATCGCATTCGCCTTGCGTCCATCTTATTACCATGTCGGCCGCACTGCCTTACCTGAATAAACTGCGCAAGAGCGATCTTGTTGATTTCGCCGAAATCACTGGTCTCAATGGGTGTGTGCCCAATTACCCCTCCTTCCTTCACCCATCTACACCACGCAGGAAACTAACGTCGTGGTGATGTAGCTACAAAGACTACAACAAACCAGACCTGATAATTGCGCTGGACAGTCATCTTGCTACTAACCGCTCTACTTTCGCTGATAATAACCGGTTTGCGGACTATTACAAGCGTCTGGCGCAGCCGGCGAGGTTTGCGACGCCTGCGAAGAGGGCGATGAGGGTTGAGGTGCCTTCGTCATCGCCGGCGGAGGTTTTGATGAGGTCGTCACGTCGGCAGAGGGCTGTTCAGCCTGAGCCGGTTGTGAAGAAGGAGAAGGAGAGTGAGAGTGAGCAGGAACATGAGGAGACCAAGTCGGAACAGAGTGTGGCGGCTACGTATGTTCTTGCCTTTACTGGGTACGATGGTTACTGATTTCTTTTAGTGACGATTCCGAAGCCGCTACTGTCCAGGGAATTACTGCTGTTCAGCCAGAGACTCCAAAGGTTCCAACTCCGAAGGCCCCGATCATGAACAATGTGGAACTACCTCCCTCTCCAGCTGTGGTTACGGATGTGATTGATCGTCAGACCGCTGCGTGGAGCAAGAGCATCAATGAAACTTGGACTTCGTCAGGAGTCGTCGAGGGCTCGAACGCGCTGCGCTCCCTTCTTAGCAGCGCCAAGGCCATTGAGACCCTGGTCTTGCTCCTCGAAGGATCCGGCATCATCCGGCAGATCTGGCCGTTGCGTTACCTCACTACCGTTCCTGCTATTGAGGCAATTCACACCCCGGAGTTTGTGCTTAACGTTCCCGATTTCTTCATTCTTCTTGACGGAGCTTTCTGGGCTCCGTTCTCGCTGTGGCTGTTGACCAACGTCTTTCTGCCGCTTGGCACTGCCTACTTTTTCAATCTCAAGGCGACAAGCACAGCTACCCGCAACAGTAATCCACAGAGAACTAACTTCGACCCATTGAGTTTCAACATCGCTCGTGCATTGATCGCGTATCTGGTCTATGCCAAGCATTTCAGTTTCTGGGATCTGTACAGCGGTTTCACGATCGACAAAGTCAATGCTTCGGTGCCGGGTGAGTGGACTGGGATGTTGACTGGTACTGCTATTGGGCTTGTTGGAACGCTGTATGAGGCGATTCTTCAGAAGTGATTTGTTTTTTGATGGTATTGGATTGGTTGGTGTTGGTGGATTGGTGTTAGTGCTGGTATGCTAGTTTCATGATTTTGGGTGTAGGGTGTTGGTATATATGCGGTTATGGTTTAGTGGTATTGATTTTTACTTAGAGCATTTGGTCGTATTGAATGAATTGTATGACTTGTTATCCACTGTAGGTATCGCTCCACCATTTTTTAAATCTATTAACTCCTTATACAGGTTCATCGGACCCTCTTAAATCTCTTCGCTAACTCCACTGTAAACAAAATTGGCACCTCAGCCGTAACCTCCACCACGTCAGCCCGAATATGATTACTCGTACTAAGCTGGCCCCCAATCTCCGTCGTCCAATCCTCAACATCCCACTGAAATCCTTTCGTGGTAATTCTTGCCGGTCCGGAAATCGGTATTATCCCGACGTTCTCTTCAAGGAGATGGTCACAGTAACCGGCGATGTCAGTAGAATCAGCGGCCGACCCAGGAATGGGTCGGTTTGTTTTGGGAGTTCGAATAACATTCCTCCCCGGCTGCAAGATAAACGTCAAACTCTCCTCCGACACAAGATACAAATTCCCAGCCGCTTGGTCAGACGAGTAGCTCCTCGTCATAAGGTAGAGATGGTGGATCTGCGAGAACGCCTGGTCGACGCGGCCGCCGAGACCGCCTAAGATGAGGATTTCCAACCTCCCGTTTGCATTTCTCACTGTTTGATTTTCTGGGAAATGAGAAGAGGAAGTCCTGGAGATGATATTTTGGGTATGTGTGCGCAGATATTTAAGCGATTTGGTGAAATCCGTCGAGTACTGGTCTGGGTCTTGGATTATGGTTACACCTAGGGATGAGTAGTGATTGCGGATGGAGGTGTGGATGGAGTCTAGGTCGCCTATTATACAGTCGGGGAGCTAGCTTTTGTTATCAGTGTATGCTCTCTTGAGTATTTATGCATGGGGGGTGATAAGGTTACAATGGTAGATTCAAGGCCATTTTTTCGCATCAGGTCGTAGAAGCGGTTTGCGCCGCCATCGGCGCAGATCGTGTAGTTTGCTATTTCCTTTTGTTAAAATGTGTATTTTATATTATAAAGGTAAAGGTTGGAGGGGAGGGGAGTACCATGTTCCCGTAACACCCTGAACGCTTTCTCGTTGATGGGCTGGTTCAGGACGAGGAGGGCATATGGGGAGGGGGGTTTGTGTGCGTCGGTGCGGAAGAATTGGGTTGGATCCCAGTCCATTTTGCAGGTTTTTGGAAATTTAAGCGGGTTAGGATGGTTTGGTATACTTGTATACAAATGGTGTTTGTGGCTGGGTCTGGGATATGGTGGTCGTGAGATTAAGATGAGTTTTCCCGATCGGGTATTGATATCATCAGCTCTACTGTAATTCTGCCCCACCGCGCGGATTTTGTGGACTTGTTATGCAGCTCATTCGAACTTGGTATCGCTCGAATGGCTACTGTGATGCTTTGGACAGGATTTCATAGCAAATTGCGACTATTTTAATTGCATGTAAGATCACTATCTGATGTCATGTCCGGATTAACTGTACACCCGACACTCCTAAATGAATCAGCATGGCTTCCCACATGGGATATAGAATGGCCCTAATGTTCATCCCCAGTTTTAATAGTGCAAGAGATGACTGGACAGAAGATATGGAAACCTATGCATACGGATGTTCGCAGATGAGGTAGAAGAAATCGGGGCGGACTATAACTATTCACACCTAATTGATCCTGAGATGCAGATTGATTTTATAACTTCTCCAAGACAATGAACGTGTTTGGCCCAGCGCTGGCTAGCAAATCCTCTGCACAACCGGTGCACTTCGTTGCAAACACGATTCCGTATCTTCAACCCGTCTGTGACCTTCATCTAGTCAAAGCAAACGAAACATGTGCCTCTATTTTTGAAAACCTCACAAGCCAGATATCATTGACTACTCTCCGGTCGTGGAAAGTCGGGAGGACCAGTGTGTCTGCTTCAGGTGCAAAATAGCTCACTTCGTCATGCCATGGGCATACAGTCTGTTGACTGGTCCCGTCTTGCGAAAGTCCACGAGCTTGTCGATGGCAGACCAAAATGTCCATTCCCGGCCGGGACGAAAAGGTACCGCAATTGTGAGGCGGGAAGGTCACTGAGGTTGAAAGAAATGCAGTCTTGCTGTTCTGGTTTTGCCTACGGGATGCTATCCATGGGTTTGGATTGAATGCCTGAGTCTGATGAAAATAGAACAATGGCGTTGACAGCGGAGCTAAGCTTCACGCGAAGGTGGTGCGGTTACGCGGGTCAAGATAAAAAGTGTAGCAGGCGAGGATGTTAATGTCGGTCGGGTGTGAGCAACGAATCTTCAAGGGTGCCTTTGTCCTGCGCTGCAGATGGACGGCGCGGCTCCACAGCAAGAGACTTGGACTCGGACGGAATGCAGAAATATGTGCTTCAATTGCCTAGGTATGGCATGGGTCACTGCAGAAGCCCGTGGTTTTACATACTGCATCGGTTAGTCTCTAAACTTGAAATGCACAGGACAAATCTTACAGTTGCAAATAGTAGACATTGGAGAGCTGATTCATTTGCTCATTTGGTATGTTCCCAATCTATCTCAACATGAGTGATTGAAACTGCTCAGAGACATCCCTTTTCCGGCTGCTTGATCAACTTAGATCCATTCTTATAGTTCAATTCTTTCGTCATCAACATAACCCATAGCCCGAAACAGCCGCTTAGTCTTCCCCTCCTGCTTATCACAAAGCACAACCCCCCGGTTCCTCAGATACTGAGTAATGACGTCATATGCCTCCTCGCCTTCAGCAACCGGCACCTTCGCCTCAATCTCCATGAGATGCAGCGACCCAGTCACAACATCATCGAGCTTGGTCTTATATCCTTCAATCTGCACCTTCCACTTCGCATTCTGATACGGCCCATACCCAATCATCTCCTCCCAGGCAACATTCTCATACTGCCCTGCAAACAGCACCTGCTCGTCGCACCAGATCATCGACTCATCCACTAACGGGCAGCGCTTTTCACAAGTATAGCTAGGCTGATCGCCATAGCGCACCCACGCGCATTCGACAAAGTCGGGTACGTCGAGTGTCTCTTTCTCATTGTGGAAGCCTGCCTTTACGGTGGAGAGGTGCTCGCCCTTGTTTGTTTTCGTGCGGAACATGAGGCCGTCGGAAATGTAGGTCGGGGGGCGGATGTCGTAGTAGGTTATTGGGTTGGTTTTGTAGGGAGGGGTGTTTGTGCCGAGACCCAGTTTCCAGAGGGCTGACTGGGGGTTGGGGTCGCAGAGGGCCCATTGGAGGCTGATTTTTTCTTTGGCGGCGGCGACGGTGGCTGTGAGGAGGAGGGTGGTGGTGGTGGTGGATAGTGTTGGGAGTTTCATTTTGTGTAAGATTTGGAACAGTGGTTTGTTCAAGTGCGGGCTAAGGAGAAGGAGAAGTTATATATCCTTAAAGTTAACTGACCAACGCTTTCAGGTGGAGCTGCATTCAGCTTTTCAGCTCAGGCTCCCCTTTCAGCTGATCGGGAGAAATCCTGTTTTTTTCACATCTTGTAATCGCATGGCGAGGTTTTACTCTAGGGGGTTTACTCTAGGGATATTCAGCTATTATGTTGCTCTGGAATGCAAGGACAGGACGTAGCTGATATCCAATATCCAAGAAATACCTTCACTTACTGTGAAATGCTCTTCTATAAAGCTGTGGGGTTCTTTTCTAGAGATCGCGTCATTGGCTGCTGCAGATCACTCATCAACGATCGGCGACAAGTGGCTACAATGCAAAAAATAACAAACAAGATTTCAACAACCATATACATATAATGGAGAATCTCTGGAATATAGAAGCAGACCGGCGCCAATTTCGCAGGCAGTCACACGTCACGCCAACTTTATTAAGGATGGCTAAACTGATACAAGTAAACACTTCTGTTGATAAAATTGATGCATAGGGGTGGCTGGTGTCTTTCCAGCATATACAAAATTGTGTGGAAAATTCTGGGACAACTTGAAACAAGCTATCCATCATCCATCTACTCAATCCAGTCGAAAAGCTCCATCCCGATCCTCCAGCTTGTTCACTACGTCTGTGACGCGAGACCCATCGCCCTCATAGAGAAAAGAGTCGTAAACCGTAGCTCCCGTGATGCAGCCGATAACAGGGGCGATTATAGGGACGATGAAATAGTAGTTGTCCGAGGTGAACACCTCTCTCCCATAAACGATTGCAGAGAATAATCTTGGACCAAAGTCTCTCGCGGGGTTAATGGCCTATAGGTAATCAGTTTGGATCACAAGTCTAATAAAAAAAAAGCAAACTTACATATCCAGTCTGCCAGCCCAGCGAGGCGCCAATAGCAAGAAGGAGCAGGAACATGGAGAGCTGCGAGGAGTGGAAGCGAAGCGCATTTGCCGGGTCTGCGATACTGAGAGCTCCAAACATGAGAACCGCGGACCCAAGCCATTCGGAAAATGCGCCCTGCCAGTTAGTGAAAAAGAAGTCGGCTGGATAGGTTGCGAAGATGCCTGCTGAATGGTGCCCCTGGGGACTCAGAATCGAACCACCGGGGATAGTGTACTCGGGGTCCCAGTCCTTGATGGCCGACCAGTAGTTGATATAGACGATGGCGGCGCCGACAAAACCACCTAGGAACTGGGCGAACAGCTTGCCTGGTAGCTTCTGCCACTGTCCCGGGAACGGACGAACGAGGGCCAGGCAGATGGTGACGGCGGGGTTGATGGTAGGACTGGGATCGGAGAGATAGCCGGAAAGACAGACTGCTGCTGCCCAGGCGATGTTGATTGATAGCCAGGTGCCGTAACGATAGTCAGAGAGGAGGCATTGAGCGACCACTCCGTCTCCAATGACAATCAGGAGAGCTGTCCCAAGGAACTCGGCGACATAGGGCTTCAAGTCCCTCCGGGAAAAGCTAACCAAGTTACGGAGCATATCAATTAACGGAGTTGTCTGTCTGTCACTGTATCAGTCAAGGGTGGCAGTACTTGTAGTAAGGTTGGAGCTCAGTCGACAGAGATAAAAAGTGAGGGGAACCCTGCAGTCCAGTATATCGATTTAGATTAGCCAATCAAATGCTGATATCTCGAGTTATGGACTAGATTGACCACAAAGGGAATAGCTTGATCACCCCACCAGCACGTGATATTGAAAAAGCACAGTTGAATGAAAGACAATATCAGAAGCGCTTCAAATTGAAGATTTTGATGCTTATGAGTTACTACCAGTCCTGGGTATTGGTGTCAGTCCACAGCGCATAGTTATTTATATAGGAATAGGAATTGAACATAGGCTAATAAGCTTCGGCGTCTTGAGGACAACAACCGTCCAACGGAAGAACCTGTGCCAGCGACGCTGTTCTTGGGTTATGCCCTTTCATGGATGCCGTAGGGCTACAGAGAGGTTAAGCATGTCTGTTTCTCACGCGAAGTTTGAGAGACTGTCCTCTGAAGTAAACCCGGCCTCTGATTGGCCAGTTCTCAATTTTCGCCTCAGGCCACAACTCCACATCTCGCTCTCTTGACTTCATCCGCTCCAGTTCGAACCGGCTTCTTCCCCAATTCCACCGGCCGATGTCTGTCTCTCTCTTCCATTGACCCCGTCTCTCTTTCTTTTTTTTTTTTCTCCTCCTCGCTCCTCCACCTCATTTACCTCCGCGCATAACCCACCATGTTCCGTCCAGCCCCCAGAGCTCTCCTCCGCGCCTCGTCGACGCCGTTCGTCGCAGTCCGTGGCCCGGTTAGCAGGCGATTGGTAAGCACCGCTTCCTCCTCGGGGACGCCCAAGTCCAGGAGTTGGAAGAGTACTTTTGTGAGGTTTGGATTGGCTGCTGGCGCGGTTTACTATTATAACACGAACGATATTTTCGCGGGCCAGCCGTCGTGTACGTCAAACTTTTTTGGCCGCTTCCGTTCCGACACACACGAGACATTTTGCTAATAGGTACGACGACAGTCTCCCTGCGAAACCAAGTCTACGGCTACGAACCCGTCGACGAGAAATCCCTCCCTACACTCAACTCCATCGAGCCGAAGATCCGCAAAGAACGCGAACAAGAACGACAGAGGGAACAAGCCGCGCGCGCCGCCGCCGCCGGGAAATCGCCGGAGCAGCTAGAGGAGGAAGCTGGCCAGGAAGCTGCTTTCAACCCGGAGACTGGCGAGATTAACTGGGACTGCCCATGCCTGGGCGGAATGGCCCACGGTCCTTGCGGGGAGGAGTTCAAGGCGGCGTTTAGCTGCTTTGTGTACTCGAATGATGAGCCAAAGGGGATTGATTGTATTGAGAAGTTCAAGTTCGTTTTGTCTGGATTCTTTAGTTTGTTATGGAGGTGGTGCTGACTTGAACTCGATAGGGGCATGCAGGATTGCTTCCGTGCGCACCCCGACGTTTATGGCGCTGAGCTAGAGGACGACGATGCTCCCGCCGAGAACCCCACCGCTCCCTCTGAGCAGGAGGTCTCCGCCGCTGTCAAGGCTGATGCCGCCTCGCATCCCGATGAGAAGCATGCCCGCGCAAAGGAGGTCAAGACTCAAGTCGCCAGCGCCGCGGCGAAGGAGGGCGAGCAGGCTGAGAGCGACGAGCTGATCCCCAAAGCATGGCACGACACGGAAAGCAAGAACACGGAGTCTAAGGCTCAGAAGCTAGAAAAATGAATAGACGATTGCCACAACGTCGAGGGATATTCTTATCCCGCTTTCTTGCCGGTGATATCGCAGGCTGAATACGAGGGAAGAGAATCGTGCCCTGTGTGTGGTATCTCCAAATTATGATGAATTGGAACTAGGAAGAGAGGGGAGGAAAGAAAAGCAATAAAAATCTTTCTCTTTGGAAAGTAACCGAGAAGCGAGAGTTTGTTGCTCTCCTTGCTCTCATTTTTTTTTACGTGTGTATCACTGTCTATGTCTATCTATCATATTTCATTTTGTCTGTTGCTGTTATTTTCTAGCAATGTAACTACTGTATTATGTATTATCAACTTTGGCATCGACTTTGGCATCGAGAATAGAATTGGAACCATCTCTCTTTAATTGAGAACAGCATAAATGAACCACAGCAGTAGCTATTATGAGCATGATCTCCATGCACACTGTTAGATCCCCTTGAGATTCGCTCTATATTAGTCCACCTGTCCTGGCTGGTTTTCCGTTTTCTCGGACCGCTAACACGGAGGAGCTAGTCAGAGCAACTGTTATGCTGGTATGCGACATTTAACTTAAGTTTCAGCTCGAGGTCCCTTAAATCATCAAGGCATACTAATAATAGGGTGCTAAACCAAAGAATAGGGGGCGGTGACAACTGCAGCAGTTTTCTCTAGCTCATTCAGCACAACTATGACGCGTGCGTACTGGCGTGGCTTAGCAATATTATATACCGACTTCGCGTCGAAGATTCGGATTGCCATCCATGCTTGCGATTTCTTCACCAAATCTTTGTCAAGGTGTAAATGCGTTACATCTGCCAACTGAACCAATGGCAACTCAGCCGTGCCACTGTACGAAGCTCCTGCGGAATCCTTCCCACTAACCTATTGACAACACACGAAGAAATGATGTATTCACTCAGGTCGAGGGAGATGTTTCTGCGTCTGCACTCATTGCTTTTGTCACGACGTTCAATCTTTATGGCTTCACCCATGGCTCAAATTGCTAATCTTTTTCGCCGGATTTCTCCTGAAGATGGGTGGTCATGGCTGTGGCATTTTAGAGGTGTGATGGGTAGACCGAAAAGTCTCGTCACGATGGCAACACAATTGACCACTGCGAGTGACCTCTCCGATAACCATATGATTTGCAAGCCAGCTTGGCTTAAGCTGCGTGAGAACAGTGGTACAAGGTAATGACATCTCGGTATCCACTGGACCTTCAAGATACCCAACATTTAAGAGAGCTTATACCTATTGTCTCGGTTTTGGGAGAAGCAAGGCATGCCACAGAAAGTACAGACTGTAACAGCCTGGTTGTCGTTGTTGGATTTATCAATTCTGTCCGCTAGATTCAAAGTGTGACGAATTGATCTCTGGTAGTTTTCGGATGGAATCTTTCTGGTGAGCCAGAGACTCGACGAACATCCCATTTTATTTGTGGAATGCGAGAAGTTGCTAACTTGTTTGATATTAGTATTGCCTCGCAACCTCGTACACAAATTGATGCGTAGCGCCATGTTTTTATTCGAATCCCTTCTTCCATCAAGAATCTAATATGTAAATAATCCATGCGTTGACTTCTAATTTGCCTCCGTGGGCTGTCTGGTTTCTTTCATCTTCATGACACTTTTCGTAGAATGAGCATTTGTTTGCTGTTGGAAATAGAGACTATTATTTCCCGAGGATGAGGGGAATAAGGGGTTTTCTCTGGCTCCAATTAATTGCAATAACCCTCAATTAGGGGATTAGAATACCAGACTCACTATCTTCTTGGAATTATTAAATCATGGGATCTCCATGAGAGGCATGGCCCTATTTTTGCTTTCACCACCTTTGCATAATGTGGTCCTAGTGGCCAGTTTGGAAATAACTAAGGTTATGTCGATAAAGTATCAAGGACACTGAACATACTCAATATTTCTGGCCTACTCGAACGTGTCTGTAGACGATAGCGTCGGATTCGTCACTTTCGCCTCCATTTTATCAAACGTTATCCTAAGGCTGAAGGGGAGAGAAGCACCATACAAGCTAAAATTAGTTCCTCGATAACGGAGGCTATCTTCCTCACCTGAACAACATTCCAATCTCCAGACCATAATTTATAGCTGGAAGCCTGGAATCAGTTTTGCAATTTCCGAATAAATGCAGAGGGTTGGATCCATGAATAAAGTTGCTGGAGAATATTTTGAGGAATATTGCATTGTATATAGTTGCGTATATCTTACTGGTCCTTATTTTCAATTTAAAAGAACTTTGCATATTTCAGGGATCTCTTCTGGAGACTGGCGACGCGAAGACAGTCCAGCCTATAGAGAAACTGTCCTGTATTCCAAAAAGGGAATGTAGTTTTTTTAATTTTTAATTTTTTTTTTTTTTTTTCAAGATGAACACTGGGATCTGACATTATGGATCTATCCTACTTGAGGTGAATGCAGAGTAGGGCTCAATGCATTCACCTGGAAAGGAAGGCGGAACAACCCCGCCGCATAAGCCACCACCGCCACAAATATCTTTCTGCCTTGGTGCCTGAATAAACTCCGCCCTAAACTCCGCCCGCAGAAACGGCTGACTTCCTCCCACTCGGTCCAGAAATTCTTCCTTGTATCACCACCTCTCTTCTTTTCCACCCCGATAATCAATTTCTCTCCCTTTTATCCAGTCTATATCCCTTTACTGCCATACGACTGGTTACTCGAACTCCCCACACAGGCATCGCAGCAGCTGGTCGATCCCGTTGCGCGTTTCTGGCCGCCTGGCACGCTCCCCAATGTGGCGTTCAAGTCACTATCTATGCGCTTTCCTTTCAACTTCTCTGAAAGGATTCTACGACGATTGAGAAATTTATTGCTAGGCGGATAGGGACGTTTTTATCCGTTATTTTTCCGAAATGGAACGTCAAAGAAAGCGTACGTCAGGCGGGATTCTCAACCTTTCCGTTTCGCTTGCTGACCCTTGGAAATATAGGAGAGCTTCGCAGTTTGAATGAACGAGCTTGGGCTGGGGAGAGTGGTACGTATTCTTCTATTTGCCGAGTAATGTTTTCATTATACCTTGCATATGGTGCTAACAGCTCAAAGATATCTTCTCAGTTAGCAAATCGCTCGATTCGGCATTGAAGAAAAACACCGCTTTTATCAAACGTCTTCGTACCGGTATCAGTGCTTCCGCCCAGCAAACCTTCCTCGCCGATATACGCACGCTGTCGCTGCATAAATACCTTTCTGAAATCATCTCCGCTTGCTACGAGGGTCTCTGCAAACTCAAGTCTCCCGGCGAGATCGCCGTTGGCGTCGAGATTGCAGGCGCACTTCACCAACGATTCGGACCGGCTGAGTTTACCAGACAAATCGGATGGCTATTGGGTCGAGGATTGAGCACACCGGACAAGTCTCAATTGAAAGCACTCGCTCCGGAGTTACGCGAGAAGGAGGAGAAGGAGCGGCTCTCCCGGCACCGTGTCTTACTGCGCGTCGTCACTGAACTTTGGCTTGTGGGTGTGCTACGGACTTTGGATGACATTGAACGGCCGGAGGATCTGGGGGCCAAGGGTAAAGATGGCGTGGTTGGCAAGACACCTGACACCGTGGCCCGAGGAAAGCCGTCAGCAGACAAAGAAGCTGACCCTTTCCCGCTCGAAGTGTTGAAGGATCTCCTAGGCCATGATCGTCAGCATGCAAATTTGCCTCTTGCAGTCCTGTTTGTTAGAAGCTTTGGATGGGACATTTTGGGTGTGAAGGGTGTCGACGAAGGTAGAAAGACGGTTGAGGCAGATGGAGCTACGACAGTGGAGGCTACAGAGTCCAATCAGAATGGCACAGATGCGAGCGCTAATGAGAACGACCTTCCGCTTACTCCGGAGAAAACACAGAGCCGCTTCAGAGTTATCCTCAACCGCTATTTGGAGGATGTCAAAGCGCACGTTGTCCGTGACCAAAGTGCATTGGCTACGCAGAGTCGCCGGAACGCCGAAGCCTATGTAAAAAGTGGTGAGATTTTTGAGGATCGTCAAGCCACTTTCGACAAACAGTCTAAGAATCTGGAAAAGCTGGTCTCCAACACGCAAGTTCTCTGTGAGGCTCTTGGTGTTGAAATGCCGCCTTTGGCTGAACAGGAAACTGCTGATCAAGCATCGAGTGGTGGTATTGGTCTCGTGAAGACCGCGGAGTATTTGCGCGGCCAGGGTGAAGGAGCAGGAATATGGGAAGACGAGGAAGAGCGGCGTTTCTACGAAAACTTGGTTGATCTCAAGGGCAAAGTTCCCGCGGTTCTGCTCGAGGATGGAAAGAAAAAGAAGGCCGACGATGAATCTGCCAAAAAGAAGGCAGATGGTGAGACAGATCCATCAGCAGAAACCAAGGTTGAATTGACCGGACAAGCACAATCTCCATCGGAAGAAAAGCCACCCTCAGAGGCAGACGATCAGTCTGCGGCCATGGTTAGCAAGACTGTCGGAGCTCAGGTGGACGCACTCTTGGCCAAACTGCCTGACCTGCAGAACAAGGACCAAGTCGACCAAATGGCGTTGGATTTCTGCTTTCTCAATTCCAAGGCTTCGAGGAATCGGTTGATCAAGGCTGTGTCTGACATCCCTAAGGGCCGGGTTGACCTTATGGCTTTGTACGCACGCTTGGTTGCTACGCTTGGTCAACATCTCCATGACATCCCTCAAGGTCTCATTACCTATCTGGATGAAGAATTCCGGAGTCTCCAGCGCCGGAAGTCGAAGGAGTTCCTTGGTCAAGTTCGAATGAGTAACATCCGGTACCTTGCGGAATTGACCAAGTTTGGCGTTGTCCCTGAGCACATCATCTTCCATTGTTTCAAGGTTTCCTTGGATGACTTCTCGCGCATGAACATCGAAATCATAGGACACTTGTTAGAGAATTGTGGTCGCTACCTGCTTCGGAATCCTGAGACTTCTCCACGAATGGCTTCTTTCTTGGAGACACTTTCTAGAAAGAAAGCCGTTCAGCATCTGGGGCAACAAGAGCGGATGATCATTGAAAATGCCATTTACTACGTTGATCCTCCGGAGCGACCTGCCATCCAACAGAAGGAGCGCACGCCTATCGAATCGTACATTCGACGATTGATCTATATGGATATGAACAAGCGCAATTACACCAAGACCTTGAAGTCGATTCGCAAGCTTCACTGGGAAGAACAAGATGTAAGTTCTTCACTTTTTCCAAATCTGTCACTTATGTTGATTATAATCTCCGGCAGGTTGTCGATATTCTGGAACGCATCTTCAGTAAACCGGTCAAGGTCAGATACGGCAACATCCACCTTCTGGCAATCCTCGTTAGCGCTCTGTATAGATATCACCAGGACTTTGTCATCGGCATCGTGGACAATATACTGGAGTATATCACTTTGGGACTCGAGCAGAATGAATTCAAGTTCAATCAGAAGCGCATTGCGGAGGTCAAGTATCTGGGAGAGCTGTACAACTATAAAATGATCGACTCGCCTGTGGTATTCGATACCTTGTATCGGATCGTAACTTATGGTCACGGTTAGTCGTCTGATTTTAGTTTATTGTTTTCTTTGCTAACCAGTGATGTAGAGGGCGGCACTCCCATTCCTGGAAAAATCAACCCTCTTGATTTGCCGGACGACTTCTTCCGTATTCGTTTGGTGTGCACTATACTGGATACTTGCGGCCACTGCTTTGACCGCGGTTCTGCAAAGAAGAAGTTGGACTTTTTCCTCACTTTCTTTCAGTACTACATCTTCACGAAAGAGCCACTACCAATGGATGTTGACTTCCTCATTCATGATACCTACTCCGCGACACGTCCTCAATGGAAACTTGCTGGCGACCTGCAAGAAGCAACGATCATATTCAGCGAAGCAGTTGCCCAGAACTACAAAACGCAAGATGCTGGAAAGCACATGGAGCCTGAGCCTGAGCCCGAGGAGGAGGATGCGGAAACCAGTTCATCAGATGAGGGTCTAGAAGAAGACGCCATGCCGGAAGTGGACGATGAACAAGAATCCAGCGACGAAGCTGAGGCTGAGGCGTCCGGTCCGAATGCAGAGCAAAACGGCGACAGCGAATCCGATGACGAGGCTTTCGTTGGACGTCAGGAAGAGGAACGGGATCCTGAAGTGGAGGCTGAATTCGACAGGGAACTTGAGAAGATGATGGCGGATAGTGTTGACTCGCGCAGGTTTGAGCGGAAGGCTGTTTTCGATGTTCCGTTACCGATGAAACGTGCTGCGCGGGAAGCCAGTGGTGCGGAGCACACTGAAAGCTCTCAGGATCAGTCGAATACTATGGCTTTTTCCTTGATGACAAAGAAAGGAAACAAACAGCAGGTATTTCATCTCTTCATTCTGGAAAAAGTACGATTATTGACAATTTAGACCCGCACTATCGACCTGCCATCTGATTCCAGCTTTGCTCTTGCAATGAAGAGTCAACAACAGGCGGATCGGGAGGAACAGCAGCGGATCAAGAACCTGGTCCTCAACTACGAAATGTCAAATGAACCCGAGAATGCTGAGGGTAAGAGTGTCAAAAATCCATCATCATGGAAAATCTAACAAACCTAGTTGTCGAGAAGCGTACACCTCCCCGAGACTCTAGGATCGACAAGTCCGCTGCCAACCGCACTGCTTTTCGCTCGCGAAAGCTCCAACTGAGTGATGTCAACTGGTAATGGGATTGAGCTGACTCGTACAACATCTGTGCATACTCCTTAAGTGGAACAGCCTACCGCGGCACCCGAACAACAGGGCGTAGATTACCCTCTTCAGGACAACAGGCACTTATAGGGCACGGTACTCTTCACAGAGTTCTATTGATCATTGTATGTTGATCCCCTTCAACGGCATCTATACCAGCGTGCTAATACCATCGAAAACAGAAGCATCCCTGGTCTATCGCCAGAAGGGTTGTCTGACACTCAGCCCAACGCTGGCAGCATGTCAATTCAGCAGGTCCTACCCTGCCTAAAGTTACCGGGAATCTCATCTTGTCCCTAAACCTGCCCAGCTACATACATGTACTACCAGTACTCCGTCCATGGACAGAAGAAATAGAATGCCATTGAATCTTTTTATCTCATAAACTCCTTTACCCTGGTATCCACGTACATACGTAGTGTAATCCATTAATCCTCCACAAACAGACTACCGCCCCTGCAAAACCTCCGTAAACTCCATAGCCCCCATCCTCCCACTCCCCCTCCCTCTAGCCCGATCCCTCTCCCTCTCCGCCGTCAACAACTGCTTATAAACCTCCTTTTCGCGATCCTGCTCGCTCCATTCCTGATGACTCGACACACTACCTCTGATCCTCGGTCTAGCTTCTACGTTAGTAGTAGTTGAGTTTGTAGATGTGGATGTAGATGGGATCGTAGATGTTGACGCAGCTGTGGATGAGGTTGTGGATGAGGTGGTTTCGGGGTCTCGTCGGGTGTTTATTATTGTTTGGCCGGTGGGGAGGAGGAGGGTGTGTGACTGGATTGCGTCTTGGGGGGCGTGGTTGTGGTCTTGGGGGTTGGAGGGAGGTGATGGGGGTTCGCTGTAGGAGTCGGATTCGGAGAAGGGGCCTGTGTGGCCTGTTGGAATGGTTGTCATCTTCCCCTTGGCTTGGTATACAAGATTGGGTTGTTACATGGGTGAACGGAGTATGTTATACAGGTTGTTGGGATGGGAGAAGTTGGGTAGATGCATAAATGGTATGAGTTGGGCGATATTGGCTGGAGACCTACTCAACAATTTGTTCAAGGGAATGAATTTCAGATCGGCGTAGTATAGGGAGTGTAGTACAGTAAGTATCGTGGCGTGCTTGACGTCTTTCCAGGTCATGTCTTGCCTCTGGCCACTTTCATGTACGACTCGAGATACATATAAGGAATGCTATACGGGATAAATTCATTGATATAACATACAGGTCATAAATGTCAATAGACAGGCAGAATTCAGTAACAACTACTGACAAGTGACAACAGCAGTAGCAAACATGAGGATAAGAAACACATATAACAATCATGGTTTTAAAAGATTTGATTGGTTGGGGTTGGGTGTCAGTACCAAGAAAGAGGACGAAAACCAGCGAAGGCATCAGGGCAGAACTAGGGAGACAAATGAAGAAGAGGAAAAAAAAAAAATAAACAGCCACCGTACATCGTACAACCTTCATGCAGACAACATAATAACACAAGATCAATATCAATATCAAACAGGGTATGCCCACGCCACGCTATGCGAGTCAATAGAACGGAACTATGTACTGAGAATAGGAACGGGAATCCAAAACAGAGGGGGAAAAAAATAAATAAATAACGGTATACAGGGTAATATAGAAAACATGTCGGCAAACTTTTTCTTTTCTTCAATTACTCATCTTTGGTGAGTTTATTTGGGTTTGCGCCAAAAGTATTGCTGTTATTCCGTCAGCATACGTCATATGTCAGTGAACCAAATGGAGCAATATACCTTGTGCTGCTTCCGACAGTTACGGAGACCAGGTTTGCGAAGATCATGCACCACGGCCTCACGACGCATCTCATCATCATCAAAGTCGGGGATGTAATAATATTCACTTTCGAGAGGCTTGCCTGCAGCGTCCTTTCCTTCGCGGGCGACCTTGCCAATACATCTGGTCGAATCGATCACTCTGCGGATGTCATCACGGGTCGGGCCGGGCTTGGAAGTATCCTCGCGCTTCCAGTGAGAAGCAGGAAGGTTATTGACAATAGTCGAGAATGGTGTAGAGGATAGACGGGAGAAAGCTAGCTGGTTGGAGGCGTGGTTTTGAATGCGTGCATAGCATTCGTCATTCAGGTCGAGCTTTTCCTCAGCTTCTCTCTGCTCTCTCTCAGCCGCAACCTTGGGCTGTCGTTCTGACTGGGTAGGTTGGAGAGGCTGAGGACGCACAGAGCGGATTGGTGATTCGGCTGCCGAAAACGAGGCCATGCGGGGCAGGATGTTCTCCCCAAAGGGTCCAAAGGAGTGAACAATAGGGTCGTTCTCCTCATCGTGATCAGACAACTCGTCATGTTTACTCAAGTCACTGAGGTCGCTAGACGAGCTGTGGAGGATGTCCTCCACGCGTTGAGAAGACTCCTGAACGCGTTGGGTCGCGTCAGGGTCTTCCTCAGCACTGGTGCGGCGGACAGGAGACGCTTCGTCTTCGTACACGACCACAGCATTCCGGGATCGGGTAGGCGTGTACAGAGGCGACGACGGAGGCACCAAGGACTGCACAGCAGGGGAAGGAGAAATAGGCGAGACCAGACGTTGACGCTCGGCCAACGGACTCTCATGTAGACTCCGACGTGGTTTCCCATTCCGTCTTGGTGTGGTCTCTTCGACCGTCTGCTCCGAGTCTGTCGACGCGTAGTTGTCCTTTTTCCCTTCACGCGGCCATTGGACTAGAGCGCGAGCTTCATGAACATCAATCATGATATCCGCGTCCTTAATATCCGACGTGAACGTTTTCCCCTTGGCCAAGTCATATGTTTTCCCCTGGCAGTGCAACTTGATCCCATTCCACCCAACACACATAATCTCAACACGGTCGTGGTCGAAGGGACTAGGAGCCGGTTTATAGGTAGCTTTGACGTGAACTCGCGAGATCATCCGATTAGCAGCTAGCTGGTGATGGCAGGAGGCACTCGAGCGGCCCATTAGAATAGGCTCGCCATTCTCCGGCAGCATCAGGGTCGGGACGGTGGACAGAGGGGTTCGTTCAGAGGATGTCAATGAGGAAAAGGTGCGTCGGTAGGCAGGACGAGGCACGGTCGTTCGAGGGGGCGACGATGACAGGATATGGGTGGACGATGTTGGCAGAGGAGTAGGATACTTGGACACAACACCATGGTTCTCACGAGCTACACGCTTCTGGGGTCGTGGCAGGGAGGGAGACGAGCTCAATGGCTCGAAAGCTGGCAACAGGGAAGCCGGACGCTTCATACCAGCCATCGAGGTGCTCCTCTGGAGAGGAGACGACTCCATTGTCATTCAGGATAAGTATGTCTGTTCAGTTGGTAGCTTTAAGTAAAGATAGCCAATTGAACCGCGTCAGGTCGTGTCACGTCAAAGGGTCTCTCTTAAGTCTAACCAAGGAAGATAGATGTCACAAATTACCCTTTCAGACCGAACAGAAAAAGAAGACAAGTCACAACCCCTATGGAGAGGAAAGTGACAATAGCAGGGGAAAGTCGAAGGGAGGGGGGAGCTCCGTTCCTGTCAAGAGACGAAAAATGCTTCCCAGCGGAGGCTGGGCGTGAGAACACGAAGCACTCAGCGGAATAAAGACAATCGATTTGAAATAGAAAAAAAAAAAAGAAAAAGGAGAAAAAGAATTGACGTGTGCGGTGGAGAGAGAGGAATGAATGCAGAGCGAAAATAAAATAGCGAGAGTGAGAAAAGCGAGAAGCGTCTCGTCCTCCAGCGCGGAAATGCACGTCTACAACCCGAGACGCGTTATAGGCGCCTGCGGCCTCCACCTCGCGCAGACTCCCTTAGAAAAAGCCCTGAAAAATATGCAGGTGTACTTTATAGCCAGAAAAAGATTTCGAATTGCGATGAATCACCACGTCAATTGGTGTACTTTATCCTCTGTAGCTTGTACGCAGTACAGCTCTGTCCTCGTATGCAAGGCGCGTCCGCGACAAAGTCACGTGCGTCGCGTTTTTTGGTTCGACGCCGCTTGTTTCACGTGACCTTTAGCCTCAGTCTATATGCCTTTATACCAGAAGAGGAAGGAGGCCCATGTGCACCGCGGCAGATAGTCGCGCTGATTGGACAACACGACGAGGTGAGCCAGCATATTCTACAGGGTAAAGTACGCTCTTACATGCTGTGGATGGTTCTGGGATCCTTACTTTTATCGGTATAGGCGTGAAGATGCGGTTTAATTTATTGGTAGAGGACAGCAATATGCCGTACACCGTAGTGCTAACTTTAGTGTACATATGTCGGACGAGGACAACTTAGATGCGACGCTGTCATTTACAGTAATTCGTTTTACATGTAACCCCCATGAACTAGACGCGAGTATTAGTCGAGGCCACTATCCTATTTCTGGGGGATCACCCTGTATCAAGTTACTGACCGAGTCAGGCGCTCCACCGTACGGAGAACTGGCACGTCGCGTCTGGCCCACTGGCGTTGTAACGCGGTGTGATGACTACACCAATTCAGAGATGCTATGTATACATCACTCTTCATTATTGTCTGGTGGCGGTGTTTAATGATTTGGTGTCCTCACGCTCGGTGGCAGGTAATGAGATCATGATGTCCGAACCGCCAGGGCCGCGGTATGCGGAACTGGTATCTACGGAGTACATAATGAAGTCACGATGCGAGGATAAAGTGAATAAAATACTATATTTAATAAAATTATACACAGAACACCAGAAAAGAATACACGCGCCACCCTGCCCAAAAGAATTTTGCGGAAACAGTCGAACTTTATACACGACAAGACATAGAAAAGGTCCCAGGAAATCACATGAGAAAAAAAGTGGAATCAAAGTTATTTGATCTCCAAAGAAGTGAAATCTAACCACACTTTCCTTACCCTCACCATAGCGGACAGAGGACACTATATACAGAGAAGTGCAACTAGGAAAGATGGAAAAATTTCCCGGATCACGATGTGGGAAAGTAGATATCAAAATACAGACGAAATCAATGCATACTAAACGGGTCGTGATAATTGAGAGCTGGAAGTAATGGCGAGGGCAGGCGCACTAAAAGGGTTCCCCTTTGCAAGGAATGGCGTGTGGTTGGAGGTTTAACAGGCGGTGAACACAACGGTGGCATCACCGGACAAGACCTCAACCTGCGAAGAGGTAAGCAAGTTATTTTGAAGACAGGGGACAAGAGAGAAAAAAAACTTACAGTGCATCCAGAGTCATTGGTGCCAGACTCGGAAATGTAGGAACCTTTCTCGTACCTGCACGAGCCACTGAGGTTGTCACCCTTGATTTCAGCACAGAAGTCAAGCTTGGCGTCGGTGGTCGGGGAGTTCTGGAATAGCGAGAGCCACTTGCCGTCGTTCTCACTGGTGCCCATGTTCATGGGAGCGAAGTTACCGACAGGCTTGCTCTTGTCGCCCCATTTGCATCCCTCCTCGATGGAGGTTCCCTTGGGGTTAACGTAATACTGAGCAGAGGTGCTCTTGCCCGTCCACTCGTAGTACGTCGCGCCGTTAGGGCAGGTCAGGGGCTGAACGGTGTCGTCGGTAAGCGCCAGAGGGATGGTTTCAGCTTCAGTACCTATTCGATCATTACGTCAGAATTGCCGTTTGCAGAGGAATCCTATTCAAACTTACCAGGGTAATCAGTACGGCAGACAGCGACCTGCTCACCGACCTTGTTCTGGACGTAAACACCACCAACACCTTCAATGCACAGCTTCTTGGAAAGGCTGGGGTTGGTAAGATACAGCTTGCCTTTGTGGCACTTGAGACCACCAACAGACTCGCCTGTGGATCCCTGCTGCTTGGGCCATTGAGACTTCTGATAACCAGCGGGGCAGGCGTACGAGCAGAAGCCTGGGTTACCGAGTATATCTTCGCTACATTCACCCTCACCACTGATGGCAGTGCTAATTTTCTGAATCACATCTCCCACAATCGAGCCGTACTGGATACCGGTCCAACCGCCAAGGCCGTGGTAATCAAGCTTAACAGCGCCATATTCCGAGGGGAAAGCACTGCAGTCGATCTCGCCATCGGGGAAGTCAACATCAATACCGGTGGCGGAAGAAGAGCTGCTAGAGCTGCTAGCAGCGGGAGTGGAGGCAGCAGCCTGGGTCGAGGAGCTGGAGGGAGTGGGAGTGGAGGATGAAGATGTTTGGATGAACTCGGCCGGGGCGACAGAGGGAGTGGGGGTGGGAGTAGGAGTGGGAGTGGACGAAGGAGTGGTGCTGCTGCTAGAGCTCTGGCAAGCGTCAGGAGGGGCGACACCAGCAGCCCACAGGAGGGTACCATCGGCGATACCCTTGCAGACTTTTTCAGCGCTGATGTGCTCACCATTCAGCTCGTATTTGACGACGGTTCCAGAGGTGTCAACAGTACGTCTCTGGGGGTGACGGTGACCGTGGGCGTGAGGCTGGGCTGCGACCAGGCCGGCCGTAGCAAGAGTGAGTGCAATCGAATTCAACTTCATTGTGACGATAGAAGACTGTGGATCTGGATATAAATAATTAGCATCCTGTCTCTTGAATTGATGGCAACCCGCGAGGTAGATGCGACCGAGCCCTATGGAAAGGAAGGCAAACAATTGCATGCGCTGCCCTCCAATCGATAAGAGGGAAGAAGTGGTTTCCAACACTCTCATCTAGCATTCCTGGGTAATTGGAATGCGAGGGAAAAGGGATTTCGCAGGGTGGGTATGGCATACATCACCGCAAATCTGTCGCGCGCAGTGTGGATATCAGAAATTGGCAGTGAAGGAGAGCGAGAAGAGCAATCAAAAGAGGTTTCCCGAAAGAGCGTGGGTGAGAGAAACAAGTGTCCCTCTGGTCGGATAGGAAATCTCAAGGGAATGTGAGTAAGTGGGAGACTGGAGAAGAAGATCGAAGGAAAAAGAGAAAAGAAAAAGGAAGAGGGAGATCGAGGGAGAAGAGGCAAGATTAAAGTCAACCCGGGCGTTCGGCAGAGCCCCAGGGGGGAAAGACAACGACAGAGCTGTAATGATAGCTACTCCACTTCTGGCCTTCCATTGGCTGGGGATATCTTTTTTTATTCCTGTACCAAAATACAGGAATAAATTACGATATTACCATTGCCCAATAGCAGTAGTGGTTGGCCGTGGGAAAAGAGACTGGTCAACCCACACGGTGGGACTCAATCCTACAAGCACTTTTACGGGATACATAGACTCAGTAGTGAAAGATGGAATTTTAATCTCTAATCGATATTCGCCATATCTATACTGCTAACCTGTACATAGTACTCCCAAGAGGTACACTCCTAATAACACTGTATTTAACCTCCTGTTTCCTGTTCCTGAAGAAAAAACCTTGGCATTTCCGAAATTAATCCTTCAGGGACTAACCAATCACATCCCCCACACTTGGCCAATCTGATCAGGTACACCAATCACAGTTTGCATACCCCCACCGTCGGGTTGAGTCTCCAAGGTTCTGGGTGTCTCTCATGTCCGACCAGGCAACTTTCCACGTTACCGCTCCATAATAATCCATACTAGTACTGTGTATCCTGCGGTATTAGGTTTTGAACCATCAACTGGATCATGCCATAATAATGGTTGCCTATGTGGTATCATTCTACGAGTACAAAGAGAGTTGTGGATGTACACACCGTTCTACCCGTGGCTCGTGGGATAAAAACCCTTTCAGCACAAAAAAAATTTAAAAAAAAAAATTAAAAAATGTACTTTTACCCAGTCATGCGGAATATGAGTGAATATCCAAGGATCTGCACGTCTCCCGCTTTAAGGGGCCACTTGGACTATCACTGGCACTCTTCTCCCATTCTGGAAGCCGTTGCGGAGTACGGAACACAAGTACATAGTTAGAGTAGGCCGTTTGTCCTGGTTATCGCAATATTCGATCAGTCTTCTATGACGGTCTGGGCTGAGATACGTCTACTGCAGACAAGTACTTTGCACAAAAGGTCCAGTACGACCGCCTACCGTGATGCAGTTCTGCAGGACAATTTAGCCATCCCTTGGGCATCAAGCGGTGTGCAAGGTAGGTCGCATTGCACATACAGTCCTTTATTTTGGCTTGTCCGGGCAACCAGTACCCTGCCAGGAACAGTGAACCACGTTTCTCGATACTCTGCGCGGTGTGTGCAGAAACCAAAGAAATGTCACTGATTGCTTGGGCCAGAGCCTAGACTCTGCGCGAAGCCAGACTAGTGTCACTTGTCAAAGGTTAGTTCCATCGCCAAGGATCAAAGAAGGATGCAAGAAGGCTCTAGGCCCCGCGTTTCACGTGATCACCTCATAGTGAAGGATTGGTTTGAAATAACCTGTATTTACAAATACAAATCCTCTTGCCATCCGTGTACCGAGTAGTACAGAGCATAGAGTAGTCAATCCAAATGGGAGTTTGACTACATCTCAATTGGTACCTATCTCCATCGAACTTTTGCGTTGACTGCGTAAGGTCGATAAGCCACGCAAGCACACGCTGTTAGTTCTCCGGGATAGCCGTGATAGAGAGTCAAGTCCAGCTAAACCCCCGTACGAATACTCCCTTATTTCTCTGCCTAGCAGTCTCCGCAAGTGTTCCATTTATACGAAATACTACTGTAGACAGTTTAGAGTAAGTTACCTGCCCCGTACTCCTTAGATAGCCATGCTCTTATTAGATAGCTTGGCACGAAGTTGGGATGGACAACTAACCGTCAAAACTAGTGGTCTCCGGAGACAGTATGATGACGACGCCCTGGCAGTGCCACTAGTACTGCTATTCCTGGCATATTCTCCGACCTCCAAATATGGCAATCCAGAGTGTCGCTATTAATGATAGTCCGGGGGGAAGACCCGTAAAAGACAATTTAATGCTTGTGTACATGCACAGACGGACTTGACGGCTTAAATATTGGTGCTTGCTATTATTATCCTGGTGTCCGTTATTAATTTGTATGTATTGCAACGGTCGCGTGGAGCGAAAATGAAGTCACGGACCACTGTGGCTAATACAGAATTCGCTCAGCACTGTATGCTACTGAAATGCTTGATACAAAGAACTTCAGTATACTCCGCGAACCAACCAACGAACTGTAGAGGACCCATTCTCGTGCAAAAATAGAAGTATTGCCACGAGGACCATGGTTTAGCTCTTCAGGTTCTTTGTCGCTTTACCGGAATGCTTCGCCTAACCACGGTTAATTCTGCCAGGACATACCGCCTGCCTTTTTGACTGCATATGACTGGATTCAGACTCCATCATATTTTGTCTATGTGTTCTGAGAGATTTCACTGTGATAGATCAAGAACTCAGCTCATGGCCGGTTCTTTTTCAACGAAATAAAGCTCTGCTCGAACATGAGAAGTAGGATCTCTAGAGCTGTGACGCTATGGCCTGTGCTAGACAAGTTGACAGATCGTCGAAATACATCGTCATCGTCATCAACAAACTATTTTCTTTTCAAAGATTAATCTGTATATACTTTCTCTTGATAACCTCTTCAGTTTACTCATATTCAATATCTTCGGCGAGTATGGGGTATTGCTAGTATGACTGACCAACTCAGTCTTGCATTAGGACCTGAAATTTCCACGCTGATGCGGGCTGTCCTTTATTCCTCGATTATTATGCTCTTGCAACCAACAGACTCCAGATGAGGTGTAATATTGACTATTCCAATACGAACGATTTGTGTTGGTGACACATTGACGTGTCTTACTGCCATTGAAATTACGGTGTTGTGATTTAGGCTGGAGTAGGGTAACTTACTGTACGTACTTCCGAGTACTTATATTAATGAAAATCCCTTTCCGGGGACAAGACGCTCAGGTAATAGAATCTATATTCTTGATCACTCCAAATACAAGCGTTCCAAAACGAAAGAAGATGAGCATTGCCAAGGATTTCCCACGCAAGAAACACCGTGGCTGAACAGGGAGGCAAAACTCCGTCAAATATACGAATTGACGAAAACCGGAGAAACAAATGATTTCGTGCACTGGTGTGTTGTCGATTCCCCTATCGTATTCGAAAAGCTTGGAATCGATGTCCCCATCTTCCATACATTAAATAAGGTTTGAATATACCCTAGGCGCGGTATGTTTATCGACATCTCAAGAGAGAACAAGTTCGTGACCTATTTCATTGGGCGTGGTCTCAACCTCTAAAATCTCAGACTTACAAGACTGCTACTTTCAAAGTCAGAAAAAAGGCCCCTTAGGCGCAGACCACAGCGCGGCATTATTGGATCCGCGTGCTCAAACGTGGGTGCTATCTCTATTGACTTCTGGAGAGTGTCTCCCGGCGGATATCATCAGACTTTGTTTTCATCTTCCCAATTACGAGGACAATATGGAAGATATCGAGGCGCTTGTTACGGAAGTCTTTGGCCAAGAATGAGAACCGTCCATACGACCTCATAATATTAGAGACTAATCATGTCTGTTTCACTCATCACATCAATTTTTTCTCCATCATTTACATAGTAGCTTTCTCTTTCTATGATACTAGTTTGAATTTGTAATACGCAAGTAGAAAGGAATGTGAAGAGCTCCATGGCTCTCAAGGGAATTGCTTCATACTTGCACAAGAACCGGAGAGCTACTGGATCCGTACCCTTCCACACTAGGTATCTCGACAAGCCATCTGACGAGTCAGAAATACGAGACAGTCAACTTTTCGAAAGGAGGTGCCGACGGCACGGAGTAACAACTACGCGATGTAGCTTTGGTCCTAAAAGGAACAGGTATTCACGATATAGTAGCTTCTGACAGCTATTATGAACAATGATTCAAATACTCACGCTATAGTACGATGTGCTGGCTTAAAACGATAATCTGTTGATAGTATGGCGAAGGTGTGGCGATTCTGGTATAAACAAGTCTCAAATTCCGAGACAATTCGTCCAGTGCTTGAGAAATAATCATCCGACCATTTGGGGTCTCTTTCTTCATTACGTATGGCTAACCATGAAACCATATCCAAACCGGCTGTCAACAGTTTAGCACATACTCATGAGTGAATCGGGCTTTTCCCGTAGAAGCGCACCATTACGGTGCGCTTGAACTCAGATCAGGATGTACCCTGTGATATATTTTGTTATTAGCTCCCTTCTTGAAACACCAAGTCCGACTATGACGTGCTCATATGCCTTCTTTGTTTTGATACCTCAATTATAACCTGCAGGGATATGGCTGCACGATTTTTTTCTTTGACAGAAATTTCTCCTTATCTGTACGAGACTATTAATATGACAGTAATCCCTACTAACTCCTTCGCCATATAATAATAGAATGCTCAACTTAAGCTCAGATGCTTGGGCTAGAAGCACCGATGTTCGTAAACTTAACAGAGATCCGGTTTAGTGCTTATAATTAGGTAGAATTGCATCAGAGCCGATGATGATGATGGAGGAAAGTAATAGTGACATCTAATGGTGACATCTGCCTTCTTTTTCTTTTTATTCCCCACTTTCTTCGTCTAGACTATCTGCTTCCTAATTTGGCAAAGAACCCTGGTTCTGAGACTCCTTCTCCGCCAATCAACCTGTGTCCCAAGCAAGCAAGCAACCTCAAAATTACGACAATTACGGAGCACATCTCGGAATGTTCCTAATGAGATGGATTGGCCTCTGTCATGCAATCAGAAGTTGACCAACATGGCTCTGCATTGAAGCTCGAATTTTCTGCGCTTGCGACCTTTCTCTATTCTCCAAAAACCAGCGGTGTGATGCACACGATGAGCACAGAGTGTCACAATACTGTTGATACGAGCCATTAGTTTTGACATGCAGTCAGTAGGTGTCAACCCTGCCCTTCATTGAAGATCAATGTAGTTTGCCATCTATTCATGATCCAGCAGTACAGCGCGTCTCAAGCGCAACCAAAACACCCCATGCGAAACGTCCGAATGACTATGTCAACACAAATACCGTACATCCATGATGATTCACTGACCATTCTTACTTCCGCCTAAAAGACAGCGTTGCGATTTAGACTGGAGAAGGGTATATACTTAAGACCTGCATAATAAAAGGCTCGTTCTCCCTCAGGAACGAAAGCGTGGGCAACATAATCTTTCCTCCCATATTCTATACGAAAAGCTACATTCCCATTTTTGCGTACACCCACAGGCAACTTACGTCCACGCTAAAAAATGAGTCGAGGTTAGTAGGATGAAGACTTCATAGTTCCTTAATCGATAAGTGACTGGTCGTCCAGGGACAAATGACCTGTTCTAATATCACGAGCGTTGACATAAAATCCCAAGATCAATGAAAACAGTAACTTTGGTCTCCGTGACAAGTTAACGCCCGAAGTGGTTATACGCATGTTTTCTGGAACTGGAGTGTCTCTTTTTTGGTTCGATCTGATTTATAGGTTACAGTTGATATCTCGGATGAAAGATGCAAACTTCCAAGGTCTGTGGATTGCTCGAAATGTATGCATTTATCCATCTTCTTTTTATCTTTGGCATTTCCTGACATCCCGCCTTATAGTCCCTGAAATGCCGGGCTATCGTTCCATCCAACCGAGGACTTGAGCCATATCCACCAAATCATTGCTGGTTCAATTCAGGTTACTTGATAGAGCCCAGACTTACTAAATTGCAATATCCATGTAATTAATCTACCCGGGTAACTTATATCCTATTCACGAACATGAAGCAAATGGATATCGACTTTCTCTCTACAGGACCAGCTGTTGGGGATATACATATGAATAATGAGGACTCAAAGGACAGTCGACGATACTTAACTGCAAAATTTAATGAGCCGCCTACAGAATCGAGAATCTTAGCATGTTTGGAAGAGTTGTTTCCAGTCTTCTATTTCCCACTCATCCAGGCAAGTCTAATATAATGGCTGAGAACAGAGAAATTTGTGCTTACGTTGAATAGTTCAAAGTCAACGATCAATGGGTGCCCACTCTTAAACGCTGGACCAATGTTGATAGAGGGGTTTTAGTTAAGAATGTGGAGGGTATATGGCTGACAAAAACGTTTCCATTTAAATCAATGCATATTGGCGCAGTGACTTTTCAAACCTACGGAACCCATTCCCCTACCGGCCCGTTAACCGTGGCTATTTCTATTGTATTACACTGCAACTGTATGTAATATATCGAGCAAGGTATTTTGCATTCGGAATTGAGAAATCGTCTAATACAGAATCATCTGTTCGAGACGTAGGTCCGTGCTTATCCAGTGATTCTCGTTGCTGACCATAGCAAACTAGTATGGAGACTTGCTTGGTACAGTACCGCTGACTTGCTCGCAAATGTGTTCTCTTCAAATCCGCAAAGACATCAACTTATATCCGTTCTGGCAGTGAATTGTCTCTGGAGTTCTTCTGAAAGGTTGAATGCTATACGCTTAATGACAACCTCCTCGGGAAGATTTATCAAACGAGGATTCATCCGATAACGTCTCCTGAAAGAAATCGATCTACTAGTAAATTGAACTACAACGACATTTAACAAAAGCCATATCACGGCCATGTTTGAGCGTTCGAGATTGAGTCTGCAACGTTCAAATGACGATAGATGCAGAGGTTCTTCTTCCGCGTCTCTCACGCGTTTGATGTAGATAACTAGATTTGAAATGAGTATAGGCAAGTAGAGGCGCCGCCTCTTTTCCCAACGACTAGTTCCAAAGACCATATTGATTGTTGAGTAATATTTTATTGTATATGATGTTTATCTGTATCCCCACTGTAGTATCGCGCTGGGTTGAGGTTTCTTATTCCTAATCGGGTTAGTACGGATCTGGATATACAATGACTAAGATACGCCAAGACCGGACAATCGCCCACCGCCTTCCGTGGATTTTTTCGAATTTCATTATCGCAAAAAATTGAGTCGGTCGAGCTTTTGACTTGAACAGCAATAAATCCTTCAAAATGCCGTCGACTGAGCTCACTACCAAGGTGACCTCTGGTTCACCGTATCAGCTTGACAAGAATCAGGTATGTGATAAAAGAAATCTTTCAAGTTAGAACATTTCAAACAACTATTTCCATTTCTAACCTTTTTTTTCCCCCTCCCTATAGGTCAGCAGAGCGTCGTCTGCCCTTCTGCGACACATCAAGTCGAAGCAGGAAGAAGAGGAAAAGAATGCGACCAAGAAGACCCTGATTGGAGACAATGACGAGGATGAAGAAGGCGCACCGCTTCACAACGAAGCCGTCTGGCTCGTCCTCACCACTAAGAAGCACGTCGTGGACAAGAACCGTTTGAAGCCCGGAAAAATCAGCATTCCTCACTCCCTCAATTCCTCGCCCTCTCTCAGCATTTGCCTCATCACCGCGGACCCGCAGCGCGCGGTCAAGAACATCGTTACCGACCCGTCCTTCCCTCAAGATCTCACCTCCCACATCGACCGGGTAATTGGCTTCTCGAAGTTGAAGAGTAGATACCAGAGCTTCGAGAGCCGGCGACAACTTCTCTCTGAACACGATGTCTTCTTGGCCGATGACCGTATCATTATGCGCTTGGTGAACACTCTTGGAAAGATTTTCTACAAGTCGAGCAAGCGGCCCATTCCGGTTCGCATTGCGGAGATCGAGAAGGTGGACGGTAAGAAGGTTAAGAAGGACCCGAAGCTGAAGAACAACAACTCGGATGAAAAGTCTAGCGCCTTCGCGTCACCATTGATCATTGCCAAGGAGATTGAGAAGACTTTGAGCTGTGCCCCTGTGCAGCTCGCCCCTGCTACTACAGCTTCCATTCGTATCGGTTCGTCCAAGTTCACCTCGGAGCAGCTTGCGCAAAATGTCGAAGCCGTGGTCAAGGGTCTGACAGAGAAGTTCATCACAAAGGGTTGGAGGAATATCAAGGCTATCCACGTCAAGGGCGCAAGCACCATGGCGATGCCAATCTGGCTTGCAAGTGAACTTTGGGTGGATGAGAATGATGTGTTGGAGAACAATGCCGAAGAGACCAAGGCCATCGACGGTGGAAAGAAGCGCAAGTCGACAGGCGACGACGAGAAGCTATTGGAGGACAGCAAGAAGTCCAAGAAGACCAAGGCCACTGAAGACAATGACGAGGCTGCATCGTTGGCTGTACGGAAACAGAAGCTTCAGCAGCAGAAAGAGAAGGCTTTGGAGGATGGCAAGGCCTCGATCAGTCAGAATACTGGAAACGCAACAAAAGCCAGCAAAAAGAAACAAAAGTCGACCACTTAATAATTCCCCCTTCCTGCGCAAGGTGTTCTACTGGTTGTATTTGTCGATTTGCAAGCACTATCAATGTATGTATGGGTTATATACGGCGGCGTACCGAATGTCACGTGTGTCAATTTCTCCGTACTTTCTTGGTTTTTTTTTTTTTTTCTTGTTAGAGTAGGGCGTGTTTATACCCCTTGGAGGAGAGCCAAAAGTTATTGCCATTGCAACTATAGCTAGAATAGCGTTTCATTATTGGCATTTCCATTGCCTTGGTTATTCTATCTTTCTGTACTATGTAGTTGTCTCATGCCGCGGGCCTCTTTAACCGAACCTCCGAGGATCGGCTGATCTTGGCGTTTCCGATGATAACCACCGCCCGCCGCCGCACGCCCATATCCGCAATCCGTTCGCAAGACCAGCGACATTTTCCAACGTCAACTTCACCTGAATCGCATTCCGCCCACCATGTTCCCAATTGCCAGAAGCTCTGTTCTGCGGGCTGCCCGCTCACAAATCTATCCGTCCCGGGCCTGCAATCAGCCCTCTCTCTCGGCACTCGCTCGTCTTCTCTCCACCTTGGCCGTTCTTGAACAGCGGGATGGAAAGCTCCAACAGTCCTCTCTCTCTGCCGTTGCAGCCGCGCAGAAGCTGGGGGGATCAGTTACAGCTTTTGTTGCTGGAAAGGGTGTGAAGGGAAGTGCTGCGGCTGAGGCGGCAAAGATTAAGGGCTTGGAGAAGGTTGTTGCTGTGGATAATGAGGCTTATGAAAAGGTAGGAACGATTGCGAATATGATGGATCTTTAAAGGGCTATATACTGACGAAGTCTTTGGCTAGGGGTTGCCTGAGAACTACGCTCCTCTGCTCGTCGACAACATCAAGTCCGGCGGCTTTTCGCACGTCCTCGCTGCTCACTCCGCCTTTGGAAAGAGTCTTCTGCCTCGCGTGGCAGCTTTGCTGGATGTGCAACAGATCTCAGATATTACAAAGATTGAGAGTGAAGACAGTATGTACTCGGAACGGGTTTGGAACTTCAAATTGAGTTATTTGGGTTATTGACGGTTGGCGCAGCATTCGTCCGCCCCATCTACGCCGGAAACGCTATCCTGACTGTCCAGTCGACTGATCCTACCAAGATCATTACCGTTCGGGGAACTTCTTTCCAGGGCATTGAGACCGAAGGTGGCTCTGCTGAGATCGTCGATGGTACCGACCCTAACGCCCCTGCCCTGACCGAATGGGTTTCCGAGGAGCTCACGAAGTCCGAGCGTCCTGACCTGGGCACCGCATCCCGCGTTGTCTCGGGTGGCCGTGGACTGAAGTCAAAAGAGGAGTTTGACCGCGTTATCGTGCCATTGGCCGACTCCCTGGGTGCTGCGATTGGTGCTTCCCGTGCTGCCGTTGACAGTGGATTTGCCGACAACAGTCTCCAAGTCGGTCAGACAGGAAAGAACGTTGCACCGCAATTGTATCTCTGCGCTGGTGTTTCCGGTGCTATTCAGCACCTTGCTGGTATGAAGGACAGCAAGGTCATTGCTGCTATCAACAAAGACCCTGATGCGCCCATCTTCCAGGTGGCCGATGTCGGCCTCGTCGGTGACCTCTTCGAGAAGGTCCCTGAGTTGACCGAGAAGCTCAAGAGCCAGACATAAGCTATCAGTTTTAGGTATATTTAGTCTTATGTATCATGATTATATCATTTTGTTTGGTTCTCTTCCTATAAGGCTTTTTTCTTGAATGCGGTATTCTACGAATGATACTGTATACATATTTCCTGAGATCCCCACGACTTCAGCATCACATCAGAGCAAACCATGGCACTATACAAGCAATACAATGGCCATTGACTGAACTGGACTAATTGTACTAATTTTCATACTTCGTATACTTATCACCTGACCTCACGCGGGGTTCTGATCCTAATTTGGATTAGCGTGTATCCTATCGCGGCGCGTCTCAACGCGTCGCATTATCGGATCCCGTGGGCCATCGAATTCAATTGCAATAGCAACAATCAATGTTCAGGCCCACTTATACGAGATGTTCCTATAAAACAAAGACCCAACGCTTTAATGACTACATCGTCTCCAACAGCACCTCTCTCCTCATTTGACCCGGCCCTACACCTTCACTCCGAAGAAGACTTCTCTGACCAGCAACTCCCCTCCGAATCCTTCTCCGACGATATTGAGGCGCTTCAACTTGTGCGCGAGGAGGATATCCGCAATAAAGTCGTTATACAGCATCGTGCATGGAATCTGTCTGATATCTTTCGGAGTGATGAAGATATAAGACCTGGTATGTCTGCATTGGAATGAGTGATCAAAATACAAGTTGATCTGACAAGTGAATAGATACTCCAACGAAATCTCACAGAAGGCCTCAACAATCTAATCTATTAGCTCTCTCATTTCCATCTTCCCCGCCTCCTGCGAAAATGCCTTTTCTAGACTCCCCGCTCCACGCGAGCTCGCCGACAGATGCGCAGAAGAGGAAGAACGATGAACACGATGAAACTCCACTGCCGACGGAACCTAAGCGGCAGAGAATTATGGGAGGATTTGTCGACGATGAAGATGAAGATGACGAAGAGGGATTAGCGGCTTTTGGTGATGCGCATATGGCTTCGCAATTCGACCTTCCGGAACATTCTGCAAAGCTACCGGAGGTCCCAGCAGCAGCACAACCACCATCACAGACAACTGCAACGTCTGCGCCTACACCTACAGCAACATCAATGGAAAACATTACGCAGCATGTTGAGGCACGTACAACCATAGTCACTACCTCACAGAGACCACCCCAGAGATTCAACATCAAAACGTGTTCAGGGAAGACACACAACGTCTCAATAAGAACAACAAACCCACCAATTAGCTATGAGAAACTTGTCGCTGGACGATCAACAACAGCCCCTGGAAGGGCCCAGAAGAGCTATTACGGAGTGGAAATTCACAGACTACTGGACGAAGCTGCCAAGGAAGCTGCTCAATCGAGGACTTCAGCACAATCTGCCCCAACAGTACAGCCCTCTATCGAGCCCCCGATGGAGAACCAGAAGAAGCAGAAACTGGCACATGCGATGTGGACTGAGAAATACCGCGCTCGCAAATTCACAGAGCTCATTGGGGATGAGCGGACACATCGATCGGTATTGCGATGGTTCAAAGGATGGGATCCTATTGTCTTTCCGGGCCTTGCGAAGCAGAAAAAGCTCTCAAGGTCAGGGAACTACAATGATGACGAGGAACGGACTCACCGCAAAGTAATGCTTCTTTCCGGGCCTCCCGGTCTGGGAAAGACGACACTAGCGCATGTCTGCGCGAGACAAGCTGGCTATGAAGTACTAGAAATCAACGCTAGTGACGATCGAAGTAGGGACGTTGTAAAAGGGCGGATAAGAGACGCACTCGGTACCGAAAACGTCAAAGGCATGAACGTGGAAGTTGGCGAAAACAAGGTCCGCAAGGTTGGACGACCTGTCTGTGTCGTGGTCGACGAAGTGGACGGAGTTGTCAGCGGATCGAGCGGTGGAGGCGAAGGAGGTTTCATGAAGGCATTAATCGACCTTGTTCTTCTCGACCAGAAGAATTCGAACCGGTCAGCCCAATCAAATGGGAGCGATGGAAAGAAAAGGAAGGGCGATAAATTTCGATTCCTCCGCCCTCTGGTTCTGGTCTGTAATGATGTCTATCACCCCAGCTTGCGGCCGTTAAGGCAATCGTCTATTGCTGAGATGATCCACGTTCGTCAAGCACCTCTGGAGAACGTTGTATCACGCATGAAGAATATCTTCACAAGAGAAGGTATTCTATATGAGAATGATAGCGTGAGAAGACTTTGTGAAGCATCTTGGGGTCTTTCCGGCAAGAAGCAGGGCAGCAAGAGAAACACCGGGACGGCCGAAGGTGACATACGAAGTGTATTGGTATCCGGCGAATGGGTTGCCTACAAGCTTCGAAATGAAAGCGCATCCTCTCTAAAGCTAACTCGTAGTTGGCTTGAACAGAGAGTGCTCAATGGTTCTACCGAGAGCGGTTCATTCTTCAAAGGGTTAAACCGTGGAGGTGTACGCGACATTGTTGATCGTGTTTTTACAGAGGGAGCTGGTTTCTCCGATGCCCCTGTCGGTCATGACTCATTCCATGATCCTTTTGTGGATTCCAGCAAAGCTCCCGTGGGCGTTGCAGATCTCAAGAAACGCCATGCGATTAGCCGATTATGCGAAATGGTTGACGCCAGCGGTGACCATGACCGCTGCGTCTCTGAATGCTTTGCTTTATATCCGATCCAGTCGTACCAGGATGATAACTATCTGTCCAAACCCAATACTGCATACGAATGGCTCCACTTTCACGATGCGATATCGTCCAAGGTGTACTCTAACCAGGATTGGGAACTTGGTGCATATCTGAGTCATTCCGTGGCCGCCTTTCACCACCTATTTGCATCTGCCCGGGGTAAATCCAGTCACCCAGAGAACAATGAAGAAGAGGAAGAGCACCCGTTCTCGGGCCCCCGAGCGGATTTCTCCGCCTTTGAAGCCCAGAAACAAAACCGCGCAATCCTCACAGGATTCCAAAGTTTGCTTTCTCCACCATTAACACGGCTCTTCCGATCAACTGAGAGCGTGATCGTCGACCTATTACCGAATCTCATGCGGATATTATCACCCGACGTGAAGCCGGTCATCGTCAGAGGAAGCGGGGAGTCGAAGAGCGTAGCCAGCGTCCGCAAAGAAAGTGAGCGGGCACTAGTTCTAGCAGCTGTGCGGGCTATGATGGGACTAGGAGTCACATTTGAGAAGATACGAGTGGAGAGTGAGGGTGGTGCCCATGGCGGATGGGCGTATCGGATGGAGCCGTGAGTCATCGCGATCTAACCTAATTTGGACCCCGAAGGACATATACTAACAAAGACAATCTAGACCGCTGGATACCCTCGTAACTTTTGCCAAAATGAAAGGGAGCTCAACTTCTTGCACAAGCGGGTCCGCACCGGTCCGGTACGCAGTTCGTCAAGTACTCGACCAAGAATACCGCAAAGAGACCCTTCGCAAGCAATCCGAAGCACTCAATACTTCCGCAGTTAGCACAAAGGCCAAGGAATCAAGTCGCAATTCCGGCGACGGAACAGGCAAGAATGACGCAGACTCGAAAGACAAAGACCCACTGAAAGATGTCGGAGTCAAGCGCGACTTTTTCGGAAGAGTCATCCAGGAATGGACCCCTGCATCGACAGATTCTGCTGATGGTGGTCAGCCTGTACAGAATGAATTATCCAAGGCGGGGAGGAGAGTATGGGTTACTTATCACGATGGATTCTCAAATGCAGTCCGGAAACCGATTTCAATGGGAGAGTTGTTGGCGGGGCTTTAACAACACATGCCTCCCTACAGTGCCTTATGATCTAGAATACAGTTAATGACAACATGTTAATGATTTATTGCCATATAGAGTTAGCATAGACAATTGGCCAATGCCCAAGGATCTCCCGGCAATCATAAGGCGCGCCCTTTATTGACAATAGAGTCATGATCGCTTCGTGTGAATCACAGGGCGGATGGTCGGTGAATTTTCGAGTATAAATAGTGTGATCTATCTGCATTGAATACGCAATTGCGATCTACATATCTTTCAGCTGGATGTCCATTATACATCCTTCTGCTACTACCACTACTACTAATACTATTACTATGCCGTTACTGTCGTGCGACTTCATCAAAACTTCCGCGAAATCGATGTCGACTCATTAGATCTACGAACAACAAATCTACCGGCTAATTTATCTCTTATCCAAACCCCCTATTCTCGATGGTCTCCATTGGCTTATCCAAATTGTCCGAAACGTCTACATATACAGCCATGTCTACATCGACATCGACACGCAACCGCAACCCCCTCCGCAACCCCCTCCGCAACCTCTTAACCTACCTCCACCGCAAAAAGACACCGGAAAGCCAAATACAGGAGCGCAACCATAGTATTGCGTCAACTAGTACGTGTGTTGGCTCCGAGTTCCAGCCGCATGGGAATTGCAAGGACATAAGGAAAAAGCATGGAAATAGAAACCAGGAGAATATCTCGAAGCAAGCTTTGCATCATGAAGCGATAGCGACGAGTTTGGCGTTGAAGTAATCAATCCTTTTCTAGATTATGGCACAGACATTGTACATATCTGAGGTGGAAAAATCTTAATGTCTTGCTTCAAAATTACTGAGCCATATATCAGACTCGGTCTATATCTGATATAGTAAGCCTGATAGAAGTTCTTTAAAGCTAGGCCCTGACACAGGACGACTGATGGCGAAAATTATAGAAGAGACGGGGTGCATGAATGAGTGATGCCAGAGGCTAAACGATAGATGGATGATATAAAGGAAAGATAATAAATTGATTGTTAACTAGAATACGGGTGGGCAACATGGCCATATTTATAGATCATCGCGTAAAGCATCTATCCAGTATGGCCCATATAGTTGGAAAAAAAGCAGCCATGTACTTTTGAACACAGTCAAAAATATACCTGCAAAAATAACATAAATCAAGAAATATTGGGAATGGAACTATCTTCTCACGTAAGATGATAAAATGATACCTCAACGGGCTCTGCCCTCCAGAACAAGAAAATACTCATGAAACTCTGGTAAGATTCCGAATAACCACTTCTTAGTTGTATAAATCGAATTCAATGTCTCTTCAGGCTCTTTGTGATCAACAAAGAAGTTGTTATCAACCCCACAAACCAATACCGTGGATGCATCAAATCCGTTGAACAAGAAACCGCGCAATTTTGCATCTCGAACATAGGATATTGGCGACGCTTGGATAATATCATCAGCATTTACCCTAATTAAATTGAGATTGATCATGTCAATGGGGAATCTAAAAGTTGATGTACTCGCCATAATAGCAGCTGGGTGAGAACTCATGATCCCATATACATCGCTGGTTATTTTGAATTTGAGACATGTCACAAGGCCAGTGGCTAGTCCCCACTGGCGATAGTTTTTGTGAACTGCTAGTTGAATAACCCAACAGCTAATCTTGTGGTCATGTTCTAGCGAGAAGCGAAGACATTCTCAGCGAATTTGCCATCGACAGTTACCTTGACATAGCGGGATTTTGAGGGGTCAGGGAGGGTTTACTCTCGTAGTTGGTGTGTATTGAACTTGATACGCTTTCTTAGAGAGCTTCGGCAGCGAGAAAGTAGAGAATAAGACGGGGAACTGACTTGGGCTGTGTGGATGCTTACCCCAAATCCCGTAGTGTTCACCGAAGAATTTCGCAGCCTCATCAAGAATACCCTCTGATTTGATGGCCGGTAAAGATTTAATATAGCACCTGCTTGGATATTTTTGCTGTTTGAATCAAATAAGATAAATTAGATAAGACGGCTATGATCCGAGTAACACGGATAGGGCTGCATATCATCGGTCAGATAGGTATAAGTGAAGAAAGTAACTACAGCAAAACCTGGTTAGAATGAAGAACTAGATCCTCAGGTTAACGAGGAATCATGATTTCCTGAAATAAATTTCCATATAATTAACGAAAAACTTCGCTACCTCTATAGCGAGTCTCGTTTGATCGCCATTGATCTGCCCATACAAAATCTCGCTATGTTGAGGGCCAGTGGGGACATGTATGGCCAATAAGAAGTCTCCATACTAGTGGCCGTAGGCCTAGAAATCCCTGGATTATTCCTGCCCATATGCCTATACCCATGCCCATGGCCCAGCGCAGCTCTATTTAATAGATATTATAGGAGATAGCATGCTAAAAGAGTAATTTGTTATCCCATGCAAGTTAGATATGTATAAGTATGTGTTACATGGCCAAAGTTGATTTCAGTACTAGCATAGTACTATTTGGGTGCAAATATATATTTTTTGACACTGCGAGATCCTCACATTTACGAGATTTGGACCTTATCACTTTATCTCGCTGTAACCAAGTTTTGCTGTAACCATGAACGACATATAGAACAGGAATAAGAAGCAATTCGGGCATCAATATCGACCTTCTTCGCTAAGCGCTCATGTAGATCGTATTCCGCTTATTTCTATTCTCCGTGCCAATAATCCTAATAGTAAAGCCAACACAATGCAAGTTGCTAATCCTTTCCGCTTTTGCCAGTCTTAAGCGCCGCCATGAACAAGGCTGACCGGGTGATGGTCAACCCGGAGGGGTTCAACTGGGGAAAGAAACATAAATATCAGAGACTGATATCCCTATGTTCTCAAGACTTTCTTCCTTCTTTTCTTTTTGCTTCCCCCCCTCATTCTATCTATCTATAAAAATATAAATATATATATATATATATATTTAATTTTTACTTTTGTCCATGGTTACTGCTATCACCGGTATACATTTGCGCAATTAATATTCACCACTAATGGCAAAGCAAGCAATACACAAAGTCTTTGCACTCGACAAATCCTCAAGCCCCTCCAAATCGAAACCGCAGCCTCAGGAGTCAGAGTCATTCAATGCACCCCAAAAGGAAGAACCATTCAGCTGGACTGGATCGTGGGCACCGGAGATTGTAGCTGCCGTATTCAGTACGGTTTGCATCGCTATGTTGATTGGCTTCCTGATTTACATTTATGATAGGCCGTATGCCACCTGGGGATATCGCGTTTCCCCCAACGCAATCATATCGATAATCGTCACCGCCGCAAAAGCAACAATGCTCGTTTTGGTACCGTCGTGTCTTAGCCAGTTGAAGTGGAACCAATATCAGACACCAACGCCGCTATATAATATGCAGCTTTATGATCAGGCCAGCCGTGGGGCCTGGGGCTCTTTTCAGATTCTTTGGAGGATAACCCCGGGGCTAGCAACTATGGGCGCGCTGCTTATGATACTGTCTCTGGCCATTGATCCATTTGCGCAACAAATACTGGCCTTCCCCACGCGGAGTGTACTGGCTTCCAACGAAACGGCTTTTGTCCAAGCCGCGCATACATATGGGAAGGCACAAGGACGTACAGCATGGGAAACAATAAAGAACGTCAGCTCGGATTATGACCTGAGCCCCTCAATGAACGCTGCTATCCTGAACGGGCTTGCTCAGAACAATGAGCCCCTCAAGCCGCAATGTTCATCAGGGGATTGCCAATATCCTGACTTTGTGACATTGGGCTTCTGCAGTCGATGCCAGGATATCACCAGCCAGGTTAATCAATCCTGTAAGGTTGATCCCTCATTAACGAAAGTGCAATCAAAGTTTGGATGGTCGGATGTTATATTGCAGGCTCCAGAGAATTGCACATATATATTACCAGATGGGTACGAGTTTCTTGCTCAGACGATGGAAGCTAATTATAACTTCACCGTGTGGGAAATGGGGCTACATAATACACCGGTCCTCAGCACCAAGCGTCAGAAGTGGATGTCCTTTATCAGGGGAGACGGAAGATCCCCTGCTCTTGGAATACAAAAGCCAGTTTTGACCTTCATTTCATCAAGATATGCGAACGAAATCAATATATACACACGGGACAATTACACGACGCCCGAGAAGAAACCAGACATAAGTATGTGTACGATATATGCGTGTGAAAAGCAATACAAAAACAACGTTTACTCGGGAGGCAACGGCCGCCTTCGGGTCGACAAGGAACAACAACTGGGACCGAATGTCAACGCAAGTGACCCTAATATTTCGCAGATCACATTAGTCCCACCTGATCAAACGGAGCAGCTATCCCCGAATTCCAGTTATTCCATCGAAAGCTACACCTGGAGCAAAATAGAGTCAGCCATGCTTGGATTATTCAAATTGGATAATATTCTGATGGACGGTCTAAACATGATGGCTGCCACCATCATGGGCGGGATTAATGACGCTGATGCAACGATGGATGCAATGACTACCAGCATGACCGACATTTTGCGTACAGACACTACCACAGGTTTTACAATCCCTGGGAAAGCCTTGCGGCATGAAACATACATAAAAGTGAGGTGGCCTTGGATCATTCTCCCAACACTTGCAGTTCTTTTTTCGATCATGCTATTTATAGCCACCGCGACCACAAGCCGCAGGTCAAATATGATGTTGTGGAAAGATTCCGTGCTGCCGTTGCTTATGTCTCGACTTCGGACAGATTCGGCTGAGGATATTGAGTCTCTGTCCAAGGTCGACGAAGTGGAGCGCGTTTCGAAGCAGATCAAAGTTGTTGGTGGAGAGAAGGGCTCCCCTCTCGTGTTTTCTGAGGTCAAGGATGGGTTTCATTAAATCTGTTGTGGCACCTTGTTGGTCTAGAGGTATATACGAGTTCCACTTTCACGCAAAATCTCTTGATTGTCGTTGCGGATGGTGCTGTGAATACATATCTTGGTGTTAGTGATACGGGCATGCTAGACAAGAGTTGGCTTAATTTCAAAAGCATTTTGTATATAATTCATCAATTCGAACATAACCTATTGTCTACTTCTCTACTCCATGCGCTCATTTCCGCGTCCCAGTGGTACTCAACGAACACACGAACACACTTAATCAACTCTCCGCAATTTGTCAGCTCTCGGAATGATAGCGAGCTTGATGCGGAAGACGAAGCCGTGATTACAGAGCAGAGCTTATATTGAATTCGGAGTTGTTCTTTTTGCTTCTCCATCGCAGTGCGGGGCATCGGCTATGCTGTATCCGCCGAGATAGCATATAAAGACGACATACTGTTCCCTCAATCCATTTCTCCCTAGTCCTCACGGAATAATATCCCAATATATACCATTACCCTCAATTGCAACCAATTGAACAAAGACTCCACAATGTCTCTTAAACCCATTGTTCTTTACAGCCACGCCACCGGTCCCAACCCGTGGAAGGTGACCGCCATCCTCGAAGAACTCAAGCTCCCCTACGAAACCAAATTCCTCCAATTCCCCGAAATGAAACAAGATCCCTTCGAGAAACTCAACCCCAACGGCCGTGTCCCCGCCATCGAAGACCCCAACACCGGTATCTCTCTCTGGGAATCTGGCGCTATCGTCGAATATCTTGTCGAAACCTACGATAAGCAAAACACCATTAGCTTCGCCGCTGGTTCCCCCGAGTACTTCCAGGCGAAGCAGTGGCTGCACTACCAGATGTCCGGACAGGGTCCATACTTCGGACAGGCCGTATGGTTCAGTGTTTTCCACCAGGAGAAGATCCAGAGTGCCATCGACCGGTATCTGAATGAGATCCGGAGGGTGTCGGGTGTGTTGAACAAGGAGTTGGAGGGTAAGGAGTATCTCGTTGGGGGCAAGTACAGCTATGTTGACGCGGCTTTCGTGCCGTGGTATGTTGCCATTGGGGCACGACTTGCTGGTGCCGTCGACGTGGCTAAGGACTTCCCTAACCTGAATGCTTGGTTGGAGAGGGTTAAAGCTAGGCCCGCGGTGACTAAGACTTTCCAGGACAGAGCTGCTGTTATTGCTCAGCACTAAGCGTCTCGGATTAAATAATGCTGTATATTCTGGAATCCTGCCACGAAAAGCAATCGTGTATGTAAATATGTAATGGTTAACGATTGATTATGTTGCAATAATAATGTATAGTTCTGTATTTGTATTCCGTAGCTGAGACGGTGTTCCGGATACAGCTGCTTGACGAAGAACCGGAGCGCAAGGCCATTATTGTCGATAATACCAGAGTCGTAGTAAACAGAACAGGGGCCATAAGCCCCATTAATAGAGAGAAAACAAGCGAAGTTGTGAAAGAAGACAAAAAGATATGGCGCTAACTTAAACAGGTTAGCGCACATCTCGGTCTTGGCGCGAACTTTTGGGCGTGTCGCGACCGAATGCGCTGCTTTCCCCAGCCAACCTCAACCCTCGTTGCTGCCGGCCTTTGAATAACATCGCCGTTTATTCGATTCCTTGCCTGTTCTATCTGGAGATAGAGCCACCGTGCTTTGTCTTTTGCAGCAGCTGTTTAAGCGCTGCCTTTTGCACCCGGTCCTTTCCCTACGAAGCCGACAGTAATTTCTTGAAGACGAGGCAAAGTGCCTTGAACAACCCGTCTGCGACTCTCATTTCGATACCAATCACCTCTCGCATACTATGGAAGACAATTCAGTTCTTTCGGGCGCTGCCGATGATGCCCACGCCGTCGCTCAGGATGCCCCCGGTGATGTTGTTGCGCCCAGTGGTAAGTAACCCTTTTTCCCACCCATCCATCCACTTCTCGCGAGAAGACATGCAGATTGCCAACATTTGTGCCATCCGTACAGGATCGCAATCGCATCAAGGATCGCCGGTTAAAAAGGCCGAAAGTGCTTCCGGAACTGATAACCCGCTAGATGCGCCTGCATCTCCCAAGCCCCAGAACGCCAACGCTGAGCGCGAAGATGAAGAAATGGGCGGAATGGAAGACGCGAAGAAAGAACCCGATACTGGTGATGAAACCGGGGAGGGCTCAGTTCCGTTGGGTGTGGATGGTGCTGCTGACCCAGCGCAGGCCAAGGCGTCGCTTGAGGCTTCTGCTCGTTCACATCTCGTTTCGCAGACACATGCAATTATTCTCCCAAGTTATTCCACATGGTTCGATATGCACACTGTGCACCCCATTGAGAAGAAGGCTTTGGCAGAGTTCTTCAATGGTCGGAACCGCAGCAAGACACCCGCCGTTTACAAGGATTACCGAGATTTTATGATCAACACTTACCGATTGAATCCTATTGAATACCTCACTGTCACGGCTTGTCGCCGTAACCTCGCCGGAGATGTCTGCGCTATTATGCGGGTACACTCTTTCCTCGAGCAATGGGGGTTGATCAACTACCAGGTGCGTTTTTCCCTGAATTATGGACACGACTTTGGTAAATGCTTACCGGAAACAGGTGGACCCCCAAACGCGTCCTTCCAACATCGGTCCTCCGTTTACTGGCCATTTCCGAGTAGTTGCCGACACCCCGCGTGGCCTTCAGCCTTTCCAACCCGGCCCCAACCACACAGTTACCCCGGGTAAGCCTCACCCGGCCACTGACCGTGCCGCTTCCTCCACTCCTGCTTCCAAGGCAGACCTCAATCTCGAACTTCGCCGGAATATCTACGACGACAAGGGCAAAGAGATCACACCAGCTACAGAGGACAAAGACAAGCAGGCCAACGGGGAAGGCGCTAATGGTACCGATCCCACCAAGGCACTGGAGAACGCTGCTCGGGAACCTAGAAAGAAGGCCCACTGCTTCTCTTGTGGAATTGACTGCACTCGTCTCCGGTTCCATTATGCCAAGTCGGCACCCGCCGCTGGAAACAACGCCCCGAACTCGAAGTACGACCTGTGCCCCAACTGCTTTTTGCAGGGGCGCATGCCTTCGAGCCACAGCGCTTCGGATTTCGTCAAGCTTGAGGACAATGAATACTCGATTGCTCAAGATAAGGAAGCTCCTTGGAGCGACTCGGAGCTTGTCCTGCTCCTCGAAGGATTGGAGAACTTTGACGACAACTGGGAGCAGATCGCCAACCACGTGGGCACAAGGACAAAGGAAGAATGCGTGATGAAGTTCTTGCAGCTTGAGATCGAAGACAAGTACGTTGAAGACATGCCAGATCTGCGCAACCTTCATGGCCGGGATCCCATCAGCCATGCCGAAAACCCAGTTTTGTCCGTCGTCGCATTCCTCGCTCAAATGGCAGAGCCATCAGTGGCAGCCGCAGCCGCAGGGCGCTCTGTGGAAGAAATCCGCAAGGAACTCAAGAAGCAGCTCGGGAAGGGTTCGGGTGAAGAAAAGGCCCAGGACAAGGGCAAAGAGAAGGAGGGTGAAGCTACGAAGACAGAAGACTCCATGGAGGTGGATACCTCCCGCGCAGAGATCGAGACAGCATCCAAGGCATCCCTCCCTAACGTTGCTCTTGCAGCCTCCGCAGCGCGTGCTGGAGCCTTGGCCTCGCACGAAGAACGGGAAATGACCCGTCTCGTCTCCGCCGCCGTCAATGTCACTCTCCAGAAATTTGAGATTAAGCTCCAACAATTCAATGAGATGGAAGAGATAATCGAGGCTGAACGCCGGGAACTCGAACAAGCTCGCCAGCAGCTCTTCTTGGACCGAATGGCCATGAAGAAGCGTGTCAAGGATGTCCAAGACTCGTTGCAGTCCATCACCCTCAAGGGTCCGAGTGATGATGCCAACGCAATGATCGCTGATGCAGCAGCAGCAGGTATGGGTAACCGGTACAATTTCCAGCCCGTTGGCGGCGATTTCAGAACCGGTGTTCAACCATGGAGTGCTGAGGCAGGTGCCGATTTCAAGACATTCGATCTATAAACGGTACCGTTATATTATCACAGATAATATCAGAAAATGACATGTATGAAACGGGTTTCGTCGTTATACTGACAGGGAATTTCTTCATTTCTTTCTTATTTTATCATGTACTATACCATGTCCCAAGGGAGCAGAGGTCAGACAGTGATCTTTCTGGACTGGACCTGGATAGATGAGACGGGAGTATGAATGACTCGGTTGGGGATGGTTCATCTTATTTATCTTCATTTCCGTTTCATTTTTCATAGGAAAAGGCGCAATGTTTTGTTTGTTTGGAGTTACGAGCTATCTTATAATGCTATTCTTCTGATTAACTTCTGTCCCGTACCAATGCGATCCTATTCTATTACATCTTATCGTCTAGGATGAAATGAACAGGCTGAACCAAATGCAAATCTAATCCAACTGGGATATATGCAATAATCCAGAACTCCAAGACGATATCTATTCCCTTTTAACCACACCGTGCTCCTGTCTTGTCTGCTTGTAATAATAGGGCGCATCATTACCATACTCAGATGATAAATGGTCATGTTGGTTAGACGATATGCTTCCTTCCTCGTCTGTACTTTCATCACCTTCTTCTTTGGGTCCGGTGTTATTCTCGGATGCATTCGCAGCAGCAGTAATGTTCGGTTTGCGTTCTGCTTCAGTGTTTTCACCGTCGGATTCAGATTCTGAGCTTGAACCTCAGTATTCTGAGGGGTTGTGCTTGATTCTTTGGTGGTGTTCTTGAGATCTGCTAGGGATATTGGGTTTCTGCTCGGTTCCGGTGCTTTCTGATTCTGAGTCTGAGTGCTCTGACGCCTCCTGCTTCATGGTGCTTTGCTGAGACTGGTGACCGCCATTGGATTCGGATTCTGAGCCGGAAGATTGTGATATTGATCTTGAACCTTCGTCTTCATTCCCTGACAGATCGTATTTGATGACCTGCTGGGGCGGTCTGAAATCGTTTTCTGATCCGTATTCGGACTCGTTCGAGTCTCGAGATACGTCTTGGTCTTGCAGTTCCTCTTCGTCATCTCGGATGATAGGTTTCTGATCAACATTTTCCTCAACACCAATGGAGTGAACAGGTTCCTCATACTCGTCCATATTTTCACCACTATCCTCTTCTTCGTTTCCGTCCTCGCCCTTGTGTTGGGTAGCGCGAGTGTTCACTTCTTCAACTTCCCCACCGTCACGGCTATCCATTTCATCCATCTCAACATCCGCATCATCGTCAGAAACAGTTCCAACAGAAGAAGCAGGTATAACGGACTCTTTGACGATCCGTCGTCTTTTCCGTCGGTTTTCTGATAACTCCTCATATACATCAAAGACATCATTTCCGTATTCCTCCCATTCACCGCGGTAGAGAGTCCTATTGCGCCAGTCGACAAGATCTTCCTTTGTCTTGCGCTCTCCGGTCGGTTTTCGTAATGTTTCTAGGTCTTCGTTTTCGGGCTTAATTTCCGGATAGAGATTAACTGGTGCTGGATGGCCTAGGACTCTCCAAAGGCGTTGTTCTTCTATGTTGCTTGCTTTTTGGTCAACTGCTTCTGCGTGTTCGTCTTCGGAAGTTAAGTATAGTTGTTCTTCTGGTATCGGGTCGGAGGAGGAGCGGACGTCTGAGAGGACGGAGTCGTTATCATCGTTATCTGTCTCATCGCCTATGTGTTCCCGACTTGATTTTGATTTGTCTTTCTCATCAGAAGACTTGGGTAAGTCCCCAGATAGATAGTCCTCCACTTCATTATGGCTCATTCGGGCATTCTTCCAACCCTTCTGATGCCTCGCATCCATAACATCCAGATGGCATCTTCTCGCCAGCCCAATCCAGTAGTCTGACCGATCCTGCTTCATGTTGAGTACATCAAGTGCAGTCCTAACATCCCGGGATTTCACTAGTCTGGCCTTCCGACGGCCGCCAGAATCCCTCATCTGGCGTATTCGTGACATGGCGAAGAACAGTGATGAATGAACTAATCGCCGTGTAAGACCTATGGCTATGGAGTAAAATTCTGTGAACGCGTCTGCGGTTATTGAGGGGGTTTCGCCTGGATAGGCGACCTTGGTCCAGTTGTCTGGGAGTCGGGAACCGCTGGGGTTCATGAAAAAGCGTTCAGAGAGGCGGATCCATTTTGACATGATAAAAAGACTTGCAGAGAGGTGGACTGGCGAGTTTGTGGGGACGGCCAGGAGTTCTCTCTCTTCACTATCTTCCTCGCTTTCTTCGTCTTCGCTTTCTGCATTTTCTGCTGTGTCTGTTTCCTTATCTATTTCTTCATCAGCGGTTTTCTCGTCAATTTGCTCATCTATCTCCTCTGCCTTCCCTCGATCAATAATCCACGTATCGTAGTGCCTCTTCCTCCCAGCAACATCCTCTAGGTACTGCTCCTCAAGACACAAAAGCTCCGAATATTTGTCAAGTACCCTCCCACATTTCCCCTCAACCTCTGTAGCTGCCGGAATATCGCCTAAAATAACCGTGCGCGTATGACGATCCCTCAGGTGTTGCCGTTCTAGACCCTTGTGCAAAAGTTTGAGATGTTCCTGAACCTCAAGTTCTGATTTGGTACCGATGGCTTGTGCAATTTCCTTTATCCCGTTCTTGCCTTTCTTGTCCAGTAGATCGAAGAAGATCTCTTTTTCCTGGGTGGTCCATATCACGATTCCGTTTTGCGTGACGTTGTAATTCTCATTGCCACCAACTTCGGATTTAACTGAGGAAATGCCGCTATTTGTATCTTCGAGAAGCTCCGTATAAGCTCCTACCGATTCATCGGGGAGCTGTTGGCGCAAGTTCCAGTACGCCGTCTCCCGCGCCCTATTGCGAGCTTTCCGGCGTTCTGATCTGGATGCACTTCGACGAAGTTTGCGTGCAGAGTACTCCGTGCCATACGATCGCGAAGAGGGTGTTGCTGAAGATCTTGTAGTGGTTGATCGCCTCGTTTCGAACTCGGAATCAGAGGCGTCTTCGCTTTCCTCGGGGTGGTAACTGCTGGAGCTGCTCATCGTTTGACAAGGGTTGGTGCAGGCAGCGCGGGACTTGGAGGGCAGCTGAGGACATCACAACTGTTCCTGGAGAATTTGAAAGCTAGTGCGCATCACATAAATGCAATTAGACTGGTAAAAAAGAGTTTGTAGAGAAAGTGACCGTTTTGACTTATCGCAAGAATATTTCTGATAAGGCTGTATGTTTGCACTGTTTGTTTCGGAGGATCATAGACACTCCGAAAACTATCACCTACTTTCTTTGAGCAATCATGATATAACCAAGATCGTCTCCATGACACTCGGATGGACGTTATCCGACATAGATTGGGGACTTTACCCATTTCACGCATTCTCGCCGTGAGGACGCGAACGCCCGTATCAACGCCGTTACGATGGGCACGAGCACCACCGCAGCGAAAGCTCTGGCGTCCGAAATCCATGCTTACCATTCCTTTGCATAGACCTACAGAGCCGGAACAGCCAAGCATAGTCCTCCGCGATTACCAGGAAGAATGTATACAGTCTGTTCTAAGATATGTGGATGAGGGGCATAAGCGACTGGGGATATCTCTTGCGACGGGTGCTGGGAAGACGGTAGCTCATACTTCCTTCCAAAAGAGATCAGTTACTGATAATGACTTTGGCTAGGTCATTTTCACACAACTAATCGGCCGAATTCCCCCTCGCAATGAATATGGCGACAAAACCCTCATTATCGTTCATCGTCGCGAACTCGTCGAACAAGCAGCCCACCACTGCCGCCTCGCGTACCCCGACAAAACTGTCGAAGTCGAAATGGGAAACAGTCATTACAAGGGCCACGGAGATATATGTGTAGCTTCAATTCGAAGTCTGATGTCTGGTGATCGTATAGAGAAGTTCTTCCCGGGCCGATTCAAGCTCATCCTCGTCGACGAGGCACATCACATCGTTGCGAAATCATACCGCGAGGTGCTGGGATATTTCGGGCTGAATGAGCCAACAGAGGACTCGCCTGTGTTAGTCGGTGTTTCTGCGACATTTTCGAGGCCGGATGGGTTGAAGCTGGGTGCGGCGATTGATCATATCGTTTATCATAAGGATTATATGGATATGATTGATGAGCGGTGGCTTGCCAATGCGGTTTTCACGACTGTTCGGTCTGACGCGAATCTCTCAAGGGTTAAAAGGGACAAGTCGGGGGATTTCCAGCTTGGGTCGCTTTCTCAAGCAGTTAATACCGATAGCACAAATAACATCACTGTTCGTGCGTGGTTGGCCAACGCGCATGACCGAAGGTCGACACTCGTGTTCTGCGTGGACATAGACCATACAAAGACGTTAACCGAAACGTTTCGCCAATATGGAATCGACGCGCGATATATCACCTCCAGAACCTCCAAAGACGTCCGGGCAGAACAACTCCGAGCATTCAGAAACCAAGAATATCCCGTCCTAGTGAACTGTGGTCTCTTCACAGAAGGCACAGATATCCCCAACATCGACTGCGTATTACTAGCAAGACCAACCCGATCCAGAAATCTCTTAATTCAGATGATAGGTCGCGGTCTGCGTCTCTTCCCAGGGAAAGAAAACTGCCACATAATCGACATGGTCGCCACCCTTGAAACAGGCGTCCTCTCCACCCCAACCCTATTCGGCCTACACCCAGACGAAGTCCTCGAAAAATCTACCGTAAAACAACTCCGCGAAACCAAAGACGAACAACTCGCACGCATCGACCACGAAGCGCGAGAAGAAGAACGACGTGAAAACGACACCAAATCACCCCTTGGAAGCGATAAAGATCCGTCTTTAAACGAAGACATCAACATCAAATTCACCCGCTACGACAGCATCACAGACCTCCTCGGTGACATGCGCAGCGATAAACACATCCGCTCTCTATCGCAGCACGCCTGGGTCCGTGCCAGCGACGACCGCTACGTCCTCTCGGGCCTAAATGGCTGGGTAACTATCGAAAAGGGGAGTTCCGATCCCCATGCTGGAGGTAGACTAAAATCACTACACACAAAAACCACCTCCTCAATCCCCGAATCAGATGAGTTATACACAGTCCACCACGTAACCAAATTCCAAGGCGCCGCAGGCGAACACCACTACTCGCGCCCCCGACTCATCGCCCAAGCACCTAACCTCGAATACGCTGTCGACTCCGCTGATACCTTCGCCGCATCTACATTCCCAAAACACTATATCTCTGCGCGCCAACCATGGCGCAATGCCCCCGCTACAACCTCTCAGCTTGACATGCTTAACCGCGCAAATCTGAAGAGCGGGAGGCGGTTGCAGTCGGGCCATATGACACGCGGGCAGGCGGCTGATATGATTACGAAGTTGAAATTCGGTGGGAAGAAGAGGTTCAATGCGATGATGAAGCAGAGGTTGAAGAAGGAGGAGAAGGTAAGGGAGGTTAGGGAGATGAGGAGGACGGGGGTGGGGATTGACGACGTTAGGGTTGGGCCGGTCATGGCCTGGGAGTGAGAGCTTTACTCTACTGTATTACATATGACGAGAAAGCACGATACCAATGAAGCATTGAAAGGATACTCTAGAAAGCAGAGGAAAGGTGCATATTATGTATCACTATCAGAACCGTACATGGCATGAAATCTATGTCCAAATCCAACGGACCACACGCAGAAACGCAATGATGAAGAAAACAACCTTATGTACAGATATATTACCAGGGAACAGAAAAAAGAGACCCCAGAACGAACAGGAAAGGAAAGCGAAACCATAAACAAAAAACAGCAAGCGGTTGCAATGCTAGACGCCCACTCTTAAGAGAAACAAAATGATCCGTATCCTGTACAGACCGATGACAGACAGGTAAGAATATCAATACCGCTCCAGAAAAAAACTCCGTATAAGCAATGGTGACATGGCACCGGTGGATGAAAATAGACACGGAAAGCGTACAGTTAAATAAGATAGAGTAAAATCAGATGGGAAGAAATGAAGATTTAAATGAAGAGTCAATGACTATGGCTTTTTCTTAACGTGACTTCCTTCTCCCTCGGACATACTGGAAGAAAATTCTTCTCCTTCCAGAATACGCCATAGTCGTCGAACGGAGAAGCCACTGCTGAAGAGGTAGATACCAATCAGCCATGCAGAAAAGATGTTCGCGAGGTGATGGAGGAGGTAGGCGTAAGAAACGCCATAGACGGCTGAATAGATGGCGATAGAGAAGAGAATGGTGGATGTGATGTGTTTGAATCTGGTGATGTTAGATAAGAGCAAGGATCTCGGGAATTGCGATACATACCGATTTGTCACACGGGGGATCATGGCCCCACTGGTCAGTGTCTCGACAAGAAGGATAAACGGCATGATGGATAGAACATTATGGTGTGATGAGAACGGCATCAACCAATGGACAACAAGGTTGTGAGCCCAGACTAGGAGGACCAGTGCGTTGATTGGTAGGATCCATAGCATAAGAATAAGGATCGAGTGAGCATAGTTGGAGAAGTTGAAATGCGCGGTGAATCGCTATAGACGTTAGCTAAAAGATCATCCAGAAATTGAAGACAAACGTACGGTTTCCCTGGCATGCCACTGAGCTCGCACGCAGGTGGCAAGCTGAACAATACAAGCAACCATGTAAGCGAACTGATACGGGATAACTGTCGAGACGAGGACCAGGAGGATGGCAGTGTTGATAAACCGTCTTTTGGGAGTCGATGCAGCGAAAACCGACATGTTCCTAAAGTAAGTTAGCGATCGTTTCTTTTAATCTGGCTAGAGGGGGAAGACTCACCCCTTGTCATCGCGTCTGATATAGCCAAATTTGCTGTTCACAAGACCATACACAAAGGAGATGGTCGACAGGAGCAAGAGGGTCACGTAGTTGACAATGACACATACTCCAACACTGATCAGACCAAACACAGGAACCAAGAACCAGAAGAACGCATCCTGTGAGCCTAGGAGCAAGTCATTCTTGGTGAAATCAATCGGGCTCTCAGTGGAATTCGTGCGCCAATGAAATGGGTCGTCGCTCGGTGGGAGCTTAGTTGAGGTAGCCAAAGAAGATGCCAGAAGCGACATGGCAAGCAGCAAAATTGGCAGAGATGACCGCACGGCACTGTCAAGGCCTTCCGCGAAAGTGATAAAATAGCCTGTTTCGTCGTAAACTTTGAATTGCTTGCGGAGAACAAGGGCCACAACCAGAAGAGGGAATGCCGCGAACACAGTACGATACCGCATCACGAGCTCGCCCAGACTACTGGTGATGTCCACCTTGAGTGAAATGTCCACTGTAGAGCCGTAACTCGGGTCCGTCCAGAGTTGAAATGACACACCACCCATCAGAGACTGTTCACGAAGCGGCGGGGGCATAAAAGGCGCCATGCCATGGAGATTGACATTGACCTCGTCGACGTTGACAAAGAACTTAGACTCATGGGGATCCGGGACGGACTGGCGCAATAGCGGAGAGAATAGTTCTTCCTGTTTCTTCCCGTGGTCGTGTTGGACTATTTTGAGTTTGTAATTCAGCAGGCTAGAATACATTGCTGGAACCTTGATCTCAGTGAGCATCGGACGGTTGGCCGGAAGCCTCATCTTCAGTCCAGCACTGATCAAGCCACCCAAGCCCACACGGGCTCGGATGAAAGCATCCGAACTATCAGAGAACTCGGCCACCAGAAAGCCCTTGGCAGGTGCGCTGGCCTTGTCAACAATAGCAACGAACTGGTGCTCCGCCAGATCTTCTAAATCATATTGAAGATATGAGAACGGTTGCACGCGGTCGTAGGGGTTCTTGGACGAGTGAGTAGAAGCAGGAAGGTGGATTCCATCATCAGCGGCATTTTTACAAGCCAGACGAGTTGCGCCGACATTGCCCCCGGAGAAGTCCATGTTCATGGAAAATACGGATGTGAGCTTTCCGTTCTGGAGCGGGAACACGCTGCAGAACAAAACTTCCAGGTTTCCATTGTCGCCAGTTTTGTCGAAATGATGGTCGGTCAGAAGAGTAAATTTTTTCCCTGCGACACCTTGGGGAGGAATAGGGAGTAGACGAACATCCGGGCCCTTGCGGTGGCCAAATTCGCGCAGTATCAGTCGCTCACCTTGTGACAGGATCGTATTCGAATTATCTTCGAGCGTCAAGAGGGTATTCGGTTCTGTGGGATTAGTGCAGATCAGCCAACCACTCTGAATCTTCTAGATGCCAAACCAACCTTTTTGTGGAAGAGTTCTCTCAGCTACGGACTCCAACCCAGTCAAGTACCACTTCTTGAAAATGCGCATCCGCTCTGCGCGCGGCTTTGTCTGGCTTGCGCGACGCACATCCACCACTTCGAACAAGGACTTAGTGATGGCCTTGCGGAATTGATCACACCACGTAATGGATAAGTGGTCCATTCCAATCCAAACATCTGGCATTGTAGATGTGAACACTGTGAAACCATGCGTTTCAGGAACGAGGGACGATATACTGGCGTAATCCGAAGGGACGACGGTATCGCGAGAACCTCCGGCAATCGAGATGAGAGTCACATGCCACAGTGGGTTGTTATTGGCCCAGGTTTGCGAGTATGCTTCGCGCCAGTAATCGTTGATTTGCTTGTAGGTCTGGACGACGTCCGATTCGAACGACACAGGTGGTTTGGCGTGGGGCGCAGACATTGTGACGATGGTGTTGACCGAATTAGCTTGGTAATTCGCCATGGTGAGAGTTGTGCGCGCAACGATTCCACCCATGGAGTGACCGATAAGGATCACGGAACTGGGATCGGGAAGCTCTGGGTCTCTGCGGGAGCGTCGGGGATCGTGGTAGAGGGAGAGAATATACGCTACGGCTTCGTTCACATATTCGGCTTGGTCCAATAAGGTCTGTCCATGAAACGCGGCCATATCCTCGTTGAAATCAATCATGAAGAAGTCGAGGCTCCGGGTACCTGTCTTAAGGCGATCCTGATCGTGGCGAACAACATCGTGATAGTGTCGCGAAGCTTCCGCGGCGAGGGAACGGACTTGGCGATAGCTACCAGCATTTCCGGGCAGAAAGAGAACGGGAGCGCCGTTCAACTACATTGTCAGCATGAATTTTTGGATGAAGAAGTTACCAAACTCACGCCAACATCTTCCTGGTTATATGCGTCGACACCCTCCTCCCGATAAAGGTATAAATTGTATTTGCTTGCGAAGCGCGTATGTTCCGTGTCGAATCCCACCATGCGAATAAACGTCGGACTCATAACGGGGATTCCACAACCATTACCGCCCACCTGACGGGCCGTGAACGAACGAAGTATGGAGACTAGGAATATCGATGCGAAAAAGGTCATTATGACGGTCAAAATCGAGCACGACCACGGACTGCGCAGACGGGCATTTCGAAATCGTGGAGAGCCCTCTGGCGACGATTGTCCCATCGGGAGACGTTGAGAGGATGAGGAAGACGCCAATGGCATCATTATAGGCGGTCGTGGAGCGGATGTCTCGTGAAACGGTTGCGTGTTAAACGTTGAAGATGAGGACGACAGAGTCCTCCACATAGTCGAATTCCTAGAACGGGGTGTAGAAGAACCGTTATCCCGACGGAGATCGAAGCTGGTTCCTCTTCTTGCTACCTGCGATCGCGAATTTTCAGGCGTCTCAAAACCATTGGGGCCATGACCATATTCCTCGATGGGTGTGATAGGAGTTCGCGAGATTAACGAGTCCTCAGCGTCGTCCTCGCACGGGGAGCCAGACGAGTGTCTGTGCATTTGAAGAGGTGACGATGCGAGTACTCATCCAGCACGCAGGGTATACGGTCCGATTGAGACCTGGCAGCGAGGGCGCACGAGGGAGGGAAGGCGGAGGAGGAAAGAGGGAGAGGTCCGGACGGTATCGCGGGAGAGGCTCCGTGGAGAGGCGGCAAGGGGGATTGCGATAGAAGTCGGACGGTTGAAATTGACAACTGCTCAGTGACTATGTTAGAGCTTCAGATGAGGGAGTGACCGAACCAGGACCACGATACACCCGTCTTTTGTTCTTTTCTCAATTTTTTTTTTTTTTTTTTTTTTTGCTCCTACTTAAGAGAGAAGGGTAAGGGAACGGAACCAACCGAAGACACGGGACGATGAGGCGACACAGTCGGACAATAGAGTAACAGACAGAGAAATGAACGAACGCCAGGCAAGTAACCCAATTCAGAGCACACCGTCGCAACGCTGTCTGCTCTCTGTCTGTTTATGGTATATCTCTGCTCTTTTCTACTCTGTATCTGGAGGTGAAGTGAAGTCGAGCATTACCGGAAACGGAAGGGGTCTTGGCACGGCTTACGCAGTGATGAGGGACTCGACAACAAAAGTATAAGAGTAGTACTAACCACAAGTGTTTGTATACTCAACAGTTTGATATATGACAGGGAAGTACTATTACGCAGCAGCCATGCAGGGGATCTTGGTGCTGGACATATATAAACCCGGCTTTTCCACTGCAGAACTATGCTCGTACACCTCACTACACTGCTACGCTACTATAGGTGGGTCGTTCCTCCCATACTACTACCGTACATGTATCAAAATAAATGAGGAAAATGTGCTCCATATACTGTGACTGATGCTCTCAAGAGTATCCGTGGGCAAGACTATTAAGCAGACTCTGATATTATCGTTTTTTTGCCATGTGGTTTAGCTTAGTTGGGTCTGATATAGTTCTAACAACATCTTGGCAGGATTAGCTGGTCGGAATAGCACGGAATTCATTCGACTAATATTGAGTAATGGCCTTTTCAGAATCCCTTTCAGCCTTTGCGTCCCGATGTGCCGCCACCTCAACCATATCTGCGTCAAGCTCGGCATCAAACCGTCGCCCTAGTTTTTCTGGTCCCACCAGGGTCATCAAAATCACATATCCATATACACACCCCATGAAAATGCAAATCACCTTTCCGTATTCGTATCGATCCGACGCCTCCTCAATTGGTAGCAGCGGGAATCGCTCCCCAATAGTAGACTCAATCGTCGAACTAGCAGAGGACGCAAGATTTCCCAGTTGATACGCGCAACCCACCGCAAACGTACGGATAGAGTCGGGGGATAGTTCCATCATGTGAATCGGTATGGTGCCCCAGGCACCTTGAACGCAGAACTGCTCAAAGAAGGCTGCTGCCATGATGCGCTCAGACTTCACAAAAGTGTAGGGGTACAGGAGGGCGCCGCCTATGATGCTCATCACGATGATTGTGAAGCGACGGCCGAAGATTTGACTCGCCCAACCGCAGAGCGTGCCACCAAAGAGGGCGCCAAGATTAGCGACGACTTGGGTTATGGTGACGGCGTCTTGGGAGAAGTCGTATTGTTTCTCGAGCATGGTCGGGTAGAGGTCCTGGGATCCGTGAGACTGGGAACGTTAGCGTCGATGTATAAAAACCCGCAGGGAGAAGTATACCATGAAGTTGAATCCAGCCAGCAGTAATACAAGGTAAGCCAGGATGAGCCAGTGTCGCTTGATAGCCACCTTTCCCTCTTCAAAGAAAGTCGAAGTTACGCCTCCCATCTCAGCTCGAGTTTCTTGTCGTCGTCTGAATGCCTCCGTCTCGGGAAGAAACAGACGATACAGAATGATCAGCACTGGAACGGCTGCCGCAAACCAATAAAACGGTCTCCATCTATGCGAGGTTGTATTAACCAGGGCACGCGAAAATGCTGTCGCCAGCAAATAACCAAACGCATATCCCTGCTGAAGTATGCCAGAGACAATCCCACGTGCCTCCAAGGGACAATCTTCAAGGGCGGTAGCTGCGGCATTGCCATATATGCCACCCATGGCAATACCGAAGAGAGCTCGACAGGCCAGGAACTGTTTGTAGGTCTGGCAAAAACCGGTACCCAGCTCGAGGACGATAAACAGAATATTGTTAACGATAAAGGGCCATTTGCGACCCCATCTGTCTGACGCGATTCCAAAAATGACAGCGCCCACGGATCGAAGCATGAGGACGAGGGTTATGCCCCAGGTGATTTCGGTGACGGATTTATCGAACTCTGCTGCTAATTCGCTGGTAGTTAGTGAGACGGTGAAGAAATCGAATGAATCCCACGTCCAGCCGAAGAATGCAACCTACACACCTGTTAGTATAGTTGCGGCAATGTATCTGTTCAAATTCCGTCGCCTACTCCGAAGAAAAGCCATTGCTGTCTGTTGAGAAGGGCCAGCGCTTTGAAAGGATTGGGCGCTGGGTTCATTGGCGGAATTAATGTGGGCAGCCTGGTAATAGAATACCGTAGAATCTTTTTCACGTATCCATATTGTCCGTATTGCCCCTGGTCTGAGACTGGCTCAGCAGGCGCGTCTTTTCCGTCATAGTCTGCCATGGCCCACTGATTGCTGAGAGGTGGTCAACGGAGAAAGAGGAAGAAAACAGAAGATGGATGAAGGAGACGAAATGCAAGGGAGGGCAGGAGAAAAGCAGCTGAAAAGAAAAAAAGAGCAGCTGAACCGGCATGTCTTTATCCTCTCGAAGAAGAAAAAATAAGCGATTCACCCCGCCAGAGCAGAGCATTCAAACAAGCAATGGTGGTCAGCATGGCTCTATATGGTCGTATCATCATATCCTCCGACGTGAGATTGGCTCGATCCAGACCGTCCATGGTCGGCGGGATTTCCTTCCCTGGTTCCATCTGTCTCTGTCTTTCCTATTCCGACGAGTTACAGTTAATCCTCCGCATCTCCGTAGTATTGAAAAGGTCTAAACGAGGCGCGGAGGAGGTGAGGATATCCCGCTGCGGCTGGATCCGGTGGTCAAAGAGTCTGGGATTGCAATTGGTTGGCTGGCTGACAAGATGGGTAAGCGAGTCAAAAAAGGAAAATAGGTTTAATACTGTCCGCGGAGATTATAAAGTCTGAACTTTATCTCTTTAGAAAACCAATCCAAATAATTCCCTTGCTGTTATGTTACTCCCCCGCAAGCTGATTGTCAATCCCCCGGGTCTCGGCGCGGAACGCGGAATGTGGGGGAAGTGCTGTCGTATAAAAGACTGGATCTGGCTGAGAGGCCAGTATTATCATAGGAATGTGAGTTTCTGTAGGATCATAGATAGCATGTGAAGTTGCAGTGTTTTAGTTGTCGTAAACTCAACGGTTAAGTTCAACATAGGCTCATCCCGGGCTGCACGATGTCCAAGAACGCCAAGCAATATGCCCAAAGGCTTGACTTGCTTGGCTTATGCCAATGACAGAACTGATTTAATTTTCCACTTTATATCCTCAATGGCCCCCTTTCTTCATCTAGAAGATGTTTTTCGGAAATAGTACATTGTGTGCTCGATCTGAAACGGAGCAATGTAACCATGCCGGTAGGTCGGAGATAATATAAGCTTACATAGCTGCTCTGGGGGAGTATTCAAATGGTATCCTTATTGGGAAAAAAAGCTCCTCATTTTCGTCACATAGAGATCATTCAGTGCTTTCCTCCTTGCATAACGTGGCTTTTGGAAGCTATCTTTCACAGAGCTTTTCTATAGAACTCGCTAATCTCTTTGGTTTGTCTGTGGTTCGAACCATCGTTTACCTACTACCATAGTGATGGTCAATTTGATGTGTGCAAGTGAATGTCTGACAGTCCTGTACTTGGTTGCTGAACTATTGCCCTATCACAAAACACTGTGGCACACCAATTTCATCCTTCTCCCTTTGACCATCTTCTTCCACCAACCTCTTCCATCTACCTGCCACCTTCCTTTATCGGCTTCCTCCTGGCACCTGCACTCACGGAAAGCAACAAGACAAGATCTTTCGCCCCTCCCCTTATCGTGTACTAGATCTGAGCTGACGCATAGACGATCATCAAGCCCTCCAGGTCAAACAACAATCGACGGCGCCACTGTTCGGCCATCAAGGTGAATACTCGCAGTCGAGGATTGGTAGCCGAATAACTAACGTAAATAAGTGCAAAAGTAAACCCCCACGAAACCGAATTGTTGACACCCGACCGTCTTCGTAGGATAATTTGTAGATATATAGTCCTGTTTTTTTTTTTTTTTTTTTTTTTTTTTTTTTTTTTTTTTTTGGACAAGTTTTATTTCGCGTTGGATTTGCAATTGTCTTGTCTCCAGCTCATGAAGCTGTGTTTGAAATATCTAAGGAAGCTGAGCTTCTCTGGAAGAGACGTCTGATGGCGATGCGCTCTCATGTCTGCTCTGAAGAGGTTGCATCCAGAGAGATGAACTCGAGGATCAAGGTAAGGATCGCGTTCTGCTATGCGGATTGGAGCAATCTGAGCACTACTGGCAATACTCCTGTCACCTGTTGATGAGCGAATCGCCATGGTGCGTTAAAATGGAGTCAAATTCGGCAAGTATGATACCGAGCCAGATCTTACCAACCCCATGCAACCAGGTTGAACCTTCTTGCCGAATGTCTATAGCCATGAGTTCTGGCTGTAGGTAGCTAGGTGAGACCCATGTATGGACATGGCTTCGCTAATTATGGCATCAAATTTGCTAGAGGGAGTGCTTTCGTGAAGATGACATGGTCTTCGACACTTCTGTCTCAGGAGACATCATGGGTTTCACTCAATGTGAGGGAACGCGTATATACCCGCGCCTGGATGGCAATGTGCCTTCTCAGAGAGCTCCCACTATCGACAGGCTGTCGAATTTATTTGGCGAATTTTGAAAGCTTGATAGCTTTCATTCTCTCTCATGAGCGGATATTTGTTAAGTTTGTCCGGAGGCGGCTCTGGAGCACTGACAGATTCCCGGCTTCTTCACGCGAGATGGCCCTGAGCGTCCGAATTGGTTCCGTTCGGCGATTTAGCCGTAAGGCGTGCCCAATTTCTCGTGTGGGGATGGGCTAACGTGCACCTGAAGGTGAAAATATGTTTAGGTATGAACCAGGGGAGTCTCTGGGATGCTGTCTATACGGAATCTGTACGCACTGGAATTCCAGACGCAGAACTGCCAAACTGTTGGAAGAGCGCAATTACCAGACGATTGAACCGTTGGTGGTGATGCAGCTTGCAGCTTGCAGCTTGCGTGGTAAACTGGAGTCCAGTTCAGTCGCATAGAGCGCACCAACCAGAGTGGAAAAACTCATACTCATCTAGCTCGAAATCGTAGGTTTCTCGAAATACGAGCTCCATTTGCAACCACCAACCGTTACCTCGTCTCGACGCTACACGGCTCATTGTCGGCAACCGCCATAACGAGCCACTTCGATAATTAGACCAGCATTTGTATCAACCAGTCGGTAACCCAACTCGACGCTAATGAGCTCTTGTCAACAACTGCCATGAATCACACCTTCACCAACGCCCTTTTCTCCTCGTTCTCCTCGTTCCCCTCAGCCAGCGATAAATTTCAAATGATGAAATTGGGTGATCCAATCCGTGATTGCGTTTGCTCTCGCGAAAAATGGGATCGCACCACTGAAGAGTGTGAGGGTTTTCTCGTATGTGTCAATCTAGATATACTATTGGGCAGGTGGACAGGCATGATCGTTTCTCTGGCATAGTTTTATTCGCAACCATCGCATTACGCGACTGTGCTCAGTGGTATTTCCTTCACAACGGTCGACTTTGAAGATGAACATTTCCCAAACAATTTCTTATTCAAAGGGCTGACATAATGATACATATAAAGAGGCCCATCTGTAATGTGATTGACGCCGGAAAACTAGTCAAATACTCGGAACGGTTGTAGGAGCAATCCGGCAAAACAAGATCTTCTCGAGGATGTTGCGTGATGGAAAATTGAGGGTGTTTGGCTGCTACGGAGCGCAAAAAACAAAAATACAAAAGAAGAATATAAAAAATCGCTTGCCAACCAAGATAGTCGAGTCAGCCTGAGCTGTGCGCCTTGGGCCCGAGCTTTGCAGATCACTTGCTTGCAGCGGATGTGATCCGCGAATACGCGACTTGGTGTCATTTGATCCTTTCTTGGCTAGACAACTACAAAGCCAATGATATTAGTTCTCCTAGATTGTTCTCGTCTATCAATAACCCGAAAATGAAGCGGCGCAGTTGAATTGTGGCTGAATGAAAGGCTTCATTCGTATGTACGGCGTACTTTGATGGCAATCGCAATCTGCTCTTGCCGTATGACAGTTCTAGCCCCTGCAACTATGCAGTAACAGATAAACACAGCCTCTCTTTTTCCTGACTTAAAAAACCTTTCCCTCCGGACAAATATCGCGCTTCATTCATATTCAATTTCTTCTCTCGTCGATATCTATCTTCAAAGAACTCATCATGTCGGACTCTTATCTTTACCAGCACAATGCGGGGAACAACCCTCATCAGTACGGCGAACAGAGCTACTACTCACCTCCACCGCAGCAGGGAAATTATCCACCTGCGGTAATTCTTCCCAAGCTCCGACTCTAACTCCAATTACTGACTCCATCTCCAGCAATCCTACGCCCCGCAGCAGAGCTACCCTGCGTACACCGGTCCTCCCCCTCACGATCAGTACGGACAGTCGCATCCGCCCTACGGAGTTCCCGACTACTCCCAGAACTCGCAAATGAACCAGGCTCAGGAAGGCGAGAGGGGTCTAGGATCGAAGCTAGCTGGTGGTGCGGCCGGTGGTTTCTTGGGTAAGAAGATGGGCGGAGGATTCTTGGGAGCGACCGGGGGTGCGTTGGCTGGTGCTGCCGGAATGGGCTTGGTCAGCAAGCTGTAATTTTCCCCGTTTTGTTTCTGGCAAGGAATGCAGGATGCTGACGTTGTTCTCTCCATGCAGGCGCAAGAAGCATGACAAGAAGAAGAGTGACAAGAAATCCGAGAAGAAGTCCGAGAAGAAGTCTGAGAAAAAGTTTGGGAAGAAGTCTGAGGAGGTACACCATAAGGTGGAGCGTGCTGAGCAAGGCTCTCACTCTACTTCTGGGTCGAGCTCGTCGGGTTCCTCTTCCGGTGAGAGTGAGAGTGAGAGTGAGAGTGAGAGTGACAGTGAGAGTGAGAGCGGCAGTGACAGTGGTAGTGACAGCGACTAGTGGCTTGGTTTGGTGCTATACTTGCTGTGTTAATGTTTCACGTTTCACGATATCTTTTGGCGTTTGAGGGACTTGCTATTATTACACTCCTAGGAGAGAAATGAATCGCATTCAGGTTAATCATGGCTACGTTCGAATAGTGTCTCAAGCCATTCGTTTTCGTACGATGTATCCGTTCCAATTCGATCTCTGGTTGTCTCAATTTGCATTATAATTTCAGTCTTAATATCTCCAAAATGATTAGCTGAGACAGAAAGAGAAGTTCAACCAGTAAATTACAGACTCCGAATATTGCTCGGATAATATAAGTAGATCACTATTTCGCAAAAGAAAACGAAAATGAGAAACAAATATGAGACAAAAAGCAACAGAAAGGAAGAGAGTGAAGCAAAAGAGACCAGGACCGAGGAGGGAAAAAAAATAGCAGTGACTGCAAACCACAAAGATATCAGGAAAGATTCTCGTCTGATCATTTCGGTATATCCAGCGGTCGTTCTGACCATTTGTCGAGAGCAGTGGCACAGGAGCTTCTTCATGCTCTCCAAATCCTCCTGGATATCTTCGCAGTAATGGAGAATCTTTAATTTCTTGTGATTTGAAGTAAATCGTCATTCCTGGGCCAATCGAGCCTGCTTGGTGCACTATATCAAAGAAAAAGGCTTGAGAGGGGGTTTTCTCATCTCGCCTCTGTATAACCCGCGAAATAAATTTACTCTCTCTTTTTTTCTTTTTTTCTTTTTTTTTTTCTTTCTTTCTTTTTCCCGACCTAGGTAGACCATGATGACGATAATGCTGCCTTGCTGTATTGTATGTCCAAATCCAAATGGATAGATAACAACAATCGTGTATCCCAATTAGAAGGCTATATCTCTAATCTGCATACTTTACTATAACGCAAGGTCATGCTATAGTAACCAACAGAGTTACCGACATCGACTAGTGGGACAATGGGACATTGATCAAGGGACGAGATGTCCCTAGCAAACTCTATGAGTTTAATATAGGGCTGATGCTATTGCAGAGAAGTGATGTTCTGTATTGGTTGGTTTGACCGAGCAATGTGCGAAAAAAGTGGTGGCGAATATCAATCGACGAATGAAGGCCGAGTTGGATTATCCGATCAGTATGCAGAAGTATGGAGTAACCATATATAAATACGATGACAGAGAATCCGGGGTAGAATAAGTCCCGACAATTGTAAATGGCCGAGTAAGCATATGCATGGTATAAGATGCGGTGAAGGGCTGGGCCACAAATGGCGGTCATATCCATGTCGAACTAGGATTTATCGCCAGCTTATTCGATATGGACAGTACGACAGTTCATCGCCCATGATTCCAGAACCCGAATTCAACGGGCATCATCGGAGTTGATACTGGCCGGTCCATGGATCCGTACCAACCCTAACGCCATCTGGGCCGCCACCTGGTAAGTGGCGATAGCCTCAGACTGTGTTGCACCTGTATAGCCTACTATTATGAAGCAGATAAGCGTTGGTAGCACCTTGCTGCCTGTACTCTGTTCGCCACAGTGCTCTTATCGACAACAATATCTGGGGAAATCCCGTGACATGCCCTACTGGGTTTCCGCCCCTCGAATCCTAGCAGCCAATCAATCGGCATACATTGATACTTCTGGGACCACGGGGCCAATCGGAGGTCGTCTATGGCTCAAAATCAGCGGCGTTATAACATATCGGGTTTAGTGCGGGACCAAAGGCAAAGAAAAAACTGAAAAGAAAAAAATTTTTCTGCCAGAAGGCGGCGAGAGGGCCACAACCAGCGATAAATATCATCCTCTCCCACTTGGTCCCCTCCTCTTTTTTTCCTCTCTCTTACCATATCCCTCCTCTCCTCTTTTATCTCCTTTTTTTTTTTTCTTTCTGAAAAGAGGTCTGGTCCTCTCTTTTCTTTTCTTTTTGTCTTCTGTATAGACAAAAATTTAGACCGTTTCCGGCCACTGCGTTGTGAAAACGCAGATTTTCTTTGGGCCGCCACTTTTCGAGATACCCTGATAGAACGCCCTTCGTTCTTGATTTTTCGCCTTTGATTTCCTTTCTTTCGACTTCGTTTTAGAAAAAAAAAAAGTTCGACAAAATGCCCGCTGCCGCATCCGTTCCCGCGGTTTCGAGCAAGGAGACCGCACAGTCCGTGCAGGTTCTCGAGGACCTCATCAAGAACCTCAACGTCTCCAGCAGCCAGGATGAGATCAACGCCGCTGCTGGCAACATCGCCTCGCTCTTCAGCGGCCCTATCCCTGAGCAGGCTCTTCCCCTGAAGGCTGTCGAGACCTTCCAGAAGCAGCTTGCCAACAAGAAGGATGCTGTTGCCCGTGAGCGCGCTCTCGAGGGCATCCGTGCCATTGCCGGCCAGCCCACTATCGCCCCCGGTGTCGAGCCTCACCTTGTTGCTCTTTTGCCCAACGTCCTTACCGCCATCGGTGACAAGATGGTTCCCGTCAAGAACGCTGCTCAGGCCGCCGCCCTCACCATTGTCAAGGCCATCAACGGCAACGCCGTCAAGGCTGTCCTCCCCGCCATCCGCGAGTCGGTTTCGAACGCTCCCAAGTGGGCTGAGAAGTTGACCTCTCTCCAGTGTATCGACCTCTTGGTTGAGACTGCTCCTGCTCAGCTCTCCTTCCGTGTTCCCGACCTCATTCCCGTCGTCTCCGAGGCCATGTGGGACACTAAGGCTGATGTCAAGAAGGCCGCCTACTCCACTATGGAGAAGGTCTGCGGTCTCATTGTCAACAAGGATATTGAGCGCTTCATTCCCGAGCTGATCAAGTGTATTGCCAAGCCTGAGAACGTCCCCGAGACCGTTCACTTGCTCGGTGCCACCACTTTCGTGTCGGACGTTACTGGTCCTACCCTGGCTATCATGGTCCCCTTGCTTGACCGTGGTCTCGTCGAGCGTGAGACCGCCATCAAGCGTAAGTCGGCCGTCATCGTCGACAACATGTGTAAGCTTGTGGAGGACCCTCAGATTGTCGCTCCCTTCTTGCCCAAATTGATGCCCCGTCTTCAAAAGAACTTTGAAACCCTCGCCGACCCCGAGGCTCGTGAGAAGACCGAACAGGCTCTCGAGACTCTCGTCCGTGTTGGTGATGTCAAGGATGGCAAGATTCCCGAGATCTCCACCGCCGGTGACATCGAAACCGTCGCCGCTATCCTCAAGGAGATCATTGGCGACAAGGCCAACGACAAGTCCGAGGCCATCGTTAACTACATTGGTGCCATTGCTGGTCAGCTCGTTGACGAGAAGGATGCCGACGTTGCCAGCTGGACCCAGAACGCTCAGCCTTACATCGCCGCTCTTGTCGGTGAGACTGAGGCCAAGGGTGTTGCTGAGACTCTCCGCAAGAAGGCCTCCCCCGAAGCCGCTCAGGGTGATGACATCGCGTCCGACGAAGAAGAGGGTGAAGATCTCTGCAACTGCACCTTCTCCCTGGCCTATGGTGCCAAGATCTTGCTGAACCAGACTCGCCTCCGTCTCAAGCGTGGTCAGCGTTACGGTCTCCTTGGTCCCAACGGTACCGGTAAGACCACTCTCATGCGTGCCATCAACAACGAACAGCTTGAGGGTTTCCCCAAGAAGGATGAGGTCAAGACCGTGTACGTCGAGCACGACCTCGATGCCGCCGACACTGAGCAGTCCGTCATCGGCTGGACCATGAAGAAGCTCCGTGAAGTCGGCTTAGACCCCAACCAGGCTGAAGTCGAGGTCAAGCTCGAGGAGTTCGGTTTCCTCCGTGAGCAGCTCGATGGCCCCATCACTGCCCTCTCTGGTGGTTGGAAGATGAAGCTTGCCCTTGCCCGTGCCGTGTTTGAGGAGCCCGACATTCTTCTTCTGGACGAACCCACCAACCACTTGGACGTCAAGAACGTCGAATGGTTGGAGAACTACCTCAAGACCTCCCCTTGCACTTCGATCATGGTCTCGCACGACAGCCGCTTCTTGGACCACGTCATCCAACACGTTGTCCACTACGAGCGCTTCAAGCTTAAGCGTTACCGTGGTAGTCTGAGCGAGTTCGTCAAGAAGGTTCCTGCTGCTCGTTCCTACTACGAGCTCGGTGCCTCAGAGATGGAGTTCAAGTTCCCCGAGCCCGGTTTCCTTGAGGGTGTCAAGACCAAGGCTAAGGCTATCGTTCGTGTCAACAACATGTCCTTCCAGTACCCCGGTACTCCCCGTCCTCAGATCACGGACATCAGCTTCCAGGTGTCGCTGGGCTCGCGTATTGCCGTCATTGGTCCCAACGGTGCCGGTAAATCCACCCTGGTCAATGTCCTGACCGGTGAACTGGTCCCCACCTCTGGTGACGTCTACCAGCACGAGAACATCCGTATCGCGTACATCAAGCAGCACGCCTTCGCTCACATTGATAACCACCTCGACAAGACCCCATCTGAGTACATCCAGTGGCGTTTCCAGACCGGTGAGGACCGTGAGACTATGGACCGTGCCAACAAGATCATCACCGATGATGACGAGAAGGCCATGGACAAGATCTACATTATCAACGACACTCAGCGTCGTGTCATTGGTATCCACTCCCGTAGAAAGTTCAAGAACACCTACGAGTACGAGTGTTCGTTCGCTCTTGGTGAGAACGTTGGCTTCAAGCAGGAGCGCTGGGTTCCCATGATGACCTCCGACAACGCCTGGATTCCTCGTACCGAGATCATGCAGTCGCACTCCAAGATGGTTGCCGACGTTGACCAGAAGGAGGCTCTTGCCAGCGGTCAGTTCCGTCCTCTGGTCCGCAAGGAGATCGAAGCCCACTGCGCTCAGTTCGGTCTCGAGACCGAGTTGGTCACCCACTCGCGTATGCAAGGTCTCTCTGGTGGTCAGCGTGTCAAGGTCGTCCTTGCCGCCTGCTCGTGGCAGCGTCCTCACGTGATCGTCCTTGACGAACCCACCAACTACCTTGACCGTGACTCGCTTGGTGCCCTCTCCAAGGCTATCAAGACCTTCGAGGGTGGTGTTGTCATCATCACTCACTCTCGTGAGTTCACTGAGAACCTTACCGAGGAGGTCTGGGCCGTCATGGACGGTAAGATGACTCCTTCCGGTCACAACTGGGTTGCGGGTCAGGGATCCGGTCCCCGTCTGGCGGACAAGTCCCAGCAGGCCGAGGAGATTGTCGATGCTATGGGTAACAAGGTATGTACCTTTCTTTCACCCCGTTTTCCGCATTCCCTGCCCTCCGCTCCCCCTTCCGACCTCCCACCATTCCCTCAACTCATCCCAACTACTTTTCTTAACAATAAATGCTAACTTAATCAACAGACTGTAGTTGAGAAGAAGAAGAAGCTCACAGCAAGTGAGGAGCGGAAAAAGAAGAAGGAGCGGATGGCCCGCCGCAAGCGTGGTGAGGAGGTCTTCTCCGATGAGGAGTAAAGAACGAAGCAGTAGCATATGGTGCGGTTTGGTTTGGTTTTATGATCATGTTACGAGTCACAATGTCATTATTGGCTTGACGGTTAATAAAATGAAACGTTTCCTTTTTGTTCAAATGGTCTTCCGCTGTCATTAAATTCATTTGTAAAACATCGGCTAGAGCCCTAATCGTGAAATGTTAAGTATACGATCACATGAGTGTTGTGACAAAATGCAACCACCTTCATGGTGTGAGTCGCTGCACCCAAGGGATTTTCGGTTGCCTGATTATCCTCTTTAAAATAGACATGACCAGTACCTCTCTTTGTTGCTTGGTTCAAAGGTACTCGACGTCTAGTCCTTCGTCCCGTACAAATGCGCTTACTGCATAGTATGGCCAGATGCCGAGCGCCCAGAGCGCATACGCAGCTGCAAGTTGTCGATTATCCTCATGTCGTAGAGGGAGAAACATAACAACAATGAATCACGTTCTGAACGAACGATACTGACCAAGTTGCAGAGGTTTTCTATTCTGTAGGTCCCAGGGCATATTCACCAAACAATAAATACCCATATCTGTTTACATACTGCAAGCGAGTCCTTGACGGAATTCCTCGCCTTTTCCTCTTCGTCCTGCTCTACCAGAGAATCTCTATCCAGACCAGTACGAACCCATTCAGATACCGATGTTGCGTGCCCTCTACTTCTCGGTATACCATACTAGTGGTTTAAAGCCTATCCTGGTCCCACATGAAGTGATCAACACCGGATACTGCGTGAAAATGTGAGCACATTTGCTAGGAACGTCGTCTGACTGCCGTATATATTGTACAGCAATGGGGTTAGCAACTAGTCACAGTTTGCTTTCCTTGAATTTGTCCTGCTGTACGAATCTGTATTGACATGTTCAATTCTATATCATCAGAGATCTCTCAACGACAGACTTCATAGTCACGGCGGCTATTTCGGACCATATTTTTGAGTTCTCATCAGAGTCCCTTCCGGTTGCACTATGGACAAACTGGAACTATAGTCTTCTTTCCAGCCATAAATTTGGTGTTTTCACCTTTTCCATCTGTCTCGCTTATCACAATGAGCGTAGGTAGTTGGTGTGCCATCCTTTCGACTCTGGCTCGTCTGGGCTCTGGCTTCTACAACCTGTTGCACATTTAGACAGTGAAGCTTTTTGTATCTATGCTAGTATCTATGCTAGTACGAATTGCAATTAGGGCATAGAGCCATGTTGGCTCACTGTCAATACTGAACTTTCTGTGTTCCTCGACTGTTCCGTTGTTCTCGCATATAACTTGACCGCCAGCTTCGCGACTTTTCTGTATCGGAGCTCTGGTCTCATGCATTCTCTGCAGTTTGAGATCTCGATCTTGACCATTCCTTTAAAATATACGAGTAGCATGGCACACAGTACCCTTTTGGTCTTTGGCTTAAGATAGTGATTCTTTTTGGAGTCCTCTGTCACAAGAGTACCACAGTGTTCACAAAGGATTTTTCCGCCTGCCTGCCGAGTATCATTCAGTCTGGTAAAGTCGAGTAACTTCTGGTTCTCTTCAGCAGCGTGGAACCTTCCATTTCCTAAAAAGGAACACATAGCATGACTAGCAGAAGAACTTCTTCAGAGTGAGGTGTACACGGAAACGACAGTCATCAATTTGGATGCTTTCATTCCAGTTGGTGCGCTGTATCTTGGGAAACATGGACTCTGTTCTTTTGTACATAGTACAGGCTGTATCATCATCACCGGCTTCCCACCATGCCTCTTGGTGCACATCCAAACGGTGAATAACATCTGTATCTGGATTTTTCTCATGTCGCCGTCTATATCTAGCACAGATATTGCACAAGTATCTACAAAGAGCATTCTAGATCAGCACATATCCAGTTATATTCTTCCCATCCTCAGGGTTCATGGAAACAGGGTATATCATTCTTTCACAAGCTGGATTGCAGCATTCTGATTGGACATTTGCAGATCTATGGAAGAAGTCTTGTTGCAATGCCCATGCTGCACTCATTCCTTTCCAGGAGGCATTGAAAGGACCTAGCTAATCCTTGATCTCGCTCACAAGGCTGAGATTCTATAGGGCAAAATATGAGTTATAAACAGGATCGTTGATTGTTCCGAAGAGGATCACGAATATCCCTGTCAGGGAGTACGGGCATTCACCAACAACACAATATGTTTGTATACTTTGGCCTGTTTGAATATAGGGTGGGAACCCCCTTCGCACACTAGATAGCGCAGCGCTGGCAGGCCCAGCTTCTTTCTTTCCTTCTCCTTGTTAGTATTTCGATAGGGAGCCTACCAATAAATCTATATCGTTCGAGACTGTCACAATCCCTTCGAGAAGAAGCAGATACCCTGGTTTAATTTGCAAAAGCCAGCTAGCAATCGGGAGTTTGGTGTAACTCCATCTTGATAAATCTGTCCATAATTGAAACACTTCAGAGTAATTTGATCATACCTATGGGACCTTGTCTATGGGTTCCAACCTAGAATAAAATTCATGATTGGCCAGGAGATCTAACGAACTCTCATGTTCCTCGCTCTAGAGCATTCCTATAGGTGAAATCGTCTCTATTTCTGTCCCTTTTTCTCCCTATTCCCTCTATGCCAGTGCATTGGAAAGCCAATTAGCTCATTCTCCATTGATGGCATGGGTACAAATTGTGCATATGATTTCAACAACATATTCTACTCATGGAATAAAACCAGTCTAATCCTCCTGCTCATCATTAGTGTGAGGCTTGACCGGTAGAACACACCATTCATAGAGCACAAAAGGTAAATCAACCTCACTACTCATCTGTTTATACATTCATAGCTAACAAATATTGACACCAAAAGGGTCTCAATGCCTCCCGACTAAAAGAGCATCTCAACTCCTTATCAACCCAGGAAAAATACAAGCAAGAGCAGGAGAGCATTAAGGCGCATCAAAAGGTGCTGGAGGGACTAGCATAGATGTAATAGAAGGCAGAGGCAGAGGCAGAGCCCGAGGAGGAAGCAACCATGAAGAAACAAACTTTCTCCAATCACTAGGAGTGCGGATAACAAAAGTGGGATGCTTATTACCATACCTAGCATGTGTATAGGACCTTGACTCACAATAGTCTTCGTCCGCGAGAAACCATTGCTCTTGCGGACGATCAAGTGTCTTATATTGATGCTAGTGATACCACGGCCAGATTGAATATTAATTCCTGATACAGGAGTAGTCCAAGGGAGCGCATGCCCAAGGCCCGCCTGAGGAAAACGCGGATGTCTTCTAGGATGGAAGGTGTGTAGAGATTTCGTCCACCACTGTGAGACATGTCTGTATGAATCGTCCCGTTTCTCTGGACATAGTCCTATAGGGTGCCATGAAGCTCTAGGTGCAACCCGGGGCACTGGATACCGAACCTGCAAACTCCGAACTGCCCTGGAAACTGTACTACGAGGATGTACTGTCCAGTTGACATTCAGATGAATGGATCTGACCAAAGGAGGTAGAAATAAGAAGGTTAGTTATTGACGCGCGAGTTGGCTGGAAATTGGCTTGCACTACCAAGTTCAGAACTACTTTACTTCTTAATCTAGATTATATTGTATGTGTTGAAATTTATTTTCGAAACCATCCATGGGAAACTAGATAGGCTGGATTGTAAAGTGAATAGTTTTCTGTAATGATGGCAGGTCTTATGAATTAGGGCTATATCTCAATTATCACAAGATGATATTAAAACTCGAGGTGACAAAGAAATCAACCAAGGACACTCGGCTGAGTGCACCCATGCGGGATTGGTAGAAGCTAGCTGCTATGTGGTTGTATGTGGTTGTATTTTCTGCGATAATAATGGAATTCTTTTAAAGTCAATGATTGGGGATGGTTGGAGTGCTAAAATCACCGAAGTTTGATGCAGACTCACTCATCCGACCCAGTTTGACACCGAAGGGAAATACCAAACCTGCATGGTGGCCAGGTAAATGTCTGGTTCCGGAATGGTCGTTAACCGTCGTTAGCCGTGACGGCCATTTCAAGGTCACGCTGCTCAGCCCTTTTCATGGGTTAGAATTCTGCATCCACCGGCTTTCAGAAGGGTCACTCACTTCTTCAAAGCGGGAACCCAAAGATTCCCCAAGTCCCCGACTGGCAAATTGAACGGGAATGCCAGGGCATCAAAAAGTTGGACAATGAGTAGGTAGAAGCCAAGTAAACTAGCAACGAAAAGAGAAGCCCCGGCACCCTAGGAACATCGAATTAGATCTTGTAAGCGCCCTTTTTCTGACCTCACAATGAAAAAGGACTCACTATCACGCATCGATTACCAACAGCGGCGTCCCCGAGGCCCAGCCGCCAGTAAGCGGACGACAATAATATAAACACCAAGAGAAGCGACAGAAATATTAGTGTATACACAACATTTGTGCGTGTCGCGCAGATCATAAAAATGAACATCAGAACTGCCATGGATATAAAGAGGAATGCTAGTATTCACAGTTAGGATTTTTTTACCAGGATTGATGAGGGACAATGTGAAAATATGCACTTGCCATAGGTATTCATGAAGTCAGTACTCAAAAGCCCAGCACCTGTATCGGTAGTAGATGGGGAATAAGGAGCTTTTGGTGTGTGAGGATAGCTCCTTTATAGTCAGAAGGGAGACGGGGTGAACAGACCGGCTGCGTTGAAGGCAGGAATCATTGTGGCTGCAAAGGCGAACCAAAATCCACCTGTTTCGGTCAGTAGGGACAACCAAGGCGTGGAAGCCTTGAGCAATGCTGGCGAACTTACCAATGGTACCGAATACAACGCAGGGGAACGTATTGCCAACCACGAACTCAAGGATACTAGTTATGAGCAACAGAAGGCCACCAAGAAAGATGATAGGGCCGCTGCTTTATTGGTTAGGTCACGGACGAGATCGTGAATTTGAGTTATCCCTTACGTGAATGCAATCCCATTTCCACTGGCTCCTCTCCAGGCCATCAGGCAACACGAGAGGGGTGTTGTAGTGATAACGAAGCCTCCTAGGGCTCTGAGATTTGGTCCTACTGTTAGTCAACGCTCTCTTCTGAGGCCCAATAGCCGAAATGAATGCCACTGCAGAAACTTACAAGGGCGTCGGATTTCCCACTTTCTTGGCCAATGCTGGCTGGTGGCGTATCATTGGGGTCAAGTACAGTCTCTCAAATTGCTCGGCCGTCAATGTCACTGATGTAGGGACTGTAGACAATCCATGCATTGAGCTGTCCTTCTGCGAGGGATTGTTTGATTCGCCATTATGATTGTTATCGCTGACCATTTTGTCGTCCTCGCCTTGAGCTTGAAATAGAAGAATGTAGGAAGAGCAAACCGCGGGGAGAGAGCTGATATGCTTGGAGAGCTTCGTGCTACCGTCGGGTCGATTGCTTGTTTTATGTTGCTAGCATCGACTCATCATTCTACACTATCAAACGCCCGTATGCATTTTGATAGGATGCGGCGGAAAGGAAGGAGACATCCACTCTGGCGCCAAATAGCACTGAGATCTACAAGCATCTAGTTCCGGTCGAACGGAGTTAGATGAATGACATAGTCTAAAGCCTAACATTTGTGGTTGCTGTGTCGACTAGGACCTTTATCTGACGTGGCGTAACCACGCTAAGGGGCAATCTCCATACAATACAAGGGTATCCGGGCATCACAGGATTAAGTTCGAAAAAGAAATCTCGAACACGCACGAAAAGCTAGCCTAGCAGCTTCATCCCCGAACCAATCAGTGGGTTTGAATAAGGTATACGGAATGATTGACGATCATGGCTGAGGCCCGATATGCGGGGTAGCTAAACTAAATTACCATTTGGATTATCAATACTAGATGAGGCTGTCTACTTGACAGGTGGAGGCTGTAGGAAGGAGTCCTTCTCGCCCCTGGAGAGGGGGGAATAGCCTTTCTGCAATGGTTAACGGTCCGATGGTTCCCGCGTCCGGTAACTCTCGCATGTTTCCGTAGTCAAAAGAATCAAAGTTTGTACGGATGAATGTTGTCTGTCCCGACTAGCTCCCCATTATTGTATTGTACACGGCGAGAAACGGTGGCCCCATACAACGAGTAATACACACCTAGACTCCTTGTTAGATCAACCAAGATTAAATTCGCTCATAAAGACATGAGAAAAGCTCTACGGTAACCCATTGGAAACTCGCATGGAACCCGGCCGAAGATAGTCCAACCGGGGTAGTGCACAACTCCACCAGGTCATAGGATCAAACGAAAATAATACTTCGATCAATGACAGACAAATTTTTATAACTCACTGCTAGCTCAAGCAACTGTAACTAATAAAATCAAATTAAAGGAACCGCATGCTATTGGTGAATTGCATCCCTGTTGTTGAAGGGTCAGGCAGAGGCAGAGTAAACCCAAACTTTCCAGATGCCAGTTCTTCCACAAAACATGACAGGAAATTTAAAGGAAAAGAAAAAAGAAGAGTGGGGTTTGAGAAAGAGAGCTCAGCAATTCAAGAACCATTAACACAGTTGCCTATTCAGCTAATTGTCGCTGATACGGATGCGAACCGTCTTCACCTGCGTGTAGTTGTCCAGTGCGTACGAACCCAGCTCCCGACCCATCCCGGATTCCTTGAAACCGCCAAATGGCATTTGATAGTGAAGCGTATTGTAATTGTTAACCCAAATCGTTCTTTCCGACGTTGGCGTTAGCTGAAGGACCGCGCAAGAAACAAGGATGGGAGGGGGAGAGCGAAGGAAAAACATACCCAGCTTTCACGGCATTCGACACACGAAGTGCTGTGTCGATATTCTTGGAGTGAACAGCTGCAGCCAATCCTATGTCGCTAATTAGCCACTGTCTGTCAGAAAGAGCTGGAATCCGGAATACCGTAATTGGTATCATTGGCCAGTTGGATTGCTTCGGCCTCCGTGCTAAACTTCTGGACGGTACACACAGGACCGAAGATCTCTTCTTTTACGATACTCATGTTTTCGTTCACTTCGGAGAAGATAGTCGGTTCAATGTAATATCCAGTTGAGCCCAAACGACAGCCGCCGGCAACCACCTTGGCCCCGGCTTTTTTGCCCTCGTCAATGTAGCCCATGATACGATCGAATTGCAACTGCGAGATCTGGGGGCCTTGGAACGTCTCGGTGCTCATGGGATCGCCGACCTTGTTCTGCCGCGCACGTTGGCCGAACTTCTCCAGGAATTGGTCATAAACTGACTCGTGCACCAGGATGCGGGATCCGGCACAGCAGCATTGGCCATGGTTGAAATAGATTCCGAAATTCACCCATGCAATCGCATCTTCCAAATCGGCATCTGGAAATACGATATTCGGAGACTTGCCCCCAAGTTCCAAAGTAACCTTTTTGAGGTTGCTTTTGGCTGCAGTCTGGAGGATCTGCCGGCCAACCATCGTAGACCCGGTAAACGCAACCTTGTCAATGTCCATGTGAGCGGCGATTGCGGCCCCAGCGGTCTTTCCAAACCCTGAAATGATGTTGATCACTCCGGGTGGAAAGCCAGCCTCCTTGACTAGTTTGGCAGCATATAGGGCGGATAGTGGAGTCTGCTCCGCGCTCTTCAACACCACGGTGTTCCCGGTTGCAATCGCAGGGCCAATCTTCCAAGCCCACATCAACAGCGGGAAGTTCCAGGGAATAACCTGGCCACACACCCCCACCGGTTCATGCCTGGTGTAGGTGAGACTACCCGAGTCCGTATCGATAGTTTGCCCATAGATCTTGTCCGCCCAACCGCCATAGTATCGGATGCAGCCTGCAGACGCTGCAACATCACCCCGGGCCATGCTCACACCTTTCCCATTATCCATCGCTTCAATGACAGCCAAAGTCTCTGTCTCACGCTCCAATAGCTCTGCGAGCCGGATGAGAAGCTGGCCACGCCCTCCAGGCGTGGCTTGCTTCCATTCGCCATTCAGAGCCCTCCGTGCAGCCTGGACGGCAATGTCCACGTCTCGTTCGTTGCCTTCATGCACTGCAACAATAGGCTTTTCATCATGAGGGTTGATGGTCTGGAACGTTTTACCCTCAACGCCCGGTATGAACTCATTGTTGATAAAGCTGCTTGCTGATTAGCGGAGAGCTTGTAGAGAAACACCACTTTAGTTTTTGGATACGTACAGTCCAGTTGGTTGTTCGTAAGTAAGGGTAGTAGTCTTGATGGTTTGGTGCAAAGCCATGGTGTTAAGACGCTGGAGGCAAATGCGGGTAGTAATCGTGCCAAAATGAAGCGAGGTTCTGTACGTGAAACGATACAGGCAGTCTGAAGCATATATCAATCAACTTGGCCCAGAAGTCTCAGAGATGAATGGCATTGTGTCCAATTTATATCTCAGCAGGTAGATCTAATTTTCTCAGCACCGAAGGCCGGCGACACCGTTTTCGAGACCTAGCGGTCTCCAGCATGGGGGACCCGATGGACGACATATTGAATCACTCCGGAGATTCTCGTTATTCCCTACTTTCGTGACGGCAAAAATGGCGTTCTCGTCGGTATCCACGAAAATGAGCATCGGAATCTTCATCAAAAGCAAACAGTACCCGGTCCCCTCCGCATTCCAAACAAATACTATTCTTGTAGAACGAGCTCGGACGAAAGGGAAGATCACACGTCAAATCAAGAAAGCGAGGCCAAAATCTAAGCCTTTTTTATGGTAAGCCGTACTTTTGGCAGACGAGGTCGCTTTGTTTATTAGACTTTGCTTTTTGAACGTTTAGCGCCCCTCCGCATCGGGGGGCAAACAATTGGCCGATCCGATCCTTTGCGGGGGTTTTCAAATCCCGGGGAAACTTTGCCCTACTCAGCCAATAAGCCAGTGGACCTTCGGGATTTGTGCGACAGCTCGATGTCGGCCCTATATTAGAGGCATTCCGATTGACTATTTCGATAAGCTTTTTATTTTGAGTCTCCCATCGATTTCTCCAGATTACGACTCTGACGTGATAGATATAGGCAGAATCCCACAAACGAAATTTGGGGAACGAACTTTATACAACAGCTAGACTCACTTTGGCGTGTTTCTTATATCTATCTGTAGTATTCTCTACAAACAGGGTAAATATCGGGTCTTATTACTTGTCGACAACGCCTAGCGGCCTTGGACAAGAACACGCATTATTGACTAGCCATATAAGAATATACTGCGGAACTCTTCATTTCAAATTCAAAGTACGACTATTGCAATCTTCGCTTTCGGCTTGGACTCCACTCTGATTCACAGTACCTCTCCCAACAGAAGTACGGTTTCACTCCCTATATTCCAAAGTAAACACGCCCATGACCTTCAAAGCAACAACCCCTTTGAACATTTGTGCTTCACACAACCGGTACCGGTATCGTCATGTAGACCAAACCCGTTATTCTGGGATTTCCAGCACGTATCGACCGGCAATCTTGCCTTGTTCTGATTTGTGTCAGAGACAAATCATATATATATATAGATAGACATTCTGAAAAAGAGCAGTTAACTTACCCATAAGCTCAAAAATGTGGGGTAGATCTTTCAGCGGGGCCTTTTTGAAAGGCGCTTTGATTAAGCCTCGATCGAAGAACTCAATCGCTTCCACACCATCTTGTCGATTGCCGACATAGCTTCCCTTGATACTGATCATGCGGATCACCGTGCTCAGGACGGGCGCCTTAAGGAAGGCGCCAGCAGGTAGACCAATGGCTACCACCGATCCTCGCGACCGGACATATTCAGTGGCCTGTTGGAAAGGCTTCTCCGACACTGCCAGAAGAATGACCGCATGAGCCCCGCGACCTCCTGGAGTCGCAGCTCGGACATCAGCGACAAGGTCCGTGGATTTGGTGAAGTCAACGAATGCCTGGTAATCCCGCGCTGGTTAACAATGTGACAAAATACTGCTAGACGTTTAACCTACTGAGGCGCCCAGTTGCTCGCACATAGCCTGTTTCTCGTCCCCGCCATCAATGGCGACCACGCGAATGCCCATCGCCTTGGCATATTGCACTGCCAGGGAGCCCAATCCACCTCCGGCTCCGACAATGGCCACTGTCTGGCCCGAGCGCACGCCCGACTCTTTCAGTCCCTTGTAGACCGTGATTCCTGCACACAGAACTGGCGCGACAGCGTCCAGTGGAGTATCTGGCGAGAGTTTCGAGGCATGCGCGGCCTTACCGACCGCATACTGCTGAAACGTCCCGTCAACCGTGTACCCAGACAGCGAGCATTGTTCGCACTGGGACTCGTCTGTTTGCATGCAAAATTCGCAGGAGAGGCATGACCCGTTCAGCCACTTGATGCCGGCAGCATCTCCGATGTTAAACTCGTGAACTAATTCGCCCTTGGCCACAACGTGACCCGCCCCTTCGTGTCCGCCCACAAGGGGCATCTTGACGGGTAGGGGCCAATCGCCCTTCATAGCATGCAGGTCGGTGTGGCATACTCCTGAGTAGCGAATTTTGACCAGAATCTCATCAGGTCCAGGCTTTGGGACGGGAATTTGCTTGTAAACCAGAGGGCCGCCGGCCTTTTCGGCGACCTGGGCCCATTGCATTTCTGGGATCGACATCTTGATTGAAGTCAAGATAGATGCTGATATAGAGAAGTGATGTTGAAGAAGATTCGAGATAATGAAGATTGTTAACAAGATAATACACAATAGAACTTGTAGGAAGAGTGATGTGTTTCATTCGATCCAGGGCCTCCCTTTATAGGATTCAGTCACAGCGTACACTTCATTACGTCGCCGGGATACGGCGCACGACGAGAATGTATTATCGTGACTCGCGGCCTCATTGCTTTCAGGGTCAAGATGGCGGGCATAAGGATGTTGTCGGCGGAACGGATAGCAAAGGGTGGTGATTTTTTTTTTTAAAAAAAAAAAAAAAAAAAAAAAAGAAATAGATATATATAAAAAAGCAAAAAGAAGCTTTGCATAAGCGCAATGATGGCTAATGGAGTGGTGGAAGGCAAGCCGATCGTCTGGCCTAGAGTTTTCCCCCGGAGTTTCCCCACAACTCCACAGTCCACACGGTCCGGAGATGGATGTGAGCCCGTCATTTTTCTTTCTAGTGAGGTGGAGAAAGGTCTGGCCATAGAACCCCCGAACTCAACGGTAGCTTTCTCGCCCTCTCCTTCCAAACAAACTTGTAGTGTGGAACCGAATAGGTACTTGCACTTGTACGCAATACGATTATGCTTATCTGGAGACGCTAACTTCATCCTGTGTGATAAGATGTTTCAAGTACGCAGTCTAGACAGACAAATGAGAACTTCTAAGGTTCCTTTTTACCGAATACACCATATCATGTGGACAGAAGAGCGTGCCCAGTCATGGTATCCGTCATGCTCCGCTATACCATTGTGCAGATTCCGTCAGCACACAATGAATCCTTCCGCTAACCACGTTTTGGTTGAGACTCGAAGCTGAGCTACCTCCTTATGTAGAATGGACTGTTCACATATAGCTATCTCGAACCTATAAAAATCCATAATATCAATGCAATCTATCCTTATTGCACTCTGTTTCTCCGCAATATACCATTATTGCATTTTCCGCCTATGGTTCATATTTGCATTTAAAAAGCTCGAAATCTCTCCATATTCACAGTACTGCCGTGAGAATGGAGTTAGAGGTGAGAGAACCAGTCAATATGATTGCATTGGATCAATTCTGATGAGCACTTGGCATTTTGCTTCCCAAAGACCAACAGCCCTGCCTACTCGCGTGATTCCGACGGCATTTCCAACCCAGGAAGCAGCCAAGCAGCAGGAGGAATGGTACCCACAGCCAAGATGAGTCGTCGCGGAAGGAAAGCCAGGAAAAGCTGTATTTCTTGCCAGCGATCTCACAGAATGTGTGGTAAGTGCTTATTATAGATGACTCCTGTACTTCTGGATGTTACCGTTCTCAAACATACCACAGCTAAAGTGAAGACTGCTGATATATATGCTCGAGCAGATGATGAGCGACCATGCGGCATGTGTATTAGACGAGGAATGGGTCATGCATGCTATGATGGGATTCGGAAGAAGCCCAAGTATCTTGAAGAAGTGCCTGGCACTACGGTGATGGATATCAGTCCATCCATCCACGACAATAATGTCCCACAAATAATACAACACAAAGAAGAACCTCAACAGCCGCAGTTGTCTATGGCCTCGAGCGAATACTCGACATTTGAGTCTACTATCCCCGGGAACATTACCAGCGAGCAAAGTCACTACTGGGGGTTACAAGAAATGTGCATACAATCCTCCCATGACCCTGTTGGCGAATACAAGGACGATGGCTCGAATAAACCAACTTATCAGCAGACACTCATCCCAGATACCTATTTGTTGGATGACCTGACCCGTTGCGATCTTTTGAATCAGCAGAATGCAAAGTTGGAATTCGCTCCACAAATTGCAGAGTGCGATATGCATGTTGAATCCACATCCAACACAGGTGGCCAGCTTTCATTTGCCATTAAGAGTGGCTGGTCCAACACTTTCTTTTAGAACCGGTGAACCTATACCCCCCCGGCGGCTGAATCAATTCAACAATGCAAGTAATAAATGTGCTTTCTTGTAGCCTGAATGTAATATTATTGTGTAAGTCTCCACCTACAACTGTTGTTTTAAAAAGAGAGTAAAGGGTTTCCGTAAAAGGCTGGAAACTTCTTGCAAACTGAGCATGTATACTTGGTTGTTGGTTAAATGCGGACGAGTCAGAATCTAGAGAGGTAACCAATGCTGAATGTCTCGAGTTAATTGCAAAGAACCAAGCTAAGTACGTGAAGGAGTGACCTTCAATATTCTATCCTCTTATATTCTATCACATCATGTCCCCTGTATATCAAGATCATAACGAGATTGATCTTGTCATGCCAATGGTTGTTCGTAACCTATTGTCCAATGGTGAAGAAGGATTCTTGTGGAACTGAGGAAACCCATATTTGCAACTAGACGAAGTTTTACATAGATATATATATTATAGATAGCGAAAGTATCTGGATTTTATATAGGCTAGCATTATTGGCGATATCACCATATCTGTTGAGAGAGGCAGCGTCGTTGGTATTTCTGGCGGAGGTATGCCTGATTCAATCAATCGCATAACGTAGTCGTCTCACGGATCTAACATATGATAAATGAATCCATAACAATCGAGTCAGTATTCTACAGCTTCGGCAATTGGTGGTGGCGGGCATTCTATATTAAGGTCACGAGCTCGGGGAGAGCTCACATAGAAGGTTGGCACCGAGCGTTGGAGATCTCTAAATCCCGATTTGAACTGCGACTACATGCAATGACGAACCTGCCAGCCAGCTATCATAATGTGTCAACTGCGATGCTCGGTGCAATGTCCTAGGCACTATTCAGAGTGAACAGAAACTCTGATTGAGGAAAACTATCAATAATAAGGTCTATTACTATACAATCTGGCAGCTATCAACTTGGTAAAAAAAAAAATGTTGTGTAATTGCATAATGCAAGTATGAGCTGGTCAATAATGAAAGGATGCTGGCTGCATACTAATGTGGATGGAGTGCTCAAAGTGAAGCTGGATGACCAGCTCTATCATGCCAAGCTGCCAAGCCAGAGATAACTAACAGAACCACAGATGATCTATGAGGATTAACCTAAAATTCATAGATGATATCTTGTCCTTGTTCTTGTTCCTGTTCTACATCATTATTCTCTCTCTCTCCCTTTTCATCTCTTGTCTCGCTGTGGTTTATAGTTTTCTATGTTATCCTTTATATATAACGTGACCCACATGTGAATGTCACATGAAATTGCTGACATGACTTCTGACTTCTATCACAAATATCACCACAACCAAATATGCGTCAGAAAAATGATGAAAGCCAAGTAATATTGGCCCTTCAAGCTATGCAAAATGACAAAAAACTGAGCGCTTGAGCAGCTGGAAAGATCTATCATGTGGATCATGAGAAGCTTAGTTGCTGCTGGCGTGGCATGCAATCATGATGCAATAGATCAGCCAATTCATGAAGGCTCACTGATTTAGAGGAATCAACAATTGTTGAACACATACTTGATCTAGATTCCAAAGGGTTTCCTCCTTGGTTGTCTGGTGTGGAAGATATGGCCAATTGATTACTTGCAACACGCGATGTGGGATGTGTTGGTGTAAACTGGGCCAGCACCTTTTTTAAACAGCACCCAGAACTCACAACTTGTTCTAGTCAGAGATATTACTATCAGAGAGCTCTATGTGAAGATCCAGAGGTTATCCATTATTGGTTCATGCTTGTTCAAAACATGATCACAAAGTACAGCATCCAGGAAGCAGATATTTATAACTTTGATGCAACTGGGTTTCAAATGGGAGTGATCTCAACTACAATGGTTGTCACAAGCTCCAAACAACATGGAAAGGCAAAAAACAAAACAGCCAGGCAATTGTGAATGGGTCACAGTGATCCAGGGAGTTAATGCTCATGTCACGGGCTTGGAATAGTAGATAATAATGAATCAATGTTCCTATCTAGACTATTGCAACCCTCGACGAGAATATCGAATCTGGAGAAGAAAAAGAGAAAAGGAAATCTATCTAGGTAATGAAGGGGTTTTATAGAGATTGTTGGCGACATGGCTGAGTAGCAGCATTTGCGATGTATCATTCATTGCTGCAGTGTTGAGCCGTCATATATGAGTTGTCACAGCTCATGGCTGGGCGATCTTGCCATACATCATTGTCAAGGGTCAATATCACCTTCTTTCTTGGTATTAGAATAGCCAACTACCAATGGATTGGGTTATCGGTACATCAGGAAACAGTTGGATAATGAATGAACTTGGCTTGGAATGGATCAAGCACTTTGATAAATATACAAAAGCCCAAATAATTGGTTGTTACCATCTCCTGATTCTTGATGGCCATGCAAGTCACCACTCAACTGACTTTGAGCTTTATTGCAAAGATAGTAAGATTATTACACTTTGCATGCCTGCACATTCATCCCATATCCTCCAGCCTCTTGATGTTGGATACTTTAGTCCCTTGAAGATTGCTTATGGCAAGCATATTGAAGGGCTTATGCGGGCGCATGTCACCCATATCACTAAAGAAGATTTCTTTCCTGCATTTTACACCGCATACCAAGCCACCATGACAGAAAAAAATATCAAAGGTGGCTTTTGAGGGGCTAGTCTTATCCCTTTTGACCCTGAAAGGGTAATATCTGTCACGGACTCGGACCAGTAGATACTAATGAAATGATATTCCTATCTAACCAGTGTAGCCATCGACTAGAATATCGAATCTGGAGAAGAAAAGAGAAGAGGCAAATCTATTTACATGAAGAAGTCCTATATGTTTGTGTGTGGTCTCGCTAAGCAGCTTGTTTGTCTTGGTTGCTTCCATGACATTGTTTGCCGTGTTGATGATGTTTGCTGATGAAGGCGCTGAGCTGAGCCGTTACAATATCTAAGCTTGATGTCCAATTTAGAACAGCAACACTGTCGAATTCGCGGCCGACTAGTTCCCATAGCTGGGTTTCTAAAACACCAAATAACCCAATTGAGGCGTCATCCCAGACAAACCTTATCAAAAGTCGAATCTCTCGTCACCAAGATAGCTCTCCATAATCAATCCTGAATGCTGTTGACATCCTCGCGAAAGGCACAACAAAGATAATGCATAAGATGGATTTGATGGAAGCAGAGATTCGTGAACTTTGGGTGGCAAATGAGGCCCTTAGCAAATGCCAGAGGGCTAAAAAAAAAAAAAAAAAAACATGTCTAAGGAGGGTCGCTTTCTATACAGGAAACTCAAGAATTAGGGGGTCAAGTGGAGGTTGAGGTACAACTGAAGGAGGAAACATGCAATGGGGCTGGTTGGCAACTGCAGACTGAGACATGTGCGTGGTGCTGTGGCAATTGCAGAAAAGCTGGACACAATGCACGTTCCTGTCAGATAGTAGTAGAGATGTCTGAGGAAGGCGATTCTGAGTGGTTCTAATAGAGTGTATGTGCATTGGTGGAAATATTGGGGTTAAAGTCACAGCAGAGTGATCTCATGTGACATTTGCCTGTGTGACATTCGCATGTGGGTCATGTTATTTTTTTCCCAATGGCGAGAAGAGGCCCAGTTCGAAGACTATGGATGATTATCTAGGAAAGAAAGGACGTATGGCTGGCAATACGAGTGATGTGTTCTACGCGGCATATTTCTTTTTCAAGAAGCTGCGCGTGCGAGATGAGAAGCCCAAGACCCAGTTCTGGAAAGAGGTGGAAAAGGCTTGGGAGAGAGGGATGGTGTTGGTATTATATGTGGGTCTCATTTAGACATCTTATGTACCGCAGATAGGAGACCGGTGGAGGATGAGTATGGCAGGTTGCGCGATGTATCCCTATCTCACCTGCGCGGATAGCCATTACTTCTCTGCATGATTTCATTGCCCATGTTCTGTATTATAGCGCTAATAAGGGAGATTGGCATATACTCGTTGACTGGCGTTGCTATATAATTCTACTCTGTGCCTGACTTTAGTATAGGCGTCCTGCTCTTTTTGCTAGACTTTGACTGCAAAATCAATTGTCCCTGCGAATCCACGTTCCCAAAGATCTCTGGGTCATCATTCATGGGCAAAGACATCTCTGCCATCGCCTTTACAGCAGCCCACGTGAAGTTATACTTCTGACTAGAATCATCCCAAGACATTCGAGGAACCAGGCAGTCGATGCGTCGCCATAACCTCCGCATAAATCGCCGTGTGATATTATGCGGTCGACCATCGACATACTGCCTGAATGTATGCCCTTTTTGTGGACCATCCACCAAGAATCTCAAGTAGCGATCATCCTCCTCTTTAGGGCTCTCTACCACCTTTCTCCGTCTCGGTGGCTCCCAGTGCTGTTTCCCAGATATCAAACCCTCCAGTATATCCAGCTCTTCCGCTGGTATTGGCGGAAGCAGGCTCTTTAATGCTGCAGTGTACCAATTTTTCCTAATGTTCCTCCGACGCACCGCAACCACTGGCCTCCTCCAACTATTCTCCTCGGGTATCCGTGGCTCAATGGACTTGACCTGTGGACGAACACGCAATTCATGGATAATCCCATGAGCATGTTGCGCTTTGAGCAACGCCCTCACAACCGACGGTGGTTCCCACCCATCATAGTACGCAAAGGGCTTATTGATCAGCTCGGCCACCTCCTGGCTGTCCACGGGAGTTTCAGGGGCAACCAATTTGCACAGCAAGTCATTCCGTCGTTTTCCCGTTCGTCCATATGATAGCCGGAGTACGTGTTCCAGTGCTTTCGTGTATCCTTCGTTTGCGCGTCGGAGGAGAGATAGTCGCTGTAATGCTGTTTTGCGAAGTTTGCGCTGGTGCTCTGCTTCTTGCTGTATCTGGGTGTTAAAGTAATATCGGCGGAATCTCTGTATCACATGGTCACGCATGTGTCCCTTTGCGATGGGGTCGGGTAGGTAGGAGCATTCGCGGAGTAAGGACCGTAGGAGGTTTCGCCATTCTTCGGAGGGTATAGTGGTAGTGTTCGGGGTGAATTTCGGAGTTCTCATCATGGCGGAATGAGAGAGGTGCAGCGGACGAAGAGATATGGAAGAGGAACTGTGATAGAAACCCTGTATTCCTCCCGGCAGCGTCTCAACTGACTGCGACACAGTCAACGCTGGTCAAAGACATCGGAATCGGAGGTGCGGCCCGAAAAGGAAATTGACGCAAAAGTCACGCGAAAGCGCCAAGCGCGAGACGCGACCCGATGAAACCCCGCGACTTTCACGGCGACTCGATCTTCCCCGTTTGCATGCACGATCCGGAGAGCTGTCTTATCTTACTGGTCGAGAGAAACAAAGAGATCGAATCCTCTTGTTGAATATTTTGGATTGTGCCTTTTGCTTGGTTGGGCTTCCGCAGGACTTGTGAACCGTGCAGTTGCCCCTTCCGACAACGCGCCTTTCTTTTGCGCGTTCCGACGACTTCTCCGACATTCACTGCCTTAGGACAAGAGGTTGGTCCCCGCATGCTCAGGGAATACTACGAGTTGTTTTGTGATCGCTGACAGAATCGCATTGTTATTCCTAGGTCTCCAACCTACATGCGCTGTGTTTAAACCGCTCGAGGACCTGACGAGATCGACCCGGAGATGGTTTCCAGCAATAACCCTGTTGGACGTCCGAGCCTGCCCATGTCATATTCACAAAGTAGCATGGGGTCCACCAATGGCATTGCTTTTTCGCAATCGCAAATGGGCTCATTCAACACATCCCATTCAGTGGCATCGACACCAAGAGCAACACCGCCTCCCCCGAAGGGATCGCAACAGTCGACCATGTCGTTTAGCTATCCAAATGGCCATGGTATGCCTGCTAGTTCGAGGGGTAGTTATGGTGGGTTTGATGAACCGAATGGCTTACCGTCAACATCAAACCTTCATGAAGACTTTAAGCCGCAAATATACAGGGTCTGTCCCCTGCGCTTACTTGTTCTATCTGGCCTGAGTGAAATCTGCTAACTTTGCGCTCTTCGCTATAGGCCGTCTATTCCAATGTGCATGTTTACGAAATGGAAGTCAACGGAGTTGCAGTGATGAAACGTCGTGATGATTCGTGGTTGAACGCTACTCAAATCCTTAAAGTCGCCGGCGTGGTCAAAGCTCGAAGGACAAAAACGCTTGAGAAGGAGATTGCGGCCGGTGAACATGAGAAGGTCCAAGGTGGTTATGGTAAATACCAGGGTACTTGGGTGAACTTTCACAGGGGTGTGGATCTTTGTCGGGAATATCACGTCGAAGAGTTATTAAGACCGTTGCTCGAATACGATCCCGGCGCAAACGGCACTGGTGGCTCGATGCACGATGTTATGGATACCCCGACCAAGGAACAGGCGATGGCTGCGCAGCGCAAGCGACTATACAGTGGCGTGGATAGCAATCGCAGCATGTCTCAACCACAACAGGGCACATTTTTCCAAAACATTTCCCGCACCGCCGCTACGGCCGTCAATGCCATCAGCAAGGCCCGATTCGACTCTCCGGCCACCAGGGGAACTGTCAACAGACGGCCGAGTGTCATGCAAAAATCATTCAACAGCGAGCCCCAAATGCCATTCAACGCTCAGCAGAGCATGTACAGCATAGCATCCGATAATAGCTTCAACAACCATATGCAGAACAGTGGACGATTACCGCCTGTTGATAATCCAGGCCTTCATCACGAGGAATCCGCAGAACCCCCTCGCAAACGATTTAGGTCTACTTCCCATCACGAGCAGTCATTCGGGATTCACCAGGAGCCCTCAAGTCTGTCGATGCATGAGCCAACACCAACAGAACCGAATGAATCATTTTACCAGGAAATGGATATTCCAGCTTCCATGGTAGATGGCCACCCGCGTCCCTCTGATCCTCTTCCTACAGCTTCGACCCCTGAAAGGTTCCAAAAGACGAAACTCATCATGACCCTGTTTTTAGATAAGCGGACGAAGGATTTCTCAAACCATCCAGCCTTGGTCCAACTTTCCAACGAAGATTTGGAGATTCCTCTTGACGAGTATCAGAACAATGCACTTCATTGGGCCGCCATGCTTGCTCGCATGCCTCTTGTCCACTCGCTCATCCAGAAGAGCGTGAGCATCTACCGTGTGAACGGTGCAGGGGAGACTGCCCTGCAAAAGTCTGTTGGGACAAGAAACAACTTGGATTACCGGAGCTTCCCTCGCTTACTACAAGTACTTGCGCCAACGATCGACATGGTTGATTACAGTGGGCGGACAATCTTACATCACATTGCAGTGATGGCAGCAACAGGAGGTGGGGGCCATGTGTCGGCTAAGCATTACTTGGAGGCCCTACTCGAGTTTATTGTTCGCCATGGTGGCTCGACTGTCAGTACGCATGCCCCCAATGGGACTTCTGAAAATGGCCAAAATGGCCAAAATGGCCCAATTACGGGTGAAGTCATAACACTCGGACGCTTCATTTCTGAGATTGTCAATCTACGGGATGACCAAGGAGATACTGCGCTCAACCTGGCTGGACGTGCACGCTCTGTTCTCGTACCCCAGCTCTTGGAAGTGGGAGCAGACCCTCACATTCCGAACCACACCGGTCTCCGGCCTGCGGACTATGGTGTTGGTGTTGATATGATAGAGGGCAATTCCCAGGCGAACAAGGGAGACTCTTTTACGGATCAGCTTGCTAAGACCAAGAAGGAAATTTTAGATGGTAAGTTGTCTTCCTTTTAACCCTCTGTTTCCAATGCTAACTGCAATTAGCAACGTTGTCTCAAGTCACCACCATAGTACAAGAGGCATTAGGCGGTCTTGATCATGAACTCGCTTCAAGTCTAACTCAGAAGCAAGAAAAGTTCGATCATTGGCATTCAAGGATCCGTGAGACCGCAAAGGCTCGGCAAATCGAGCAGAAGGGGCTCGATGATCTTAAACGCAAAGGCACTGATCGTATTGAGCTTAACCGGCGAATCAAGAACCTCGAACGTTCATTAGAAGACTTCTATACAGTCCTCAAGGATAAACGCGGGGAGACGCCTGACCTGTCAAAGACGTTGATTGTCGGAGATGCGGATAAAGAATCGGGTGTTGGTATCGAAGAGTTTGAGTCCATTTTCCCTGAATCATTTGATCCAACGGCTGGGCTATCTGAAAAGCAATCTGCATATCTCGCTTCTTTGCCTGCGCCCGAGGTTCTGCGGAAGCGGATCGGTTGCTATCAGGGGATGAATGACGAACTGCTGGCAGAGGTAGAACGTCTCAAGTCCAAGAATGTGATATTGGGGCAAAACTATCGTCGGATGGTCATGGCTTGTACGGGGTGGTCCGCTGAACAGGTCGACGAAGCTGCTGAGGGATTGACACAGTGCGTCAAGGAGTTGAATGACAATCCGGTTCCGGAAGATGAGGCAATTGAAATATTGATGCGAGACCGGGGGCAAGACTGGTGATGTTGGTCTACCTGAGGCATTTTTGAAACTTTACGATCTAACTTGCTGTATAATGGTTTGGTTTTGTGAATTTCTGGATGGTTTATATGGGATATTATTGTATATTTTAGCATTCGTGGAGTTCTTTTTTGCGTTCGAGAAGCGTTTTACGCATTCGATGTCTGTCTTTGCAGATACCCCAGGAACAATTTAATGTGTTTATCTTCCTTTTGGATACGTCAGTCCTTCTACGCATCAAAGCATGATGTGGAACTGAATCATCTTCATGTGAGATCTCCATCTTCTATACACTTCTACCGAGAACCACCTAGAGCTGTGTGTTGGTGAAGAAGTGCGTGGCTGTTCTTTTTTTGCTGGGATTACAAACGCCATTTCTACTGTAAGTCATAATGCCACGGCCTTATGTCAGCCCCACCGCCCTCCGAAAATTCTCTTATCGATAAAAAAATTTAGAAAACGGCGGGGTCTTTGAAGGCTTCATTTGAGATTCTTGTTCTGTGTATACTTTTGTTATTGCTCATTTTGCTGACAGGTGATCAGAAAATACTGTTAGATTGCCATATAGCATGCAGTAGATTGTGGTCATTCATTCGCTTTGCGTCGTTCCACGTTGTTTGGTGTACCTTAACGCTTGATACCCCATATTCGTCCTTCTTTTTTGTCTTGATAAAAACCAAAGATTCGAGAATGGCTAAGACGACTTCATTTCCAGCATCGTTGAACACCCTGTTCGATGATGCATCACTCAAGGGCCAGTATGAGCCTGTCCGTCTGGCCGATGCAGAGGTGGTCCCGATCCTCGAACTGCCACTTGCAAAGGAGGTATTTGGCCAGACTCACTCTGATGAGGATGCTATCAAGAAGGTGTCCAGTGATGAGACCTCCTACACTACTTTTGTGGCAGAGAAGGCAAAGGCCGTTCAAACACGGGAGCAGCGCTCGCAACTACTGCATATCGGTCTTGCGGCTCTCTTTTCCTTTCTGCAGTCCAACGTTACTGGACCTGCATTGAAATTCAACCCGGCAGATGTTATCCTTCCGTCAGCTCTACGATCTGAAATAGCTACTCTCCGTGATGTTCGGGATCAAATCATCCGTGGACTTACTGTGGATGGAGAGGCAGCGTATAAGCTGACCCCCAACGTGGAGCTGTTCGCTGTTGCTAAGGCTATCTTGAATGCTGACGTCTCGGTGGCTGATGGCCCCGTCGTCGCAAGGACTGCTCGGATGCGCGTCAACTTTCTGCACCAGAAGATGCTCTCGGAAGTTACCAGTACATTGCAGGATGTTATCTACGCGGATCTGGATGAGCTATCGAAGGTGTTGCTTGGTGAGGGTTCGACGTTCACCCCGCAAGAGAAGAGCCGTTTCTTGCTCGAGAGGGCTACGGTTCATACTCACCATGGATTCGATGCTAAGGCCCGTGCGGATCTTGAGCGTGCTGCTGCGGAAAGGCATTTCGAGTTCGCGTTGACTGGACGGATGGGAAAGAGGACTAAGTTCCAGGATCGTGATATCAGTCAGCTAGTTATCCTGGCTAAGAGTGCGGATGAAAACACAGCTACTGAAATCGCTGCTCCAGAGTCTAGAAAGAAGGATGACTCGCAACCCTCTGGTCCGAAGAACCTTGATCTGAACGATGATACCCTTTTGGAGTCTATTTCTTTCACCAAGGAGCCAGAACCTCAGGAGAAGTCGATGACAGTTCAGGATGAATCCGGTCTTTCCCCTGCGCTAGCCTCAATTGATGCTAGCGATCAGCCGATTCTCGACGCCGTCGACTCTTCCATTTTGCTTGCATTGGTGTCAGCAATCACGAACACTACGCCTGAGAACGGTCTTACTCGCGAGGAGACTCAACCGTACGCCACTCGTGTCCTGGAGGGTGGCAGCTCGAACTGGCAGGTATACACACAGGCATTGTTGCTCCGCAGTCGGATCGAGGGTTACCGGTCACGAACGGTTGAGAGAGCTGTCCTGCAGATGCAAGCTCTTGTGGATCAGGTCATCGCAGACACCGCTAGTCTCGACGCACAAACTGGAGAGGAATCTACCGAGGAACCCTCAACCTTCCTTCCCAGGCCCGAAAAGTCCGAATCGGCATCCGCTGCTGAACGACTCGAGTATATCTGGCTCTTGAGTTTCTCGACAAGATGGGATCTCGAAGCTGAACTTGCCAAGCGTTGGGTCGACCTTGGAGGCCTGCGAACTGCACTTGAAATCTACGAGCGGCTTCAAATGTGGGCGGAAGCTGCCCTCTGCTACGCCGCTACAGAGAGAGAAGAAAAAGCCAGGCAGATGATCCGCGGACAGCTCTACGAACCCACCAACAAAGATGAACCAGCAGGCGACAACGAGACATTCGAAGGCCCAGAACTGTCGCCCCTCCCCGCAAACGCGCCCCGCTTGTTCTGTATCCTGGGTGACATCGACACGGACCCAGCCATGTACGAACGCTCATGGGAGGTCTCTGGTCAGCGCTACGCCCGTGCCCAGCGTTCTCTAGCTCGTCACTATCTCACCATGAAGCCGCCAGCGCTGGAGAAGGCAGAAGAAGCGTACCGCAAGAGTCTTCATATCAACCGCATTAACCACGGCGCTTGGTTCGCCCTGGGCTGTGTCCAGCTAGAGCTCAAGCACTGGGAAGACGCCGTCGACTCTTTCGCCCGCACCGTCCAGCTCGAAGAAAGCGACGCAGAGGCATGGAGTAACCTGGCAGCAGCCATTCTCCGCACATCCAAACCTGCTGACGACACATCCGAAGACCCCGTCGCAAACCCACCAGCAGAAGCCAATGCTGACGCCGATGCCGATTACGAAACCACACCCGCGCCCGCGCCCCAAGATCCCTTCAGGCGCAAGCGCGAAGCCCTCACTGCCCTCCAACGCGCCGCCCAACTCAAGCACGAAGACCCCCGCATCTGGGATAACATCCTCACCGTCGCTGCCTCGATCCCACCACCCTACACCCCCTTCCGCGACGTCATCAACGCCCAATGCCGACTCATCGAATTCCTTGGTCCCAAGAAGGGCGAGAAAAGCATCGACCATCCTATCCTAGGCATGCTTGTCGATCACCTAGTTACTGTCTACGACTACGAAGACCTTGTCATTAACGTGGATGAGCAAGATCCTGACTCCGAACGCGTCGTTCGTAGCGGTACTATCCCCGGCCAGATCCTCTCACTAATTGACAATTCCGTTATCCCGCTTATCACGCACTCCCCGTCGCTGTGGCTACTCGTCGCCCGTGTCGAACACTTCCGCAATCAACCCAGTAAAGCCTTCGAGGCGCATGAAAAGGCATGGCGCGCGACTGTTGCGTCTTCCGCGCAAGGCGCTTTCCAAATGGGCGATGAGAAAAAGTGGTTAGATGTCGTTAGGGCGACGGAGCGATTGGTGCGCGATGGATACGCGAAGTACGGACCTATGGATAAGGAGGGGCAGGCTGATGATGGAGAGGAGATGGTGGCGAGAGATTGGAGGTTTAAGAGCAGGAGTGCTGTTAGAGGAATTCTGGGCAAGGGGAAGGATTTCTGGGAGGATAGTGAGGGGTGGGGTCGGTTGAAGGAGTTGCAGAGTGAGGTTGGGACTGGTTCGTAAAAGTTTGCTTTGTTTTGGTTAATGAGTATATGCGATGTGAATACGAGTTTTCTTTCATTTTGTCTTGATATGTTGGTATATAACATGATAGATAGTTGTCACCTCCCCTCGAGCTTTCTTTTTAACATTCCAACGAAACTCTCGAATAGAACGGAATCTGTCCCCTTCAACCACCGTACCACAACCTTGGTTCTCGTCTCCTCAATCCCATCCAACTTCAACTGCACCTTGAACCCCAGTGCCGCCTGGCCCTCGTCAATCTCCATTTTATGTTTTTCCGCAGCCTCGGTGTTCTGCATCTTCCGGCGCGCCTGTCGAGACCAGACATTCTCCTTTGCGAAGCCAATACCTGTGCTGAGGTTTCTGCGCCAGTGCCATTGAATTGGGAGGGCGCTGAGCTCTGTGTCTAGTTTGGAGCAGAGGTCGTCGATTGAGGTGCTGGACATCTGGAGGGTTGATTCGGAAGGGAAAGGGAGGAGGTTTTTAGGGAAGCTAGTTATGCCGCGTGCTACATTCTATACAGTTGTTAGTACACTAACGCAAATGAAAGAGTCGACGTACCATTGCCGGACGCAGATCGGTCCATGACCATGCCACTGCCCATCGTCTCGTCTTCGAGCCTTGGATGAACTCTGTAACGGCGTAGTTGTGGTTGTTATGACTGATTAGTTTCTCGACGATAACGGAGACGCTGCTTAGTTTTCCGAGCATGGTGGTGTACCATAGGACTTTCTCACCAAGCTGGATGCTTTCTTCGATCATTCGCGTTACGAAATCGAGCTCGCCTCCAGATGTGACCATCTCGACTTCTGCTCCTGTGCATGCCTAGACGTTTCATTAGTTGTCTGCGCTTTGGGTGCAGTAGGTTGGACTTACAGAAAACGGCGGTCTCTCTTTCGCCTCTGCAGAGGCAATCAATTCATCGCGGGAAGCGTAAAATGGAGGGTTACACATGGTAAAATCAAGGCTATCATGTCAGCGATAAGGTTTGAGCTGTCCGGTCCGTGTTGTACAAACCGTTCGATTCCCAATTGCTTAAACGAAACGAGTTCGCTGCTGGGATCTGTTTTGATTATTTGGATCCGCGATTCGAGTCCGTTGGTGGTTACCGTCCTTGTGGCAGTCTTAATGTTCTCATAATCGATGTCTATTTTGTGAGCCTCTGATCCGATACACAGGACGCCATTGCTTACCTGTGGCCACGAACTTCCAACTTGGTCTCAAGGCGCATCCAAGAAGTGGGTAGATACTACAGCACCCTGTTCCTCTGGGTGTGTATTAGCAGAGATCAACTATCAGGATAGTGGAGAAATACATGTCAAGCCCTGTAAGGTCACGGTCAGGGTCATAATTATCACGGTACTCGTCTCCGGTAGTATCCAACAGGTCTTGCAGCCACAGTATATAATTCAATCTGCCAAAGTTAGACGGTGGCTAGTCTGAATTCTTCCAATGATCTACCTGTTAGGCACCTGATACAACTAATTAGCAAACGAAGTGCAGTCGCGAGAAGACAGGCATACCGGTGGACATAATCTATTCTCGGGAATATCGACTTGCAAATCGAAGTCTTGTTTCAATAGACTCTTAGTCAACTGTCTACTGTCAATCAGTCACCATGTCGGCAAGTCTTATGTCTCAACTCGTACCGCACTGCATCCGGATCGGTAAAATCCAATTGTCCATTTGGTTTCACACTGGCAGAGTCAGATGTCTATCATGAGTCACACGACCACATATCACACACTATTTGGTAAACTCCGGCGACTGCAGCGAAAGTGCTGTGAAGTCGACATCATTTTTGTAAATATTGCGCGCAGCTCTCATAGTGTTCGTATGTTCTGTAAAGTCATCAGCAGCCAAGACAAGTAAATTGTCATTTTCCTTCCTACCACGGGCCCTTGTGGGTCAAGCCCTAATCAGCCTTAGCAGACCCAGAAGTCTGAGCCAATCTCGTCCAGGAAGGCAGATCGCAAAGTTAGTTAGTTAGTGCGATAGAGCCATTGAGTGGTTCTGCTTAAGGCACTGGGGGCGGACAAGGCCTGAATAACCGGCAATTAGCACACCGCTCACCGCTAAAAAAAGCCTAGATGATGTCATGGCGGGGATAAACACGTGTTGAGCAAACAATAACCTCCGATTTCCCCTCCGCTTTGTTTCATCACTACCGCCAGTCAGTCGTCTGACCCGTTTCCACTCAGGGGCATACATAACGTTGGTATTTATTTATACACCCTACATATTCCTGCTGCAACTGCTTTTGCATACATATCCTGTCGTTCGTTCAACTCCACCTGCTGTGCGCGTTCGTTGAGTCTGACAGCTGGACAACCCCGCGGGAACGGCCACCATGAATAAACTCAAATCTATGATCGAGCAGAAGGTAGACAGTTTAGAGGAGCAATTCAAAGGTCGGAGAGAGCTAATTGATACAAAATCAAACCTTACTGACCGGAATTGGGGACAGACACCGGTTTCCATGATGCCAGAGCCCAGGCCCACCACATGAAGCACAAGTTTGGAAAGTTCTTCAACGTCCTTAATCCTAACCACCGCCATGACGAAGAGCACGAGCAAGCAACCGACAGGAAGCGAACCGAAATTGCGGAGTCTCATCGATTCGAGTCATACGCCCCAATTCGCGAGAACAACAACCTTAAGTGGTATGTCGATGCTCTGGACTATCTCTGGGCGGTCTCGATTGCGCTCGACCAGGCCCAGGAGGTCATCTACCTAGAGGACTGGTGGATCTCGCCGGAATTGTTCTTGCGGAGGCCTCCCTTCGACAATCAGGAATGGCGTTTGGACCAAATTCTCAAGCGGCGCGCTGAGGCTGGTGTGAAGATCTACATTATTGTGTACAAGGAGGTTAGCAGATATTGGCTTCAATGTGCAATTGCGGATTGCTGATGGATTTTCACTTAGGTCAACCAAGCGCTTACTTGCAATTCGGCCCATACCAAGCATGCCTTGGAAAGCCTTTGTCCCGAAGGAAGCCCTGGTTACAAAAACATCAAGGTCCTGCGCCATCCAGACCACAACATCTTCGAGAATGCGGCAGACATGACTCTCTACTGGGTATGGATTGAGAGAAAATCGATTCGAACGAACACAGTATTAACCGTTGCTAGGCTCACCACGAGAAATTCATTGTTATTGATTACGCCTTGGCTTTCATTGGTGGTATCGATTTGTGCTTCGGACGATGGGACGCTCATCAGCACCCCTTGGCTGACTGCCATCCATCGAACTTCAAAAACGACATTTTCCCCGGTCAGGAATTCAACAACAACCGCATTATGGACTTCCAGAGTGTTGCACAGTGGCAGAGCAATGAGATTAGCAAGTCAGAATACGGCCGTATGCCATGGCATGACGTTGGCATGGGTCTGATCGGCGACTGTGTATACGACATCGCCGAGCATTTCGTCCTCCGGTGGAATTTCGTTAAGCGAGACAAGCACAAGCGAGATGAAAAGGTGGACTGGCTTATGCTCGAGGGACGCACTGGCGAAGATGAAGACCTCGTCGCGGTTCAGCGTCCGAAATTCCCCTGTGGTGATTATGTTCAGCATCCATTCAGGCCGTTGGACACCAAGCCTCGCGGAAAACAGGGCTCCGTGAGGGCACAGCTTGTGCGCAGCAGTGCCGACTGGAGCAGTGGTATTTTGCTCGAGCATAGTATCCAGAATGCTTACATTGAAATCATTCGCAAAGCGCAGCACTTTGTCTACATCGAAAACCAATTCTTCAGTATGTCACGCATACTAGACACTCGAAAGAATTATGCTAACGCAACTACCAGTCACCGCTACTGGAGAGCATCAGGCACCTGTTCACAATGTTATTGGAAGCGCGATTGTCGAAGCTTGTGTCAGAGCTGGTAAAGAGGGAAGAAAGTTCAGGGTCATCATCTTGATCCCGGCTATTCCTGGTTTTGCCGGCGACTTGCGACAGGTTGAGGCGACCGGTACTCGTGCAATCATGGACTACCAATACAAGTCTATCTGCCGTGGTGAACACTCGATCTTTGGACAGATCAAGGCGCAGGGTGTTGATCCGACACGTAAGTAATCCCCCCCCCCCCCCCCCC